TTAATGCCGCGACCCCCCAACCGGTCGTAAGTCGAGGACTACTCAACCGGTCGTAAGTCGAGGACTACTCAACTGGTGCAGCACCATTTGCAGAATGGGACTTTTGGCGGGCTCAGTAGGGCAGAGACAGCCTGGACAATTCCTATTGGCTTTTGAAAGCCAATAGAATTAGACTCTATTCAAGAGAGTCTATTCTATTGGCTTTCAAAAGCCAATAGAGTAAAAGGGAGTAGCAAAGCTAAGGAAAAGGAGAAAAAAATGGCGCACTGCGTTGTTTGGCGACCCCCGTGAAATGGTCGTTCGACCCCAAATGGGGTCCCGACCCACAGGTTGAGAACCACTGACTTAGTCCTTTGTGCAGTGAATCCTCTCGATGATGTTTAGCCCCATGTTTATTTAAAGACTTAGAGATCTGAGGTTATCAGAATAATTCACACGCCCTTAAAGAAACAGTGAAGGACGCCCAAAAAGACAGCAGCCATGATTTTCCATAATCGGCATTCCCATTTGCCTGCTCCAGGCCATGTAGCTCCTCTCTGCCCTACAGAGGCACATGCCTTAATCTCTGCAAGATCCCTGCCATTAAAGCTCCACTGCAGAAGTGAAGGGACTCTCCCCCGCCCACTTCATTGGGACATTTTAATTTAATGACAACAACAGCAGACTTGGAGGTCTTTGTTATCCTATCTCTTGTTCTGTGCATGTTATCCCACAAAGTGGTACTTTCCCTGAAGCTGCAGTTGTATTTGTTCATTGCCAGTTGTGAAGGGATGGAATTAATCGTGGGCCAGGCCTTTGATTGCTGTGGCTGAGACCACCAGCCCTTCTCCCGGAGACCAGGGTGAGATGTTTTGCATCCAGTCAGCTGGTGAAGTTCTGTTGTGTCTGTGGCTAAGCCGTGTGCTTTTTGTGTTTTTCCTGCCAGGGGGAACACTGCAACTTTAGCCATGATATTGAGCTACCAAAGAAGAGGGAACTCTGCAAGTTTTACATCACTGGTTACTGTGCCAGGGCGGAAAATTGTCCCTACATGCATGATATCCTTTCCAATCACTTTCGTCCAGCATTTTTAGGACAGGGTTTTGGGAGGTTTTTGGTCCCCTGATCTGCCTCTCCTTACTCAGAGGACTGGCTCGCTGCAGGCTGCAGGCCGGCTTTTTCCCCAAAGGGGAACTTTGTAGAAGCAAGAGTTGTGAAATCTTGGGTCTCCTGATGCTGGTGGGTTCCTGTGGCTTTTTTTTTTTTTTTGCTTTCCTCAACACCTGGCACGGGACTTCCCTTGCAAACTATTTCACACCACTGGGAACTGCATTAATGGAGACGACTGCATGTTCTCCCATGAACCACTCACCGATGAAACTCGGGAACTCCTGGATAAGGTAAAGGGACCAAATGAGCACCAAGATTTGGCCGCTCTGCAGAGAGGCCTCAGACGGCCCCTGGAGTTTTCGTAGCCAGGAGGGTTCTGGCTCAGCACGGTGGGAGATGCGACTGGAGAAACTGACCCCCAGCCCTTGCCTTGCCTCTTAGATGTTGGCTGATGATGCAGAAGCCGGAGCAGAGGATGAGAAAGAAGTGGAGGAGTTGAAGAAACAAGGCATCAACCCATTGCCCAAGCCACCTCCTGGGGTGGGATTGCTGCCCACTCCCCCACGTCCCCCAGGGCCCCCGGCTCCAACTTCCCCTAATAGCCGCCCCCTGCCCGGAGGTCCCCCTGCCCCGCCCCCGCCCCTTCCCCCACCAGGGCCACCGCAGATGCCTCTTCCAATCCACGAGCCCCTCTCGCCTCAGCAGCTTCAGCAGGACTTGTACAAGAAGATCCCTTCCCTCTTTGAGATTGTCGTGAGGCCTACAGGGCAGCTGGCAGAGAAGCTGGGGGTGAGGTAAGAGGGGATGCAGAGGGCCAAAGGGAAAGAGGAGGGGGCTTCCGCCACAGTTGGTGTGGCCCAGTCTCTGCCCTTGTGGAGGGCAGGTCCAAGATGCCTGGGTTTCCTGGGGAAGTGAGATGCTCTGTCGAGATAAAGAGCCCGCCAGCATTCAGAGGGGCCTGATCCCACTTCTCTTTTCCTCTAGGCACCCTGGTCCATCCCCACCTCGGTTCCCCGGGCCTGGGCATCCAGAGCTGCCTCCCGACATGCCCCCTGACATGCTTCCGGACCTATGTCCGGACATCTGCCCTGATATGCCAATGGGCCCAGGGATGAACCCTGGCCCTCCGTTGGGCCCTGGACCCCCCATGATGCCCTTTGGCCCCGAGGAGATGCCCCCCGGTCCCCCAACACAGGACTTCTATGACAACTTCTACCTGCACCCGGAAGGTCTGGAGATGGATCCCAGCCTCATGGTTGGCCCAGGCAAGTTGAGCAGGGCGGCTTTGTATGCCTGGCATTGGGGCAGGGGGCGGGCTGAGCGGCTGCCTTCTGTTCCAGTGCTCTCACTGCTCTCCCCCCCCCCACAGAGGGCTACCCAGGCTATGAGGAGCTCCCTGGGGAAGGGCTCTTCCCCGACCCTTCCCTGGAGCCAGATTCTTTCTGTGATGGAGGCGTCCCAAGGCTGCAAAAGCCCTCCAGCGGCATCCCAGACTTCCTGCCTTCCACCCAGAGGGCTCTCTACCTTCGCATCCAGCAGAAGCAGCAGGAAGAAGAGAGGGCTCGCCGGCAGGCAGAGAGCTGCAAGCAGGACCGAGACCACGAGGACGGCAAGGGCTGAGAGGGGGGATGGGTGGGTGGATGGGCTCTGCGAGGGGAAGCCCAGCTTGCTTCACGCTGGGCATGTTCTTTGATGTGCTGGTGGGGCCTGGAAGCCCACAGGGGGACAGGTTGGCAGCAGCACCCAGGAGCAGCCACCATTCTGGCAGGGTCATGGGCAGGGTGTACATATTACACTGCCTGAGTGTGGTGGCTTACTCAACCACCACAGGGACTGTAGAAAGCCGCCCTTGATTTTTCCTGCTGAAAGTGTAGGGGCAGACCTTTGTGCGAGAGCGCTCTTTTGGGCTTGCTCCCCAACTCCCATCCCTGTGAAACAGCACCTGTGGACAATGGGAGAGCCAGTGTGGTCTGCTAGCTAAGCAGCCGGATGAGGATTGGAGAAACTGCAGGTCCATCTCCAGCTTGGAAAAATGGGGTGACTTTGAGCCAGTCACGCTCACGGGTTGTTGTCATGGGAAGTAAATGAAGCAGGTGCCAAGAAACTGCTGACTTGAGCTGCTGGAGGAAAAGCGGGAAATGAGTCCCACTTGGGTTAAGGAAAGGTCCATCAGCAGAGTCCCCTCCCCTCCCCCCTCCCCCATTGCAGCATTGCCAGGGGAGATCAAGGCAACTGTTGGCTGAGAGAGAGCAATTTTACAGCAGTTGTTCTTTTCTGCAACTTGGTCAGTCTACAGAAATCTTTTTGCCCAGCTCAGTGACTTTCCGTGAATGAGGTTTCTCTTTAAAATGTTGTAGCTTGGAAATTATTCTTGGTTGCTTCTTGAAGAGGCTTCTGAGATAGCCAGTGTGGGCTCACCACCACCCCCTCTACCAGGTGATCCTGGCAACTGGTATTCCAGTGATGAGGATGATGGAGGCAGCAGCAGCGTCAGCTCCATCCTGAAGACTCTACGGCAGCAGAGCTCCAGCAGACCCCACGAAGACCCTTCTGGAAATGCCATTCCTGCCTCAGGCAGGAGTGATCCTCGCCTTCAGAAGAGCCGGCCAGCCGATCCTCGCCTTCTGCGTGACCCCAGGCTTTCTCGAAACCTGGAGTCTTCTGGAGCCGGAGATGCCGGGCCCACTGATCCACGGCGGGCGCGGCACATCGCAGCCTCTGCCCCCAAAGCAGCAGAAGTTCTCCATTCGATCCCTTCGATCAGCCAGAAGGCTGTTCCTGTCCCAGAGGAAGAAGAAGGGGAGAGGGCCCTGCGGGACAAACCGGTCACTATCCCTCTGGACATCCTGCCAAACCACTCGCTGAGGGACCCTCGCTGCCAGTTGCAGCAGTTCAGCCACATCAAGAAAGACGTGGTCCTGCTCATGCCCAGTTTTGCACGCATGGTGCTGTGGAGCCCCGAAGACTTGATCCCCCTACCTGTTCCTAAGCAGGAGTCAGTTCCTGTCCCAGCTGCTCTCCAGGCCCTGCCTGCCCTCGATCCACGCCTGAACCGACCTCAGAACTCCAGCCTCTCTGACCCCAGGCAGCGGGCTGGGTCCCAGCCAGAACCCTCTGCCAGTCCTGGCTCCAGCCTTCCGGATTTTGAGCTGCTATCCAGGATATTAAAGACCGTCAACGCAGCAGGCAGTCCTGGGCAGAGTGACAAGCCAAGCGACCCCCGCACACGGAAGGTGCCTGTGGACCCCCGCTTGCCCAAGGCTCCCGAGCCAGGATCCTCGGGGACCACAGATCAAGCAGAAATCGGCTCCCCACTAGGAGGGGGTGCGGAGGCTGCAGCCAGCATAGCCCCTTATGATCCCAGGCTGCTGACCGCAGGAGGGTTGAGCAGGGGCCCTGGCCAAAGCAGCGTCCTGAGTGGGATCAGCCTTTACGACCCAAGGACCCCAAGCCCCAGCTTCAAGTCGGCCGATTCTGCTGGCGAAGGGAGTCCAGCCACCAAGAGCGCTGAAGGCAGCAAAGGCAGCTGTGGCAACAGAGGAAAGGAGCCGCTGTTTGTGCGCCGGTCAGCTTTGGACCAGCTGGAAGCCGAGAAGCCCAGCCCAGAGCTGGCGAGTGACCGCTACAACAGCTATAATCGGCCACGGCCCAAGGCAGCCCCCTCTGCTCCTGTTTCCACTGCGCCTGCTGCAGAGACAGCTGTCACTCAGCCTGGCGTCCATCATCTCCCAGTGCCACCCGTGTATGGCCTGGTGAAACAGGCGGCCAAGTCAGGGGCAGGCAGCCCTTTTGCAGGGAATAGCCCTGCCCAGGAAGGGGAGTTGCAGGATGCGGGCTCTCTGAAGGACGTTTTTAAAGGCTTCGACCCGACGGCCTCCCCGTTCTGCCAGTAGTATTAAAAGACTTGTACATGCAGCCTTGTGTCCGAAAGCAGCAGCAGTGTTCTTCACTTTTTAAAAATTCCATGAATTGCCATTGACTGTGTACCGCCATCTTTTTGAGCTTTGCTGAGTGTAATCTCCAAGCGACCGTGTAGGAAAGTCACAGGGGTCCTGAGCCACCCCAGGCAGTATTGTGTCATGGCCCTTCCGGCTTCCGTTGCGGATTGATCTGAGGTCCACTCGGAATCCTTCAGTGTCTTCAATCCTGCTCTAGCTGGTTCTGCCAGCCCTTCCCTCCTCCTTTGCACAGTGGCTGGGCCATGTCTCCATTCCCCCCCCCCTCCGCTTCTCCTCTTCAGGTATTTATTGTCTGTCGAATAGAGGATGAAAGGATATGTCAGTTTCTTAGTGTGCCCTACGAAGGGGTGAAACTGTCAGCCATGCTGATCTGTAGAATATATCTATCTTTGTTTCTAAACTGTAACAATATATGTGTATCATAGCCTTTTTTTAAAAAAAATCTAGCACAGCAAAAATTATTATGGAGAAGTAACCATGATGAATTATTTTTGTAACTCTATTGAATTTTGTTTTAAATATCTTTCTGCCGTTTTCTTGGGTTGCCGGATTCGGATACGATGCAGCCAGGCTATAACAGGCTGTTTCTGTCTCTGGTGGGCGGCCTCTTGAAGAAGTGATGCCTTCTACCAAAACAGAGTTTGTAGTATTGAAATTAAATTATTAATAACACTAATTTGCTTGTATGTCTCCTGCACTCCTCTAAAAAGCAAATGGAACCCCGGTGTTCAGAAACGAGAGGTTTGTCATTCCCGCAAAGGAACATTTGTTTCCACGATCTTCTGTGCAGGGGCAGCCATGACCTTCTGGCATCCCAGAAAGCCCTGGCACAGAGCCCGTTCCCTTAAAAACCAGACTAGACAATGGGGGGGGAGGTTGCTGTGGATGAAGGGCCCTTTTTGTAACAAGCAAGAGTAACCCCACAAATTTGGTCTATCCAGAATTGCTGAACAGAGCTGGAAGCCCCTCGGCTTGTTTCTGTCTTTCCGGTACTTGTAACTGATGGATTTGGTCTCTTCTCAAATGCAGAGAAGTAAGTTGCACCTGTTAGTCTTCAAAAGGCTGCTTCATCTCTCCCCCTGCCCTCTCTTGGTCAGCTGTTTTGGAGTTAAAAGCACTGACCTTTTGCCCTGATCCAGCCTGGCAAGAACCGCCTGAAGGATGAGCATCTGTGTGCGCTGGTGTGCTCTTGAGGCAGGCAATTTGGAGATTCCACCATACGGCTCTTGGTCCTCTCAGCAACGGGCTGAGCTACGTGGGCCTGTTGGGGCTGAGGCAGCCTCTTTTCTGCCCGAGGGATGCGCCTCTGGGGAAGGTGGGCAGAAAAGGCCCACCTTCCCCACAGAGCAAATGAGCAGCCCAGGATTGCGGCTTCTCTGTGAAGTGCATGTAGAAGGGCTGCTGGCTCTGTTAGAAACCAAGGGATAAGAATCCTTTGGCAGCTTGGGGCTTTGCAGCTTGACAGACTGCAGGGCGTGACTGACAGGAGCAGGGTTCATGCCCAGGTTTAGCAGTGTTTAATCTGAAATGGATTGGTGGGGAGGGGGGGTGTCAAAACATTTTGCAGTGTATTGTTTTTCTCTCTCTGCCTTGGTGATTCCTACTCTTCCTTTTTTTGCCCAGGGAATGTAACACAGTGTAGAACTCGCTGGGAAGGGAGAGAAAGTTATGTCCTTTTGGTACAAATGCAAGCTAGCTTTCTTGGAAAGCCAAGCTGGTTTCCTGCTTTGCCAGTTTTCAGCCACTTACCTGGGGAGGCTTTGTATGCAAACACATTGAAGTCCAGAAATGGAGAAGGGCTGGAGAAGATTTCCAAGGAACCTTTTGAAACTTGTCCGGAGTGGGCAAGTCCCTGTGGAGAAGCCATCCTGATCCTGGAACCAATGAACAGCTTGTCAAGGAATGTGCTCTTTGTGAAGTATTCTGTCTTGTGAACCTGCCTAGGGACATAGATGCTCTGTGATATTTGTACAATCTGACTTTTGTAAATCAAGATCCATTCACTTAGACCCAAATCTTGGTTATCAATGAAATTTGCCAGTGCTTTATAAAATGCTATAAAATGTAGATATTATTTGAAAAGGGATTTGTATATATTGTACTGGTATTTTTACAGTGATTTTTGGTTGCATGGCTGTTTGCTTTTTTTTTTTAATCACACATGCGTCTTCCAACAATGTCCAGACTCAAGACTCTGATCGTTGTACTGCTGGCATTAAATGATGCAGTGATTTTAAAGGTTGCCACCCAGCTTACTTTGGTATGGAATTATTTCAGATATTCCCATTGTGAGGCAGAAGGGCGCAGTCAACCAAGTTACCATTCATAGCTTTCCAGCCACAGTAGGATGCTTGGCAGGGATGAGGAGTGGTGGGGAAAGGGTCAGAGAAAACTGACCTTGGAAGAACCATCAGCCTAAATGCTTGGGGGAGGGCCTGGCTGAGAAGATGAAAGTGGTCTGCTTGTCCCAACAGTTGAGGCCAGGAGACCCTTCTCCCAAAAGACAATAGCTGCTGCTGTAAGTTTGACCAGAATCAGGCCTGCAGGAGATGGTTTTGGATAGCACTGGTCTGTTTTGCTCAGAAGGGCAGCCTAGGCATGGCCACCAAAGAGGTCTTGGGCTGGCCAAACCTTGGCCTTGGGCAGGTCATGCGTGGCCTGGAGAGCGAGCCTGCCTAATTCCAAGAATGAGATACCAGCAGGCACAGGAGGCCCGTTGGGCATCCCTGGAGGGGCTACCTAGAAGAGAAATAGTCAATCCCCCCCCCCAGGTGATTCACTCTCCCGGCCTTGGTCAATGTGCAGCTTTTGGGTGCAGCCCTCTGTCATGGGAAGCCCTTTCCTCCTTGCACATGGGGGCAGTGGCAGGGCACCTGCATAATTGGGGGGAGCCCTGCTGATCTAACCCATTGCTTCCCCAATGGCAGCTGCAGAGATGGGTACCCCGCTTGCCTTCCTGGTATTGGTTTTGGTTGTATCTCAGCTTTTTAGAAACACATTTACAACAGCCTCAATCCACTTCTGGGGGGGGGTGGCCTTTGGTCTGTTGTGATGGAGTGGGTCCCAGAGGAATCCAGTGAGATTTCTCACTGCCGTATTACCAATCAATCAAGAGGAGAGCATTCGTGCTGGCCTGGGAAAGGATCGCTTATAGCCAGAGGCAGCCTGGGCTTGACTGAACATCAAGAGGGCTCCCTACTCCAAGGCTAGGCTGTACTGGAGGAGCCCTTACTCAGAAACTGCTTCTGCTGTGGGTTGGAGGCTTGGAGGTGCTTGCTGAGGTGCGTGTCCTTCCCCTGGTGCCCTCCCTTTCTCCTAGGGAAGTTCCTGAGTGAGTGAACCATGGCAGCCAGCCTGGCAATACAAAGGTGGGAATGCCAAAATAGGATTTCAGGCCAAAGTGAGCTCTTCTCCCTTCCCTCTCCTACCCTTGCCTCTAAGACAAGTCATTCTCACAAAATAAATCATTTAACATTGAGAAAAAAATAAAATGTAGAAATGAATTTTTATCAAAATGAATAATTCAATGCTGTAAAAGGGGAGTCCTGGACATGCAATTCTTAAAGAAGACACAGGATGGCACTGGCCATTTGCATCCCTAAATCCAATGCCATCACTACTGTATTGGGTCTTCTGCAACATTAAAGCCCAGGATCCTATTTCTACAAAGAGAGTCCTGGACTTGGATGGAACAGGAAGCAGAAAATAAATTCCTGATGCAAACGCCTTGAGCAAGGGCTTGAATTAGGTTAGAAGACCTCCGAAGTCCTTTCCGGCCTTTGATTCTATGTTCTTGACCTACTAACTACCCTATTGTATGAGTGGTCTATCTTCATCACTAACATAGCTGTCCCCTTGAACTGGGAAGCTAAAAAAAGCCCACTAATTTATATGACCCTCGTTTCCTTTATTAGCATTGCTGAAATCAATTTAGAAAAAAAGGGATGGAAATTCCCGGCCTGCCTCAGGCACATCCCAAAGCCCTTTTAGAAGAGGTAGGAGAGGAAAATACTGTATGTTAGTCTCTAGTCTGCCCTCTAGTGTTCAGTAGGATTTTCAGAGGAGCACATGGAGACTTTATGTATCTGATGAAAAAAACTAGCTCACAAAAGCTGGTTACTTTTAATTACACATGCTAGTCTGAAAAATTGCTGCCAGACATCTCTTGGTTTTGGGTAGCAGGAGATAATTTGGGAAGGGGGCTCTTTCAGACACAGCTTGCACTGTAATCGGGGCACAATTTTGCTTTGAGGTAGAAGGGCAAGCTCCTTTGGCTATGGCTCACAGCCTGGGGGTGGAAAGCACATGAGCTCTTTTGTTGACCCAGACTTAGGGGACAGTAGCAATTGTGATGGCCCCGCTCTCTCTGGCCACTTGCAGACTCATGATTGTAAGGTCATGAAAAGACAGCAAAGGAAACACCCAATATTCTAACCCACCCAGGAACATACGGCTATGCACCAATTCAGAGTGGGGAGGAAGGGCAGTAGGTGGGACTGAGCCAAAGTGAGATTGTGTTGTGGTTGGGACAAGGGATTACTTTCCAAGGGTGAGTGGAGCAAGGCCGCCTCCCCTTTCTTGGCCCAGAACGGGAGCTCCCTGGTTCTCCTCAGCACCTCTTTTCCTTTTGCTCAGGCAAGAAGGGGAAGAGGCTGGGGAGCAACAGGAGGCAAGCAGAACCTCTGGGGACATCACAGGTACCATTGAAAGGTCCTCCCAGGCACTTCTAGGGCCTTGGGCCCTGCAGCAGGTGAGGTAGAGGAGAGGTGCTCAAGCACCGTGGGGTCTGTGTGGCCATTTGCACACCTTCAGTTTGCTCTCCAAAGCCACGGAAGGTTGGCATGAGCAAAGGTCAGGACCATCCCAAGGTCCTGGGTCAAAGTCACTTTCTAGTGGCATCAGCTGGCCCTTCTTTGGCAGCAGCTTAGGTCAGAGAATAGGTGGTTGCACTTAATTAACATTATAGCTGATTTAGATGAATGGATTCTGCGAAGCCATTTGCACCAAAGGCAAGGCAGGCCCCAGGTCTCCACACAGCTGTAAGAAAATCATCCCAGCAACCCTGGAATTGCTGTGCTGGATCAGCTCACAGGCCCCACTGCCCCAATTGCTAGAGTCTAAGCAGGTGAGAGGCCCCCATCTGGCAGAAGGGCAGGGGTCTTCCCAAGCGCACCAGTTGCCTGCTTTGAAGCCGGGGAAAGGCTCGCTGCATGGTACATAGGCCAGGGGAAGCTACCAGTTTCAATTGGTGATTACTGCTGTAACTCAGAGAAGCAGATCCCAAAGGTTAATTGGGGCCCAATCAACCTGAAATCAGTTTTGGCAAGAGATCCCTTTGGGACTGCGATGCCTCCCTGTTGTCTACAGACTGCCAATAAGCCTAATATGGCAAGGCAAAGCTTGGCCTCCTGGCTCCCTTTTCGCTCCCTTAGAAAGTCTCTGTATCTCTTACTCCAGACTCCCAGTTGGGTGACTTCTCCGGCACTGGTGGTAGGGGCACTTAAAAGTCCGTGCTCTGGCCTTGCCAAGCCTGCCCTGCCTGACCCTGGACCTTGTGGCATTCCTGTCATGGCAAAGGCTTAACGGGAAGGGTCATGCTGACTCCTCATGCTCCTGTGGTCAAGAGCAGTCGCATCCGTTTTCTCCTGGCTTGCCAGATCCTTGCTTTCCCTTTCCTGTAAGATCCCAGACCCTAAACAGCCTTTCCACTCTTGCTCCCCAGGCTGTCCCTGGTTCCATCTGCAAAATGCGATCCACCTTTGCTCACTTCCGGAGTCAGGAGCAATTCACAACCAGTAACAGTGGCCTTTGTTGCCCTGTGAGACACATGGGCAAAAGCCTGAGTACTGTCATTCAAAGTACAGGAGAATGGCAACAGCCCAAACGTCCAAGACTGCAGTTGGTGATTTGGGGCTTTGTTCTATTTTGGCTCAAGACTGATCTGTGGAACAAACTAAATCTATCCTTCCCTGAATATGCTGAACGTGCTCAAGCCACTCGTTTATTTATTTGATTCTCACCACAGCAACTCTGGGTGCCCAAGAGCACATAAGAATAAATCATAACATCTGCAAAACTAAACAATGATGTTTGACCCAAATGTATTTATACACACACACACACACAAACTTAATCTCATTGTATTTGGACACTAAACATTAATTCACCTCACTATAAAACAATGAAGTGTAAAAGACAATGAAGTGAGTTAATTCAATGTTAACTTTAGGATTGCACATTATACAATTAACATTATATACAGATTGGGATTAAAGTTTTGATGTTTTGTGCCTAATTTGGGCTTCTTTTTTGGAATAACATTTTAACATACATTAAGTAGATGGCTGTGTTTTGTATGCTGTGGGGGTTTATATGGGAGGAGCATTTCTCTTTCAAAATTTCAATAATCTTTCTGAAGAGGAAGAATTGAGGAAAAAGTCATTTGCCAGAGCAGCCCCTGAAAAGGAGCCCCCAATGCAGACTGCACTCCCCTTCCTGCCTTTATCCAGCACTCCCCCTCATGCCAACAAAAAGCCCTTTCTTGGAGGGGAGGAGGCTGCGGGCATCTCTAGGCCACAGGAGGCCAGAAGGGCCAAGCTGAGCTGGCCGCCCAGGGCTCTGGCAAGCCCCTCCCCTCTCCAGCTTCTGCCTGTTCCCAAATAAGGGCACTGGCTTCAGTGTCTGCTGGACCAGCCATGGGAGGAGGGAGGGCCTGGCCTGGCTTCCCTTTGCAAGTCTCTTCCCTGGGGAAAGGATTCCCCCCCCCCTGCTTGGGCTGAGGCAGGCAGTAGCTGGCACAGATTGACTCGCAGAGACAGTAATGGCAAGAAGGGTGGGCACGTGGGGAGCCATATGCGCACAGACATCTGTGGGGCCTGGGAGAAGGCCTTCTATAGCCAGATAATGCTAGGGGATCCAGAAGCTCGAGGGAGGACTGGACTGAGTGGGCTGCCACAGGCCCAGTTGCAGGCAGGTGGACTGAACATGTGGGATCCCCCCACCTGCTGGCGGACCATGCAGACCTCCAGGCAAGGAAGTGCAAAGTGCTCTTGGTCTCCTGAAGCAGCTTCTAACCCAGAAAGTAACAATCCCCCTCTGGGTCCCAGCTGGGAGGGGAGGAGGCAGGAGGCCTCTGACTGAAGGGGTTATCTGAAATGGGGAAAGGCTGGCTGGGATCACCCCTGTGAGACGAGTATAGCCTGTTGCCTTCACCACCAGCTACAGGGTGACTGCTGAGGAATGGATTGGCCAAGGAAGCCATTTCTGAATTTTCATGGCCCTGGACAATCAGGCAGACTGTGCCAAATGTGCCCAGCCAGAGAAAACCTAGCCAAGAGCATGCAAACACAGACGCAGCTTTTGGGTGATGGCCACAAATGTACAGAGAGCTTCACAGGGGGCAAACCCGATCCTGGCCAAGTTCTCCTCCACAAGGGTCCCAATCATCATAAGGCTCCATCTCCCCCACCCCTCTGGCAGAGGCAACAGTTGAGCTTCTGGGGGACAGAGCACTTTATTGTGGGGAGGGGGCCCAGCAGAGCCCATCATCCACCAGAAAGGGGAGAAGTTCAAAAGGGCCAGGGAGACCTCCCCAGCAGGGTGGAGGTGGTTGAGGCCAGCGCCCTGCAGACCATGGAGCCAGTCCATCCTAGTGTAGGCAGGGAGACAGCAGCAAGTTCTTCCAGCAGCTCAGCAACTCGCCAGCATCACGGTCACTGTGGAACTTTGAGGCCCTGCTCCATGTTCCTCTGGCTGCTGGGACTTGTCCGACGCAGAACATGTTCAGTTCGGAGGCCTTTCAGCTTCTCCAGCAACTCTCTGGTGAAGTCCGGGGGGGGGGGAGGAGGTTGAGTCCTACCATCCTTCTCCAGTAAGGTGAAGAAGATGTCTGGCATTGGGGGAACCCTGCCAGAAAAGGGATCTCCCTCCAGTAGGGACTCCCAGGATCAGACCAAGAGCAACCAGATCCCCAGGTATTGCAAGGGAGCCTCCTCAGGGAGTCATGGGGTGGGAAGAAGGCTGGGGAGCCCAAAGGATGAAAGGGAGCCTTTCCTCAACTATTACACAGCAGCTGGAAGTGGGACATCTCTTGGGGAAAGCAAACCCTACCCTTGGCAGGCATATATGTTCCACAGGACCCAGATCAAAGCCAGCAGTTGCTGGTGCTCAGAAAATGGACACCCACCTCTATGTTGTTGTGGCATGACTCCAAGGTGCCCTAGAAAAAAGTTACAGTGAGGAACAGCCCCAAAGGATGGGGGATCCAGCATTTTTTCGTCCAGTCCTTTTCATTTCCAGCCTCTTTCCCAGCTTTATTCTTGAACTAAACCAGGAAACCATGGCTCAGATTCCCTGGGCCTTCTCTTCTGTAGTGAACCCTTAGATCCCCAGTTCCCTTTTCTTATCCTGTTCAGATCCTAATTTCTATTTATTAACAAAATGGCATGGGCTAGGCTAACTCCACATTAGGTATGCTTATTAATAAATAGTGCGGGGTGAGATGAATCTATGCCTCATTCTCAGTGCTCAGAAATTAGCATCAGCATTTTGCTAATGAGCATGAAGGATCATTTGGTTCAGGAAAAGAGCTTCACCTCTTAGAGCAGCAACATCTTCAGAATTTGTGCACATCTGCATAAGAGCCCCCTGTACACTCCGCTGCTTGCTCTGTCCCTGCCGGGTTTATAAACTCAAATCTGAACTTTTTTGCCTTCCTTCCACTCTTGCTGATAGGATCCAGTCAAGGGTGCCAATTCAGGATTCCTGCCTTGTGAGTCAGCAGACCTGGTAATGTGAAGGCAGCTTACCTGTAATTTCTTTGCCCTTTCCTCATCTGTGTCCATCTCCAGGAGATCGTCAATATTGACTTCATCTGGCATCTTGTCTTCCTGCCACAAAATCAAGTCAGGCTAAAGGGCTTGGAACATGGTAGCACCCAGACAAGAGGTACAGACATGAGTTATGAGGTCTCACAAGAGGGAGGCTTTTTAAGAATAGCCCAGGCTCTCCGACTTGCACAGCTCTTCAGTGACACATTTCCTAGTTCGAAAACATCTGGAACGACAAAGCTTCCAAAGCTTTCAAAACCCAGGCCCTCCCGCATCCCCCTTTTTAGGCAAGAGGAGGAGCATCTCAACCCTACAACATCCCAGAGAGTACAGTAGCTGCTGCTTCTCCTGGGAGCATAAATACTCTTAGGCTGTTGCTCCCATCTTCCCACCACCTGATAGGTAATTGATCCAGTTTGAAGAGCCTGGTTCCATCTGTACCCCTTAACAGAATAACAGAGCTGGAAGGGACCTTGGAGGTCTTCTAGTCCAACTCTCTGCTCAAGCATTCCAGGCAAATGGCTGTCCAGTCTCTTTGTAAAAGTCTCCGGTGCAAAAACCTTTCTCTGCAACCTCCCTGTAAGTGTGCAGGGGGAAAGAGGAGAGTCACAGCCATTGCTGCTCCTTGCCCCAAGAAGCCCCTGAATGGGAGCAACAGTCTACCGCTGCCCAGGGCTTGCTTCCCTCAGAAGAGCTGGCCTGCTCCCCTCCCAGACTCCCTGGGGAGGCAAAAAAGCAAGCCAGATGGTAACTCGCTCCTTTCATGGGAGGATTGGAGATGTCTCTTTTATAGCTAGGCCAGGCTCCCCACCCCCACCCCGAGGAATCCTTTCTAGGCAGGGGAAATGTCAGCAACCGGAGGCGGGAGATGCACATTCCTCCCTAGAAAGAGGAGGACGAGGAGGACCCTCCTCTGCAAGCCCATCTGCTCTGGCCAGGTTGGCCTCATTTCCAAGCCAAGGTGCCCTGGGGCCAGAGAGAACCTTGGAGCTGGGGATTCCAGCCTGAATTTGATGGAAGTTGATCTCTTGCTCAGTCTTGCCTGCTCCACAGCCCACACAGGGTCTTCCCATGTATTGATTGAGGAGGGCATTTCTGAATTTGTCCTCGAGATCCCAGGAAAGGCCAGGGCACAAATATCTGGTTCCTGGAAAGACACCTGAATGGGTGACCAAAGGCGACAGGCCCACCCCACAGCCCCGGTCCATTCTATTTCCGAGGGCAGCTTCCCCTCTTGGCAGTTGCCACAAGTCCCTCTCCTGGCCCAGAGCCACCAGCAACCGTCAGTCTCCTGAGCCTTAAAATCCCACTGATCAAAACTAGCAGCAACCACCCTGCTCAATGCAAGGCTGGACCAAGACCGCTCACCGGAAGGGCTGTGAGCTGCTGCAATGAAAGCAAAGCGCCTCCTGGCAGCCATAAAGGTAGGCAACCCCCGCAGATGTGCCTCCCGACAAGGCAGATGGCTCCCCAGTCCCCCGAGGAGCACTAGCAGTTGGGAGGGAGGGAGGGAGGGAGGGGGTCCCAAGTAGCCTTAATGTTAACCCCCTCATGGCCTCGAGAAACCAGTTCAGAACTGAAGGCCGGCTCTCTTCCACCAGGCCAGGAAACTGAACGAGGCCGCAGCTGTCTTTGGCCACAAAAGTTGCTCCGTCCCAGGCGGGCAGTCTGGACGCGGGGGAGGGGGGCGGAAGCATCCCCCCAAAGGACAAGACCGCGAATCCTCTCGCTCAGCCCGGCGTCCCCCTCACCCGTCCTCGGTACAGCTCCTCCAGCCGGCCGTCGATCCACTTTTCCGTGTCAAGGCGCCGCTGCAGCTCCCGTCGGTCATACTTAACCGTGACCCGCGCGTGGCGCCTCTGGATGCCTGGGCTGGCTGTCCGTTCCGCGCGGCTACCTCCGAGGCCGGTAGAGCGGGCCGGCGACGCACGCCCCAAGCGCCTCCCCACCCGATCGGCCGCCATCGCTCGTTCCCCAATAGACGGCGAGTCCGCCGGCTTCCCGCGCCTTATAGCAGCCGGGGCGGAGCTCTGGCTTCCAGACCCTCCCTCGGGGTGGGGGGCCGTCTTGCTCTGAGCCAGAGGCGGGGCCCCACCGGTCTCCCGGCCATTCTTGCGGACCTCCCTGAAAGATGAGGCTCGAAGACAGGAGCCGAACAACTTCGCGGGCCTCCCTTTTCCGGAGCTGATCCTTCTGTGCTGCTGCCGGGAAGGGGCCTCAGCGACCTCGGGCTCTAATCGCCTTACAGCAATGCGCGGTCGTCTGACCGCTTCCCCCTCCTCGCCCTTTTAACGTTTTCTGAAGTAACGCCGGTTAGTAAGATTTGGGCCCGGCATTCCGGCATCTGTTAGGCCTTCCCCCCCGCCGCCTTTTTAATGTGTGGCCAGCCCGCCCTTCTCTCCGAAGAAGCCGGCCTACGAAGTCCTCGCCTTCGAATGTCCTCACCCGCCTCTGGACCAACCTCTGGGAAAAGTCGGGGTTTGCCCCTTCGAGTTCCTGCCGCTAGACAGGGCAGGGGAGAGGGCAAGCCACGCTGCTCTGCGCGGATCGTTTGATTCGGACTCGGGCTGAGAACGCGGCCGCAGCGTTCCTCGGCCCCAGCGGGACGCCCAGGGGCCCCTTCCTTCGAGTCCCCAGCCTTGGCCGTTCTACAATAGCCAAGTCGTTATGCAAGTACGTTCAGTGAAACGACCCCCTCGGACCTCCCAAGAGGTATGACTTCTTCAGGAAGTCTCCCCGCGGTGGGGGCTAAGGCAAGCGCTGGCCTCCCTGACCGTGTCGCGCTTCCAACAGAGAGGCTTTCCGAGCGCGATAGGGGGCTGGGGGAGCCCACAACCGGCGCCTCGGCAAACGGTAGGCTGCAATGCTGAAGATGGAGGGGGGAAGGGAAAGGGGCTCCCGCTTCTACTCCGGGTCCTGGGCCGATCGCAGCACCCTCTTCCCAAGTCGGAGGATGGAAGCCGGCGGCGGCGGCGAAACGAAAAGGGGATAAGGGTTCCCACAGAAGCCATCCCAGAACTAAGCATCCCGCGAGGGTCCTGTGCGGCGGGAGAGGGAACCAGGAGCAGCGGACCTGACCGTAGTCCCGCCCCGACTGCACCTGCCGAATCTTCCGCCTTCACCTTGCAGGTTTCTCCATCCGGGACTTTCCCACTTTGCAACCGGTGGGGAGTTCCACCGTCACGTGTTTGCTACGCAGCCTATGCAAAATAGGTGGGCTGCCCTACCCGCCCTCCAGACAGGTGCGACGGCGACAGACGTCGGCCCCCGTGATTGGCGCCCGGAATGCGATGGGCGTGGCTCACCTGCGGGGTTCGGCGGCAGTTGCGGCCCAGCGGGCAGCTTTGTCCGGGAGGGCGGCACGATGAGGCGAGAGAAGAGTTTGGCGCTGTTGATCACGTTGGCCGCTGCGCTGGCGGCCGCAGAGACGCTGCCCGGTAAGAAATCGCGGCCCGGTGGTGCTCTCCTGCCCGTCCCTTTGTTACTTCAAAAACAGTGGCCAGTCTTGGTTGCGGATCGTTGCGCTGTATCCGGACCGGTGCCAACGCCCTGTCCCTCTCTAGGGCGCTACGTCAGGTCTCTACAGCGCAGGCTGGTCTTGACGTGCCCCACCCGAAAAGATCGGCCGGCTGCGACTCGCTTTAGCCCCCCCCCCCATGTTTCCTGCCCCGTTGTCGGGGGTCCCAAGTCCGGGGGGGGGGGCACGGGAAGGAGAAGAGAAAGCCAACCCTCGCCTCCCACCTCCCCCCCGCGTCTTTCCCAGCCACGTTTGTCTGCTGGGTCTGGGGGATGAGGGCCTCCTTTCTGCCCGGCCAAGCAGGCACCAGCCTTGTAGTTCCCCTCGGCTGGATGCGCTTCTGGAGCCCGTTCCGGAGTGCTTGCCAGACGTTGTCCTACTTTGCTAGAGAGCTGGCGTTGCCAGATACAGGAGACGGCAACCTCTCGTCAGGCCTCTCTTGTACCCATTGGGGCTTTAGGCACCCAGTGGTTGTGTTGTCCTGGCTGAATCCCCCACTAGGGGTTCTTTTCTTCTGGCAGGGTTGGGGGCACAAGAAAGCATCTTCCTGGACTGGAGCCAGCTGGGGGGGGGGGTGCCTGCCCTTCTGATGAACTCCCACGGATGGGAGGATGTTCAGTGAAATCTGATCGGGTGGGATGGGCCAACCAACCCTGAACCGGTTCAGCCTGTTCGGGTGAGGTCTACAACTTGTGCCTGAGTCACCTGGCTCCCTGTGATGGTCTGCTGGAGGAAGCCAGTGCCAGCTGGACTTCCTTTAAGCAATCGCTCCTGCCACTCCAGTCCAGTCCAGCCTCTGGCCCTGCTGGCATTGCTTCTGTGCCCTTGGACCAGCAAAGGGGGGCAGTGGGTGCTGTCAGCTGCCTTTTTTTACAAGGGCCAAGTAGCCACATGGCAGGCCTCAAACTTAGGCCAAAGAGGAGGAGGAAGTAGAATCCTCCCTCTGCAGTCAAGAGCTGAGCTTCTTCCCTGCACTTTCTCTTGCTGTGGGAGGTTCTGGTGGGCCTTGCCAGCAGCAATCTGGATGGGATCCTGGGGCCACAAATATGGCAAGAGGGGAGTAAAGCAGGAAATTAAGGGCTTCCTTTTTTGAAGCTCACGATCTGCCCAGTTGTTTCTGCACAAAATCTCTAATTCTGTTCATGTGAAAAATGGCTGGCTTAGCTCCTTGCAAAATTTCCTTCAGGTCAGTCATAAACTGGAGGATCTTATAGCCATAACATGGTTATATTGGTATGCCTGAAGCTTCAAACTCAATGCAAGTTAAGGAGGCTTTCAAATTAATCCAAGGTGCATTTGGACCCTTTTCAATTTGGGCTCTGTCCTAAAACAAGTGAGGTTACAGACAGAGGTTTCGTATGCATCTCACAGTGAAAAGGCCTAAATCCCACACCAAGCAACACATGTTGTGGAATGAGATTCTCCTCTGTTCTCTAAATACCTCCCCCCCACCACCACCACAGCCCTCTCTTCTTTCCAGGTGCATAGGTTACCTTTCCCCACTTTTGGGGAAATTGCTCCTCCTGCAGATTTTATTTTCCTGCAATTCCAAAAGGTAACTAGGGGGTTCTGATCTCATTTTCTTTTGTGAGTCACTGGGGGTGTGTGTGAAGAGGAATCAGCCCAGCACTGTTTGCAAGACTTGAGACTTAGACCTTGGAAACAGGGTGTTGCAGTTCATCAGCCAGAAGAGGTGCATTTGAGCCTGGCCTGCTTCAGCTTTCTTTCTCCAAAAACCCTCCATCTCCCAGCTACACAATGGGGAAATGGGACCATGCCAGGTTGCTGGAAAATCTAAACTGCAACTGTGGCACAAGTAGACCATCCTGTGGTCAGAATCCTGTAGGACAGTGGTTCTCAACCTTTTTAATGCCACGACCCCCGACCAGTCGTAAGTCGAGGACTACTCAACTGGTGCAGCACCGTTTGCAGAATGGGACTTTTGGCGGGCTCAGCAGGGCAGAGACAGCCTGGACAATTCCTATTGGCTTTTGAAAGCCAATAACATTAGACTCTATTCAAGAGAGTCTATTCTATTGGCTTTCAAAAGCCAATAGAATAAAAGGGAGTAGCCAAGCTAAGGAAAAGGGGGGGGGGAATGGCGGACTACGTTGTTTGGTGACCCCCGTGAAATGGTCGTTTGACCCCAAATGGGGTCCCGACCCACAGGTTGAGAACCACTGCTGTAGGACCTGCTTATGCTGGTGGGCGAGGAAGGTGATCCAGGGAGGCAGCCTTCCTTTCCTTAGCCGTCTCTGCAGAGCGGCCAGCCAATTTTACCAGAGGTGGAACCCTGAGTCTTAGGACACTGTGGTCTTCCCACTCATTCCCCCCCCGCCTCCACAACAACGTTTTTTTGCAAAAAAAAGTTGTTTCCAGTCTCCTGGGACAAATGGTCACATGCACAAATAAGGACCTTCCACTAGAACAGTTTCCTACGATCAACTCTAGAATTAGGAAAATACTTTAAATCTTCAATAAGAGAATAAAAATGTAGGGCAACTGTGCCGGCCCTACCAATACATGAAAGTGTACATTTGCAAAAAAGCCAAGGGAAAAGTTTCAGAGTTTGAGTTTTGAATGCTATCCCCCCAGATAAAGTACCACTGTGACTGCTTTATTAAGGCAAGTTGACTTACACAGGAGGTATCCCAAATTTATCTCTTCAAGATCAGCCTTCTGAGGCAGAGGGGATGAAGGATCTTGCTGGTCCAAGTTCAGCATCCTGTTCATAACTTCTGGTGGTTCACAATCCGACTTGCCTTTCCAGACCAATCCGGGGGAGTTGGCCCCAGGCTCTTGGCACCCTGAGTGGGCAGCAGCTAAGCGGGGCAGTGGCCCTAAATGCCATTAGAACAATATTTGAGCTGTGGGGGTCACCGGCCTCTGAGGCGCCTCCTCCCATGAACCTCTCTCTGCTTTCAGACCTATGCCATTCGTCCAAGATGGTGGGCCCTTGTCGGGCATCCTTCCATCGGTGGTGGTACAATGCCACAAGCCAGACATGCCAGGAATTCATTTTTGGGGGTTGCAAAGGCAATGCCAACAACTTCTTCTCCGAACAGGACTGCTTCCAGACATGTGCCAGAGGTGAGCATCAATAAAGGAGAATATTTGTAGCTCAGGGTTGAAATGAGGATCCTTGGTGCTCCCTGAGCTTGGTTGTTTTCCTGAAGACATTTCATTACTCAAACTAGGTACATCATCAGTGCTAATCTGATGTTAATGCTAGACTAGCAACTGATGACGTTACCTAGTTGGGTAATAAAACGTCTGCAAGAAAACCATCCAGTTCAGGGAGCACCACAGACCCCCCACAAGTGAGCAAGTCACAGAGAGTTGCCAGAGAGATTTGGGGCAAAGTATTTGTGAACACAATGTTTGCTGCTGCTTTCCTTTTTTCCTATGGCCGGGAACTCCTGCCACTGCAAGGGGCATAATGCTCCTGCTGCCTTTTTCCCCTTCATGCTTCATGGCTTACGCTACACCCAAATTCTCAGCCTTGAGAGCCAGCAGCTGCAGCGTTTCTCCTGCCTTCAGAGCAATACAGCACTTTGTGCTAGAAGTGGGAGTTCCCATGACCTGGCAGCCCCAGTTGGTTCCTGGCAAGGGATGTGCTCTGGGTCACCATCAGGAATGCAGCTTAAATCTTAACACTAACATAGAGCAGTAGCCAAACGGAGGCTGAGATCTCCCCAGGGGATTCTGTCCGAGGCTCCTCCGTCTGGGCATGAGGGAGAGTTCCAGGTCAGGCCAAGCCCTTTGGTGGGTCTGCATCCAGAAGACCATTACACTGGATATCTGATGCCAGAATTGTCTTGACTTCCAGGTGGAGGCGTAGAGGCAACAGTGGTACCTGGTAGGCTAGCCACTGAAGGTAAGGCTCTTGGGTTCATGTGTGAGGTTAGAAGAATGGTCAGAAATTGGAAGCTCGAGCAACTGCTCCCAGAGCTTGGGTGGGCTGGAGACCAGGGTCTTCGAGAATCTGTAGCCCCTTGATAATGCTGCCTCGGTGGCCAAATTCTCTGCGAGGGGCTGTTTTCTATAGCCTCCAAAGCCAGAGAGCACTTGAGGTCTTCCTGCAAGTTAAGTCTTATCCTCTGTTGACAATGGCTGCCTTTTGGAGAGTGGGGCAGATGGGCCTCTGGGACCTTTGGGAAGGGGGGAGTGGCTGGGAAGAGTCAACTTTTGCCAAGGATGACCACTGGTCTTCAGCCTCTGGCCAACAGCTCTGCTTTCTCCCCAGTGGCTACATCAAGAGGCGGACGTCACCCAGAGGCCTATGAAAACAGGCCTGGCTTCAGAGGTAAGAGGACCCTTCCTTCTCTGGGCCCTGGACTGTCTTCTTCCCTTCAGGGGGCTCTCTGATCCATCTCTTTCCTCCTAGAATTCTGTGCTGCGCCCCGGGTGGTGGGTCCCTGCCGCGCCTCCTTCCACCGCTGGTACTTCGACCTAGAGAGCCGGACGTGCAAGATGTTCGTCTATGGGGGCTGCCGTGGCAACAAGAACAACTATCTCTTTGAGGAGCACTGCTGGAGCCAGTGTACAGGTGATGGAGGTAACACCTGCCGCCCTTCCCAGAGCAGCTGGCAGGCCCCCAGCGACCCCCAAAAGGGCAGCAAGGACTCCCCTTATTCCCCTGTGCCCTGCCACTTGTCACCGGTTTCTCTTTGTCCTCAGAGATAACAGAAGAGCCAGGAGACACAGATGCACATCCTCGCATCCTGTCCGAACCCTTCAGCTTTTCCACCAGAGGTGCGTAGCTAATCCTCATCTGAGAGGGGATCTCATGCTGCAGCTTGGCTTTATGGCCAGCTCAATCCAGGAGGGGCCTGGGCTTTTGGGGGTATCTTGGCAGAGTTGTTCTTGGTGCTGCTGGCACAAGAGCTCCACAGCAGTTCTCCTGAGGAAGGAGGGGCTGCTGGACAATCAAGGACTCCCACGTTGTGCTGCCACAACTTCTCCAGTCCTGGTGGGGACCCCATCATGTGCATGTTCCCTTCTCTCAAGCCCTTGGTTGAAAACCTCTCCTTCTGGATAAGGAGGCCCAAGCCATACCATTTGCCTTGCCAGTCAAGTGGGAAGTAGGGAGGCTCCCCTGCCTTCGTGAAGGCAAAACCCCTTCCCTTCCCTGCGCCTGACGCACTGCCTCTTTTTCTTCCCCAGCTGTGGTCCTTGCAGTCCTTCTGGCCATCCTGGTGACCATCCTGCTGGGCTCGATGGTGGTTTTCTTTGTCAAGATCTGCCGGAAGAACCCGGAGCTGTCGGTGGGAACGGTGTGGAGCACACTGGATGACAAAGAGTACCTGATGAGTAACGCCTACAGCCTCTGAGTGAGAGAGCTGCCTCAGTGAGAACCGTAGCAGCATGTAAATACTGCAGCTGGCGGCGGCTTTGCCTTGCCGGCCTTCTTAGGGAAACTCCCCTTTCCCTGGGAACGCCACCCTTTCCAGCGGGGGGGGGGGAAATTGGCTCAGCTATGCATCCTCCTGCTCCACAGGGGTCCAGGAGGAGCTGCAGGCAATACCCCCCACCTTCAGAGCTAGCAATGACTCCTCCTTGCTTGACCCACAGCCCCCCCCCTTGCCTTCCTCTGGTGAATGGTCTTTACAAAGCCCTGCCCCACTTGGGTCCTCTCAATGCAATGGGAAAGCAGCTGGGAATCCCCAGCCAGAATCACTGGTGATTCCTTTGGCCGAGAGTCCAGCAGAGGCAATTCTGGTGGGTGGGCCTGGGCCCTGCACATGTTGATTCTGGCAGGGCTGCTGAAGCCATTTTTCTTCAGGAGGAGGAAAACACTTTTGGGGTGTTCACATCCCTGTGCTTCTGCAGAATGCCTCCAGTTCACCTAAGATCCAGAGGTACTGGCCTCCCTCAAGCTGCGCTGGGCTGTCTACCACATCACCACAGCCATGCATTTCCCAGGGAGGAGATGGAAGAGCAGGCTGCGTAAAACAGTGCCTGCTGGTGCTTCTGCAGCAGCTTCCACAAGGGCCCTGCCAAATCCCATTTCCCTGGGGACACCAGCGAGGAGTGCCAAGTGTCCCAAATATGGCTAAGCCGGTGTAGTGGCCAAAAGCCCCCAATCTGGGGGCCAGGAAGGGAGAAAGGCAAGGTATAAGACCCTGTCCAACAGCCAGTATGTCCCACCCCCTTTGTCTGGGCAGGGGGCTTTGGGCATGCCTTAAGCTCAGCTCTTCCCCAAGACCTTCCCTGCAGTGCCTCTCCCCCTTGCATTGTGGAGGCTGCCCAGTTTTGCTCTCCAGTGTGCCAGACTCCTTTCTTGAGATTATCAAGTGCCACCAGCTGCAGCTGTTGTGGCTCAGCAGTGGCCAGTATGGACGGTTTTGCCCAAACCTTCCCAGATGAGGCCACCTTTGGCTCATAGGCCCACCCAAAACCTTAATTCTTCTGGCTTTGCAAGGAAACAGAGGAGCTGGAGGGGGGGGGACCTTCCCTGGCACTGAGGCAACCAAAGGCCTTGGATTGCACCATTGGCTGCGGCTGCCGGCAGTTCCACTGCATGCGTCACTTCTTGCCGGGAAAGGCTGTGTTTCTAGTCTGAGGGACTTTCAAGAGTGCCCCAGCGAGAGCAGCTGCAGAGGCATCTCACTGAGCAAGCTTCTACATAACTAGCTTTAAATGAGTTTTTATACTTTTTAAAAAAACAAATCAAAACTTGATTGTACTAAATCTTGTGGGACTCTTATAATTGTGTTTTTAGTAATGAATGGACTCTGAATAAAAGTAACTAAACTTGTGTGCAATGAATGCTTTAGCACTGGGGGGGGGGTGCTACTGGCCAAGAAGTGCGGCTGTGGCACCAGCCCAGAGGCATCAGAGGACGCCAGCAGCTCCAAGTCCTTGTCCTGCCCAGCTAAGGCTGCCCTTTGCCCATTCAGCGCAGGCAACAAAAGTGGCTGCTATTCCCTGGTGCTTTCCTGGAAGGAACCGGAGTCCCTGTTGCAAAGAAGGCTTGCCTGCCACCAGAGACCCAACTGTTCCTCTTTTCCAAACATCTTCCCAAGTTGCTGAAGGCACAACCATTCCGCTTTGGACCACACATGGCAGAGCAGGTCAACCCCCTGTGGAGGGCACGTGGGAGATAGAAATGCCTTCCAGTGCTCCTCTCAAAGCGACAGAGAGCAACCACATTGCCTTCCATGCTTTATTTTGTTTGTGGCAAGCAGGTAATTCCATATCCTGAAGAGACAGGAAAGCAGGCTCTTTTCCCAGCTCTGCAGGAGTGACCGACCTGGCTGGACAGGAACGAGATAGAAAAGGGCAGGATAAGCAGACATCTTGAGCCAAATCAAGGTGAGAGCAGTGCAAATTGCCAGGCCCCTTCCAAAGAAGGACCGGGGAGCTGTGAATTAGGGCCAGGGAAGCCCATCTGCTCTGCTCTGCCTTCTGCGTAACCAGGGTGGCCTGGGAAAGGCAACAGGCTCGAAATGGTGGGTGGGCATTGGGGGCACAAAGCAGCTGCCTGAGCAAAGCAGCATTAGATGAGGTGAGAGGTGAGCCAGTACATGAGGAGGGGCTGCAGCACAGCCACAGCCACGGTCAGGTACATGCGCACTTGGTTCTGGTTATCCTGCCTCGGGACCCCTTGGTTGCCTCTGACAGGATTTTCAGGTGCAGTGAACGGATCTGGGAGAAGGAGGATGGATAAGCCCACCAGGAAAAGTCAGTGCAGGCAGGTGGCCAAGGACCCACAAAAGTTGAGGGGAGGGCCACCCATCCACCCTGAACACAGCTTACTGTAAAGACAAAGATGGTAAGACACAGCACCAGCTGAGCAGTGTGTAATAACCAGTCTTCCCAAACACCAGCCCTGCCAAGAGGCCTGCAATCATGCTGGCAAGGAGAAAAAGATGGGAGGGTCAGCCCCGCTACGCATCCGGTCCACCCCCTAGGATGCAAGGGGTCCCAAGCTCCTCACCCTACGTATTTGTAGCCTGAGAAGGTGACCAGGTCGAGTGGGGTCAGCTCGCTGTTGACGGCCACAAGGTAGAGGCCGAGCAGAACGGCCAGCACCTCCACAATGAGCCACACCAGGGCCGAGCTCGCCAACAAGCTCAACAGGTCAAGGGAGAACCTGCAAGCAGCAGCGAGTGGGGAGGGGGCTCTGGGCAAAGGGAGGGGGCCGGGTTGGCTCAGGTGTCCCCACTGGTCTCACCGATTCTGCGTCCCCAGCGCCAGCCCGGCCACCAGCAGGTAGGTGATGAAGGCCATGGCTGCTGAGGAAGGAAGAGGAGGAGGAGGAAGGGGGCCACCCTGCAGCACCGGCTTCTGCCCCTCCCCCCCCCGCCCGGGCCCTACCTGGAATGTAGAGGTCGGGGACGTTGACGTCGGAGCGGGGTGTCACGGGGGGGGGGTCCCCGCAGGTAGCGCACCTGCCAGTCCTGCCGAGAGAGACAGAGGGAGGGAGGGAGGGGCGGGGCAGGGAAGGGGGTGCGGGAAGACTCCCCTTGCCGCCGCCACCCCCGCACGCTCACCTGGTGCCCGAAGGGAAGAGTAGCCGCGCCATTTTCTGCCCCACGTACCGCGTATCCACCGCGAAGTAGGACTGTAGGCGGCGCAGCGGCACCAGTCGTTCCACCTGCGGGGAGACCCGGGTCAGACGAGCGGGCGGCGCTCTGCACATGCTCGACAGATGCTCGGCGCCGGCCCGGCACCCACCAGCGCCCTCCCCCGCCAGGCCAGGCTGCTCCCATAGGCCGCGGCCAGGCTGGAGAGCGGGTCCGGCCGCGGGAGGAGCCCGCTGGGGTCCTCCGAGAGCCGCGGCGGGTCGTCGGGCGACGCTGCGAAGGGAAAGGCGGGCGGCCGTCAGACGGCGCGGAGACCCCCCTTCTCTCCCCGCCCCCGCGGCCCCGGTCCCCCCGCGACACGCGCGCGCGCGGCTCCCCCCCGCCGGGTCGCCCTCAGTCGCCAGCCGCTGCTGCGGGCGGGGCTTCCGCGCACAGCGTTCGGGCCTGCGTGCCTCCCGCAGCCAATGGGCAGCCCGAGAGAGAAGCGAGGCACGTGATGTCGCGTCGTCGCTCCGGACCAGCGGGCCGCGAATTGCCCGGAGACCACTGGACGTCACCGAAGGCGTGGCAATGATGTCACTGAGCACCAAGCCGGACCGCGGCGGCGGTTCCAGTTTGGGGGGGAGAGGGGAGCGCGAAGTGCCGGCGGGGGGCGCGGCGCTTTGGGGCTGCCGGGGGGGGGTGTCACCCGCTGGTCCGGGGTCTGCTCTGGGCAGCCCAGAGATGCTCGAGGGAGGAACCGGCCCAACGAGCGGCTCTGAATTCATAGTAGCCGTGAGAATAATTTCTCAGATGGGTCTCCCTGCGGTTGCAACAGGCGAGCCAAGGCATTCCGATAGCGACCATAAAAGATAATGATGGCGAGCCCAATGAAGTGCGGGATCGCCTCCCCCGCCAAAGGCCTGGCTGAAAAGCAGGTCTTGGCGTCTGAAGAGCAGCCGCGGAACCTCGTTCCGGAGGACAGAAGGACCGTTTCTTGGTCCTGATAGCTGGCACGTTTTCATTGAAGGAAACCTGGAGCGTCCCATCCCTGCACGAGTGAATCGGATGAGCATATATGATGGGAGACAGGCGGTTGGTTCCTCCAACCAGTTTATAGATAGCACCCATCACCTTGAATGGTGCCTGGGAGTAAGCCAGCAGCCAATATAGCTTGCAAAGCAGGGCTGGCCTTGTTGAGGCAGGCCCATCACTGCTCATGCCACTGCATTCTGGAACCAGCTGAAGTTTCTGGGTGTTTTTCAAGGGAGCTTGGTGTACAGTGCATTGCAGTAGTGAAGCATAAGAAGACTAGAACGAGTGAGTGAAGGGCCCCCAATCTAGCAAGGGTTGTGATTTGTTGTTTTGCAAGGCCTTCCTGGCCCCAACTGACCCAAGCTGTGAGCCCAGAAAGAACCACCGGTGGCACACCTTGAAGGGGAAATGTCAGAGGTGGAAAGTCCCCAGATCTGGGTGAATGAAACACCTGCAGCCACTCGGCAGGATCAAGTCAGGTGGCATCCCTGCTCTTGTTCTGGGTGCTCAGGTGCTATCAAGCGCAAATGCAGGGCCTAGCTCTCTGCTGCAGCCTCTGCCTATCCTGCACAGCCTGATAGATCTGGCTTGTTTGATTAAGCCAGGCTTCTTACTTGCTGCACTGGCCTCTCAAGATGGGTATGCCCCCCTCCCAATTTTCCATGAGCCTTAAATACCCAACCTTTCCCAGGGCTCAGGTCAGTAAATGGTTAGGCCCCTTTAAGCCAGGAAACAGGAGACCCATCTTTTGGATTTGCTCCCTCCCCAGGGACTGCCGTTCTTTTCTTATATGAAGCATCCAAGAGTCATTCCAGATTTGGGTGCCTTAGACATTTAATGGATAAATAATAGGCCCTGCATCAGGCTTTCCACGGTCAGACTTTTGTCCCCATTTTGCAAGTAGCCATCTTCTCTGGATCCTCAAATGAGAACCCAGCCACTGTGCTGACTGGCTATTACTTGGGGCATCCTCCTTTCATGGCTGAGCTGATGCCCCAAGGTCTTAGTGGCTGCTGTTCCTTCAGATTCACAGGTGGTCTCTTCTTGCTAGAGAGAGCCTTGCTTTGCGTTCTGCAAGAAGCCCTTGTTGATGGGGAGTGCATTGCATCAGCCCGCTTGGGGGTGCCGATGGGAGGAGGATTCCCTTTCAGGTGGTTTGGTGGGCTCTGGGAGCCATGCTGGGGTTTTCTAAGTGGCACAGGCACAGAGAGACATAGGCTCCCTTTCACTGGGTCTGATGGAATTGGGGAACAATTGTGGAGCAAGAACTCTGGCCTCACAGGCTGTTCATGCACAAGCTGATATGCGAACACTCTGAATACGCCCACATGAAAAATGAGGGTGAACGTTAGAAGATAAAAGATGATGTTGAGGGCTTTGCTTCACTTTTTGCTTGTGTGTATACTGACATCTTATGCAGCAGAGACAAATTGTGTGTCCAATCACACTTGGCCAATAAAGAATTCTAATTCTTTTGCTCCCCACCCTGGCTGCAGTTGCAGGGGATCCTTTTTTCTCTGTCTGGTGGCTCTTCCAGAGTTCTCAGGCTTCCTTGCCAGCAAGCCTCTCACCTCTTCCCCAGTTCCTGTTTTCGAACAAACTTGCTTCCTGCAGAGAGCACACCCACAACCTCAAAAGGGAGCGAAATGCCTCCCTTCTCAATACCTCTGGAGGGGGCTAGCGAGCTCTTTTGTCTGCTCCTTTTATACCCCCCCCCCTTATTCTGTGAGATGGCAAGGACCAAGGCCAAGACAGGACAGGAGAAGGGCAGCAGTCAAGCACATCTTTGGGCCAGTAGTCCTGCCTGGTTCCCACTAGCCTTGCTTTCTCCAAAATGTGTCTCTCCTGGGCAGCGATGTGGCCAGTTTGAAAGGCCAAGAGTTGGCCTTCATCTGTCGGCCTGCGTCAGGGCGAGGTGCCCAGGGCCCCCGAACATACACTCGATGCTGAGCGCCTGACCGTCTCACCCGGTGGAAGGAGCGGGGTGGGTGGAACTGGGCCGGAAGGCGCCCGACCCAGGATTCCGCCTGCCAGGTGCAACTCTTGGCAGTCCAGGCTCCGCCTGACGGGAGGGGCCTGGCCGCCGCCCAAGAGGCTGGACCGCGGTGTCGCCGGGGCGGACACCGGCTTCGCTCCTGCAGGCGTCTCCTTCTTCCGCTCCTATTTGCCGCGAGTGGTTCTGCGCTCCGCCGGGAGAGCTATGAGGCGCGGCGCCGTGTTGGCGGCCTTCGCGCTGGCCTACGCGGGCTATCTGCTGCTCGGAGCGCTGATCATCTCAGCCGTCGAGCGGCCCTACGAGAGCCGGCTGCGAGCCGAGCTGTGGGATCTTAAGAGCGACTTCCTGCGCAGCAGCCCCTGCCTGTCCGAGGCCAGGCTGGAGCGTTTCCTGGGCGCCGTCCTGAGTGCCGACCGCCACTCCGCAGCCCTCCTGCACAACGGCTCGGCTGCCACGTCCAGCTGGGATTTCGCCTCTGCCTTCTTCTTCGCCAGCACTTTGATCACCACCGTGGGTGAGTCGAGGCCGGCTGCGCTTCTTCGGGGAAAGGCGGCCCCGTTGTTCTGCACTTTCCGCGGTTCATTCCGGGCGCAGTGGGCGGGGAAGGGTCGGGAGGGATCCCCGCAATCTGGAAAGGTGGCTGGGTCGGGAAGAGCGCGGTTCGGGGGCCTAGGCCGAGACTCCCCCTCCACGCCCAACTCTCGGGCACAGCCTCTTTTTCACGCTTGGACGTGGCGCCGTTTTCTCCACCCTCCGAGACGCTCTCTCGGTGGAGAACTCCTGGAGCAGATGAGCAACTGGGGCCGCTTCCTGGTCTTCGGCCGCTGCTCGCTCGAGGCTGCAGAGGGCCGAAACAGCGTGCTGAGAAGGGGACTTCATACGATCGCTGGCTCTGCCTCGGGGCGGTTCTGTGCTGGTGTGCCTGGCACATAGGGTCCCTGGAGCCCGTTCTGACCCGAAGAGTGTGTGGGCAGAGCTGCCAGGCTTAGCTGAATACTCGGAGCTGCGTCTCCCGCTCGGGCATTCAGGGCACCAGGCAAGGCGCCCATCAGGCAAGGCGCCTTTCAGGCTCGTTTGACTGCGTCCGGTAACAACTGTCCCCCCTCCCCGGCTCCGCTTTGTACCTTGCCCGGTGGCAGCTGGTTCGGGAATCCCGCCTCCGCGGATGCTCCCTCACTCCTGGAAGGGCTCCGTTGCCGAGGATGGTCCAGATGCCCTGTGAAACAGGTCATGACGGTAGTGCCCTCCTCAGTCAGGCTCCATCAGTGGTGAGAGGTGATTTCTTGGTTTTTTGTGCCAACAGCAAATAGTAAAATTTCATGTTTTATTTTTTTTTTATCTAACAGCAAATACTTTCACAGAGGAAAGTCTGCAAAATTTTATTAACAATATAGTTACATGAATATTGCACAACTGTCATGTAGAATGAATCTGAAGATAATTATTGGGATTACAGAACCCACAAAAGTGGCAAAAGAAGAAACAAGAGCTAATTTCCCCCCTCCGTCTCTTTCTGGAGAGAGGAAAGCTGAAAGGCCATGTGGGCAGGCGCTGGGCTTATGGGCAGAAGTACTAGCATAAACTTTAAGGAAGTGTCCTAGCCCTGAGCACCCGTGTTCTCTTCCGAAGGGCAGAGGTCTGTCTGCCTCCCGCCTTTCCGTCCCACAAGCTGTGTGAGGTTACTATCCAAATAAGAACTGGGTCCCACAGCAGCTCATGCTGTGAAGGCACAAAGAGTCCTCCCGTGGCCAGGGGTGGCTTAGCCTGTTTGCTGGTGTGGTCAATGGAGGGACAAAAACCTCGGTCTCTGTCCTTGAGCCCAGGTGCTGCTCAGCGCGGAGCCTCAGCACAGCGACCTCTGCTTCTGACGCTCCCCCTTCCCTCCTCCCAGGCTACGGTTACACTACACCCCTCTCCAATGCTGGCAAAGCCTTCTGCATCTTCTACGCGGTGCTGGGTGTCCCCTTCACCATGCTGGTGCTGACAGCCACCGTGCAGCGTCTTGTGGGCACCGTCACCTCTGGGCCTCTGGAATACCTGGCTCTCCGCTGGGGTTCCGACCGCCGCGTCCTGTCATGGGGGCACCTGTTGGTGCTGATGGGCCTGGTGTTGGCGACCTTCTTCTTAGTGCCTGCTGCCATCTTCAGTTCCCTGGAAGAGTCCTGGAGCTTCCTGGATGCTTTCTACTTCTGCTTCATCTCCCTCTGCACCATTGGCCTGGGAGACTACGTTCCCGGGGAGCAGCCCGGGCAACGCCTTCGCCCCCTCTACAAGGTTTCTGTTACAGGTGAGTAGCACTATGCCCGGGGAGCAAGTGGGAAGGCCAGCCCACCCAGAGAGCATCCAGGTGGAAGGCCGAGCCAGTTTTGATGGCAGGTTGGCACTGGGCAACCCAAGCCTGCCACCTCAGGTGGGCAACCTGATTCCCAGGTAGAGCAAGGAGGAGGGAAGGGCCCCACCTGTCTTCCAGACCTGCTTGTGGCTCACTCTCCTCCCTCTCCTTCCAGTTTACCTGCTTCTGGGGCTCATGGCCATGCTGCTGGTTCTCCAGACCTTCCACAAACTGGCAGACCTGCACAGGCTCTCCGACCTGGTCTTCCTGCCCCCAGAGCAGCCTCCCGAAGAGCATCAGAGTATCCTGGGGGAGCCCAGCCCTCCCTCTGAGCCAGGGCAGAGGGAGAAATTACCTGCACACCCCCAGTCAGGAGGCCCATCCCATTATTCCTCCATTAACAGATAATAGCAAGGAGCAGCAGGGCGAGAGCTGGGGCTAATCCACAGGGAAGACTGGCTGCTCTCCTCAGCTGGATGATCCACTCCTGTGGAGGGCAGGGGAGGGAATGCAGTGCTCTCTGGCCAGGAGAGGAGAGCTTGGAGAGGCTTCTGGCTCTGCCTTTGGATGGGCTGGGGAGGAGGGGGGAGTATTTAAAAACCACAGCTAAAAGGCTGGAGCTCCCAGGCCCTTCGTCCCTCCCCAGTGACATCACCTTCTGTGCAACGTGGCCCAGTATCCTTGCTTCCAGCTGTGGCTTGAGCTGAGCTGAGCTTTGCAAGCCTGGAGCTGCAGAGGCGGAAGTGGGGGGGGGGGCTGTGTGCTTGAGATACCAAAGCCTCATATGGAAAGTGGAAGTAAAGGCCCATCCAGGATCCATTTCTCAAAAGGTTTTGCTGCTGACACTTCATGTCAGAGAAGACAAACTGGCAGGTTTGCTCTTTGGGGTTACTTCTAAGTGCTTGACCGCAGAAGCCCACTCCCCTTCCAGCTGTGCGACCCCAGAGCCACCCTGGAGGCTGCTTAGCCTGTGCTGCTGTTTCCCCCACCAAGTTAGTCCAGCCAACTCTGCCCATCAAACGCCTGTGCCCCCAAGGGAGGGGGCTGAACGAACTTCCTGCTGGTCTCTCCTTAGAGAAGCCAAGTCTCTCAACTCCTTTTATAGAAAATATTTATTGGTCTAGTAACAGCAGTGAAGAAGTGACTGTGGCCGCCAGTTGGCATGATGCCAAAAAGCCCCCTCCCTGGCTGACAACCCCTATCTGGGTTGTGGGGGGGGGTCGTTGGATGCGCGAGGGAGTTTAAGCATCTGTTGGAGTGACAAGGGAGGGGGAGCTGGGGGAGCAGAGGTGGTGAGCTATAGGGCCCCTCTCCTCATCACAGGCATAGGTACCCGGGAGATGTTTGGGGTATGGGCTTCCGTGCTGCCCTCGGTCTGCTTGTGGGCACTCACCTGGACTCGGCCCTATTCCTATACCCTCTGCGAAAGCGCTGTGGGCCCAGAGAAGGACTGGCACTTGCACAGAGGCCCCTATGCCCCTGCCAGGGCCCTGCAGGGTAACTCCTCCATGGGTCTTCAGCAGATGAGGAAAGGCTATGGGGGGCATGCCTTCCAGTGCACACACGGACAAAGGGGGCAGAAAATGTTTCCAGTCAGAGGCACCCTCCCCTTCCTGGGACGAGGCAGGGAAGAAGCCAGATGGGCCCCTGTCTTCCAAGGGCAAGAGGGACCCAACCCCATTTTGGAACCTTTTGGCCACCCCCCCTCACCCCATGGCGCTAACCAGGAACAGAGGAGTCCCCCCTCTCCTGAGCACTAGCCACCTGCGCAGCTCCTCCGGGGCTGCAGGATGAGGGGGGAGGGGTGGGCAAAGGGTCCTTTCACCTGCACCGCCTTCCTCCGTTCCCATCTGGACAAGTAATAAATATTCCCCACCCACCCCAGCTCAGGCTCGGCTGCGGGGGATGTGGAGGCAGCGGGGGGGCTGCCCTGTAGGCGCGGTGCCAAGGGGGCACAGACAGCGGTAGGAGCCATCGAGGTTGAGGCAGCGGCCGCCAGAGCAGAGCCTGGCCATCTCCCTGCATTCGTCAATATCTGCGGAGAGGAGAGAGATCGCATTAGGCTGACCTTTGGCCAGGAAAGCCAGGCTCAGTCTGGCAACTGGGGGGGGCAAGGAGAAGGAGCCCCTCACCACGGCAGGCCATGTGGGTTGGGTCGAGGCGGTAGCCCTCATTGCAGGAGCAGGTGAACCCGTCGGCGACCTGAACACACTGGCCGTTCTCACAGCCACTCAGGATCCCGCACTCCTCAGCTGGGAGCCCTCCGGTGCCTCCAAAACGGCCCGCTGTTAACAGACCAAGAGACACAAGCAGGCTTCCCTTTTGCATTGACTTGGCCCAAGACCCCCATCCTGCTTCCCCCTCCTCAAACCTTCCTCTCCCAAAGGCCCCTCTTCCTTCCAGCCCATAACCACTTCCACCTGCATGTGCTGTTTTGCAAACATACAAATGATAGCTTCCCCCCTCCCCCTTTGTCACCCACTCACGGTAGTCTTCGCTGGCCCGACTGGGCCGTTCGGGATAGGAGTGCCCACGGCCACGGGACGGGTAGTGCCAGCCTGAGTCAGAGGGACTACGAGGCAGGTGTCCACCCTGGGGGTCCTCAGCTGGGCTCTCCAGCTGCACGTCGCTATAGGGTGCATCGTCCAGGCCAGCTGCCTCATAAGGGGATGGTCCATAGAGTGACTCGCGAGGGAGAGCGTCATAGTTGGGAAGTAGAGGGCCAGGCTGTGCCAGGGGATCGTAGACATCAGGGCCGTAAGGCAGAAACTCTCCTCCACCGTATTCGAAGGGTGCCCCCAGGCTGCCAGGCTGCCCCAACCTATAACTGGGGCGCTGGAGGACATTGCACAGGGCCTCAAAGTCATCTGGGGAAAGCAAAAGGGTGGGGTGGGGATTAGAACCAACTGGGTATAGCTTTGCAAAGCAGTCTAAATGCAAGGGCAGATGTTCTCCAGAGGCCCCCCAGGAGGGCGGTGTAGACAGGCTGTTGAGCAAAGTTGACCATCCTCTCCAGAGGAAATGTCCCAAAGAGTGCCCCACTAGTCTCTCCCCAGAGTCTCTCCTTGGTATTGCGAGTCACAAAGCTAGAAAAAGGACAGGAGACCCCCAGTAGCCGGGTGGAGGTGGGAGGCCAGGAAGAATGCAAACCCCAGCTGGCAGAGCTGCATCCCCAGCACACAATATGGGGTCTGAAGGGGCACCCAGAAACCTATTGCATCAAAAAAGCACTTTCCACCCAAGGTCAAGATGGCCTCCAGCTCCTAACCACAAGGATGGACGACATAAAAGTTTAATAAATACATAAATAACTCAGACACCTGGGAAACGGAAACACTGCTGCAGTTCTTCCTTCCCAGCGCCTAGTGCTCCTTTCCCTGTTCATGAGCCTGCGAGGAGGGGCATGTCCCCAGCTCCTGGGGGAAAGGAAGGCACCTACCCGAGTCCCGGGCTGGGCACAGAGCGCAGTTCATGCTCCAGGCCTCCCCATAGAGACAGCAGCACTCCGTGTAAGTCACCCGACGGTCGAGGCGGGGTCGACGGCACACAAGGTCCGGGCCCACCTCCTGCCAGCATACGGCCAGGTCCTCATCTGGGGGGGGGGGAGCAGGGATTGCCAGAGTGATCCCCCAAAAACTGAAGCTTGTGTTGCAATCTGTCTCTCAATGCCCCCCTACAAGGCTGGGCCAGAAGGGAGGGCAATACGAACCCAAGCCGTGGCTCTCGTTGGTCACGCATCGGCGCTGGGAGGGGTCCAGCACCAGGGGAGCAGTGCAAGAGCAGTAATAGGAGCCAATGGTGTTGATGCAGTGCCCCCCCACACAGGGCTCAGCTTCTTCATCCAGACATTCATTGTTATCTGAGGCGACAAGGGCATCGGTCAGTCTTGGGCCACAAGCACCTCAGGAGCCGGGCGGGGGGGAGTGCTCACCAATGCATTCCAGGTGCTGCGTCTCATAATAGTAGCCGTTGGGGCAGTAGCAGGAGTAGCCAGGGATCTTGTTCACACAAACCCCACCCTTGCACACCTGGGAGCTGAAGAGGGCACACTCATCCACATCTGTGTAGGTACACCAAGTTGGGGATAAAGGCAAAAAGTGAAGACCCCTACCCCACTCTGTTCCATGTGGGCCCCCAGCCCCATTTAAATTTGCCCGTATCCAGACCCCCACATGTGCACACCTGTGACTGCTGGGACATTTCTGATGAGGACAGTAGCGTATCCGCTGCCGTGAGGACACAGAGCCTGGAATTCGGCTGCAGGGAAACAGGCCACCTGTCAGCAGCTGCCCAAGGGCCCCCAGCTCCCTTCCTGGCCTCAGTCTAGGGGCAGGGGTGGCTCGGCCACAGGAAAAAAAACATCACTCTTTGCAAGCACTGCTGCTGCTGGAGCTCCCATCCAACAGCCCGATAGGTTCCTCCGGAGGAGAGGAAAGATGGCCGAGGCCAGGAAGGCCCACAAAGGGGGGCTGCTGAGAGGCATTCTCAAGATCACCTGCAACCTTCCCGGTGCCCCAAATGCAAGGCCAGCACCCACTTCGATTCCCATTCGGAGCACAGCTCTCCCCCTGCCCAATTCCTATTAGATTCTTGGAAATCATGAGCAAAGCCTGGCTAAGCCTCTTCCAGAGAGTGGAGATTAGAAGGCTGCTTGCAACATCTTAAGTTGTCATTTTCCCTCTCAGCTTTCCTCCAGACCTCCACAGGTGTTTGTGGTAAGGACAGATTGCCCCTCCCTGCTAGCCTTGAAGGTGAATGGGAAGGTCCCTTGTATGGTTACCATCAGGCCAGCGAGTCTGAAGCTCATTCCACATAACTAACTTGAGAAAACCCTCATATCCTCCCCATTCCCATGACGATAGGAGATCCTTTCACCTGAAGAACTGAAGACCCCAATGCCACTTATGAGCCTATAGAATTGTAACTATTTGCAGCTAAAATTGTATGCCTTCTTTTTCTTTTGTTGTATTTTTTTCATTTAAAAGCATTTTATATGCATTTTCTTTGACAAAGCATGTACTTTTATGTTTGTGTTTTTCACCATTTCTCTGTCACTAAAAGTGGCAAAATAATAAGATTTTCATAGTAAGGGGAGCACGGGCGAGATTCTGTTCCTAGAACTACTCCAATCCACAGTTCCTTTGTCTGCCCCCCCCCACGCCACAGCCTCTGCCAGGAGGCCCCATTGCCGCCTCCCAGCCTTACCTGTCCCCAAGGAGGGGCAGGTCTGGAGGTGGCAGTCAAGGCCCCACCCATGGCCAAGACTACAGCAGCACTCCTGGTGGGTGGCGTTCCTGGACAGAATGTCTTCACATGCCTGGACAGTGTTTGGGTCATAGTAGCACTCGCGCCGCAGGCCGTCACCATTCTCTGACTGCACAGCATCCGGATGCCTGGGGAGGGCTGGGGGACGAGCTGTAGGACCGAGAAGAAGGATGGAACTCCCCCCCCCGTTCATTCAGAGCATTCCCCCCAAAGTGTATCCTCCCCATGCTGGAGGGCCCCAGGTGGTTCAAAATGCAGCTGGCAACCCACCTGGCAAGATCATGCCTGTCCTGCAGTTGCTCTGCTGCTGGGGGCTCCAGTTCAACAGGTCAGTTTTTACCATTAAAGCCTGCAGGATCCCCCCATCCCACCCGGCCTTGGCTGACCAATTTGATCTGAGGCAGTGGGGGGGATGCGTCTTCCCAGCAGCAGCCCCTAAAGTCTGGCTTCCCAAAATAAGGGATGCTCTCAGCCCCCCCCCTTCCCCTGTCATTCCACAGAGCATTTGGGGGCTGCCATCATGGCTCACCTTAATTAGTTATTTGCCTGACGGTTTTCAATTATGTTGTTATTGTGTGACATTGAAAACCACCTCAAATCCTTCGGAAATGGGTTCAGAGCAGTCTATCTCCAAGGGCCATCAATTGGGAAGGCTGCCTCTCTGCTCTCTGGGTGGGTGTCCAGAGACATCTGCCTGACCCACGAGCCTGGGATGCTGGGCTAGTTGCAAGTGCTTTATGCTGACCCAGCAGCTCCTGTAGGGCTTCCCTGTTCAGCTAGGACCTCTGAAGTTCACCTAGCTTCTGTCTCACAGGCCTCTCCCCCCTTTCCAAGCCCCCCCCCAGTCTCACCGGCACCAGGCAAAGCAATGCAGCGGCCAATCATGGGGTCAAACTCTTCCCCAGCTTGGGGGCAGATGCACAGGAAAGAGCCTTCCACGTTCTCACATGGTGCTGTTCCACACACCCCGTGTAGCGTCTCACACTCATTCACATCTGTGAGGAACAGATGGGAAAAGGTGCCACTGGGATCCAGTCCTCCCCCTCCCTCCCCCTCGCCTTCTCCGTTTGGTCTGTTCCAGGGCCTCCGTCCCATGCTCTGCTGCCAGCCACATACCTAAGCAATGCCGTCCATCCCTGGCACTTTCATAGCCCTGGTCACAGATACATTGGAAGGACCCAAGCAAGTTGTGGCAGATGGAATGGGCACCACATGTGGAACTGTTCTGACACTCGTCCACATCTGCAAGGGTCACATGCACCCACTCAGAAGAGCTGTGATCCTTTGGCGTGTCGCTAAGTTGCAGAGGCCACCGCTGTGGGGCTTTTCCTCCTGCCCACGGTCCAAACCCCATGGATGTTCTCACCTATGCAGTCCCCAGCAGCAGTGGCTTGGTAGCCTATCTGGCAGGTGGCCACACAATGGTAGGAGCCCAGCGTATTCTCACATTGCTTCTCTCCACACACTCTGGACTCCTGGCATTCATCAATATCTGAAGGGGGAACCACCGGTTGGCACAGATGCAAGGCATAATGAGCAGGAAGCGAAGCTGAACCCTTCCATATAGAGGGAGCGTTTTCTTGGACAAAGCGCCCATGCTGACACTGTGCAGCAGATGCCTAGAACCAGCCCAGGGTTGGGGAAGGAGACACGGAAAGTCCACCAACAGCCAGCCCCTTCTGCACAGCCCTGGCAAAACTCACCAACACAGTCTCCCGTGGCACTGGTTCGATAGCCGGCCTGGCAAGCCACGACACAGCGGTATGAGCCAACTGAGTTTTCACAGCGCTGTGTTCCACAGAGGGCTGCCCCATACTCCTGGCATTCATCAATGTCTATGGAATGTAGGAAGAAAGGAAGGCTCAGCAGGAGGTCCCCTGGGGAGAGCTCAGAATTCCAGGGACCAAACCCTGCCCTAAGCATCCAAAGGGCTAACCAACTATGGTGGAGTCTCCCAGGATGAGCCTCTGGGGTCCAGGTCCCCTGCAAGGGAAACAACACTGCCGGGGCTTTGCAGCAGGGAGAGGTTCCAGCACCGGGGGGGGGGGGAGGTGGCAAAGAAACTCTTGGTTTGTGGTTCTCCTTAGGGGGCCCAATAATGCTGTCAAGCAGGGGAAGGCCATATCAGGCGGACTTGGAGCTTGTGCTTATCATAGCCAGCGGCCAGAGCTTCCAGGGAGCCACAGTTCTGCTGTCTCACAGCTTCAACCAAAGTTCTGACTTTCCCCTCTCTCAATCTTAGCAGTCTGATAGTGACAAAGCCGCCTCCGTCCCACAGCCCCTGAGACCAACTGCTGAGAGGCTGCAGCTGAAAACTGCCACTCACCTGCACAGGAAGCTTTGCTGAGTGTGCTGCGGGTGCCGGGGGGGCAATAACAATCAAACGAGCCTTCAGTGTTGGCACAGTGCCCCCCAGCACAGACTGTAGCAGTGAGGCACTCATCAATGTCTGTGCAAAGGCCAAAGGAGAGGTCAGCAGGGCACAAATCCCGTGGCGGTTCTGGATCCCTCGCACACTTGGCATGCACTCAGTGCCCCCCAGTTGAGACTGCAGGGCCCTTACCCTCGCAGGAGGTCCCGTCGGGGGCTGCAGTGAAGCCTTGGGCACACAGACAGGTGTAGGAGCCCTCAGTGTTGAGGCACTCACCCCGTGGGAAGCAGAAGTTGCCCTCCAGGCACTCGTTAACATCTAGCAGTGGGGAAAGATGAGTTGGCACTGTTCTTGCCAGTGCTGCCAATCTATGCCTGGAGAGAGCTCAGAAAGAAGCTCAGCGTGGGTCTACAGGAAGGCAGCAGCCCGAGCCCAGCCCTGGCACGCATGTTCCTCTGATGTGTGGCACTCACCCATGCAGGAAACACCCCCCACGCCCTCCGTCCGGTACCCTTGGGCACACTGGCAGCGGAAGGAGCCCTCTGTGTTGAGGCAGCGCCCCTGAGGGCCGCAAGGCAATCCTGCTGCTGCACACTCATCAATATCTGTGGAAGGAATGCTGTCAGTGGTGTGCCTATGCTGCCCCTAGGCCTCCCACCTCCCCATTCTCCTTGCATACCCAGGCACTGGTTCTCCGTCAGGCTGGCCCGGAACCCAGCAGGGCAGAGGCAGCGATATCCACCGGGCACATTCTCGCAGCGCCCAGAGCCACAGGGCGGAGGGCTTTGCAGGCATTCATCAACATCTGTGGTGCACAAAGGAAGAGGCTATTACATCCCAGAGGGCTCCTCTGGACCTGTACTGGTCTCTTGTCTCTGGTTGCCTCTGAATAAAGCCTGCAGAAGCGGCTCTCTGGGAGGTTTGTCTGAACAGGTTGCTGCCATCCCCCAAAGCACAAATGGGACAACCCACGGGGCAGCTTCTCCCCAGCCCCCTGACCTGCACACAGAGTCCCCAGTGGGTTCGGCTGGTAACCGATGGGGCAGTTGCAGCGATATCCACCCAGCAGGTTCTCACAGCGGCCAGGTTGGCAGAGGGAAGGGCGCTCTTTGCACTCATCCACATCTGGAAATCACACAGTGGCTTTGTGCCCAGGCTCCTCCCTGCCTCCTTCACCCACTCAGCCCCCCAGCAGAAAAAGAGGCTCTGGCCAGGAGGGCCCAACTACGTGTGGGAAGGGAGACTCACACTTAGAAGAGCTCTAAACTCTATCAGCAAAGGGGGTATGATCTTGGGCCACCTGCACTCACCCTGACACTGGCTGTACCCAAGGGAGCAGGCACAGAGGAAAGAGTAGGGCTTGGAAGTACCCATCTACATCTGCAGACAGAGAAAAAGGGCAGCCATAACGGCAAAACACCCCCAGGTTCCTCTGCATGAGAACCATGTTTCAATGCCTCCTCGTCTTTGTGTACTAGTAGAAAAGTGGGAGAGGCAGAGGAGAAGAGCTGGTGCTATTGGCTGGCCAGCCTCCCACCCCCACCAAGGCCCCATCCCCATTACCTCGACATTCAGCGCCAGAGGGGTCAGGCTGATAGCCGCTGGGACAGGAGCAACGGAACGAGCCCAGGGTGTTGAGGCAATGCCCACCTGTACAGGGTCGGGGCACGTGGGCACATTCATCAACATCTGGAAGGGAAACCAGGCAATGAGAGACACAGGTGCACAGGAAGGGCGATTCTCCCAAGGGCTAAAGCCTGTGAAACCCCTACCCTGGCACTCCATGCCGGAGGAGTCAGCTTGAAAGCCTGTGCGGCACCTGCAGCTGAAACCACCTGGGGAGTTCTGGCAATGCCCATTGGCACAGGGGTGCGGACTGCCGCGACATTCATCCACATCTGCAGAGAGAGAAGAAAGGAATCCGGCTGGCGGAAAGGTGGGAAGGCAAGAATAGCCCAGCGGAGCCCTTGATCTGCTCCTCTGACCGCCTACCCGGGGTGGGGGGGGCATTCATGCTGCAAGTCCACATGACCCTCAGAAGCTGTGTCTTTTGGGAGGCATTGAGGTGAAGACCTGCATGCCATCACAAAGGTTGCTCCCCTTGGGTTTGGGGGGGCATTCTCCAACTCACCAACACAGTGGGTGCCTTGAGGGCTCAACCAGTAGCCACGCTCACACACACAAGTGTAGCCCCCCTGGCGGGGAATGCAACGTCCTGGCCCGCACACCTGGGGGTGTCGCTCGCACACCCCTCTCCCAGCCTCTGGGGAAGCATGGCACAGGGGCCTGGTCATTTGTGGCCTTTCCCCCCCTCCCTCTCCTCCAGCCCCTCATCACCTGGCATAGCCCCACAAGAGGCTCAGCCCTACCTTCTGTACTTGGTGCAGCTGGCCCAGATCCAGGGGACCGAGTGGGCAGGGGCCAAGGAATGTGCTCCACCAGTGTAGTGGGAGGGGCACTCCGGAGAGCTGCAAACCAGAAACAGCTGGCATAAGGAAGAGGGGAGGAGGCTGCCTTGGAGAGACACCCTGGGCAACCTGGTGTGGGGGATTCCCTCAGACTCACTTTGGGAGAGTGGAGCTCAGGTCAAGAGAGAGGGGGGGAGGCATATCCAGGAGTTCAATGGCAGCAGTCCATGAGCCCCCCCAAGACATACCCACAAGGGCTGGTGCTGCTGTTGTCCGAGGCACCTGGGGGGAAGGCTCCTGCCTCCCATGCTGATGGGTGATCGGTACCCTGGGGGGGTCCTGGCCAAGGAAGCGAGTGTCGAAGCGGAGGTCAGAGGCAGAGTAGTGATAGCCAGGCCCAGCTGGACAGATGTCCTTGAATCCCTCTGGCAGGAGAGCAGCAGCAGAAGCAGCAAGTCAGGGAGAGGACAAAGCACCCACCCCCTTGCCTTTACTCCTGCCCCACTAATAAACTTCTCCTCTTGCGGCAGAGCCCTGGGTGCCCAGGCGGGTCTCACCTGAGCCGAAGGGTGGGCAGTGCTGGCAGGCCCAGCCCCAGGCCTTGCCCACTCGGCTGCAGCAACAGATCTGCTTGGTGATGTTCCGAAGGGTTGGCAAAGAGCATCGGCCATCCCGCAGTACACGGAAGCAGGGGGCTTTCACCTCGGAGATCACGTGGTGGGCTGGGGAGGAAGAGAAGGGCTTAAAGCGGGGGGGGCAGCTTTGGCTTGCTAGCAATCTAGGAGGTGGCTGCCCCCCACCTGGGGCAAGCCCAGTCTGAGTTTGGCTAGGATAAGCCGGGGAGAGTGGCTGTTTGCTGCGCAGCCTTAAAATCCTTCAACCAGTCCCCAATATAAAATTTTGCTGTATAGATAACCTTTATTGTCATTTTTTCACTGTGGGGACAATGGCACATATCAAAAATGAAATTTGATTGACCGCTCTCAACGTTTATCTTAGATAAATTTGCATTCAGCTCAGATCAGTTGGTTGCATAATTTGTCCAATTTTGAATAAGTAGTTGAAGATTTATTTCTTAATATCTGGACACAATTTCTGATCAATTTTACATTTGGTACAACCCTGCTGTTCATACCAAAAGCCAATGGCCTACAGGTGGAAAATATTTTCTCAGCAGTCTGATTTTACTTCCCTCTCTTATACACTTTTCAAACCAACCAAATGTGAAACAAAATTTTACTTCCACTCCACTCTTTCACCCTTTGGGGCCCACAATATTGGGTTTCTTCCATGTTGCCTTGGATGGACAGGGGAGGGCAGCATTGGCCCACCTACACCTGCCTGCCTTAGGAGAGCCCCCCCCCCCAACTCTATCAGCTGTCGTTTCAGGCTGGTCTGGACTTCCAGATGGAACCATCTCACACTCCCTCCCATCCCTCTCCCACCCCTCCTCCCTGCCTTTCCCTGGGGCCGAACTCACAGATACAGCTGCTGCGGGAAGAATCAAGGATGTAGCCCTCATGGCAGACACAGGCAAAGCTGCCACGTGTGTTGGTACATTCCCCATTGTGGCAGAAGTTGCCCTCCTGGCATTCATCCACATCTGGTAAGAGGGAGAGAAGGTCAGGAGGGCAGGGGGAATCAATTGGGTGGGCTATCCCCATCTGCAGGTCCAGCATCTCAGCAAGGCTCCCTGCATCCCTTGCAGCCCACCAACCCTTCCCAGGTGGCCTTGACACTCACCCACACAGGAATTATTCAGCCTCAGGAACCCTCTGGGGCAGCCCACCACATTCCTTCCAACTGGCCCATAAGCCCCTGTGGAAAAACAGCTTCAGAGAATAAAAGACCACCCCGCCCCCCTTTCTTGAGCGACCGCTGCCCACCCACCCCCCACCCACAGACAGGGCTGCTTGGGAGATGCGGAAAAACAACGGGGGGGGGCTCTCCAAGTAGGGAGGCAAGCAGCAGGCAGAGCCAAGAAGTGCGTGAGGGAGGTGTGTGGGGGGGTGAAGATCTGGGGAAAGAATTGGGCCAGAGGAAGCCAGCTGGATATGGGGCACCCCGGAGAAGCAGGAATCCCCGGCTTTCAGCTATCTTACCCACGCCACCATCGGCACAAGGCAGACAGCCGTGAACACCCCAGGCGACACCGGACCCACGGCAGCAGATCTCTCGCGTGCGCAGCCCCGGCAGGGGGGCACTGCACTGAAAGGGCGAGGCAGCAGGCAGTTAGGCAATGCCCTGACCAACCCAGCGACACCCCATTAACCTTCCTCGCTGCTGGCAAGCGAGAAGGCAAGGTGTGAATTCACACAAGCATGTCTGCGTATAGCCAAAAATCCATCCCCGCCACCCTTTGGGATGCAGGCTGAGAAACAGGAGCCTGAGCAGCGCGCTCGCTTCTTCCCGGGACGTTTTCACCCTCTCAAGAAGTAATCGGTCGCGCAAAGTTGCACTCTTGCGTAGTTCTGCGTGGGGCGTTAAAATAGACCTGCGTGCGCTGGAGCTGGGCGGAGAATTCAGCAAAGAGAAGCTGAAATGGGGGGCGCCTGCGGGAGCCTTCCTTGCCTGCCTCCTCCCGCCCTCCGATCTTCCCCGCCGCCCGCCTCCCTCGCTGGAAAGGCAGACCGAAGCCTCTGGAGTCTCCGCGCAACTTGCCTCTCTCTGTGGGCGCCGAGGAGGAACAACGACGCGCTTGGCAAGGGAGGACGGGGACATCTGACCAAAGCAGGCTTGACCCGGGCCAGCGCCCGGTCGCGGCCGCTCCGGCAACAGCCGAAAACCCCCGCGCGGCCGCGGGAATCTACAGTCGCCTCCGCGAGTCCCGGCCAGAGCTCAGCCCCCGTTTTCCCTGCAGGCTTGTTCCCTGCAGCGGGCCCGGCGCCAGAGCAGGCTTGGTCGACAGCCGCCCCAGCCTACCTCTTCACCGTGCAGCTGCTGGAAGCAGTAGCCGAAGCCGGAGGTTTCACCGTACCCGCCTTGAGGATCCCGGCGGCTGCTCTGGGCCAACACGCCGGAGAGGGCTGGGCGGGACGGCGGGAGGGCGTTGGGGTCGCTGGATAGCAGCTCCTCGCTGACTCGCTCCACCTGGTGGATGGTGACCGAGGCCTCCGGCGGGTGCTCCACGTGGACATTCACCAGCGACGCCATACCTGGCGGGAGGAGACGCCGGTGGGGGCCCAAACCCGAATCCTGCCATTCCTCTCTGCTGCCCAGAACGGGCTCAGCCCTGGCCGCCTGGAAAGCTCCCCCCCCCTGCCTGCACCCTGGGCAAAATCCCTTCCCCTGGCCCTGCTGCCCCCCCCCCCAGTCTGCAGGTTCCCTGGTTAGCTTGACCTGACTCTCCTGCCCAGGGCAGGGGAAGTTATTGCTGTGACAGGATTATTATGATTTATTGGATTTACATGGCTGCTCATCTCATCTTAGAGACTCTAGTCAGCTCACAAATGGTAAAAACAATCCAAGAAAAATAAGTGAAAAATTGATATAAAGCTGTCCATAAGAGGGAAATCAGAATGCATCCTATCTCAGCTCAGTGCAGCTTTTGCAAGCTGGCCCCACTTTTGTTGGGTCCACAGCCCCACTGGCAGAGCCTCCCTAAAGGCCAGGAGGGGCGGAAGCAGCCTAAAGGCCAGGGTGGGGTGGGGATGATGCTCCTCAGGGTGGCTGCCACTGCAGAAGAGGCTCTTTATAGAGGGGACCCTGATATGCTGGTCCTGAGGGGAGAGTCTGAGGAGGGGGACCCTGTTTCTTCTCCTAGATCCTTCTGTTCCTTCAACCAAGGGGTCCAGCTCTTCACTGTCCTGGCAGTGATGCACCGTGCTCCATACAGCCATGGGCAGGGGGACGGCCCTGCCTTTGTGCCTTCACCTGGAACATTTGTACACAAGCAAACTTTCACAGCCATTTCTCTCTCTTTTTGGTTCCTTCACAGTCTGATTCGCACTTGCTTTCCCTGCCCTCCAGGCTTCCTTACCATCTCGCTCATATTGGTGGTTGGTGATTGGGAGGGTGTGCACGGACTGCTGCCGTCTGATCTCCGGCTCCCACTCAGTTCCAGGGTGAGCAGGGCCTTGTCTCTGGCTGCGGTAAGGAAAGGCTGGGATGTGGCAGAACTTTCCGGTCCAATTGGGGGGGCAGAGGCATTTGTCCTTCTTGAGACAGACTCCCCCATTTTGGCAGATGAGGGGACACAGGACTGTGGGACAGAGAGAGTATATGAATGGAAACAGGCAGAAGCTCAGCTTACCGGAGCTTCTCAATGGAAATGCAGGCCAGAGACTGCAACACCAAGCAGCCTGCCTTTGTTCTTCACCCCCACCCTGGTCAATGAAGCACCTTCCCTGTCTGGCCCTGTTACCCCCTCGACTGAATCTTTTCTTCCCAAGGAGAAATGAGCACAGGGGAAGGAAGACGGAGGAAGCAGAGTCCACAAACGTCACAAAGAAGGGGCAGGGGAAATCAACCCATTCTCCAAAGTAGAGGCCCCCAACCTTTTGGGTGCCAGGGACCGGTTGCGTAGTGAGAGGTTTTTCTGTGGACCGGAGCGGGGGGGGGTGCTGCCTGCATCCCACAGACGAGGCTTTGTTGTTTGTGCAGACCGGTTGCTCACGGCCCAGTACTGGTCCACAGACCAGGGGACCCCTGCTCCAAAGTATTTGCAGGCAGGACAAGAAGCAACGGATGGAAACTCATCAAGGAGAGAAGCAACCTAGAACTAAGGAGGAATTTCCTGACAGTGAGAACAATTAACCAGTGGAACAATTGGCCTCCAGAAGTTGTGGGTGCTCCATCACTGGAGGTTTTTAAGAAGAGGTTGGACAACCATTTGTCTTGGAATGTCTTGAGCAGGGGGTTTGATTAGATTAGAAAATCTCCAAGATCTCTTCCAATTCTCTTATTCTGTTACTCTGTTGTTATTCTGTTGTTCTGTCCAGGGAGAGAAAGATAATGCAAGGAGGGGGAGAACTCAGCTTTCCGGATCCCTTCCCTTGACTGCCCTTGCTCTGAACAGGCAGCCTGGAAAGGCATTCTGTTCCCCCAGACAACCTTTGCTGAGACTGATGATTTTAGTACAGAAATGTTTCTGTCCTTTTGATTTACCAGTAGGATGTTTGCATGGCTCTCCAGCAGGAGGTTAGCAGAGAGACCTGACTGCGATGGCTGAGGTACTGAGCTCCAGGGCACTGGCCGAGGGCCTTTGGGCTTTTTCTGCTTCCCCAAGGCGATCCACAGGGAAAGAAGCAGCAGGTTACGGATCCTATCCTCTGGGGCTGCCTGGGCAGGGAAGTGAGCCCCTCTGGCCTGCCCAAGTCCCCCAGGTCAGAATCCTTCCAGGGAAAGAATGGCCGGAGGAGGGACGGATCTGATGCCATGAAACAAGAGCAACTGGCAGCCCTGCAAGAGGGCCAGCAGGAAGAGCAAGCTGAGGGGGCAGGAAAGGACGTCTGGCCCAGATCACTCTGCCACATTTGAACCTTCTTCCTCTCTCGTTCAGGCAGGCATCTTCTCCACTGGGGGGGGGATGCCAAAGGCTACCTCACCCCCATGTGCGGAGCAGCTGCTGCAGCAAGCAGTAAGTGGTGCATGCCCCTGGACCACTGGCCAAGCCCCTCCCTGCTGTGCTCCCACCCACACCAGGCCTGGGTAGCATCAAGTGGAACAAACTGCACAACAACTGGAAGGGAGGAGACTGAAAACAACCCCTCCCTCCCTCCAAACGCCCCCACACATGATCTCAAGCTAGAGGCCATTGCCTTTCTGAGGGGAATCGAGGCTCGCTGGGGGCATATAGTGGGCCAGACAAGTACTTGGGGCCCAGAGTCCTTTCTTGGTCCAAGGCAGCCACCGCCTCGCTCCTTCTCCGCAACTTTGGCAGGACTGGAGCCAAGGCAGACTGGCATCCAGCCCAAGGCAGCTGGTCCCATCTGGTGGTGGCACAATGCCAGCCTCTTGTTTATGCTTTCATTTCCCAGCTCCGGATCCTAAAAAGGCTCCGGTAGGACTTTGGTGTGGGATCAAGACGCTGGAGAAAGCTCGTGGAACAATGCGGACACAGTCAGGTGGCTCCCTCCCAGACGCAGCCCAAGAGACAGTTCTGTGCCTCTGTCCCAGATTTCCCCTCTTCCAATGACCCAGGCAGTTCTGGGAGACACCTCCCCCCAGTACCCACCTGGGAAGAGAGGAAGGCTAGCCCACCTTGCAGGCAGCTACCTGCTTCCGGATTGTGAGAATGGCTTGCCCCTGCCTTGCCTCTTCCCGTTACCCAGGGACAAGGCTCTCAGCCACCTCCTGTATCTGCCAGGCAAAGTCACGCCCAAGCAGAGACAAGAGCCTGGCCTGGGAAGTGGCACAAGACTCCCCTCCAGAGTCAGCTCTGCGGTCAGGGCAGCAGCTGGAAGAGGTAGGGGCCCCAGAAAGAAGAAACCGGGATGGACCTACAGAAGGGACGAGGGCCAGCTAGCTGCTTATCTCTGGGCAGAACCTCACCTGGGAAACAGGAGGGGCACAGAGAACCAGGCACCTGCCAAGCAGTGGCTGAGGCTGAAAGTAAGGCAAGACACCCCCAGAGGGCACCTGACCAGGCAGCAAAAGACACAGGGGGGTTTGCAAACTGAAGGGAGTCAGGGCATTCCATTCCCCCAGCTGAGGGTACGAGATGTCTGTATCATGGTTCTGACAAAATATGCAGTATTTGCAGTGTTGACAGTCTGCTTGCCCCCCTGCCCTCCCTCCCCTCTCCCCCTTGACTAGTGTGGGCAGGTCTCTTATCAGGGGCCCATCATCTCAACCAGAAGCCAATGACTGGGACCGTCAGCGCCCCCCCCCCGCCCCCGTACTCACAGACTCGAAATCCAGAAGCCCCTTCCACTGCCCTGGCGTTCTCCCCGCTGTACAGAGTGGTAGCGTTGCCCTGCTCACATCGGTTAATGCAGTGCCCGTTGCTGCAGTGCATGTGGCAGATGGTGGGGGTGAAGAGGACCTTGACCTGCTGACCCTCCCCAGGCAGGGGGGAGAAGACAACCAGCAGCAGCAGCACCGCCAGCAGGAGATGGTGGATGAAGCCCATGGCCCCAAGCTGAGCAGAGAGCCACAGCTCCAGACAGGCTGCAGGCAGGGAGGGCTATGCGCCCACCATGGAGAGCACACAGACCCACCCGCTAATTGGAAGCAGCAAGCTTGGGGTGGGTGGGCTGCAAGCCAACAACAATGTTTACAAGGGAGCACAGCCGCCAGGAACAGGGTTAACTCTTAGCTGCTCTCCACAAGCCTGGAGGAAAGAGCGTCCTTCCTTGCCCCCCCCCATTGCAGAACGGCCTCCCTGTCCCCCAGCACACACCAGCACAAGGTGCCAGCAGACAAACTGACTCTGCTGAAGTCCCTCAAGTTGTTCCGCTCTGCAAACATCTGCAGCAGATGTGTCACTAGATGTGCTCTCCCATGCAAGCCACCCACTCTCCTCCACTACTCTCGTGGGGCCCTCACACTGCCTTGGGCTGGTTCACGCTGCTTCCAGTTGCTGTGTTCTCCCCCCAATCCCCCACCACCATCAGGACACCCCCCTCAACAGCTGCTTCCTGCCCAATCTGACTGGAGCACTCCTGGCTCCTCCAGAGAGGATACCCTGCCCATCCCATATTTCCCTCCATTCCCCTCCCCTCCTGTCTGAAGGGTGAAGCCTGGAGCCCCCCTGTCCCTCTGTCCCATTTCTGCCAACTCTTTTTCAGCCTGGAAGTGCAAGATTTGAAACTGGTTTCTAAGTACAAAGCCCCCCCCCACATTTCCTCTCCCCAGCTGTTGACACACACAGGGCTGCTTTGTCTTGGATGTCTGACATGCAAAGTCTTTCTCCTCCAATAGCTGTTTCCAGAAGAAAGATTCCCCCCCCCCCTTTGCAAATCTCCCAGCAGGCACCATTTGGGAACAGGGCAAACATCTGTGCCAGCTGGACATGCACTGACTGGTCATAATGAGTTTGTCTTGTACTCTAAGCCAATTCTCCATCCCCCTTCCCCCCCCCCGTCTGCTTGCTGCCTTCTCAGACATCAAGAGGACTTGGGAATGCTCATTCCAGAAAAATGGGGGACACTTGATCAAAGGGAAAAGGAGGAACCTGGAGCAGCAACAGAGCTGTCCTGGGATTTATGGAAGTTTCAAGGGAGAGCAAAGTAAATGTCTCCCCCTCCCACCCCATCCAAACATTTGCGGAAAGCAATCAAAGACAGCAAGAAGAGGTGGGGCTTCCTCAGGGCCTCCCCAGGGAGGAAGCGGCCTGTGGGCGGTGGGGAAAGGAGCAGCACCGGCTCTCCTTCCAATGCAGCTTTACATGACATCATCTGGAAAAACCTAGCCAGGGGTGGAGAGGGTGGGGGCACAGAACAACTGCCAGACCCAGAGGGGTGGGGACTAAGCTGGACATGGGAACTCTTCCAAAACTTCCAGATGGGAGGAAGAGGGTTGGAGGCATCTGCAAGTCCCTTGCCTCTTTCTACAGAGAGAGAAGCCCCACCCCCACCCCCAGGCCTTTCTTGCAGAGGGATCTATCCTGCTCAGCCCAGACGTGTGGAAGACAAACCGGCAACTGGATTGTTTGGGACTCTAAAGGGAAGCTCCAAACCCTCCTTGGATGGCCCTTCCCTCAAGGTAACAGCCCCCGCAACTCTCTTCAGAAGGCCTTCCAAGGGCTGGAGTCCCCACCTGCCTCCCGAGTCTCTCTCCAGCTGCAAACGTAGGAGCCTCCCCAGGAACAGGGACCTTCAACCCACCTGACCTTTACGATGGACCTCTCCTTGCTAGGAAAGCCGGGGGGGGGGGTGCTGGGTCCCGATGGTGGCCACTGAGCTTCCCAGAGCGATTTGAGGCCATATGCTCGGAGGAGAGGACCTGCTCGAGATGCCCTCTTCTGCCTTCAGCCCAACTGCCTCCACGCAGGCCAGGCTGCCCAGCCTCAGACCACTGCCCCTCGTCTGCTTAGCCCTCCATGTTGCCCAGGGGCTGTGCTGCCACCTGACCAAGACAACCACCTCCCAGCCAGGTCCTGGTGCTTTATCTTCCACCTGGCCTGTACTAAGACCTCTTTTTGAGAAGCAGCTACATGCAACGCCCATCAGAACATCTGCATCCGAAAGAACTCTAGGCAGGGCATACCATGCCAGTCTTTTTCAAAAGAGATTCTTCTTCCCAGGATTAGCAGATCTAACATGGATTCCTCTATTCCCACTCAGGGGAAAAAAACTTTTGCATATGTTCCCAGTCTTCCAGGGAAGAAGGCAGATTGCATAACTTACACATCTTTATTACAAACTATCAGTGCTAACCCCTTGAGGATTCACTCATGAACGCCCTTCCGCCTTGACAGTAACTGTTGGTCTCTGCAACTTGCAAAAAGCCACCATTCTCCCAGTTCTTTCTGCAGCTCTACAACTAACACCCTCACGTAACAGCTTAGCGACAAGTGTAATTCCTTGTAAAAACTTGACAGCTCTGTTCTCTGCCACTCCACTCACCTCCGACAATTCCCTCACCTCCAGGACGGTCAGAATGGCTGTTTCCAGGAGGCTCTTTTCTCTTTGCAGAGCTCCTATGTCATTTGCTTGAGCCCCTGTATGGCCATTCTTGACAGCTGTTTGGATGGGGGAAAGCCCAACTCACAAAGGCCAGCCAGGCTTGCCCAAAGTTTTCCTTCCCATCAGCACTAAACGAAGGCTGTGTGGCATACTGCAGCCATGCCCTTCCCTGGGACCGATTTCTTCAGGTGATCAGATTTGAGCAAGGGTGATCCAGAGGATCTTGAAAGGCTGATCGTCCTATGACTAGAATGTAAAAAACACCTGACATATTTTTCAGATTCCACATCATCCTCTGGGACCACAACATCAATACTCGGCTCTTTCCAGAGCTTATTGAGAGCAGTGATTTTCTACCAACAGACCAGATATTGCCTCTTATCTCTGGGACCAGAGTAAGCACATTATTACAGTTGTGCAGAAGCGTCCCAAAGCAGGCAAATCTAACTGGAAAAAGGCAAAGATGGGTCTACTATGGGAAAAGGCTGCCAAGACAAGAACAAGTGATGGGACAGGGAGAGGGCAATGTTCCTCAATATCTATCTTGCGGTCTTCTCTCAAAAGATGAACTGCATTCAAATGGATCTAAAAAGCAAAGATGACTGAACTCGGGCTAACGAAAGGGATAATTATGGAGCACCAGCCTATCATGAACAGCTGGAAGCCTGCAGGGCCAGATCAGTTGCATCTGAGAGTCTTGAAGGTCATCACCTCAGAGCTCTTTCTGGGATCTTTCAGAAATCATGGAGGACAGGAGTAGCCTGGAAAAAGGCTAAGGCTGCTCCCTAGTTTCAGAAAGGGGAAGAAAAGAGGCCCTCAGTCACTACCCGTGTTTCCCGGAAAATAAGACTGGCTCTCTTTTTTTTTTTTTTTGCCTCCAAAAGAGACACCAGGTCTTACTTTTGGGGGATGTTTTACTCCCCTCCGGCATCGACAACCCCACCCAGCCGGCCCACTTCTTCTTGGGCTGAAGGAGCAGATTCATGCTGCAGCTGCATTCCAGCCTGCATTTTGCAGTCAAGCCTTTCCGGAAGGCCTCTGCAGATGAGTACCGAGCTATGGATTCAGTCCATAGCTCAGTCCTCAGCTGCAGATCTCTTGCAGAACTAAGCTATGGATTGAATCCATAGCTCCATTCGCGGCTGCAATGGCCTTCTTGGAAAGGCCTCTGACTGCGAAATACAGGCCTGGCTGCAGAGGACGCTGCAGAAGCAGTGGGCCAGTGAGGAGAGGCCTGGCTGCAAGGTAAGTGGGTGTGGGGCACATGGGGCAGATGCCCACTCCCCTCTCCTGCCCTAGATTGCTTCCTGTCCGCTTCTCCGCATTTCTGGCCGCTCCACCGATACCTGCAAGCAGCCAGAGAAGTGTCCAGTGCCTGTGTGCTAGTGAGCCCGCCTTTGGTGCCCTCTGGTGCCCTCTTTGTGAGCCCTTCGATCTCCCCAGGAGCTCTGCAGCCTCCAGTTGCTCCTTCCTTCTGAGGGGAGGCACCGCCACCTGGCGCTTTTCCTGGATTGGGGGAGGAAGGATCCCCCCCCTTCCATTTTCACTCTCCTGGATCACCAGAATAGCCAGGGTGCCTCCCCCGGGTGCTGAGAGGATAGCTGAGGATAATTTCTTATCTGTGTGATGAAGGGAAGTAATGAAGTTTGCTCAAACCGGTCTGCTGAATGCCTTGCATTGTAACTTCTAAAGCAGGCAAGTGTACACCCAGAGTCTCTTACTTTGCACCAATTGCTAAAGGCCCCCTGCTTTCATTTGATGTGGGCCTGGGTCTGGCCCCTTGTTTAAAGAGACCCGAAGCCCTAGCCTGGCCAGACAGCTGCCTTTCTGGCCAGGGCCTGGAAGATGAACAGAAGACTTCTTTCCAGGGAGGCAGCTGTTTTGGGAGAGCAATTCCCTGGACAGAGGACACTGTCTTGGAGAAGAGATGCTCTTCTAACATTCCAGAATTTTGGCCATCAAGGGCGGCAAGTCAGGTTCTGTCCATCATGCTCTCTCTGCTAAGCTGTTTGGGGCAGAGAAATGCCGCTCACCGTCTTGAAGCAAAGGAGGACCTTTCCCACTTGTGCAGCCAATGAGCTTTTCCTGTCTCCCATTGTGACAAGCACAGCCCAGGATTATGACATAAATGGAGAAAGGCAGCTGGTCCACCTAGTTTTGCTGCACAAGGGCTACCTTCCCATGGTGGAAATGTTTATTCCCACCAATGGAGAACAGCAGCATAGTGAGAAAATACTGAGGCCTCGAGGAACAACCCCTCCCCGGACCCTCCCCACCCCATCAAGGACTCAGTTACATAGACTCAGCAGCAGCAAAACAGGAGCACAACTGTGCCTGGTGTCCATAAATATTTCCTTGTGATTATTTCAAATTTGGTTGCATATAAAATTGCACAACTACAGCATGTTTGTTAGAAAATTACAGGCCTCTCCTTGTTTGGCCCAGAATAGGATCACCAAGGGAGGACGCTGAGGCTGCTCTGAGAACAAAATGCAAAGATCTAGAAGTTGGCCTCAGCTGATGATCACTGGAAAAGGCGGAGACAAAATGGGGTGCCTGTTTTGCTCAATCCCATAGTCTGCACTGTTTCTCCCCTTGCAGGAAAGGTGAAAGCCAAGAAGAGGGGAGACGTCCCACAGGAGGCAAAGAAAAGTTGACTGGTGCTGGTAGTTGCTCTGATCAACCTCCCCACTGCACACAAGGGAGATGGGGCATACCCTGGGTAGATAGCCATAGCAGCTGGCAGCTATGCTAGGGCAGGCAAAAACCATGCCCAGAGTAGACAGACACCATCCAGGCAGGACTTGGCAGTGGCAAAGCCCCCTTTGGTGATGCCCCTTTGCTGGAAGGGGCAAAGCTGGGTGAAAGCCCAGGTGGCATCCAGTGACACCCTGGCCCTGCTACAGCTGCTCCCTCTTCCAGCTGGCACTTGCTGGCCACAGACCGGGCAACTCAGTGGAGCAGGCCAACCCACCCCATTGAAATACATTGGTAGTTGTGGAATTAACTAAGAAAGAATTTTCTGACACGAGATGCAAACAAGCAAGCAAGGGGCAATCTCTTTATGAGAATAAATCAGATTATCACTAGTATCCTTAGAAAAATGCTGTTTCTTGCCCTCTAGTATAATTTGGATACCTTTGTATACTTTTGAAGTGTCACAAGCCTGCTATTTCTTCAGCTACAGACTAATATGGTTACTAAGATTTAAGAAACCAAGAAATTAAACACATGCAAAAGAACCATTTAATCACTGCATACTGAGATAGACTACGCTCAGGCCAGCTGCCAGGGGGAGAAACCCCCCTTTTCCCCTCACTCTGCCAGGCCCCTTCCTCCTCTGACCTTGCTCCAATCTATAGGCTTCTTTTTGAACTGGGATGCCCAGAACTGGAGCCAGGACTCTCAAGAGGGTGCAGAGCTGGACAATTTGTTCATATGTCCAGCATGTCCTTTCCTCTCTGGCAGAGCACCTGGAGACTTCTGCTTCTCTTGAGGCCGAGCAGGGTGCTCCTTCTCCTGAGCTGCTGGGAAGCCAGAGCTCCGCTTCCAGGAGTTTCCTTTTCCTACCCAAATTTCAGAGGACTGCTATAAAACTCCTGAGCTGCTGACCCAGCGAGCGAGCCATCTGTTCCTATTGCTGCATTTGGGAACTGGGCCACCCTGCCATGTGGGAGCAGGACAGGCCCTCGTGTAGCTCAGGAGCTCCATCCCAGGAGCTGAGGCTCTTCTGATCGAGTCACTTACCACATACTGCATCAAGACAGGGTTGGGGAGAATCCCATCCATGGGCACCTCCTGCAACTCAACCAGGTCTCCTCTGGACACGGACTCAGATCTGTCTCTGTCTGCTGGAACCTGGGCAGTGAGACCAAAGCCCCCATCAACCTCCCAGTCCACAGTCCTGGTCTCCAGGAAGCGCCTTTGGCACAAGATCCTTAGCAACCCACCCTTGCTTTGTGTTCCTTGCCTTCCTTGGTTTCTTCTTTGGTTGTCCTGAGTTCTCTCCTCTTTTACCTTCGGAAAGAGCCTTGTGCACTCAGGAACAGACCAACTGACTACTTCAATATGGAAATATTCTGGGATTGTTGCTTTGTTTTAATCTGTTTGTGATATGTAGATAGGGCTGGGATTTGCAGAGGGAGTCAGGAAAGTTCTTTGTTTTCATGTGTATCTGGGAATCTTTTTTAAATTTGTTCTCCACCTGTCTCAGAGTCTGCAGAGGGTTTGGAGGCAAACATGGTGGGATGGGAGCGGGTAGTCCTTGGTCGATTGGTCACTGGGGGCTCAGGTGAGCATATGGAAATGAGCACTGGCCTTACCTGGATGGAATCGCTCCTTGGCAGAAATCCCTGAATCACTTTTCTTCAGGGCACATTTTCAGTCGGCACATTTTTTTGTCAGAGATGACACAGAGGTCAACAGAGCAGGCACCTGACCTGGATCATCTTATTTTCGGCCCAATTGCCAGCCACCCTGTCTGGCGGGGGAAGCAGGCGGGGACCGGCAGCATGTTGCACGGGGGCGGGGGAGAGCTTCCACCACTGCTTATGCTCGCCGGTCGGGACTATTGGCCAACTGCCTGCCTGCTCTTCCCCGCTGGCTGCACCTCTGCTCCTCCATCCTTGGCAGTGCCAGCCTTGCCCAGCACACAACTGGCAAGGAGCGAGTGGAGAGGCGTGGAATGAGCCCTGGCTGCTCACCCCCCCCCCTCTGCAGTCGGCTGAAGCTTCTTTGGTACTCTCCTTCCCCCCCTTAGCATGGCCCAGAGGCTGTTACTAGGCAACTACTTGAAGGAGCTGCCCAGCAGGGGAGATCCCATAGACCGGCTGAGCCCCTCCAGCCTTCTCCCAAGCTCCCCACCCCCAACTTTAGCCCCAACAGTCGGAAGACAGCATCTCTGGTGCCCCCAAAGGCAAGTGAGCAAGCAGCTGGCCCACAGCAGGTAAGTCCCTAAGCCCCCACCCAACTGCCTCTTCATCTCCTCAGACCATCCGACGGGCTGCAAGGAACAGTCCAACACAAAGGAGCCAAAAGCAGAACACAAATAGGAGGAATGGCCGGACCTGCAACACTTGCAGAAGGGCAGGTACATTTCCTGCACCAATGGAAACCGGTCATCCAAATCCGACAGAGGGGGGGTGAGCAAGATCCTCAGCTCCACTCCCATCCGAAGAGCCCCAGGGCCTCCATCTACCACAGGAAGAGATTCTTCCCAACCGCGGTCCTCCCTCACTAGACTTGACCTTGCCCCATCTGCTGTCCCTGGCTCTGCCTTCTAGAGGTCTTGCCTCTCACCCCCCTGCTCCCCAGTCTGCTTGGCCAAAACCAGAACTTGGATTGTTGGGCTCCTTTGACCTCAACCTACAAAGTGGTTCTACAAAGTGCTGGAAAGGTTTGCCCCCCAGCAAATCCCAATAAGACTCCAGAGGTTGTCAGAAACATCTTTCCAGGTGTATTTATTGCTGCTTATCTACCAGAGGAAGGGAAGAGAAACCAGTCAGCTAAGGCAGTTGAAGGGGGTGTGTGGCTATTACTCATAAATATCTTTGGTTTTCACAAGCAGGAGGGAGGGGGCAACCTTGCAGAGGCCACGTGTTACTACCTAATGCAGTGGTTCTCAACCTGTGGGTCGGGACCCCATTTGGGGTCGAACGACCATTTCACGGGGGTCGCCAAACAAGGCTGTCCGCCATTTTTTACCCCTTTTCTTTGGCCACGCCCCCTGGCACCTGGTGATGTATAAGTGGTTGGGGGTCACCACAACATGGGGAACTGTATTATGGGGTCGCGGCATTAGAAAGGTTGAGAACCACTGACCTAATGCAAGCGGCTTTTGAGCACCACACAGGAGAAAAAACAACCCTGCCAGAGGATTAAGGCCCTGAGAGGCTTGGAAAGGGCTTGGGACACAGTTATGGGGAGGAAGTTCTGCGCCCTGAAGGAGGCGGGACGGCAGCTCCACAGCAGGCGCCACTCCAGAGCTCCAGGCCACAGGAGCTGCAAGAGGGGGAATGCAGCAGCAGGAATCACCGGTGGCTCCCTTGCTCCCCAAAAACAGCAAGAGGTCAAAAAGAGGTTTCACTGAGTGGCACTCTAGATGGGGCTAGGGGGAGGGTGGGCCCCAGGGGGACAGGATGGAGAGTGAGCGATCTTTGGCTCAGAAGGCTAGCAGAGAGCCCATCCTGAGAGTGGCTGACCCACTGGCCCTCGGCAGATCGGTCCAAGAAGTTCCCGCACAGTTGTTGTCGGTGGTGGTCTCCTCGTTGGAAGTCCAACCTGGCTGGGGAAGCTTTCAATGGCTTCTCGCAGGTCCCACTGGTGTCTTGATTCTGGGGGCGGCTAGGAGAACCACAACCTCATTACATGCCATCTAGGGGAAGAGAAGAGCTCAATCCCATTGAGCAACAGACTAAGGCCTGTCAAAGGCAAGGAAGCTGGGGATTCGGTTAAGTCAATCCTCTTCCTTGCAGACTTGCATATCTGGAGTTGCTGACTCTCTGAGAGGAGAGCCTGGTGGGTTCCCTTTCAATTATCTGCCCCATCAGCTGTGCACGCACACACACACATCTGTACCTGATGCCAGAAGTACTGGTCAGAGTGAAAGACCCTGTAGGACTTGTTTCCAAGGTGTGGGTAAGGGCCAGGTCACATTGCCCCAACTCAGACAGCAGCTCTTCTTCTGAGAGACCACCACAATCTGCAAGATGGGAGGAGGAGGAGGAAAGGCAGTAGCAGAGATTGGAGTCTGCCAAGAGGGCAGATACGGAAAGACAACCCAAAGCCCAGCGCAGAGACAGGATGTGCTCAGAGCTTACCCAAGACCCAGAAACAACATAGCGAACAGCAGAAGACAGTAGGGACTCCCTCTTGGGGGGGGGGGCGTCTGCCCACGCCCACTGCAGAGCCCCTGGTTGTCCCTCCCAGGTTATCTCCCCTGCCAAGCCCAGTCCTTGCACCTGGGGGGTGGTCCCTCATCTCCATTGCGGTGGTGAGGTCCCACATCTGGAGGCTGCCATTGCTGTGGCCAGTAAAGAGGTAACGGCGTGGACGGGAGCCAATGCGGCTGGAGCCCTCACACTCCTGGACCAGGAAGGCCGTGATGAATGAACTGTCAACTGAGCACACCTGGCATATCCTGCGGGGAAGAGAGATGCACCAATGAGATAAAAATAGCCAAGCACAAATCACCAGCCCCATTTGTGAAGCTGGATGTGCTACTGACCACCTTTGGCTTGCCAAAGGCAAAAGCAGGGCTAAATTCAAGGAGACCAGCCACCTGCCTCAGGCTTTACCTACTGGAGCTTGGCCCCCTGCAGACCCACCTCTTTCCAGTAGAGGAGAGGCGCACATACAGCTTGCTGGCATCTGGAACCACCTTCTGGAGGAACACCTGTTGGTCATCACGCTCGCCAAAAGGCCCTGGATGGGAGAGAGGAGGAAGCAGGTGGGGCCCCAGGGCCCAGATGCCACAAGCCCCACCCTTGGACCCCAGATGTCCCTACCAATATCTGTGCCCGCACTGCAGCCCCCCTGCCCATCCACCGAGTCCAGAGCCAGAATCTTGAAGGAAGCCAACGGGGTGGAGCCTGGTTGCGTAGAAATCATCCCACGGAATCGAGTCACCGTCCACGTCCGTATGTGGCTATCAGCACAGACTAAGGGATAGGCAGAAAAAATGAGGGAGGGAGGGAGGGATAGGACCCTTGGCTGGCCTCACCCATCTGCCCCTCCTCCTCAAAGCCACTACCTGAGATAAGGTGCTTCTCCGAGAGCATCACCTTGGTGACAGGGCTACGATGAACAGCAAAGGTCTGGAAGAGCTGGGGCCCTGAGCCCACCGTCTCTGGGTGCTGGACAATCACTCGTACCATCCCTGAACTGGTGCCATAGGCAATTTCAATCCAATTTCCGCTGTGGCCTACACACGGAAGCAGAGGATTGGAGGCAAACAAACCTGCTGCAGCCAAGGAAGGCCAGCCCCAGCCCAGAAGGGAGGCGAAGCCTAACCGGGATCTGGGAAAGGCTGGGCAGAAGAGCCAGGCTCATGTGCCCAATTCTGCTTGGTAATTCCCCCCAGGGTGAGCCCTTACTGCTCTTGGGAGTGAGGTGGACACTGAGGGCAGTGATAGCATCCTCCGCAGGGTCACGGTATAGCTCGGTCACCAGGAGGTCATTGTCCTTCATGCGCAGGGGGAACTTCTGAACATCTGTGGGAAACAGCTGGCAGGTGAGAAGGGCAGTTGGCAAGAGAGAGCCACAGTAGCCATGCTGGGACAGCTGGCTGGGACTCACCAACATAATGGATGGAGCCATTGTGGCAGCCCAGGAGCAGGAAGGAGCCCGCGACATCATGGCTGTTGATGGGAACCACATCTTGAGTCTGTGGAAGTGGAGCAGCTGGTGAGAAACAGGGGGCATCAGGGAACCGGAGGTCACAGCCTCCAAGAACTGGAAAATTACCTGCTATGAGAATTGAAGTGGATCTTGAACTAAGAAACTCCATCAGCTGAGATTAACAGGAAGACTTCAAGGAACCAAAGACTTTTCACAAATGTTTTAAATGAAAAGAGCTGCTCACTAATGCACTAATGCTCAAGCTGTTCCACAAACAGGACAAAATGCCCTACTAAGGAAAGGCAGAGCCAATCAACCCCAACTGGAATCAAATCTAATCTCCTCCTCCTCCTCCTCCTCCTCCTCCTCCTCCTCCTCCTCCTCCTCCTCCTCCTCCTCCTCCTCCTCCTCCTCCTCCTCGGGACATATTCCACCCAGTGACTCGGATAAAATGCAGTTAGAGAACACCCATGGAGAGTGAACAAGCTTAAACCTTCGTGGCCAGATGAATTACATTCCAGAGTGCTACAGGAACTGGTAGACGACCTATTTAAAATTTTGTTATGATCTTTGGACCATCCTGAAGAGCTGATTAAGAACCAGAGAAGTGGAGTCAAGCAACTTTTGTCCCCATCTTCAAAAGGGGGGAGAATCTTCAAGTATAGTTTAGCTGCCACAGGTCAGACTGAAAGATCTCAACAGCAGCTGCTCCCACCCCCACCCCATTCCAAGCTGTATTTAATTAATCCCAAAGCTGCAGCTACTATACAACTCCTTGGAAAAGGCCACCTCCCCAACTCTACTGGGAATCCTCCTTCTCCCCCCTCCTCCAATGATCTGCTTTATTACCTGCCAGTGTTTGGTAACTGCGTTCCAGACGCCAATCTTCCCTGTATGGCTGGTGGCAATAAGCTGGCTGCCAACAAAGAAGAGACCTTCTAGGGGGACCCCTAAACAGAACACTCCTACAGAACAAAAGAAGCAACTGGGAGAAGAGCAGGAGAGGCTGCAGGATTGGGCCCATGGCTCAGGAGATTCCTGAATCCACTGACTCCAAAGAGCCCACAAGCAACTCCCTGCTGGGTCAGGAGGCCAATTGGAGTGCCTGCCCCTCCTTGTCCAACTCAGGAACAGTGGTTGAGACAGCAGCCCCCCATCTATAGGTTCCCCTCGTCTTCTTCAAAAGTCCTCCTCAGTGGTCTGGGAGCGCAAGACTCACTGACCAGAGCCAACTGGGCTTTGGGAACAGGTTTGAGATGTTCACAGAAGAACAAAGGGGGAGGTTCCCGGCAGCTGCCTATCAACCTCCTTTAGTCTGATCCCTCTACACAGAAAGACAAACCTTTACTTTAGTCCAAGCAAGGCCAGCATCCAGGAAATCTAGTTGGCCTCCCCTCATCCAAGAGGCATTTTAGATCACTAAAGATGCATGTGGGGGTAGTTTTCTCACCAATCTCAGTGCCGCTCCCATCAGGCTGAAGGGCCCATAGAAGGATTTCGCTGCAAGAGGCAGCAGCCACCATTTTGTCGCTATCACCCAGGGACCCACCAAGCACCCGGGCATTTAATGCCACACGCTCGATGACCCAGTCCAGCCGGGGGCTACAGAAAGCCAGCTGCCAGCCAGAGGCCTCCTTTACCCTACAGGGCGAGAGATTAGTCAGGAAGCAGAGGGAGCCCAGTCTCTTCCCATTCACCCCCCATGCTGAGCTGTGCCCCCTGCACTTACCTGTAGCAGATAAGGAAGTGAGCGTAAGCCAGAGCGACCCAGTTATGATGGCCACAGATAAGACGAACCATGCCTGGATCATTTGTGGCTCCTAGAGGGAGGGTGCAATGCGGATGTGTGGCAGCTGGTTTCCAAAATTTAGAGAGTGTTTCCCACAAGCCACCCTCCATGCCTTAAGCACTTGCCCTTCTCAGGTCTGCCTTCCCTTCCTGACACCCACCGGCTGCCGTGCTCCTCTCCTCCACTCTCCCCAGAAGCCCTGCGCCAAGGTTGGGGGGCATGGTATTGCTCCGGCGCACCAGGGGGTTGCCCGGCCGGGCAGTCAACTGCCCCCCCGTGATGCTGTGGCGGTTCCACCGCTTGGCAGGAAACACTGCAAGGGAAACGAGAGCGAGAGCTGGCTGGACCACAGGGAGACAGCCACAGCCCATGACTCCAGTGGCCCGAGCCCTACCAGAAGGGGGGGGCAGATAGCCTTCAAACAAGACGCTTCCACAAGAGGACCGCTCCAATTCCTTTTGCAACTGCAGGCGTCGAACTGCGAGGAAGAGCAAGGCAGAGAGGGCAGGTGAGTCCTGGAGGGGGGAGGTCCACAGACTCGTATTTGGGGGGCCAGGATAGCTGTCCCAGAGCCCCAGCCCCGCCACGTACTGAGAGGCGTGATCCCGTAGAACTGGGCTTCGTGCAGCAGCAGCGAGACGTCGCTCCCCCTGTGGAGCAGAAAAGGCGGAGAAACGGTGAAGCGGCTGCGGCGGCAGCGGCGGCGGCGGTCCCTGCGCCCACGCCCCTTCCCGAAGCAGCTGGGCGCCTACCTGAGGTCCAGTTCCTTGCAGCGGAGGAAGTTGAGGATGGGGGCGAAGAGATCGGGGTCCCGGTCGATGAAGATCTGGAGGAAGGGAAGGGAAGGGTGCGGCTAGCCTGCGGGCGAAGGCCCGGGGAGGCGCCGGTCGCCCCTAGCAGCAGGGAGGAGGGCTCACTCACGGCGCCGGTCTCGTCCCGCAGCGAGGAGATACGGCCGCTGAGCAGGCTGCGGGCGAGAGAGGCGGTGAGGATCGCGGGCAGGGCAGGCGGGGGGAGGAGAGCCCCGCCCGCCCGTCCCCCGCACCCCCGGGCACCTGGAGAAGAAGGAGTCCGGCACCCAGGCGAGTGTCTGGCGGGAGGTGCAGAACCTGCGGGAAGAGAGAGGAGGAGGAGGAGGAGGAGGAGGCGGGTGAAGGACGCAGGAGCCACGGCCCGACCCCCCCCGCCTCCCTCCCTCCCGGGGCCGCGGCCACTCGCCTGCGTCCGCCCACGTTCAGCTCCACTAGGCCTGCCCCGCCGGGCGCGCCGCCGCTCGCCGCCATCCCGACCGCTTCCGGATCCCAGCGCAGAGCAGCCCCGCCCAGCCGCACCCCATTGGCCGCGGGCCGCCCTTCAGTCGGCCATTGGCTTCCCTGGACCCCCGGCAGCCACGCCTTTCTCTGGGGCTTCCCGATTGGGCGAGTCTCCCGGGGGCCGATGGGCGTCGTAGTCCTGCCGCCTCCTCGGGCTTCGGTGGCGCTGCCGTTGCCGGAGAGACGGGCGGGTTTTTGAAGCCACGTCCCCCTGCCCGTCCCTGCGGTGGGGCTGCTCCCGGCACTTGCCTGCGGAGGGGCTTCTGCGGAGGAGCTCAGGCGGGATGATCGGGGGGCCTCGAGAAACGCAAACCGAGGCTTCGTTGCGGGGAATGAATTCCGCACCGAGGAGGGGAAAGCCTTTCAAAAACAGCCGCTGGCCGGGCGCGAAAGGTCGCGACTCCCCAGAAGGGAGCGAACAGCTCCTTTGACTCCTGCTCCGTTATTTTTTGCAGTCTTTGTCCCGCCAGTGGTCTCGGAGCGACACGCGCGGCCTTTCCGCTTCCAAACGGCACCTGCTTATCAAACCCGCGGACGAATTTTACACGTTAAACGCTAACTAAAGGAAGCCCGTTGCTTCCTAGCAGCAGGTGAACCCTGCTGTGTCGGAGCTATTGCTCGCTCGGATCCCCATTCGTGTCTACAGGACGAATGCTAATAGTTGACTCGCGTGACACAATCTAGGCAGGCCAGGGAGCTGAGACAGACGTGGGGAGCCAAAAGTCATCGCATCTGGCCAGAGGCCTTCCGGGAGAGGCACAAAGAAACAGCCGAGCAAGTTTTAGAAAGCAGAAGCGCCTGGAAACCCCGTGCCAGGATTTGGCATTGGCCTTCAGGTGGGCTGGAAATAGATACACTCCCCCCTCTTAACACGGGTCTCACAAGGAGCCGGGTTCCACCCTTCAGCTCAACCGGGTCTGGAACCACCCCGTTTCCTTTTATTGGTACATTTCCCCATTGCTGTAGCCTGGGAGGCTGCCAAAGAGTCGCATCATTTTTGTGCAAGGGATCCAAGGAAGATGAGCTGCTCTGTGGACACTTCAGCCAAACTGTGCCTGGCCATCAGGTGAGCATATGCAGAGGGCACCTTTGCAAAATGACTGCAAATATTAGGCTGTCGGAGTGTGTGGAGAAACCCACCTTTTGATCTCATGTGACTTTACAAATTGGCCTTTGAAAAACCGTGTCTTCAAATTTACAATTAGAGAAAAGATGTGACCCCAATTGTTCAAATTTTGATTGATCCTTCTTTATACTAGACAAAAAAGTTACAATTCTGAACCAGGGAAGCTCCCCGAGAAGATGGAAAACAACACAAGCTGCACCAACTCCATCCAGGGCAGAACACTGTGGAAACTACATCAGGCCCAGAGTAGGCTGAATTTGGCCCCAACTCAGGCTGAGGGTATCACCCAACCGCCGGAAGCAGTAACTGATCAACTAGCCCCTTGGCCCTGGCTGACGAAGCATGCTCCCGAGGAAGAAAAGTGCCTTGGGAAAAGATGACTGAGCCACACAGCAATTAAACTGGTTTCTTCTGGGCTCAACACACATTTAATTTCAAATCCCCTAGTTATTTTTGCATCTTATAGATTGTAGGTGTACATCCACGTTAGCATGTCATGAAAGGAAGTACAATTTCCAAGTAGAGCCACTGAACGTAGTGCAATTTCCCCATGGCTCCCTGCGCCTGGCACGATTCCATCCAGAGGCCCACGGCCAAGCTCTTCCTTACATGCTGCTTCAAGCATGGGGAACATTCAGGGCTAGGCAGAGAAAGGGACTGCATGCACGATTCCGTGGCCAGCGGGAGAGGCATTCCTGCTTCTGAGCAGCCCCCCCCCTTGCTGCAATGGGCAGACGAATGGGACAGTGGGAGTCAGGAACCGGGCAGCCCTTGGGACACTTGGCATCAGAGGTGGGCTTTAGAGTCAAGGTCCGGTTGCTCCCATGCAAGCTCTCACTGCTCAGCTGGGATGGGCTACGCTGAGGCTGGCTGGTCAGTCTCTGGCCTCCCGTTGTGTTATTGCATATAAATACATCTGGTGAGTCCCTCCCTCATAGCAAGAGCGGGGATGTGACTATGGCTTGTTCACAAGGACAAGGGGCCTTCACACATTTGGGCAGCTGCCTACTCTCCGCTTCGGCCTTCTTCATCCTGGAAAGCAGGAAGATCCAGGAGCCAAGCACGGTGCTCAAGGTGCGGTTGACAAGCAAAGTGGGAGACTTCTCGGAGATGCTGGCTGAAATTCTGGAGGGTCATTTGGAAGAGCTTCTGCCCTTCACCCCCTCCAGGCCACCTTTGTGGGCTTTATCCCAGAGATTTACCCAGCATGCATCCAAGCACACCTTTGAAAGAGTGGGAGGCAAAGGCAATCGCCTGGGGAGCAGATGTGAAAGTTTCTCCAAGGCAGGCTGAAGGCGGCAGCTGAACCCAGAAGAGCGTCTCGTTCCTCCAGGACGGTGTGGGTGCGATGTTCTCTTGCATGAGTGACCTAGGTGAGCTGAATGCGGGGGGGAGGGGTGAGCGGGTAAGGAGACTGTGCAGAGAAGGGCCTGCAGCAAGCTCTGAGAACCACACATACACACCATCCTTGGCACCCACAGTAGCACCATTTCTGAGAGATGTGAAGCGGAAGGAGGTGCTCCTCCTCCATGCGGCTCCTTGGCCTCTGGAATCCCCTCTGCCATCGCTTGGCTTCCTCCCTGCTGGCTGGGCTCAGCGCTCATCAACCGGTGGGACCCCTCTGGGGAGCTGCAGTAACTCCACTGAACAGAGGAGCAAATTGTGGACCGGATCCTTCTGTCTGGCTACCAGGACAGATAAAAAAGGAGTGGGGGGAGTCCGGGGGCACCTGGTCTCCTGTTGCCATTCACGGGGAAGGCAAAACTCTGTCCCCAGGCTGAGGGCACCTCTCAGCTCCTAGCAGTCAGAAGAGATGGGGCAGGCAGAAGCTCTTTGTCCAGCCACACAAGTCCAGCATCTGCTTCACAGAGGTTGTCCCCCCCCATCCCTCCTTCTTGGCAGAGCTCCTGCTGGGCAGTCCCTCAGCCACCCCAAAGTTTTCTCCACACACCAAGGCTACATTGGCCTGCCTGCTTGTCCTTCCCAGCCTCAAGGGCGGGGGCTGAGGGCGGGCAGCTGCCTCATTTCTTCCTGCCAGAGGTACTGGCCCTTCTGTCAGTGTCCCGCTTGGGGAGGCCTTCATCTGTGGAGGAGGTGGTGAGCAGCGCCTGGCCCCAGCGGGTGATCTCCCCGTGCTCCGCAATAGATGAACTCAGAGCCGTCAGCCAGGTCTTCATGTCCTCCTGGGGAGGGAAGAGTCCTTATAGGTCTGTGAGGGGGGGGCCACCATGCCCTGGGGGTGGGGGGGGGAGGAAGACCGTACCTCATCCTTGGCTTGCAGGAGGAATTCAACCCCGTCGTTGGTCCTGCAAGGGAGAATCCCATCAACAGGGGAGCAGTTTTGGTCCCCACCTGGCAATCCTGCCAGTCCCTCCATGGGGTCTGCATCTTTGGCTCAGACACACCTCCCCCTGGGAGGAGACTCACTTGATCTTCAGTACGTTCTTCTTCTTCTTGTAGTCATTGGCCACCTCCGCGCCGCCACTTTGCAGGCTCAGCAGAGGCTCATTGCTGTGGGTGCTTCCAGATTCCCGGCCTTTGGAGTCCTTGTAGAAGCCCAGCTCCCCTTTGCTGAGCACGCAGTAAAGGTTGATCCAAGATCTACCAGAAGGGGAGGGGGAAGAAGCTTTATCAGGATCCGTCCATCCTCCCAGCAGCTCCCTGGCTTTACATCGGAAACCGGCTCTAATCCAGTTCCAGGGCATGTGCATTAGGGGAAGGCCGAGTCTTCCCCACGAAGCCTCCTCTCCCTCAGCACAGGTGAGCCCGAGGTCCATTCCAGGCTGGCACTGAAAAATTGGATTTACTACCAGTCCTCCTACCTACGACCGTTACAGCAGCGCCACAATCACAGGGTCAGAATTAGGGCTCTTGGTAAGGGGCCCCCATTTATGGCCATCCCTGCATCCAGGAGTGCTTTCTCCTGGCCTGCACCACTTGCCTCTGCCCCCCCATATCTGCCTTCTGTCACCTGCAGAGCTGAGAGGGGCAAGAGGCTGCTGCATTCTGTTCATTGCTTCTCCCCTCCCCCGCCGTCTGTCCCCAGCTGACCTTTTCTTCTTTGCCCTCTGCTGGGCTCACTGGTACCAACTAGCCCCAAGCCCCGTGGCATGGCAGGCCTTCCCATTCCAGCAGTCTCAGACCGCCATGGAAACAGGAGGGGTGCTTGCATCTGTGGCCCCGGCCCCTTCCCTTGTGGAGACATCTGGGCAGCACGTGCTGGATGGCTCCCCCCTTGGGGCTGGACGGCCAAGGAGCTGGTTTGTGTGGGGCAGGGATGCATGGGGTATGCAGAGCCCTCCAGCCAGGGGCAGACTAGAATTGCTTGAGGTAACTGGTGTCGGAGGGGAGGGGAAGAGGAAGGTCAGCTTGGGGGAAGGGAATGGCAGAAAATGGGGCTCTTCACCTTGGCGGGGGGGGGGACTTGAAGCGGAGGCCATTTGTGCAAAGCAGGAGAAACTTGAGGTATTCACTAAGACCACCATTGCTAAACTGTGTGACCACATGATGTTTCACTTAATAACCGCTTCAGTTAGGGACGGAAATTCTACTCCCAAGTAGGGTCCCAAGCCTGTTCTTCTGCTCATTCATCCTCACCGTCCCTCTCACCTCAGCTGTTATTCTCATGGCTTCCTCAGGTTCCCCTTTCCCAAACCATTTGGAACAGCGTCTCCGAAATTGTATTCTTCAAATGTGGGGGCTTCCATTCCCAGAATTCTTAGATTGCTGCACTGAGGAATTCTGGGGCTTTTCATCATTATAAGGACCTGACTAACAAAGTCTGCCTTTGGTGCTCACCAGAGAAAGCCAGGAGGGTCACCTTTTGTCTCTCTGGGACTTTAACCCTCAATTCCTTCACAGACTCCAACCTTTGTCAAGCTCTGGGCCATTTAAGGGACACTTCCTTTAAATCAGGATGTTGTGGCACCCTAGCGTTCCCTTCTAGTCCAGGACCCCAAACTCAGATGTCCTTCTAGCAGTTCAGAGGAAATTGCCCTCCCCCCAAGAACCCCGTCCCAGGACGATGAACTCCTCCTACCGACCAGTTTGCCCAGCCCATCTGCCCACCGTACATGGCCACCCAAATGCCCTGGCCCCATAACCAGGCCACCCTCTTGGGTCTCAGAGTGAGGGTAGCTGCCAGCTGTTGCTGCGTCAGATCTGGCTGCAGAACTGCACTTCCCCCCGAAGCAGCACAATCTTGCTGGGAGCCCCCCCCACCTCACCTATTTGCGGCTTTCTTGCTTGGCCCCTCCAGCTCAAGCTTGCGGAGAAGGTAGCCCTCCTGCTGGACAGTATGTGTTGGGGGTGGCGGAGGTGGGGTGCTGCTCTGGGCAGGGGCAGAGCGTGAGCGCCAGGCTTCGCCTGGTGGTGCATTGGGGTCTTTGGGACGGGGCCTCCGGCGAGGTTTCGGTCTGTCGCGGGCACGGGGCCGGTCTGGCCGTGGCGTCCTCTCCGGGAGCACATCGAGGCCGTTGGGCAGGCGAGCAGGAGACTCTCTTTCCCGCGGCTGCAGGGGAGAAAGGTCCGACAGCTGTGAAGAAAGGAGGGACCCGTGGGCTGTGTGCTGGAGGCTGCCAAGGAAGGGAACTCACCGTGGCAGGGGCCAGCACTCCCGATTCCTTCTCCTGAAGCTGCTCCACGATGTCAGCCAGGGTGGCTTTGCTGTGGACAAGAGAGGGAGGATCAGCCAGAAGCGGGCAGCAGCCAGCTCAGCAGTGTCACGTGGCTGAAGAGGAACCGGGTAGTTTGGAGGACATGGTTGCCACACTTCAGCCTGCCCCAGCCTGCCCACAGTTCTTCTGAGTTCCCAAAGGACCCACCGCCTCAGAAATGCTGCCAGTTCATCTGTCTTTTATTACCAGATTAACCTTTCCCCCGGCTGAAATTGCAGCCAAAGGACTCCGCAAGCCCTTGAGCAGAGTCTCCCCATGTGGGAGTCCTGCACACGGAAAGGGGCAAGCTGCAGCCTCATGCTTGCTGTCCAAGGCACCAGCACCTACCCGCCTGCTTTGGGGTCCACGTGTGGAGCCTCCTGCTCGCTGGATTCCCGCCGCTCTGCCCTCCGGTCTCGTCTCTCTCTCTTGCGCTCAGCTGGCTCGTGCCGGGGTGCGTCCTGCTCGGTGGACTCATGATGCTCCAGTGATCGGCGAGCTTCCTGGCGCTCCCGGTGCCTGTCCGGCCGGCTTAACTTGACCTCCCCCTGTTCTAGCAAGGACCCAGGAGCTCGGCTCAAAGTACCCGTTCTGAGGGCTTCCTCTACAGCCACGCTGGCCTCGCCGGCTTTCTCCTGGGCTTTGGCTTCCATGGCAGCCCCCTGGCCCTCTTGTAGGTGGTCAATCTTGGGCTGCAGCCGCTCGGGTTTCAGCTCCTGCCGGACATAGGCCACCTTGGCCTCAGTGGACTCCGGCTCTAGTCCATTGAGCAGTGCATGGGCCTTCTCGAAGAGCGGCTGACACAGGAAGGAGGCACCCTTGCTGCTCAGCTCGGCAGGATCCGGGAAGATCTTTCGGCCCAAGAGGGGGGTGGGTGGCTGCTTGCTTTGCTCGGCCTTCAGCTTCTCAATCTAAGGGGTAACCGAGACGAGAGAGAGGCCAGTGTCTTGTGCGCCCATCACGCTGAGCCTGCCCTGCCCACTCCCCCCAGGGCAAGGGGCCCGAGTCTGGACTCTTACGGTGGTGAGACGTCTCAGGGAACTGAAGCGCTCCTCCCAAGTGGCAGCAGCTTTCCGGAAGGCTTCGTGGCGCCGGATGAGCTGCTCCACCTCATCCACACTGTTGCCCAGCTCCCGGCTCCTTAGCAGGGGCTCTTGGGCAGTCAGCCAGGCATCCGCCACAACAGCCTCCTGGGCAAACTGGTGCACCTCCAGCACTGCCAAGGAGGAACAGCCCTGAGCAAAGGCTCCTCTAGATGTGCCCAGCCCCCTGGCGCTGCCCGACCTGTGGCAGGAAGCTCAGAGGTAGGGCAGCTGAGCAATGCCCAACTTGGGATCCAGCAGGGGCTGTCCTTGTCCACATGTGCTGAGCGTTTTCTCTCTCTCTCTCGGGCCAGCTGGGCATGCACCACTCTAGAGGCAGCCACTGAGTACGAGGACGCTTGCTGCCACCCTCCAAGCTGTGGCTCCAGCCACCACTGCTCATCCGGTGGTCCCGTGCCCCGACTGCCCCCTTTGCCTCTACCCCTGGGAGGAGGGCTGGGCCAAGTGGGCTTACTTTGCTGCAGCCACTCCCAGTGCTGATCCCACTTGTCCACCATCTCCTTCTTCTTGGTCCTCAGCTTCTCCAGGTGGAGCTTGATCTGCATTGCAAGCAAGAGAAGCCTGGCTGGGAGAGGGAGAGGGCGCAATTTTGAACCTTCCAGGATCCCCGTCGCAGTCTGGGAAAGCTCTGCCTTTGCTCAGTGCCTGAAGCTGGGCACTTTTCTAAGCCCCTCTGCTCCCAGACCCAGAATATCCTCGGCTCTCTCTGGCACTGGGCAGGGCAAAGGCTGGAAACCTGAAGGCTGGCCTGCCTGCCGGCCCTGGAAGCTCTCTGCTCTGCTCTGCTTTCCACAGCAGCCTGGAGGCACCTGGGCTTCCCGCTGAAATCAGCAAGAGCAAAGGCAGTCTGCTCATGCGCAGAGAAACGCTCTCTGGCTCCTGGATCCCGTCAGGGGAGCACCATCGGCAACAGTCTTCTCGCTCCCCCAGAGTTTTCGTAGGAGGCTCTGGAAGGGGAACGCCATACAACATCTCCCCCTCCACCCGACAAAGAATGGACCTAGCTCCAGGTTCCCCCCCACTCAACTGCAGCAAATCCAGAGTAGCTGATCCGCCCCACCACTTGTTTCCTCCCTGCAGTTTCCTCATGCAGATTAAAGACCTGCATGCAGCGATGGATTTGGGGAAACCCTCTGACAAATCGATTGGTGTCCTTCCAGAACCATCAGCCTCAGCAACCAAGTGAGCCCCGCATGCTAAATCCCCAGAGCACTCCAGGTGCCAGACCTGGGGAGTCCTCCAGTCCCCCATGCAGTGGGCCCACCCATATGCCCTCGGCCCTGCAATGGGCCCTGGGTGAGACTCACCTCCTCAGAGGCTGGGCTTCTGTTCAGCACCAGAGTCTTGCCCAGGTCGACGCAGGTGGAGATGGACTTGCTGCGAGCCTCAATTTCACCCTTCAGGCCTTGGTGGTCGCTCATCAGTACCTCCACCGTGGACACGTCCCTGCGCACAGAGATGGCGTGGGGAGAGTGGAAGGGCCATGAGGAGGCATCGCTCCTTCAGAGGATGGCAGGCCGGGGCTGCTCTCCCCCCCTCAGCAGTACCTGGGCTTTTCGCCAGCACCAATCTGGCAGAGAATGATGTCCATCCAGGAAACGAGGTCCCGCACTAAATTCAGGAAGCGGATCTTATCGGCCGTGGTGGTGACCTGCAGCCGGCAATCTTCGCACAAGCCTAACAACTCTTTCCAGGAGCGCATCACCTCCTGCTCCTTGGTGGCGATGGCGTTGGCATTCTCACCCGCGTATACCGTCTGCAGTTGGGCTGCCACCTCCTGCAGTTGCCGTACCTGCCGTCCATTCCCCCCCCCCCAGAACAGGAAGATATTATCCTATCAGTCAGCTTGCTCGCCCCCCCCGGTTGAGCGTTCCCTGAACACTGTTCCCTTCCCACTCACCTGGGCCACCAGCACCTGGATGTCATGCTCAAAGGACTTGAGCATCCTTTGCAGAGTCCCAGCTGAGGTCTTGCACTCCCGGGCCGCAATCGCGGGTAGGCGCTGCTTCTTCTCCTCAATTTGGGACAGGACATCCTTGCAATCGTTGAAGAACTTGTGCAGCTCGTGGGAGGCAGCCAGCATCTGCGCCCTGGTCTCGATCAGCTCCAGCAAGTCCGCCCAGGCCTCGTTCACCCCGTCCTTCCACTCAGCAATGATGGCAGCATCTGCGTGCCCGTACTCAATCAGCTCATCCACCATCTGGTTGATGGCCAAGATCCGCTCGTTGCCAATAGTGCCTGTCTCGCTGGCAAACTCGGTAAACTTCTCCTGCAGCAACTGTGCAAAACAAAGAGAGAGCTATGTGGACGCACAGGTGTGTCTTGTGCAACAGCGGCCGAAACCCTCCTTGCTTTCTGCGTTCTGGACATGCAGTTCTCAATGTTTCCTTTTCCTTGCCAGTTGTTAATTCCCCTGCTTCCCCTTTGGCTCCTGGAGCCGGCCCAGGGCTGGAGAGCATTTCCTAGGCATGGGCAAAGCACACCTCAGCCCCACCGAGCATCCCATTTCTTAAGAAACCAGCTTTTGGTGGGCACTGGCATCCCCTGGACAGGGCCTCCCTCCCGCTTCTGGGCCGTTGGCCATTTGCCCTTTCTCACGGTCACGTGCTCGAAGTCCTGCCCCAGTTCGGGTGAGCCAGCCACCACCTCCTTCTCAGCAATCCAGTGCTCCATCTCGTCCACCTCGCGGTGGAGCTGGTACAGCCAGTACTGCTGCTCCAGGCTGGCCTTACGCTCCTCCACCAAGTCCTTCAGGGAGACGTAGAGCCGGTCCACCTGGGACTGCCTCCGGCTGACCTGCTCGCTGGCAAGGACACAAGCTGGTCAGTGTGGCCGGCAGGGGGAGTAGGCGAGGGGTGGGAAGAGCAGGGCCCCACCTGTCTGCGTGGCCTAGCTCCAGCAGGGACCGGCACTGCCGCGACAGCTGGGCGATGGTCTCCGCGTAGTTCTCCACTGTCTGTTCGGCCATCAGATGCTTCTTCAGCAGCTGGAGCGTGCTCTGCTCATCCTGGAAAAAGGGTTCCAGGGAGGGGAGTGTGGGCCCCCTTTCCCCCTCTTGCCCTGCTGGTCCGTTCTGCAAGTTGGTGTCCTCGGATCTGCAGCTGGAGAAGGCGGCTTTCCCCAAGCGCCTCTCTTATGGCCAACTCTGGATCCGGGCAGCCAAAAGCCAGAAGGGCCAGGCCTGCACAGGATCCCCAGAGTGGTCTGAGGAGGAGAGTGGCGGCTTTGGCTGCCCAAGGGCTCAGGGGACAGCCTGGGAAGGGGAGCTGCTCCCCAGCCAGCAGACCCCTTCCAGTGGCTGGCCGGCCACTCCCCCTGCTTTGCTCTAGGCAGCCCCCGGCCAGGGCAGAGGGGAGGCTCACCTTGCCCTTCTCGTCGGTCATCATGAAGAGCTCCTGCTCGCTCAGCCAGGCTTCCACCTCCCCAACATCAAAGAAGTACTGCTCCACTTGGTAGGTGGCGTCCAACAGCTGCTGCCGCTGCTCAGTCTCCTCCTGGAGGGCACCCCACAGCTCGGAGAGCTTCTCCCACAGAAGCCGCACTGTGTCCACCTCAGGGCTCTGGATGGAGGCGATGCTACCGGCTCGCGCCAGCACCTCATCTACTCGGGGTTTGTGCACCTGGATCTCACGGCGCAGGTTCTGGTGTCAGAGACAGAGCATTTGGGGGGGGGGGGGATGCACTAAGCATCCAGCCAGAGTGGAGCTTGGCTGCCAGGTCCAGCCTTGAGGATGGGGAGGGGGGTTAAGGACCGTCTTTTGCCACCACCACTGACTCTCCATTTGAGTTATGGGGGAAGGGGCTTCGGGCTGGCACCCAGAGGCTCAGCCACGCCAGCGCAGCTCTCCAAAGCAATGCCACTTTCTGGGTTGGCTTCTGAGCCAAGCAGGTTTTTAGCCAAGGCCCCTCTCTGGGCAGGGCTGCCCGCAAAAAGAACCTGCTCACCTGGTTCTTTTTGATCAGCTGCTGGACGCTCTGTAGGTTGCTCCCGCGGTCTTTCAGCCTGGCCAGTGGGAGGTGGTCCTGCACCCAGACCTAAAGGGAAAGCAAGGGCAAAACTGAGGCCCTGAAAGCAACGTGAGCCACGTGGCCAGCTGGCAGCTCCACACTACCAAGGGCCAGTGTGGAGACAGCGTGGGATCCTCTATGCATCACTTCTCTTGGCTGCCCTTTGGCCGGGAGGGGGGGCTTCGTGCTGTTTTTTTTTTTTTTTTTTTTTTTTACTGGGGGGCCGGAAACAAGCCACTCGGCGTCCTATGGATTTCTGTACCTGGACATCCCATTCAGAGAGGAGTCCTGTATGGCCCAGAGTCCTGGCTGGCTGCAAATCCCATCAGCTTTCCTGAAGCCAGTCTGGCCGCCATCTCTGCCCAGCACTTACCAGCTCATCCTCCAGATCGTGGCTGATTTGATGCAGCTCCTTGGAGGCCAGCAGGATCCTCCGGCGCTCCCGGAGGGGCTCAATGAGGCGGACAATCCGTGCTCCCACCACGTTCTGCCTGCCATCCACCATCTCCTGGCTGGCCGTCTCCAACGGCAGGGCAGCGACCTGGGCCTGCAGCTCCCCCGCCTCCTTGGACCACTCCTCCACTTGCGTCTCCAGGGTCTGCGAGAGAGAGGGCTGGCACTGGGTGGCACCCACGAACACACTCTGGCTTCTGCCAAGTGTGACTCTGGGCAAGGGGCTCTGCTGCAGCCTCGGGTCCTCCCCTGGGAAACACTGGCTGCTGGAAGAGCTCATGGCTCAGGCCTTCAGCCCCCCCAAATGCCCTCCTCCCCTCTCCCCGTCATCGTTCTGCTTGATGGGTGAAATTCACAAAAGATGGAACTGACATCTTTGCTAAAGGTTTGGGCTTTGCTCTGAGAGCTGAAGGCTTGGTCACCCGATCATTGCCAAGTGGGCTATGCCTGCGGCCTGAGTGGGAGGGGCCCAGGGTCAGCTCCAGCCCAGCTTCCCCTCTCCAAACAACTTGCCCCTGTTCCAGAGTAGAGCTTGGGGGATGCAACCAGCAACACCTGATGCCCAAGAAGAGGAAGGGGCTGTCCTGTCTAAACTGCCTGGCTTGTAATTACCCATAATAATGATTCTCACATAGACTATCCCTGCTCTAAAAGGGCCAAATAAACTTCAAGCCAGAAACGGAAAAGAGAGCAAGCATCTCAAGAGAAGCTTATGGATCACTGAGCTAGCAGGTGGGAAGTTTTTCTGGGGAGCTGACCCAGGAAGACCCACAGAGCAGATGAAAAGGTGGAGGCAGAGGGCTCTTCCTGGTCTGATCGGCTGCGGTCCCTCCAGGTTCCTCCTGCAACAACTTGCCTCTTGGAGGAGGAAGCATAACTCTGTAATAGGTCTGATCTGATCAACTGCTCCAGCAGAGGCTCCCAGTAGCCCCAATGGGGCAGTTCCCAGACTTCCCCCCATTCTGTAGCTCCTCCAGTGGCCCACACAGAGCACTCCTCTCCCCCCCCCCAGCACACCAGCAAAAGAATCCATGGCAGGTCTGCGCTTGCCTGAAGGAGTCAAGTCTGGTGAAGGCCTGGCTGGGCCAAAGGGCTTCCTCTGGCCTCCCCAGAGGGCCCCAGTTCACACAGGCAGCTTCTTGCCCCAGTGGAGCCCAACAGCTGGCCATGGCCTACTTTGCCCAACTGGTATTCCACTGGTCTCCAAGCTCCGCAGCATTGCTCAGTGACTCTCTTCTCGAAGTCCACTCTGGGTGGCAAAGATGCCAAAAGGCCTCTCCCATTAACAAGAACCCAAGGGAAACCTGAAGAACTCAGATAGGCAAAGCCTGGGAAAGGGAGCGCAGCAGCGGCGGCAGCAACTGGTCAGGAGAACCAGGAACAGGTTTGCAGAGGGAGGGTGTGCCACAAATGCTGCCAGCTCTTCCCATAAGGCAGGCTAGGCCAGGCACCTTGTAACCAAGGGGTGACTCACCCCACCCCAAAAGGACTAGCAATCCCCGCTGCTGGAAAAGGCTGGCCGCAAATCAGAGGAGGAGCAACCCACCGGAGTCTGGGGGGGCCCTGGTGCTCTCTGAGCTTGGTGGTTTTCTTGCAGACATTTAATTACCCAACTAGGTAACATCATCAGTGCTAGTCTGATGTTAGTGCTACACTACAACTGATGATGGTACCTAATTGGGTAATGAAACATCTGCAAGAAAACCACTAAGCTCAGAGAGCAGCAAGAACTCCTCATTTCAACCCTGAGCTACAATAGTCTGTTACCACTGTAAGTAGACCAGCCAAACAGGCACCCCTTTGCACCACAGGCTCTCCTTTTCTCCTGGGGCTCCATAGACTGTCGGGGGGGGGGGGCAGCAGAGGCTGGCTCACCACTATCCAAGGTTACTCCAGGCAACCCTCATCCCCCCAGTACCAACCAAAGCTGATTGGGTGCAACAGGTAATCAAGGAGGCACCTGCTGCTTTATTTTTAATTTGCAGCATGTTGCACTTTCTTTCAATGCTGTCCTACGAAGCCAAAAGAGGTCCAGACATTCCAGTTATCTCAGGAAAGGTCTCACCTGGACCCCCAAATATTCTGCCCTGGAGAAGCCCAGACTGGCAAAGCCTTCACACAGCTGGAGCCGTAAAGCCAGATGCCTTTGGAAGCCCACTCCCACAGCCCCCAAATCTCTTCACCTCAAAGACCTTTCGCTGACCTCTTGCAACCCACCTGCAGCTTCTTGAGGTTGCTGTTCACGCTGGCCAGGCCCGGCCCAGCATCCACCGCCTGCAGTTGGCTTTCCATGTGCAGAAGCTGCTTGTCCAGCTCTGTGTAGCTCTGCACTATCCGGTCGGCCTGCGTGGCTTCCAGGAGCTGCTGGGTCTTTGCCTGAGTGGCCGACTCCAGCTCTGCCCAGCACTGCCGGATCTCCCCCAGCTTCTTCCTCACTGTTTCTGCCAGCTCTGGCTTCTCCTGGATCAGCCGCCGCCCCTCCTGGGGGCAAGAGAGGGAAAGGAGAAGAGCTGGCACAGCGCCCCATGCCTTCTGTCAATGGCCCCGGATGCTGGGCCCAAAGCTTCTGGCTCCGAAGCTCTCCCGATGTGACCTTGGGAAGTTGAGTCAAGGTTCCCTGGGCCTCTGGGCACAGCCTCCAGCACAGCTTGGGAGTCTGGACTCTGCATCAGCCCCTTCCTGAAAACGTTCCCTGACCTTCTACAGGGCCATAATCAATGCGAGGGATTGTGGGGAAGCCGGAAAAGTAACGGGAGGAATGTCAGAAAGGCACCAGAAAATAAGAGAGAAATTTGTTAATAAGTTATTTCCTAAGTGGTGGCTCAGTCCAGCTTGCAAAAATCCTGGGCAGCCATTGCAAGAGCCTTTGCCTTATTACCGCCTTAAGAAACTCGGCTGGATCTTCCTTGCTGAGATTCTGGCCTTCTCTCCGAGTCCCAGTATTGAAAGTGCTTTGTTTGAGCCCTGCCACAAGGCCTCAAAACACACATCTGTCAGCAGCCTTGCATCTTCAGCAACTGGCCTGACCCCCATGATCCGCTCCGACTCGCCAATGCTAGGGGCCGGTTGTCACTAGGCGCGCTTGCCACACCAGCACCAAAGACAACTTGAGCAGCTTTTGCCATCGGTCAAGGGAGACCCAGGCCCTCCTGTCCTGTGGGCTTAATTTAAACACAGGTTCCCCAGAACTGCTGCATGCAGCCCCGGAGAGCACAATTCTCCCATCTCTCTCCTTGGCTCCAGGCTTTGAAGGGCCCCCGAGAATGGCTCTGCAGACCCAGCTGAGCTTTCAGCCAGCGCTGCCTGTGCCCCTCTTCCTGAGATGGGGAAAGAAGGCAGCCCCTCTAGCAGGGAGCCGCCCTTGTCTTGCCCCCCCCCCCAGGTTGCTGTCATTGGATGCACAATAATAGCAGAAGGGGAGAAATGGGGTGGAGGGAAGCACTGTACCAGCTCAGCAACCTTCCCTTCCTCTCCACTGATCTGTCCAAAGTCACAGAGAGGGTTAGGGTTGGGGGGGGGCAATTTACTCTAATCCTTTTTCCGCTGGTTCCCTTCCAGTGCCCCCTCCCCTGCTTCCCCAGGAGAGCTTTCCACCCCTGGGGGGGCAAGATGCTCACTCCCTTTAGGCAGATCGGTTGCACCCTTTTATGCGAAGCCCAGTGCCTCCTTCTCAGGGAGTTTTCCTGGGCGGGGTGTGTGTGTGTATCACGGCACTGCCAAAGGCATCAAAGCCCTCCTAACTGCCTTGTCTTGTGTCGGGTGGGAGGGGGCAGTGGCAGGAGCTCCCACTGCAGCTGTGCACCACCTGTCTTCCCTGCCTGCAGGGTGGGGGTGACTTGCAGGGCAGGCCTTGGGACACTGCAGCAAACTACCTGGGTAGCTTCATCAGCCCGATGCCTCCCTGGGCACCACCTGCAGGTCCCCAGGCAAGCAGCTTCCTGCCCAGGCCACAGGTCAAGACATGAGTTTTGGAGCCCCTGGCAACACTTACAGGCCCAGACCTTGGGGTGTATCAGGAGGGCTTCTAGCTTGCTCTATTTTCTTGGGAATAAACCTCCGTCTTTCTCTGCTGAGGGGAGTTTCTCATGTGGTGCACACACAATCCCACCCAGCCCCAGCTGTCAAGGGAGCTTCTGGGTGGGACCACTGAGAAAATGTGCCAGTTGCTGCTGCCAATCCTCAACCCCCAAGGGCAAAGGGCTGTGCATAATACCCCAGCCCCCTCCTGCCTGCCGGACCTTTACTGACGGGTTGGCCTGATTTATACAGAGGCAGGCAGGCAGGCAAGATTAACCCACCCACTGCTTCTCTATCAATTATACCCAGAGCAAAAGCAATGCCAAGCCCCCCCCCCACCCCCTAAAACCTGGCACAGGAGCAGCACTTGGCTCAGACACGAGGGAATCTCCTGCAAGAATATGGACCTCCCTCTACTCACTCGGCCTGGGGTTTCCTGCTCCACTCAGTTTGCCAAGATCTTCACAGAGGGTGCCGGGAATGCTTCCCAGGGACCCTTCTGGATGGGCCAAACTTTTGGCGTGCAAAGCGAGTGGTCTGCCATCCAGAGGGCTTCCTGCTGCCTTGAGATCCCTGCAGCATCAGCAGCTTTGGGGCAGGGTCCCCTGGGTTCACCCCCCCAGAGGAATGCAGACGGAAGGAAAGAAGGGGTGCAAGCTCTATGGCAAGAGATACCTGGTGCCCAAATTCAGAAGGGACCCTTGTCTCTAGCTATACCATGTGGTGCCAAGGGGGCAGAGACTGCCCTATATTCACTGCCACTTGCTCTGCATTCAACCAGCAGCTCCAAACCTATCCCGCACCCTTGGGTGCCAAGAAACCCTCTCTTCCTCCTCCTCCCCCCAAGGGGTCCACCCTTACCTGGGAAACAGCATCTTTTCAAGTACACGTAACTCAACTCTTCATGCTACCAGCAGTCACAAATGAGCCCCTCCTTGGGGAGAACTGGCAAGTCAGGGATGTACCATCATGATGACCAAACCCCCTCCCCCTCCAAGCCAGCCGGCCGGCCTGGTTCCAGAACCACCTCCCTCCAGGCCAGATTCGGCCTGAGCCTCTTCCGCCACACCTGCTGCTCCCAGGGCAGCCCCAGCCCCCTTCCCGGAGTTTCTTCATAGATGGGGCTACGGCCCCCTCCCCAACGGAAGAAGCCCCCCAGCTGCAGAAGGCCAGCCAACCTTCCAGCCAGGGAGCAGGCACCGCACATCACATCTGGCGACAGACACACAACAGGCCAGGCACAGCAGAGGTTGCGGACCGAAGGGGGGGCGCTTGCATCCTCCCGGAGCTCCCGGGTCAAGGCAGAGCAGAGCCCATCGGGAGGCGCCGGGCATCTGGGCAGCTTCCCCGGAACTCCCTCCAAGACGCAGTGCGGGGGGGAGGGGAATCGGCCGGCCTCCCCACCTGAGCCGAGCCACGCATCGCCCGAAGCGCGTCCTGCGTCATCAGCCGCCCGGCCGGGGCCGAGGGGGTCTTTCCTCCCCCGCCAGGCGAGCCCCCGGCCTCGCTCCTCTCGCACCCACCTTTTCGATCTTGTGCAGCCATTCCTTATTCTGCGCCAGCTCGGCAGTGAAGGCGCGGTGCCGGAGCCATCGCTTGGGGGCCCGCGGCGGCGGCGGCTTCCATGGCGGCGCGTCCTTGTCACGGGGCGCCTCGCCGGCCATCAGCGCCTTTTTCTCCGCCACCCAGCCATCCAGCTGCGAGAGAGAGAGAGAGAGAGAGACGGGCGGACGGGGAGGCGCGCTCAGCCCGGGCTCCCGTCGCCCCCTCCTACCTGCGCAGTGGGCGCCTCCGCCCGGCGGCTGCAGCTGAGGCCGGGCCTTGCAGCGTCACGGTCCCCAGCGCTCCGAGCCCGGCCGGCGCGCTGCAGCGGCAGAGCCGCGGAGTCGCCCGCCCGCCCATCCCCAGTTCGCGAGAGGGGGGGGAGGGGGAGCTTCGCTCTCGGAGAAGGATTTTCGGGTGCGGGAGGAGATAGACTCAAACCGCTTGTTCCTCCTCCCCCATTCATCCCAGCCTCCAGCCAGCCCTCTCCGAGGCGGGGGTGGGCAACTCGGGGGGGGTCGGGTGCACCGAAGCGACCCCGCCTGGAGAAGGGGCAGTGCAGGGGCTTCAAGCCGGGCAGTCGTCGCAGAAGAGGGCGAGAAGACCGGGAACTCTGCTAAGTAGGGGGGAGGGGGACGGTAGAGGGGTAGACCGCCCCGCGAATGAAATGCCCACCAGGCCTGCGGAGGGAAGGGGGAGATGGGTTTCTCTCGCTAGCGAGGGAGCCGGGAAGGCTGTGGGTGAACTTTCTGGTCCTTGGCTCCTTCCGCTTTATTCATTCCTCCCCCTCCCCCCCCCCAGACCCTCCTAAGGGCCAGCTGATCCTGTTGGTTTGTGTGCAGGCACACACATGCCAGGGTTAAGGCTGCATGTCTAAATATTCCCTCATGAAAACCCCCAAAACAGTAAGCACTACCCTACCCTTTTGCAAAGGGGGGTGTCCTTCTGGACAAAGCAGAATAGCCTCCCCGGCATCCTTTCTGAAGCCCTCCAGAGGACTAGCTGTATTTGGGGAGGTATAACTGGGGCAAGGGTCCCCCATGGCTGCCATCTTCAAGCCCCCCCCCCGTTTGTTCTGGCCTCTCAGGGGACAGAGAGGGCCCCCCTGGGAGTCCCCAGGATCCATACCTCATGGCAGTTTTGTAGGAAGCACTGCAGCTCCAGGTGGTCAGTGAGGCGCAGCATCCAGGTGTTGGCCAGCTGGACATTTTGTCTGCTCCTGCAAGGGGAGCAAACTGGTCAACCTAGTCAGCTTCCTCCCCAGGAGGATTCTGCCTGGCACATGGAGCCCTGCCCCCTTTTCAGCCTTCCTGGTATCTGACCCAGCCAGGCCCCCTTTTTCCTTAACGGAGGGGATGTGGAGGCAGGGCTAGGCTTCAGACCCCTTTGCATGCAGGGAAGCGTTCCTCCAAATTTCTCTGGGCTCTTCCAGCTTTGGGTTAAAAAAAAAGCACAGTTGAGCTGCTGTTTCTATCTGGAGCAGAAAAGTAGATTTGGGATCTGACACCATTTAAGATATCAAAATTAATTAGCACTTGGCCTTCTGCAAAGAGAAGCTTCCAAGGGAGAGAGAGAAGCAGTCCTTCACAGCATGGACGGTTCCTTCGGACCCCAGCCCCTTTGCTCCAGCCCTCTTTCATCTTAGTGGGTCTAGCTCCTTGCTTGGACCCAAGGCCTGGGGGCTGTGGGGAATGCAGCCAGACAGTCACCTGGGGGAGATTGAGAGCCACCTGGTCTGCAGGTGGGGGGGATGCCTTCCCCAACCAGCAGCATCCAACTGGTTGCAAACGGCCACAGCTCCACCACAGCTCCTCGAGGCACTCGGTGGGGAAGGCACTGGTGTTTATTTCTCTGGGGCCTGAGAGTGTGTCCTGCCCCACAGGTGGAGCTTTTTCCCTTTGGTCAATGCCTTCCTCAGGCCTAGCAGCTTGGGGCCCTGTCGCAAAAGCTGTGAGGTGCTGCCTGCAGCCCCCTCCTCATTGCATAGCCTATACAACTGGGGCTGGCCAAGGGTTCGCCTGCCCCTAGTCAGCAAGGTTGGGCTCAGTCAGAGGGAGAGTGGCAGGGAATGGCTTGCGTCCGCCCTGGGATTCTGACCCGGGCAAGGATGGGAAGGGACCTCCCCGCACTTTGTTCAGCAGAAGACCTTCTGGGCAGGTCCTGTGGGTTTTGCATTTGGGGGGGGGGTGTTCTGCTGACCACCTTACTTTGCCTGGAGGGTCTCCATTTTGTTCTTCACCGGCTCACTATAGAGGTTGCCCTGCCGAATCAGGCTCTCGCCCGCCTTGAGAGCCACGGTGGTCTTTTGCATCTGGAGCTCCATGGTGGTCATGAACTCTTTCTGCTTCTTGATAGCCTTCTCCACCCCTTCCACAGTTGTGGGCAGCTCTGTGTGATCCAGTGTGGCTTCCTGCAACAATGCCAGAGAGGGCCTGAGGCCTTGGCTGTCAAAATCCTCCTATTCCCTTCAGCTGGTTGAGCTGCTTCTATGGAGACTTTCTGCAAGAACTGCTGAAGTCAGGCCGGGGAGCCAGGAGACCCCAACTGCATCATCCACAAGGCTACCCCCCCCTTAACGCATTACTTGAAGGCTTTGCAAAGCCTCAGGATGCCATGCACAGGATAAACCTGCGTGAAAACAAAACCAGAAGCAGCATAACACGGATAAGGCTAGCATGCTGCAAAGTTTTTTGGGGGGGGGGGCGTGCCCTGGATGACACTACAAGGCAGCCAGTTAGAAAATGCACAACATTCTTGAGTTTTGTTCTAGGTGGAAAAGTGTTCAGGGCAAGACAACAAAAAGGCTGATATGGTCAAGGCTGGAAATGATAAAAGAGCAAAATATTATACTAGAATTTATTTGATATTGAAATGGGAGGAAAAGTCCCATTTGCAAAAAAGTCAAACTTTCTGCATGGTGGTAGCTCTCCCTCAGCCCCCCCCCCATGAGCAGAAAGAAATAGCTATAGGTAGGAAAGGAAACCCCCCCAACAGTTCCAGGGATATCCCCACTTTACTCCAGCTTCCTTTGCTAATACAGGATAACATCTGGAGATCCAGCTGCCTCTTTCCCCAAGAAAACCCTGCTCTTACCTGAACAAGCCATCTTACTGAAGGACACATTCCCAAGCATTTGCCCAGGGAAGCCGCTGGCCTTCTGAAATTGGCCAAGAAGGAGCCAGCTAGTCGGTGCAGCATTTTTCTCCAAAGGAAAAGCATGGGACCACCCTGTCCTGAGCAGCTGCCAGAGTGCCCACTCTTCAGGGGAGGAGGCAGGCCTGCGCTCAGAAGAGCGGAGGTTGGTGGGCTTGGGTCCAACAGCTGTGAGAGTCTCGCTCAATGGCCAGGGGCCAGCTGGGGGCGCAACCAGAGAAAGGATGGAATTGCCTGCCACTGTCTCTGCTGGGGAGAGGCCAGAGCCCTCTTCGAAGTGCAAAGGGGGGATGGGAGGGGGGGGCTGCAGCTGAAGGAGAGAAAGAGGCAGAGCCTGACTCTGAAACCCTGGCTCAAGAAAGGCAGCGCTCAGAATCAGTAGAAGCTTCTGAGAGACTGCAAGCCAACCAACTTCCTTGGCATAGGAGGAGTAAAAAAGAAGAGAAAAGAAGCCAGAACTCTGAAGCTCCCAGTGGCCTCATCTTCTCCCAGGAGGGAACTGTAGCCTGAGCTGGTGATGGATAACAAGGGAAAGGAGAGCTGGCGCTTGCGCCTGGCAAAGACGGGCATTTAGCTAATTTAAGCAGCCTGCAGGGCAGGAGGAACTGCGCTCTAGGGATGGGGCGGGGCACGGGAGGGCAAGTGGGAAAGACACCCCTGCGTGGGCTGCAATTATCCCTCAGCTGCTGCTCTTCTTCACCCCCACCCCACCCCCGTTCGGATCAGGGCCCGGCCTCAGGGATGGTGGGCCACAGTTGCACCAACTCCTTGCAACCCTCTGACGTGGACAGGACACTTCTGCTCTGCAATGCCATGAAGGCCAGAGAGAAATGCCTTCCCACCCCCACCCCCACCCCGCATTCCCCCAGGCAGGAAGGGCCCTGCAGGGTTTCCTTAAAGAAGGCAGCTGTCCTTGGCTCACTTCCTGCGAAAAATTTTATTTTTAAATCAGGATATAGGAAGCTTTGTGTTGAGAAATGTCCAGAACGTTTTCAAACTCCAAATACCCAACATTGTTATTCTTTTGGCATACAAAGGCTTAAAATGCATCTGGAAATCTGCTGTAATTTACCTGAGAAGACAACAAACCTGAATGTAAGGCAACCCCACCTCCAAAGACAGAACCAGGAATAGAAGCAGACAGAAATCCTACGCTCTCACCCTTTGCCAATCTCTCTTAAATGAGTGCCAGCAATGCTCCTATATGGGTTACATGACGCTTGTCAGAAGCCGAATTTATCAAGGAAAAGCTGATTAAAATACCTCATCCCCTTCCTCTTCCTCGTTGGGAAGGGGCTTAGCGTATATTAAGGGTGGACATTCAGTGAAAGTCCAGCCAGACTTGGTGGATGTCCCTGCTGACAAGAAGCCCCCCCCCAGCTGCCAGCCCCCCCCCCCAACCTGCAGAGAAGAGAAACTCAAGGCACGGCCCTGCATGACCACAACTCCCCCACCCCCGCCTCACTTCCTTTTTAAATCCCGGATTGCACTTCAGCATCTGATGTCTGGTGAGGTGCAGGAAGAGTTTCTTGCCACTTAATAAAATCTGTTAGTCAGAAAAGGAGCTACCCCATTTCTGATTTTGGATTACTCATTCAAGGCTCATGTCAATTACTAAAAGGAGGTTGCATCAGCCAGGATGAGATGGGAGAACGCCTTCTGTTTGCCCACCATTTCCAGAAGGGGACATGGCCACACACGGCAGAGCGCTGTGGAGGGCGTCTCTTCCTGCACCCAGGCCTCACCTGCTCTCCAAAGAACGCTCTGTTTTGTAGGGGCTGAAGGAGGCGAGAAAGCTGATGGTGACCACCAGCTCAGGATTCAGCGCTCGGGTGAACCAACAGCAATCCGATTCTCACCTCATCCCAGGATTAATGTCCATTACAAACTAGGGGTGGCATTCATACAACCTGCTATGCTTAGCCAGAGTTAGCCCTTTGCGAACTGGCCATCTGGCAGCGTAGGACCAAGATTGTTATACAAACCCAGCAAGGGGATAAATTCAGTATCCAAACTCAGCCTGTTGCACGCTTTTAGCCAGTATGAGTGAATCTACCCCAGGGGCCACATGTCCTGCCAGGCCAGAGTGTCTTCCGCTCTGTCCGTAACCTCAAACTGGCTGAGGTTGGCTTGGCAACTTTGGCCCCTTAGCCCAAGCAGGCAGGTTCTCTGTGTCTGGGGACAAGCCCCACATTCTCAGCCACTGGCCAGACTGTTCAGAGGGTGCCAAAGGCCGGGGAAAGCTAGAATAACCCCTCTTTAGTGGGGCACACAGTCAAGGGATGGTGCAGACCTGGCTAAGCCCATGGGTGTTGGCCAAGCCCCTCAGGGCAGCTTCCCTTCAGAGCAGGCCCCTTCTGAGCTCCCCAGGGCTGAGAAGCAGGGAAGTTGGCAGCCTCCTCTGAAGCCAGAGGGGTGACTGGCAGGCAGGAGGCCCTCTCAGTTCTGCCTCCTCAGTTCCAACTGCAGCTCTGGGGTGGCATTATGCCCCATCTGCCTCACAGCAGAGGAGGGTGATGCCAGGCTGCAGCAAGGATTACCTGGTTGTACAGACAAACTTCGGCCTGCTTGGCATCACGCAGGAAGAGGAAGAAGATGTGTGCCTGCACCAGGACCTCCCGGCGGTGCTCCCAACTCTCCAGCAGCTTGTTCCAGCCCACCTCCAGCTTCTGCAGCCACTGCTGGAGGGACAGGTAGGGCAGCTCAGCTTCCTCCAGCGCCAGCACATCATTGACAGCCTGGATCTTGGCATAATCCTCCTCGTAGCGGCTGATCTCCTCTTTGAGTAGAGCGTGCTGGTGAAGCAGCCGCTCGGCCTCTGAGAGGTCGCCTGGCAGCTCCTCCCCAGGCGAGGCCACGGCGGCCTGCATCTTCACCAGCCAGGTCAGGAAGCTGTCCAGGTCCTGGATGAACTGCTGCAGCCTGCAAGGAGAGGCCGGGGCAGTGAGAGGCCTCCTGAGACACCTTTGCCCCAATCGGCCTTCCTGGCCGTTTCTGTTGGCCATCTGTGGTGAGCCTCACAGCCTGTCCCCTCAGCCACTGGCCCCGCTGACCTGCTGGCCACCGTCAGTGAATCCTCGCAGCCCTGCAGAGTCTTCTTCAAAGCCTCCCACTCCTCGCTGATCTCCTCAAACTGCATGAGAACCTCCATGGCCTGGGCGGGGTGGGTGGTGGCCAAGGACTCCCCTTCCTGCTGCAGCTCAACCAGCCGGGGCTCCAGGAGCACCAGGGCCGCTTCGATGGTGGAGAGGCGGCGCTGGAGCGAGAGGACGCTGCCCAGATCACCACTGCTGTACTGGGTGGACTCGATGGCCTTGCGCTTCTCCCGGATCCGAGACTTGATCTCACTGCATTCCAGCAAGTAGTTCTGGATCTTCAGAATGGAGCTGAGGTGGTTCTTCTTATCATCCACCAGCTCCACCACTCGGTTCCATCTAGTCACCCCACGGGACCAGGAAAAAGGTAACAAGTATGGGAAAGGTCATGATGAGGGTATGGGAAGAAGAAACAGGCTTGGCTCCCCTCTGCCCAGCACCTGGGTGGGCCAACAGGGTCTGGACCTTGGGGTAAGGCTGTGTCCAGCCGTGACTGATTAAATGAGCACTGGAGTCCCTGATTAGGGTTCTGTTCAGAGCTTGAGGAAGGAATGTGGGCGAGAGAGACAGTGGACACACAGTACTATGCTCGGCTGCAAGAAAGGTCATCCTCTCCTGGCCAAGCATGCAGGGATTCCTTGTAGGGGGAAAGAGATACAACTGCTCCCCCTCCTGCACTGTTTGGCTCTGGCAACCCCAGGCCAAGCATCCAGGGGTTGAGGGAGACAGGACAGGGGGGAAGCTGTGGTGAGCTGACAAGGGGCAATTGCCTGAGTGTCACCAGCAGCCTGTCTCTCTTTCCTTGCTTGCTCTCAGTGAAGCAGCCCAAAGGGACTCAGGTCTGAAAAGAGAGAGTAGCACCCGGGTCCCTGAAGGGTTTTCTGGGGACAAAATAGGAGAAGCTGCCACCCTGCCTGTATGTGGATCAGAGCGGTGGTCACCGACCTTCATGCCGGATGTTCAGCTGGGCTGCCCTCCCCCTCCAGTGCAGGGTACTTCCTACCTGCTGTTGAGATGGTCCTGGCAGGATTGGACTTCAGAGGAACTAGGGTGGCCCCCATCAACCAGCTGCTGAACAATTTGGTTAACATCCAGAATACGACCCATTAGGCTGTTCATCTCTTGATCGAGGCTTTCAAACCTGTGTGAGAAGGGAGGTGAGATCAGCCCAATTCTCCCTGAAAAGACAGGCCCAGTGGGATGGGGGGGGGGGAGAAGCAGAAGTACAAAGGAAAGAAGAGGGCAAGGGGCTTGGGCTCTGAACAATCCCCTCCCCAACTTTCTCTCCACTGCCCCCCCCTACCGGTGCTGGACCGCCTCCACGTCCTCCAGCTTCTCTGGCACTTCCATCCGGTTGAGCCATTGCTCCTTCTCATCAAGCCAGATCTCGCAGGCATTCACCTCGCCAAAGAGGTGGTACACAGCCAGGGCGTCCTGGAGCCACTGGCACCGCAGCATGGCCACCTCAGCCACCTCATCATACAGCTGCTCTACTTCCACGATGCGGATCTGCACCTCCATGGTCTCATGGTACTCGGGGGCCAGGGTGGCCAGCTGCTTCCGCAGGGCCAGGACCGCCGCCCGGTGCTTGTCGATCTCCTGCATCACCCCCTTGTGCTTCTTGACCAGCGAGCAGGTAGAGTGTTCGTCGTGTCCAAAGTCATCACTGGAGACCAGGCGGTAGGCGTCCTGCAGCCAGGCCACCAAGTCATCCGTGTCGGCGCTGAACTGGTGGAAGCTCAAGGCCCCTTGCAGCTTCTGCAGGTGGCTGGCTGCCAGCCCCTCCAGCTTCTTCCAGTGCAGGCGCACGTCCCGGATCTTCTCCTGCACGTTGCCCAGGCCGAATCGCTTCCGCAGCAATGCCTGCTCACCCTGTCGCATGGCCGCCTGCAGCAGGGAGCGGCGGCCGCTCAGCTCACTCAGGAGCAGGTTGTGCTTGCTTAGCAGCTTGGCCACACTGTCCAGGTCCTTGCCGAAGCTCTGGGAGGACGACAGGATGCGCTCCTTCTCCCGCACCCAGGCCTCGGCCTCTTCCACCTCCTGCAGAAAGGACCACAGCTGGCGAGAGGCCTCCAGCTCCTTCCGCCGCTTGGACGCCAGCTCCTGCAGCCGTTCCTGGCAGCTCTGGACATGGCTGACGCGGTTGCAAATAATCTGGGGGTCGCAAGGCTGATAGCCTGGGGGGAAGGACAACCGGCACACATGGTGAGAGCTTGCACTATGAGCCCACAAGTGCCCTCCCTCCACTGGCCAAGGCCAACCAGGCCCCGAGGATCACCTTGCAGCTCCGAGAACTTGAGGGCTGCGGCGTTGAGAGCCTGGACCCGGTCCTGCTGCGCAGACAAGTCGGCCTCCAGCAAGCTGTGCTTCTGTAGCAGGTCCTCCACCTCCAGAAGGTGCTTCCCAAACTCCTTTGATGCCAGCTGGGCCTGCCAGGGTGATCAGGCATGAATGCCAGTGGTAAGACTTGTGGCTTCTTTTCCTAAGAGAGGCCATGGCAGCACCTGCAGGAGCCACACTCAGCCTCTGCTGGCCCAGGGATGGACCAACTCTAGGGTGCCCCAGGTGGGCTTCTCTGAGTAGGAGAGAAGCCTGAGTCGGTGCATGCTGTTCCTGCTCTGGGGAGAAAACATGCCAGGGAGCCATGAATTTCCTCTGGACCAGGCCAAGGTGGAAGGGATCCGGGGAGTGCTCTGACTCCAGGCACAGAAGGGTGGCACACTCTGACTTCCGCCTAAAGAACAGGGTGGCCCCTGACTGGGTTCTTTTTACTCTTTGTGCATTTTGGGTGGGGGTGTGTGATGTTGCACACCACTCGGTGTTCTTTGAGTTCAGGTGTCATAATGTACGTGTCCAGGTACACGAATGCAGCTGGCAGAATTCAGCTTGGCAAAATGGCAGGGGGCAGGACCCACCTTCCAGCTGGTCTCCCCTGGGTTACTGAGCAGGGAACGTGGAAATTGCCTGCCCACCCCACCTCCCCAAGCTCCCTCAGGAGGCCCTGGGTAGGACCCAGACCTGCATGTCCTCCATCCAGTCAATCATGTAGACCATCTCCTGGAAAATCTTCTGCAGGGCGACATTTTGCTCCAGGCGGGTGCGCCGAGCACTGACCAGCTCTGTCAGAAGTCCCCACTGGCGCAGGATGTTGTCCTTCTGGGCAATGATACGCCTGCTGTCGTAGTAGCCCTCAGACTCCACTTCCTGGGCCAGCTCCAGCACCACCTGGATGCGCTCCTGGTAGGAGGAGATATCTGCCTCAATTGCCTCGTGCTTCTTCATGGCAGCCTCTACGGCAGGCAAGTCACAGCCAAAGTTGTCCTGAGAGGAGGAAATGTGAACTGGTGAGCAGATCTTGCACCTGCACAGAGTTCCTTTTGAGCAAGCTAGTGGCTCTCTTGCCTTCCCTCATAATTTGGAAATAAGGGTCCTTCGGAAAGGCTCCATGAGCTACAATCTCCATGGGCCCCCCTCCCCAGGAAATCCTGCCCGGCTGGTCCCCAATGGCTATCTAGGCTCTTGAGCTGACCCACCTTTGCTCCTCTTCATCCTTGTTTGGAACCAGTCTGTGTTTCATGGGAGCCTTTTTCCCAGCTGTCCCCACCAAGGCCAGCAGCCCCCTCTTTTATAAATGCCCCCCTGAGCTGACTCCCTGGGACTTTCTAGTGAGGGACAGTATAAAGTTGTTGCTGGGCATTGGGGTCAAGAGAAAGCTTCACTATGGGACCCTCAGGGTTCCCTCAGCCCACCCCAGTCTTACTACCTGAGAGACCAGCCGCTGGTTCTCGTTCAGCCAAGTTTCCCGCATGACGGCTTTGTGGTCAAAACGCTGGGCCAGTAGCTCCAACTTCTCCTGACGGATGAGCTCAGCACGAAGGGCCACTTCCCGCTCATGCTCTGCCTTCTCCAGCTGCGTCCAGGCCTGGCAAGAGCGAGTGAGAGAAGAGAGCCAGAGAGAGGAGAGGGAGGAGGGAGGGAAAGGGAAGGCCTGCCAGAGTCAAGACAGGCCATCTGACTACCTGCATCTCTTTACCTTGTTGATATCCGAGATGCTCTTTCCCTCCTTGGGGACGTACAGTTTGCGATTATTGGCGCGGAGTTTGCTCTGGATGGAGAAAAGCAAAACCTCCAGGTTCCCCTTCTCCTGAAACCTGCAGGCAAAGGGCACAGGGTCAGCCCGGCCAGGGTGGACTGCCCCCACTCCGAGCAAGCAGGGAAGGTGGCAGCAGCAGCCTTGGGGGACACACAGGGGCCCAGAGTGTGAGCCCTAACGGGAGAAAGCAGCCCCTCCTGAGAGGCTCACTTGACGGGCTTCTCCAGGGTGCAGAAGGCGGTGAAGGCTTGCAGCTGGTGCTGGACTCCCGACAGGGAGTTGGCAAACTTCTGGTTGGTGATGAAGGGGATGGTGATCTCGATCCACTCCAGTAACTCGCTGGCCAGAGACTCATAACGCTCTATGATCTTCTCGATCTCCAGCACTTGGTCCAGCACCTGGATCAGGAGTGGGGGAGACTTTTGTGAAATTCCCCCCATGCTCTTGGCAGCAAGCAGATACCCCCTAGGGCATCTGCACAATTGATCCAGCTGCCATGCGGCCTTGAGCACCCCTTAACTCCTCCTCTACAGCCAGTCAGTGCTGCCAATTCCTCTAGGTGCCTGTTTCTGGGACCTTCTGCTCTTCAGCCAGGCTGCCTGGCCAGATGGTCACCCAAGAGGTCCTGGCAGACCAATGGTTGCCATCAGACACGTTCCCCCTGGAGCTGGACGAGGCTCCTTCCTTTCAGGGACCACGCTGAGCTGCTGAGCATATGAAATATCCCATCCAGGCTGAGTGTTTGTGTGTGTGTGGGGGGGTGTTTCCTTGCTCTGGGCCAGCAGTGCAGCCTTTGCCCTCCTGCACGGGGGCCTCTGGGAGCCGCGCCTGCCAGGCTCACCTTTCCTATTCGCTTCCCCTCCACAGCCAACGCCTTCATCTTGGAGAAATAATGGTAGAAAGACACCACGTAGGTAAGAACGGACTTCTCGTCTGGATGTTCTACATTGACATCTGTGTGGGGAGGAGGAGGAGGAGGAGAAGGAGGAAGAGGAGGAGGAGGAGGAGGAGATAAAGTGCGGCAGCCGAGGAGCCAACCAGGAGGGAGGCCAAAGTCTCCCCTCCACGGCTGATCAACAAGGGTTTGAGGGGCAGACCCTGGACAGGTTCAGACCCATCACTGTTCCGGGAAAGGGGCTTGGGCAGCCACCCCACTGCCACCCCAATCACTTTGCGGGATGTTGTGAGATGGGAATGGATGCTGGGTGAAGCAGGTTCGCGTCTGAGGTTCCCCAGGGACCCTTCCATGCTGGGGCAGATCCTGGCACAGCCTTCCAGGATCAGCAGGGACAGATCAGCCCGTCCCCCGGCTTTGTCCGGGTGCTTTTTGCACTCAAAGCAATGGCCCTTTGGCCCTTTGAGGCCCTGCCACTGGGGGGCTGGGGTCAGCACCTCTACCCCCATCGAACCAAAAGAAGCGGGCCGCTGCACCCATCTCCTGGCCTCTCTTAGCCCAAGAGATGGGCTACGCCTCTCTTTCAGCAACCCCCAAGGGGCAACTGCCAGACTCCCCCAAAAAGGGCCACCCCCCTGGAGAGGAGCCTCTTCAGCTGCTGCCTTTGAGCTGGAGCATCAAAGGCCACGGAGTCCACTGGGCAGAGCGCTCTCTTGGGGAGAAAAACTCTCGTCTGATAGACAGAGAGGAGCAGCAGGTGGGGCCACTCCACTTCAGATTAAAAGGCCATAACGGAAGTCAAATCCTGGCAAACCAGGAAACATTGCTTAAGAAGCCCAGATCCAAGGGGACAGGAGCCACAACATGGAGACTGGCAGCAGACAGGCGAGAAACCAGTTTCTCTGCTGGACACTGACTGAGGAGCTCTTTCCCAGCCCATTTCAAGCCCTGTGGATGAGGGCAGCGACCGGGCAGACTAACTTGGTGCCTGAGCTCCTGCCTTCTGGGAAGCGTCCAGGGAAAGGGGTCTGCATCTGTCACGGAAAGCTGGGCCTGGCAGAGCTCTGGATCTCCAACCTCCATCCACACAGAACCCCCCAACCGCAATTGCCAAGAATCTTTCCCGGCTCAGAGCTGCCTCCACCTCCCAAGGCCAGGAAGGGTTGTCCTTTCTCCAGGAGTCTTGGGCAGGGAAAGCCAGGGTGTGCCCTTCAGGGCCAATTCAGGGCCTTACCCTCAGGGTCCAGCAGTTTAGCCAGGCCCAGCTGCTGTTCGGCAGTGTTGAAGGCCTGCTGGAGATTATAGACTGCATTGGATTTGGTCAACTTCTTGAAGTCAATGATGTCCGGCCTGGGGAGGAAACAGAAGGCCTCCTGAGGGGCTGGATCTATCCAGGGTGGGACCGAGAGAGCATTTCTCCTCATGACATCGGACCTACCCTTATCCTGGGCCAAAGTCCACGAGAAGCCCCCTTCATTTTGCAGCTGGCCAATTGCCAGCTCCTGCAGGAGGCCGCCTGACCGCCCCAGGCCCTGGCTGGAGAGAGCAGCTCCCGGACAGCAGCCCTCCAGCCATGCTTTCTCCAGAGCCCCCTCAGAGCCTCACCTGTGCCTGTGGATGAGAGCGCTGAAGGCCAGCCCGTCCCGCCAGCTGGTGGTGAAGTTCTGAATGTTAACCTCAGGGTAACTGAAAAGGAGGAGGAGCCTCTTCTGAACCAGGGTGGTTTAGGATGGGGAGGGGACCTTGCTGCCCCCTCCACGCCAGCAGGCAGCTGCAGGACCCAAGAGATCACCTGCCCAGGTCAGGCGATTCCACGATTCCATGACATGTGCAAACATTGGCTCACAGCATCGTCACCTCTTGGCTGCCAGGACTCGGCCGCCTCAGAGACACCTGGACCTTGTTCAGGACTCACCCTGCTGTCTTCATTTGGCACCAGAGCAATAGGGCATCCTTGGCCGAGCGGGTTTCTCGGCTATCTTCTGTTTCAATTTTAATCACCTGGATCTGGGAGGGGGAAGCAGAAGAGGGGGGGTCATTTGGCCCTCCTCTCTCCAAAGCTCACCTGTGTCCAGCTCCCTCCCCCCAAGTTTTCATTTCTATAGGTGTCTTCCCTGACATGCCCTAGAAACCAGCCAGCTCCCTCCCTCTTTTGCCCAGGCCGTCCACCCTTCCCCAAACTCTCTGCGACCTGCACAGAATGTTGTTACGGAGAGCTTTGGGAGACAAGAAAATCTCCAGGTTGCTCCAGGTCTCACTTGGAAGCCTCCAGCAGCAGATGACCTCCCTAGCTGGCCCAGCTGCCCAGGCATGGCCCCATTTGTCAGCCCCTCTGGAAGAGCTGCCCTCTTACCCTACCTGGAATCTCAGGATGATGGTCCAGATGAGACCCAGGGTCAGGCGGTGGTTGCCATCCACAATGTCATGAGAACCCACGTTCTCCAGGTGGACTCTCTGCTCCTTCAGGAATTGCAGGGCTTTGTCCACATTTTCCAGGGAGTGGATCCGCATCCTCCCCCGGGTGGGTTTGGGCTGCCACAGAAGCCAATCAAAATATTACTGCTCCCATCAAGACACAGTCTAAGCACATTCAGAATTGACATGTACAAATAACCTTTAAAACTGCACAATTGCAATAAAATAAAAATACTGTGGTATGTTTCTGTCACAGCATAAGTAACACTGATAGTTCTTGACTTACAACCAATAGTATAATGCCCATTCAAAGTTACATCAGACTTGAAAAAAGTTACTCACAACCCATCTTCAAAGGCACAATCATAGCATCATATTTCTGGCAATTGACTTGCATTTACAATCGGTTGCAGAATTCCAGAATTTGGTTAAGAGATTTACAACAAAACAGCCTTGTCTTCTGCCTTTACCAACCACTCTTCTACCAGCCCCTCAAAAAGCATATCTTTTCCCTTCCCTCCCTTCACTGCCTTCCCTTTTGCCCTGGGGCCTGAAGTTACCCAGCAAAAATCAAGGGGGCTCCAACTGTCTGAAAAGCTCACCCCCCCTTTACAAGAGCGACCAGCCTCTCTGGCCCTAAGAGGCACACCTCCCTCCATCCTGCGGGGCAATCATCCCTGAAAAAGCTGAGAGACCCCCATACCAGCTGCTCCCCAGACAGAACTTCCAGCAGCTTGGTCAGTAGGTATCCATCCCTCAGGTCTGTGTAGAGGTCGCTGATTCGGCAGGAGACCTGGCCCAGGTGGGAGTTGATCCACTTGGTGAAAGTCTTCTTCTGCACTGCATCTCGCTCATCTGACAAAATTCACGGGGAGGGAGGGAGGGGCATTAGGCCAATCTCTCACCCCGCAGAGAGCCCACCAGCTCCTCTGGAAGGACTGGAAGCACAAGGGCCATCCTCAAGAGGGCTTGGCTTGAGGGCCATCCCACCCCAGTGAGCCTTTCATTTTCATTGGCCCACGGGGCTTCTGGGGAAGGGACCACAGCTGCAGCCACGGGGGCCCTTCTCGTGCTGCTGCTTAAACACAGAGAGGTGACGGCCACAGTGGGGCCCAATCCCAGACTGCCCAGCATTACCTTCTCACTCTTCCTGATATTAAACTTTTATTCCCAGAGTCTTGCCCCATGGAGATTCCTGGGAGTTGGTCCAGCAATCCCATTCCACCCCCCCCCCGTGAGTTTCAGGGCTCAGCTTCTGGTAGGCACACCTGCCGACCAGGCTTGGCTCTGCCCCTCCCCACACTCCGCACTTAAGGAAGATCCCTCTGAAATAAAACCCCTCCTCTTTATTTAAAAATCCATTGGCTGCACCATTTTAGAGGGGAAGCACCCTCACTCAGCCCCATTTCGGTGCCCCTCCCCATTGCTAAGGTATACTTTCCTGCCCAACAAGAGGAGCCCAGGTGGAAGGCAGCCCTACCTGCGAGGGCCTTGATCCGTGAGCATTCGAAGAGCTTGACAGTGGCCGTAGCCTCCTCCCAAGGCCGGGGGTGGGGAGAGTCGGTGCCCTCCCATCGGGTATTGCTGAGTTGCTGCTGGGCCTCCTGATTATCCAGCTGAACCGGTGTAACATTTGCCATGTTGCTGCTTTCCTGGGAGCCCCATAAAGGGGTGACATGAACCCGTGAAGCTGCACCCGCCACTTACATGCTGAGTTCCAAAGAAAGAATGAAAAAGAAAACGGCAGCTGTTAAAGGGAGCGCCTGTAGGGCACATCTGCTTTGCCATGCCTACACCTGGCACCAAAGACTGTGCGAGAGGCCACCAACTGGCTGATTCTCTGGTGTGGATGTAGGGGGGCTGGCAGACACCCCCTTTTCAACCAGTCCCCAGTGTAGCCAGCCAGGCAAGGCTGAGAAAAGACATAATACAAGAACATGCAAATTGGTGCATGTTGGCCAATCTGGCCTTTGCTGTCCCCTGAAGCAGATGAGAGGGGAGCAGAACTCATTTGTTTGAACCAGCCCCCTCTTTCCCTCAGGGTGCAACTTGGATACCCTCAAGGCAGCTGGACTGCCTTAATTGGAGGTGGGGGGGTCCAAACCCTTCCGCATACGGAAGCCCCACAGAAGCCACGACTTCCCTCTCCTTCCCTAGGAACTTATCTGGCCCATTCGGAACATGATTGGGAGTCAGAAGTGCCCCCCCCCAGGTGGGAATTCTGTGGCAGCAGCAGCTGCAGCTTAGATTATGGAGGGGGGCTGGCTCCTGAATCAGTGTAGGAAGATGGGGGCCGGAAGGACACAGTCTGACTCCAACAAAAGCCACCCTCTATGGAGCAGAAGGCTTGGAATCGATATTTATTGCTAGGGAAGACAGGCTAAAAGGCAAATCACTTGAAGTCATTTTGAATGCTGAGGGAATCTCTAGAGAGATTAATTTAAGCAGCCTTAGAGGATCTGTCTGCAGCTCATTTTAAGCCACGTCATAAAAGTTGGAAAGAAGACCGGCCCAGGGTGGGCGGGCAGCCATGCCCCTGGCGCCCCGCTAAGCCCAGATGTCTTTCCAAAGCCCCTTTGGCCCCTAGAAGGGGTGAGTTATCAAGGGAAAGCCCTTGGGGGCATTCACAGCATCAGGTAATGGCCACAAGGTGTGACAGAATCATTCCTCCCTCCCTATATTTAAGGCAAGGTGGCTGTCCACGTTCAGTGGGTTTTGACAGGTGATTTCAGGAGCCCTGGGGTGCCTGGCCATCTTAAGGAGCCGCTCAGAGAAGGGGGTTCTTGGCCCAATGAGAGTCACCCATCAAGGAAGCCAGGGGCCGGACGATGGCCGGGCATTGTGAGTGAAGCTTCTATGATAGAGCTCAGCACATTGGGCTGAGTGCAAGGTATGAACGTGAGCCTGGCACCTGCTCCCTTGCTCCAAGGCCCCAGGCAGGGTGCAGGGAGGGCTCGGGAAACACCCCCCCCCCCAATTCAGCAAACCACCTGATCCCCTGCAGGGGAGCAAGAGGTCCTCTCATCACATTGTTGATGCCCCTCATTTGCACCCCATTTGGACACCCCAAATAAGCAGCCCAAATTTTGTCAGGTTTGGGAATCTGGAGCTCATCACTGCAAGGCAGAAGGAGAGGTGCTGTTTCATCCCATCCTGGACAGAGAAGGAACCAGATCCCTGGCCTTGTTTTGCAAAAAAGGGCTCAGCAAGGGAGGAATGAAGAGCCTGGATGATCCCCCTCACCCCACCACCATTTAAGGCCTCCTTCCTTCTATCCTGATGGGGCAGACACAGCCCAGGGTTCAGAAGCAACCTCCTCACCCCGTCAGCAGCCTCCATAGGCCTGCAGGGGGTTCTGCCCCACGGAGGCAAGAGGACCTTTCTGCTCCTACCCCGCCCTGGGGAATGGCTCTGTTGCGGGGACGGGTGACCCTCGAAGGGCGGCTGGGTCCGGAAGTGCTGACCATCTGTTGTGCGCCCAGACTCTCGGCCTGCTCCCGCCCCTCCTGAGAGGCTTCCGGAGAACCGGCTCCGGCTCTTCCCCGCTTCGCTCCCGTTCCTGGCCCTGTCATTAGAGCCCGACGGGGTCCCTCGGGCCTCCTCCCCCGAGCGCAGCCGCGGCCTGGCCAACCTCACCTGAGCACCGGCGACTTGCCGGGCCTCATCCCTCCCCAGCGGCCGGGCTCTCGACAGTGGTCGCAGGAGCAGAGCAGAGCCGTCCGGCGGTACCGGCCGCGGCCTCGCTATGCCTGTCTCGCTATCGCCGTCCTGGTCCAGCAGCCAATCCAGGAGCGCCGCTCCGCCCCTCCACGAAGGCCGGAGAGCCCCCCTCCCTCCCGCAACCGCCGCGCCCGCTGCAAGGGCTGCTTTCCAGGAGCTGCGGCGGCGCTCCTTTCTCCCGCCGCTCAGCAGCCCCGGAGCACGCGGTCCGGCAGCCGCGCCGGCCAGGAGAGATGCCCGGACGGGTCTGCGGCAGCAGGCGGGGGCGAAGCGGCTCACCTTGCGCCAGTCCTTGACTTCCTCCCGTCCGGCCGCCGGCTTCTGGACGCGAGCAGCGGCTGCTGGTTGGAGCGAGGGGCGCCGCAGTGCTGGGCTCCCGCGGCTGCGAGTGCCGAGGAGGCGTAGCTTGAATTGGAAAAAAGGGCTGCGCGACTGTGGCGGAAAGAACCGGAGCAACGCCCGGCAGTTTGGATAAGAAGGCGCGAGCGAGGCGGCGGCTCCTCTCGCCGGTAACTGCGCCGATCACGCCAAATCGGAGTAAGCCGCGATGGAGGGACCCGCATGGCTGACCAGTGCCGCCCGGGGACCGGAGAGCTGCGCGGGGACGCCTTGCCCGAAAGAACTACAGCGCAGCCTTGCAGCTTCTGCCTGCCGGCTGGGCTCACCTTCCCGGTGCTGCGGGTAAGGCCCCTCCTCCTTCCCCTCCCGTTCCCTCGGCCTCTCTTTGATTCACATGCTGTGCCGCGCTGTCCTGTTTTCCCCAAACAGACAAGCCTAAAGCTAAGCCGGGCCGGGCGGGAATTCCCAGGGAGGCGCCCCGACCGAGGGGGCTCAGACTGTAGCCCGCGGCTTGTCCACCGTCTAAACTGCTCCCGCCCCTTTCGAGACGGCCCACGGGGGCGCTTTCCTCGGGCGCCCAGGGCCAGCCAGCGGCTCTTCCGAGCACCGGGGGAGGGGAGGCAAGCGTGCCGGCGGAGGAGACGGTTGCTTGTTCCGCTGCGACCCCGAGTGAGCCCGCGGGGGCTCGAGCCTCTGGCCTCCGCTGCGGCTCGCGGGCGCTCTGCTCGCCGCGGGAACCGAAGCGGCGAGGCGCCGCCTTCCGCTGGCCCTACCTCCCCGGGCGGAGCTCCAAGCGGAAGGGCTTGCTTTGGCCCTGGGCTGGAGCGGCGAGGAGGCAACGACGACGGCATGGAGAAAAGCCGCGCGCCTGGAGGCCCGGTTGCCACAGCCTGCAAGAAAATCGCCATCTTCGGCGCCACCGGCATGACGGGCCTGGCCACCCTGGCTCAAGCCCTGGAAGCGGGTGAGGCAGGGCAGGGGCGTCAGCCTGCGGGGGGACAGAACAAGCGGGGTACCCGAGAAGGGGCGCATCGTCCCCCGTCTGCGAAAGGACACGCACGGGAAGCGGCTGCTTCCCCGGAGAAGCGCCCCAGCGGCTGACAACTGGGGGCGGGGGGGGGGAGGCGAATACCGAAGGAGCAGCGGGCGGCTAATATGTACCGTTTATTTGTTTGCGAAGTGGGGTTGGTAAAAGGCTTCTGATCAAGGGTGCATTTCCTCAGTTGGCATTGCACCTGCAAGTTATTCCATGGTATGGTGCTACCAGTGAGGCCATAATCCATAGTTTGGTTTCAGGAAATGGCCCAGGTGTGGGAGCTTCCCCAGACCCCTCAGGGCTGGTTTAGCAGGTGATGCCAGCAGACCTGACCCCCAAAGCAGCCCTGTTCCTGTTCCAATGTGCTTGGCAGGCTGAAGTGGCCAGGGCTGGCTAGGCGCTTGGAATGCAAGGCCTTGGCTATCACAAGTCGCCTGGCATCCTCCCCTCCCCTGCTTGCCCTGTGCTGTGCAGTGATAAGGAGGAGACTATGGGGCCAGCCCTGCAGGGATCTTGCAGCTTCTTTGGGAGTTGAACTAATTGGTGAGGGGAGAGGGGCCGGGGAAAGCTTGCTGCAATTGTTTTGGTTGTGGAAGCCCCCTGAGAAAAGGGGTCCCCAGTGATCCTCTGGATGGGCATTGCAGCCATAACTGTGGAGGGGCTGAGGGCCTTTGGGCCGGTCAACCTAGGTGGTGGATTGTAGATTAGGCCTGACCCTTGTGCTTCTTCTGAGTTTCAAGGTACAATGGTCCTCTAGGCCAGCCATTTATGAAGCCATGGATGGAAGGGGGAAGTCAAGGTAACTTGAATAGCATAGGGGGGAGAGGGGGAGGGCTTGGAGTTCATTTAAGTGGGGCTGAGCTGCTTAGAGGGGGTTGGTCCTGTGCTCTCAAACTTGGCACAGAGGCAGGGAGAAATGCCAGAATTGCCCAACACAGCTCTGGTTAATTTTCAAAGGAAAAATGTCTCCACAAGAGAATTAGTTAGAAGGGCCCATTTAAGGATAGCAAGCGGCGTAAAATGTCCTGGAGAATGTTCCAAAAAAGAACGTTTTACCACATAAGAAATTGCAATACAAAAAATGCTGCCAGGCCAAACAGGTTTAGCATTTCCTCTGTAATTTATTTCTGAAACATGTGAACAAGCCAAGAAGAAATTTACCTGAAGTTATTTTAAAAAGACAAAGCATGTAATGCTGAACAACCGGAGGAGACAATTAAACGTTCAAGGGAAAAGAAAATCTTGTGGCCTAAGTGGGAGGAGCAGAATGCTGGCCAGGAGGGCGGGGGGGGGGCAGAAATTCCTCCTCTGAACTGTCCCCACCTTGCTAACCCAATCAGGGCAAAGGACTGAAGCCTTCTTCACCCGCCTGCTCTGAGGCTTCCTTTGCTGCTCCCTCCAAGAGCTTTGTGGGAAGATGCCTTGACCAGCTGCTTTCTCTTCCCCCTTGCCAGGCTACCACGTGACGGTGCTGGTACGGGATCCTGTCCGGCTGCCCCCTGAGTTACAGCCAGCGCAAGTGGTGGTCGGAGACGTGTTGAACCGGGCAGACGTCGATGGAGCCATGAGTGGGCAGGACGCTGTGATCATCATCTTGGGCACCCGCAATGACCTCAGTAGGAGCGGTGGCACTTCCTCCCCCGCCTCTCCCTGTTCCGAGGCTTTTGGCTCACACGAGTTTTCTTCTCTGCCTCTCAGGCCCCACCACAATGATGTCCGAAGGCACCCGGAACATCGTGGCATCCATGAAGTCCTGCGGCATCCGCAAAGTGGTGGTCTGTCTCTCAGGTAGGCATCCCGCGCAAAGGTCATGTTCTCCTGCCTCCTGGACAGGACTTCCTGTTGAGTGATGGGTGAGAAAGCACCCCCTTGCTGCCTGTCTGATGGCCCCGGGTTTCCTTGGGGAAAAGAACTGCATTGGGTCTCAGGGAGTTAAGAGAATGGAGAGATGGTTCCAGGCAGCTGGAGATCTTGGAGGCTGGAAGGGGGATGATGGCCTCACCTCTGCTCTTCTCCAGACCAAACGGGATGGGCCCCACAGAGTGTGCTGAGCTGCCTGGGATTCCTGCAAGGAGGTTTTTGCCTTCCTTAGTCTCCAGAGTCCTTTCTTTGTTGCTGTTCATCTTGGGCTGTTAAGCTTAGGCTCCCAAGGCCCTTGGACGCTCTCGCCCTCTCCCGCAAAGAGGTGGGCCGAGTTGAGTCGGCCTTGGGCTGCCCTTGCAAGGGAGACCCAGGCACTGCAATGAGGGGTTTCTCTTGGGGTTTTTGCTTGTAGCTTTCCTGATGTGGGACCTGGAAAAAGTTCCCACCAAGCTGCGGCCAGTGACCGAAGACCACATCCGGATGCAGCAGATCCTGAAAGAGTCAGGCCTGGACTGCGTCTATGTCATGCCGCCTCACATTGCAGGTGTGCCCTGGGGAGAGAGCTGGGTGGTGGGAGCACAGTGGCCGGCAACCGCCAGGTCAATCTGGGCACAGGAAGGGTTTGTGACTCTGGAGGTAGTCAGCAAAATCATCCATGCACAAAAAAACATTTTCCACCAGTGGGGTAACCCAGAACCCCCTAATATAGAAATGCGCCCCATTTTCAGTGCTAAACGAAGCTTGGTCAAAATGCTTCTTTTAAATGCAGCGGGCTCGATCTGGTTATCCCAAGGTAAATAACGCCCAGTGGCCAGATTGGCTTCTATTGAGTGTGTGATAGAACTGCCATTATGGTTTATTCCAGAAATCGGGAAGAAGCCAACTGTGGCTGAGCCAGGGCTGCTCCCTGAATGGCTGGCCCAGTTGGGTTTTGGATGCGGCTTCTGGCAATGGGTGTTTTTCCTCCTGCAGGTGACCAGCCCCTCACCGGTGACTACACTGTAACCGTGAACAGCTCGAGTAGTGCCCGAGTCATCTCCAAGCATGACCTGGGGCACTTCTTTCTCAAGTGTCTGACCACGTCTGAGTATGATGGGAAAAATGTCTACCTCTCCAGGCATTATCCCAAGCCATGACCCCTCCTCAGAAGGCCGGAAATCACTGCCTTGGATGCATTTGCCCCCCTCCGTCCCTTGTGCTACTGAGTGCCTCCCCGCCTCTCATAGGAAGCCCAGGAGGGCAGCAGATGCCCACCCCAGCGCCCTGCAGCAGGCAGACCAGCTGCCCGCAGTCCCTGTGTGTTGAAGCTCCCCTGACTCCAAATGCAGCTGGGCAGGCTCTGGCTCCTGTGTGGACCGGTGGTCTGCAACTTCCTCCCCATGGCAGAATGCTTGCTACTCTTTGGGTAGCAAGGATTTTTGCTGTACCGAGGAAAGCCTTTGCACAGCACAAATGGTAGAACCATAGAACAAATGGTCTAGGGCAGTGGTTCTCAACCTGTGGGTCGGGACCCCATTTGGGGTCGAACGACCATTTCACGGGGGTCGCCAAACAACGCAGTCCGCCATTTTTTCCCCCTTTTCCTTAGCTGTGCTACTCCCTTTTATTCTATTGGCTTTTGAAAGCCAATAGAATAGACTCTCTTGAATAGAGTTTAATTCTATTGGCTTTCAAAAGCCAAGAGGAATTGTCCAGGCTGTCTCTGCCCTGCTGAGCCCGCCAAAAGTCCCATTCTGCAAACGGTGCTGCACCAGTTGATTAGTCCTCGACTTACGACCGGTTGAGTAGTCCTCGACTTACAACCGGTTGGGGCTCGCGGCATTAAAAAGGTTGAGAACCACTCTCCTGCTCGAGCAGAGGGTTGGACTAGAAGACCACCGAGGTCCCTTCCAACCCTATGATTCTATGTTCTAAGTGGAAGGCAGTAGCCAAGCCCCTTTCATCAGCAGAGAGCAGGTTGGATGCAGAGGCCACCTTGAAAATTAGGTATCCAGCTATAAACAAACCCATCAGAATTAGTAAAAGTCTGGATGGCAAGTAACAACATCCCCACGTTAATGTTAATCTTCCTCCTGTGTTGCTAAGAAACCTTAATTCATGTTGATGCTTGCAAAGTTCTGTGCAACTTGAAAGCATACAAAGTATAAGCAGCTAATCAAATAAATACCAAACTATTTGGATGGTAATGTGATCACTTGGATCTAATTAAGAACTGTCTTTGAAGGAGTTTTCAATAATATTTTGCGCTGAACCATTAATTCTTCGTGTTTTGGTTAAAAGGGAGAAGAGTGGAGCGGACAGGGAGATTCTTGCTCCCTGCTAGTGGCCCCAAAGAGGGAGGACAGATTGGGTATGCTTTTGGGGGGGCTGCATCTTGCCTGGCCATTGTCGCACTTGCACTGGGACACACAAATGTCAAGGGAATAAACACGGATGGGCATTTAGTGGCCAACTGGAGGTCTGGGGCAATAACTCAGCTGCTTTTCATGCAGGGAAACATGAAAAAACAGGATTTCATGAATAGTAAAATAAAAGATTGAGCTAATAGTCACAACAATTCAATTAAAAATGGTCATGACTATGATTTATTGCATAAGCCATGATTAGATGGATTCATATAACACAAATCAGTGTAGTGCAGCAGTTAACAGGCTGCACTAGAAACCGGGAGATGTGAGTTCTAATCCTCCCTTTTGGCCAACTGGGTGATTGGGCCACTCTCTCTCTCGGCCAGCCCACCTCACAGGGTTGTTGTGATGAGGAAATACGCCTGAGCGTTAGGTGTCTTCGCTGCCTCCAGTTGACCAAATATTTTAAAAAGCGGGAGTGTTTTTGAAACCCGGCCCTGAGGCTTCTTCAGACCTCACACCTTTCTCCGAGGAGGCGGACGAGGCGTCTGCGGGTTGGGCGTTTCAGTTCTCCATCAGCCACAGCGCAGCGGAACCGTCCTGCGTCGGGAGACCACTGGCCTCCCTCCGGGCAATCGCACGGCCTCACCCTGGTGCCCCTAGACTCGGAAGAGGCGCGGCGGGCGAGAGGCTGCTGCGAACGCCGCCCGCCTACGGCCTCAGGGAAAGGCGTCTCCGAGCACCGCCTCTAGGGGTCGCCCTTTCCCCAACCCGCAGTCGAGGCGCGGACTCCGCAGCAGCGCCCCCTGCCGGACAGATTTGAAAGCTACTCCCCTGCCCAGCCAATCAGCGTGGCCTCGTGGGTTGGTTCGGTCGGCCGCCCTTCCTTTCGTTGCGTCCGCCCACTCTATGGAGATGAGGTGTTCGTGAGAGCGCTCCTATTGGTCGCGAAGGCTTCCTCCGCCCACGCAGGGCGCCCGGAGCGATCCTCCACTCGTCGAACCCGATAGATTCGCCTGGATCGCCGGGGGAGGCATGCTGGCCGGCGATTCGTTACGCGCCGGCTTCCAGATCCCGCTGAGTGGCCTCTGAGCAGCCGGGTAGGTGAGTCCGGGGCCCGCGGAAACCCGCCGGCCGGAGGGTCAGCCGGCGCGAGAGGCGGGCAGGGAGGCGTCGGCTGCCGTTGGCGTGAGTCACCCTCCGCTTCCGCGCCTCTCGCTCGCTCGCCCGCCCGCCCGCCCAGGAGGGGACGGGCAGGGCAGGCGCCTCCGTCGCTGGCCGCGCGCAGCCGGGCCGGGGATCGCCGCGCGCCCTTCCCTCCCTGCGCGCTTCTGCCGGAGTCCCGAGCGCCCAACCCTTTCCGGCCAGCGGCGCGGAAGGGAAGCGCTTGCCCGCCGTGCCGGGGAAACGGGCGGTCCGGGCGCGCTCGAGGTGGCTTTGCTTCCTCCCCCTCCCCCGGAGGCGCTCCGTCGTCGCGGGTATGAGATGAGCAGGCCAGGTGAGGTGACTCCCAGCTTCCGGTAGTCTTGCGGGCCGCCATCCCCTTACTTCGTCCGTCCTCCCTGGTGTCGCCAAGCTCCCCACCGGCAACTTTTAGAAGCGATTTGGTTCCCGAAACATGAACCGCTGGGAAACCTGCCGGGTAAAGACCGTCACGGGACCCGCCAAGGAGCTGCTCCGAGGCAAAAGATGTCTTCGTTGCCCCCCCCCCCGGAATTGATCGCAACCTTCCAGATACACATTTCCCGCTCCAGATGGCAGCCAGGGTGGGATGGGAGGCCTGAAACTGGATCAGGAGGTGCCTGGAGATCAGAGGGGAACCTTGGCAAGAGGTAGGGAGGTGATATTGAAAAGGAAAGCAAGAACAGTTGAGTAAAGGGGTGAGAAAAAAACCGGAAGTAACCTTGCTTGGGTCTTTGGGTAGGAGTGGGGCAGAGGGATACCCAGTAGGCTTTCAGTTCTATAACACTGAAGTAGCATCCCTGAAATCCTTGCTCTGTCTGCACTCTGGCCTGCTTCGCAGGGCTGACCCATGGGCCTGGCTGGGGTTGGTATCACTGATGGTTTCCCTTCTGTTCCTTTCCAGAAATCGGCTGATGAAAGCCATGAAGCGAAAGTGGACCGAAGAGGAGGCTGAGCCTGCTTCAGCCACACCGTGCAGCTCTCTCTTCAGCTTGTCTGTCTCCAAGCTCCACCAAAGCCTGCAACATGTTGAGCCCAACCTCAGGCACCTGGTGCTGGTGGCCAACACGCTCCGTCGCTTCCAGGGGGAGATGCAACCAGGGCCTGCCCCTATTCTCCAGGCCACCTTAGGCCAGGAAGACCTTTCTGAGGGCAGCCCGATGCCCAGTGCCCTGGCCTGCAACCTGTCAGAGCCCAGCTGGAGGCTGATGTCACCCCCTTCTCTGTCCCCCTACGTGGGCGACCTCCTCCTTTCCAATGGGGACTCATCTGCCTTACAGGCCTTTTCGGAGGACTTGAGTGATATTGGTCAGCCTGAAGAGCGCCAGCTGTGTTTGCTCAGCCCTGAGGCTGAATGGACGCCCCCTGCCTGCCCTTCTAGCACCCTGGACCTTCTAAGCCCTGGTGGCTACCTCCTGGAAGATAGCCTGGAGGGGGTCTTTGAGGATATAGACACCTCCATGTATGACTGCGATCTGTGGCTGCCCACCAGCCTCCCCAACTTCAAGGAGGCCTTCTGCTCACCAGGAGAGCAGAGGCCAGATCTGGCAGACCTTGACTGTCTCATGGATGTGCTTGTGGGGGTATAGGAACTATGAGGGCACCGTCAAAGAAAATTGTGATCCCTGGTTGCCTGCTGAAAATGGGTGTAGACAGGGAAAGAGCCGCTGCCACAGAGAACAAAGTCTTCATTGCATCTTCTGTAAAACTGTTTCTAGCTCCTCACACAGCTACCTCTTTGGAAGCTTTCTCAAAAGAAAAGTGACCAACTTTAAATAAGTTGGGTACTCTACTTGCTGTCTCCAATTTCAGGCTAACGGTCATCTGCTACAGCAAAATTCTGCAGTGGCTTAAAGAGGCTCTGATTCAGCCAGAATCTTTTTCTTGCACAAAGGGCTTGATCTGTCTCGGGGAGCTTCAACGGGCTGGTCTCTTTATGTAAGTAGATAGAGCGGCTCCCACAGGTTGGGCAGTCAGGTGTGGTAAGATTGAAGGTAATTTATTATATGAGCATCAAGTATTGAAAAAAGTGAAAAAGCTGCATCCTGTTAAAGTGCTTTAAAGAATTCAACACTTTCCTATTGGAATGACATGTATTCTGTGTATTTGAGGAGGGACAGGAAGAGAATCTTTGCTGGTACAGGGTCTTCTTTCCTGCCGCCAGAGCTCCCAGAGCCTCCTGACCAAGCGCGCCCGACTGTGGCTTTCCCTTCTTGTTTTGGAACAGCCACAGCAAGTGCCCGGGGCCTTTTCAGGGAGCAGGTTAGAATCCCAACCTGCACCTGGCCACTCCTCATTTGGCGCTGGAAGAGAAAGACAAATCCCTTGATGGATGTCCTGGGGAGGCAGAGCAGTGAGGGAGAGTTTGTGGCATAAGGCAGGGGCTTCTGTGAGGGATGGGACGTTGCTGGCCTTGGAAGGGGTGCCCAAAGTGGTTGCTGGAGTGGAAAGAAACTCCAGGATAGGGAGTTCATGCAGAGGGCAAATTCTGAACTGATTTGGCATCAATTTAAGGTGAAGAATGTAGAACTATTTGGGGTTGGATCAAGGACGGGGGGCGCATCTAATCCAACAGCTTTTCTTCCACAGTGACAACCCAGCTATGAATGAAAACAAGGAAAGTGGGCTCTGGGTTTTGCTCTGCCCTGCCCGATTGCCTCCTGCTGCTCAGGGAGATTCCAGGTTGCTTGTCTTTCAATAATTGGTGTTATAAATCCATCTTTAGATTGTCTAAGCAAGTGGCTGTTCTCAACCTTGCAGTGGAATGGTGGTTGGAGCTGAACAATACATTAAAGTGTGTTTTGACTAGTTACTGTTTATTGACACAACTACAGAAATTCACACAAGGACAGCCTATCTCACTTTATCTTGCTCTGTGAATCAGACTGATATTAAAACATGGAGCAAAGAAATCCCCTCCTGAAGCTTTCCCCAGAGGCTCTTAATCTCTGGACTATCACCATTCCTTGGCCCCTTTTTTGTAAGTTACAGATTTCTGTGTTTACATCTAAATGTACTCTAAGACTGAACCAATCTGCTTTTTAAACATTTTTCTTTTGCCTAAAAAACTTCTATGTTGGTTACCAGAACTCATTTGGCTGTGGCAGAGATTTGATCAGCAAATAGATAATAAGGAAAAGAAAGAATGAAAACCTGCAGAGGAAGAGGATGGGACGTCTAGAGAGATTCTCCATCATCCAGGTCAGGGTCGTCCCAAAGGTGCTTTTTCCAAATGGCAACTGGAGTTTCTTGTTTATTTTTTTCTTTGAAAAAGTTTCACTTCTCTTCTAGGAAGCTTCTTCAGTTCAACGTCTTGGAAGAGAAGTGACAAATTTTCAAAGAAAAAAAAAAAACCCAAAAGGCACCTTTGGGACAAGTGGGTAGGACCGAAAATGGCACCATATGGGTCTGTGTGTGTGCCTGCAAGGGAACATTTTCCAGTCTCACCCAACTGCCATAACCTCAACCACAAACACATCTTGCTCTCTAAAGTTGTGTGGCCCACTGCCCCACAAAATGCCAGCCCAGCTGGCAGCTCTTGACATCCTCCATGATGCTTTTCCGACAGGCAGGCTCCTGGATGACTTAGCTGGAGCGCCAATCCAGCAGAGAGCAGGAGGGGCACATTTGTCCAGCCCCTCCGAAAAAGCTCAGCTCCCCACTGGAGGAGGGTGCCGCAAGAGCTCCTGTCGTCTTCCCCAGCCTTGTGGCTGAGATGGGGTGGAAACTTGTGGAGAGTCAAACGGAGCCCAGAAATTCTTCCTAGCAGCCACCCGTGGCCTCTGGCGATGGCTTCTCACCGTGGCCAGGTGGTTGAGGTAAAGTTGGTGCCTCACTTGAATGCCTCACTCCTGATTCCAGGTCCAGGTTCATCCACTGCAAAGCTGGAGACTCTTTCCCTGAAGTCCTGGGTGGCACAAGTAATTCTTCAGTGGGTGGCAGTTTGGTTCACAGGCCCTGCTGGCTGGCTGGCTGGCTGGCCCACCACTTGTCTTACAGCACGTCTGGATCTGGCTTAGCATTTCGATTCCAGTCTCCTCTGTGGTGCTGAAGGAGTTAGTTGAGTTTTGCATGTTTTTGTTACTGCCAAAGGAAACTAAATTCTTCTAAGTAATTCTAACATCACTGTTGCCATTATTTGACATATAGTATCTGCTTATCTGTTTGCACAGACAAGGACAAACAACATTTAAAAGCAAAAACAATTAAAATACAGATAAAAAATGCAATAAGTACAAAAGTTCTGCCTGGGTAAAGAGGTGTATTCCGATTCCTTGAATACCGAGAGTCTGCGGGGGGGGGGGGCGGAAAGGCAAGATGAAATGACTGGCCTTTCCCAGCAGCTTCTCCCGGTAATCTTGGCCGGTTTTGGCACAGGAGATGAGACACAACTTGCTTATCCGAGAGTTGCCTTAGCAGAAACAACGCGGCGTTTCTGGCCGCAAAGATGCAAGTCGGCAGCTCCGGCAGGATCCTTTCCAGAGAGCGAGGGATGCCCAGCCCCCCCCCCTCCCCAGGTACATTTCCTCGCTCCCTTCCCTTGCCGGGGGTGACTCGCGCCGCCTCTCGGTGGCGGAGGGAGGGCCGGAGTGGCGCCTCGGTCGCAACGTCTCTCTGGGCGGGGCTGCCTCGGACTCGGCTCGACGCCGCCCAGGCCCTGCCCTGGCCCCGCCGCGGCCGCCTCGGACGCCCACGGGATGGAGGGTCGGCCAGAGCCGCCCCCTTCCTGCTGGACCGCGCCCGGAGCGCCTCAGCCAGATTTGCGGTTGAGCTTTGCGGAGCGGAGCGCACGAACCGGCTCGGGTAAGTCCGAAGGGGCCGGCTCTTCGCGGCTTGTCCTTTTCCCCAACCGGCGAGTCCTCTCCGGACAGACCGGGGCGACTCGCTGTACAGAACCACGCTGGCCTTGTGCGAGGCGGGGGGAGAAGCCTCGGCGTCCTTCGGCCCCTTCCAAGCCCGGCTCGCTGGACGCGGCAGGTGGACACCGGAGATCTGCTGGCCGGGGGAGCCGCCTGGGGCGAGGCTCAACTCGCCGGCTTTTTCCGAGCCTCCGCGCTCTTCCCGCCCCGGCCACAGGAGACGGCGCGCCGTCAGCTTTCTCCCGGTTGGCCCGGCAGCCCCCGCCCCTCGGATATCGACCAGGAGCTTCTTGGGCTGACCGGCGGCCCAGGAAAAGCCAGGGCCCGGGGGATCGAGGAGGAGGGGGTCGAGGGACCGTGCTGAGCCTGGGCCAACCCCGTTTGGAAGGCGGCCGCTTTTTCTCCTTCCAAACTTGCAAAATGTCCCCGGAGCCGCTGGTTAATTAATTTATTTATTTATTTATGAGACTTATATACCGCTTTAAGTGCAAGCACTCTCTAAGCCAGTGGTTCTCAACCTTTCTAATGCCGCGACCCCATAATACAGTTTCCCATGTTGTGGTGACCCCCAACCACTTATACATCACCGGGTGCCAGGGGCGCAGCCAAAGAAAAGGGGAAAAAAATGGCGGACAGCCTTGTTTGGCGACCCCCGTGAAATGGTCGTTCGACCCCAAATGGGGTCCCGACCCACAGGTTGAGAACCACTGCTCTAAGCGGTGTACACCAGTAAGCAATGTATATATATATTTACATTGCTCCCAACCATCTGGGTCCTCATTCTACCTACCCTGGAAGGATGGAAGGCTGAGTCAACCTTGAGCCGGTGAGATTTGAACCAGGCAGCTTCTTCAACCTTTGATTGATACTTCCCTTTTTCCGTCTTTTACTTAATTTGGGGCAGCAGTTCTGGTCTGCAGTATCCAAAGGAGCGTCATATGGCAGCCAAGGTTGGTGGCTCTGTAAGGTGGCGTGGTACATACCGCTGTGGGTGGCCAGTAGGCTTTTACAAGGGAGATGTGGCGGCCTCCGAGCTGCCCTCCGAGCCTCCCTCCTGCTCTTTAAAAGAAAGCGATCTGACGGTGGCTCTTCTGTCTGGAGTGACCTCCTTCTCAGGGCACATGGCAATCGCTGGTATGGTCAAGCCTGCTCCTCCTGGCTTGGAAAGCTGTCTGGGCTGCCCCAGGCTTTGGCCCCTGGCCGTGCTCACCTGTAGGCACCTGGCCTCTGCTCCTCCAATCTCCCAGAAGCTGCTTCTCAAATTGCTAAAGGGTCCTGGTGGCTTGGGACAACCCACACAAGAAGAGCCCCCTTCGCAGAGATAGCAGCTTCTTCAGAAACCAGTCAGCAGCTTCTACCTGACTGCAAATGGGCTTTTCCTGTTTGATTGGATCATGAACTCTGGAACCCTAGGAAAGCTCTTTGGCTCGTCTTCCTGTATTTAACACCGGAAGCGAGCGAGAATTGGTGCTCCAACTCAGGAAGGGAGTCGGTTCCTTTCCTGAGAGCTGCTGAGACCTCAGGGAAGCCCACTTTGCAGTCTGGGTTGGGGGGAGGGAAAAGGAAAAGAGAGGGGCCTCAGAGGGAGGGTCTTTTGGAAAGAGGGGGGATCAGAGCCCAGAGGCCGCAGACGGGCTGAGGGAAACAGGAAGGCGAACACAGGGCTCTTGGGAGATGACCAGAACCAAGATAAGGAGGGACCGGCCAAGATGGGCATGAGGGCTGCCGCTGGTCCTTGGAATCGGCTTTGAGGGGCCCAGGTGCTTTTGGTGGTCATCCTTGGAGTCCAGCGTGGGAGATGGGAAGGCCTTGTTCCTCCCAGCCCTGGGCCTGACTTGCAGGAGAAGGGCTCAGACCAGCCTTCCCACTTTCTGCTACTGGGCCTGTCATTGGAAGCCATCCCCGGAGCCCGAGCGAGGGCCGTGTAGTTTCACAGCTCAGCCTAAAAGGGCCGATTCCCCCTTCTTACCCAGCTCCAACCTTTGTCCTTGCTCAAGCTGTCTCTCTCTTTCTCTCCAGTGCCTGCTCCTCCAGCCTGCTTTCTCGCGAAGGGAAGGAGAAGAGGATTCTCAAAACAGGACCATCTTAACCTGCTAAGGAGAGAGGAAGAGGAAGGAGCAGGGCACTGATTCGAGGGCATCCGGCTGGAAGTGTTTATCAGGATCCGGACCCAGAATTAGCCAGAGGATCCCGCGGTGAGGCAGGTGGGTGAAGCTTCCTTTCTCTTGAGCTGAACGCTCCAGCGCAGCCAGCATGTCTCTTGAAGGAGGGAATGGGAGAAAAAGTGGCTCAGGGTCTTGAGGGCAGCCCCTGATTCTGGCAATCTCTCCCAAAGGAGAAAGTTCTCTTTTTTACTTCATGTTTGTTCCTCTTGACCTCTGAGGTGTTTCTGATTTTGCCATTTTGTTCTTCTCTTGACTTCCACAGCTCAAAAGTCCTGCTCAGACACACACACACACACACACACACACACACACACACACACACACACCCGTGTGTTCTGGACTAGATCTCCTGTGATCTCTCCCTCAGCTCAACTTGACTGGGCTTGTGACTTGCTCTCCCAAAGCCAGGGCAAGGTTGCTCTCAAGGTGAACAAAGCAGGAGTGGGCAGCCGGCAGGTGGGCAAGCTGATGTCCAGCACAAGTGCACAACAGGCACAGCAGTCTAGCAAGGCCAGTCTCCTTGAGGCACCTGCGTCTGAAATGGCATCTGGGCTGCCCATCTGAGGGAAGGAGGCTGAGTCACTTTCCTGGGATCTTTTTGCTGGGTGGAACTGCAGCCTCGGCCCCCATTCTGCCCCGGCCCCTCCTGAGTTTTGCTGAGACTACAGAATGCCTGACAGTCTCCCCAACCTTCTAGCAGCTCAGCTGTGAGCAGAGGGGGGAGGGACCCGAACAAGCCCCCAATTCTCTTGCTCCTGAGTGGGAGCAGCTCTCTTCGCTCTCTGCCTCTTCCATTTAAACTATGGGAGCTCCTGAAGTTGCGTCAGTGTCTTCCTCTGACTGACCCAGAGACTGTGGAGTTCTTCACCGGACTCAGCCTGACACCTCACTAGGTTCACTTTTAATTTGCTGCCCATGCTTGGGGAAGCTGGGCTGGGGACAGATCTTGGCTTTCCGCTCGGGCCTGTCAGCTCCAGCCAGTGTAAGGGACTTACTGTGCTGTTGCCAAAGAGGCCTCTGACCGCTGTGTCCTCGTGTCCGAAGCCCTCACCTCCAGAGGTTCCCACCAGGCCTGGCTGAGCCTTGCTGGAAGCTGCTTTCTGGGCTCCATGGAAGGCCTGGCCCATCTGGATGAGGCTTCTGCTTCGCCTTTTGATGGCCACAAACACTTCCACGAGCTTTTCCCAGCCCTGCCAGGGACGTCTATCCAGAGGCAGTGGACCAAAGACCCTCCGGGCTGTATGTTACCTCCCTTCCTCTCTTGCCATGAGCCCCCTGGTCCTCTGAGCTGCCCTAGTGGACAGGCTGCACAGGCAAGCAGAGAGAGGTAACAGCCCAACAGTCTTGACCCCTCTGCTTGGCCAAAGGAGGGGGGCTGCCGTGCTTGCGCCTGGGCCCTGCTCCTGCTCAGTGGCCACTGTGGGGAGGAGCCTTTGGGCCTTCTGTCTACAGTGGACTCTGAAGAGGTGTGGAGGAATTCTCCTTGGAATGCTGGCAATGCCAGAGGCCTGGCTGGGGCTCAGCGCCCCTTTGTCTTCCCAGGCAGGGAATGCCTGGCATGGAGCCCTGACCTTTTGGGGAATGGAGTGGCGTGGGCCCCCAACATCCAGTGTGGGGATGAAATGCCCTGCACGAGCAGCAGCACGGCTTCCACCATGGCTGGGCTGAAAGACAGGAAAGGAACTGCTGCTGCTCCCGCCTGTGTATGGGAGGTTATCCCAAAAACATCCATGGGGCAGGATCTGGCTCTCTTTTCCAGAGGCCCCGAGGGAGGTGGTGGCCTTCCCTGCCCAGATGAAAGGCATAACAAGCGGTGCCACAAGCTGCCGCCAAATTAAAACATAACTGAAAACTGTTGTTATTAGTATTTGTATACTTCCCAATATCTCTGGATGGTACACAAACTTAATAACAAAAATAACAGTAACTAAAATAAGCACTCAAGGCAGAGTCATTGCAAAATTCTGTCCAATAAATTGGATAGTTTGCACAAGAAATAGCAATAGCATATAACAATAGCATTTAGACTTATATACTGCGCCACAGAGCTTTACAGCACTCTCTGGGTGGTTAACAGTATCCGCATTATTTGCCCCCAATAATCTGGGTCCCCATTTTACCAACCTCAGAAGGATGGAAGCTTGAGTCAATCCTGAGTCCTGTCAGCATCAAACTCCGGGCTGTGGGCAGAGTTTCCCTGCAAGGAAGGTGCCATTTCACCCAGAGGGACCCGGAGAACTGGTTGTGTTGTGGCCTGCTTTCGAGCAGAGCAGCCCCCAACCCAGGACTGACCAGCAGGAAAGGAAGCAAAAGTCCTGTAGAGGGTTTCCTTTCTGCTGTCAATGACTCCAAAGAAGCTCAGGAGATGGCCAGCTCCCTTGCGCCCCTCCCTGCCTTTGCTGCTGCCCTAAAGCCTCTTGCTGCTTTGACTTACTCAGCCCTTTTGGAAAACTGGTTCAGGGGTGGATTCCTGCCGGATACTGGGCAAATGGGGCGTGCCATCTCCCCAATGGTGCCTCCCTTGCTTAAATCTGCCTCTCAGAAATCCTCCCTCTCACCACCTGCTTCCCTCCTTCTCCCACCTGGGTAGCAATTCTGTTGCTGGGCAGATACTTTTGGATTCTTTCTAAACAAAAGAATCTTGGGACAGTTTTCTCTGCCTGCCGACCTGCCCAGAACCAGAACAGAACAAGACTACACCTAGGGTGGGGGCAGAAGCCTACTAAGGAAAGGCTGAGTTAACGCTGGATTCAGCTGGGGGGGGGCAATCCTACTAGCGGCAGTTGGGCAGTGACTCTGAAAGTAGCCAGCGCCTCCGGTCTCTCCTACCCAACCCCCCCCCTGGTTAATGGGAGCTAGAGCTGAACTTTCTGGAGGGGCAGAAAGAATCACAGCAGCCTGGCCTTCCCTGGGCTTCAGCTTCCTTGCCCTGGCTCTACTGGAGCCAAGGGAAGCTCCTTCCTCTCTGGGCTTTGGGTGCTCTTCTGAAGCCTGAGACATTTTCCTCCTGGAAAAAGGAGCAGCTTTGGGGGGGGGGTGCCATGCCAAGGCTGGACCACTCTGGGGCAAGGAGGTCTTGTGGGTGCCTGCAGGAGGGTGATGAGCTACTCCATGACAACCCACTTGCAGTTGATGGGGAGGGGAAGGTTTTACCCCCCCCCCAGCAATCATGCTTTTGCTCCCTGTTACTAGTGGGGGGGGTCAGAGGGATGTGCTGCCTGATGCAGTGCTGGGCTCACTCTGAAGGGCTTAAGGTGGGAGGAGGGGGGGTAGAGGATTCTTTCCAAGGGGTCTCTCCTGTGGGCGAGGGAGGTGGAGGGAGAGCCAGGACTACTTTGGGGCAATTCTTGAAGCTCAAGAATCATTGTTTCAGCTGAGGGTAGGGGAGATGCTGGGCGTGTCTCAGCACCCTCTCAGGGAACATGGCTGGTGGACCCACCTCGGCAGCCTGCAGAATCTCTACCAGGGGCTGAGATTCTCCATCTCCTTCCAGGACTGCGAAGAGAAGCTTCATGTGGTGCTGAAGGGGTCCTCCTGAGAAAAGGCACAAACCAAGGAGGAGGTCCTGAATTGGAGGGGCACTTCCTTCTGCTGCCCCCCCCCCAGGATGACAGCACAATTCATTGCAATGGAGGTGAGCATGGTGGGAGACTGAAGAGCTTCAATGGCTGCAGGGGGGGGGGGCTCTCAGATCGCCTTGTCTTGAAAGCTAGGGAGATCCCCAGCTCAGCTGAGCAAGTGAAGCCAAGCTGGGGGGTTCTCTGGATGGGGCAGGATCCCCTCTTCATCTGACGGTCCCCTGCAAGTGGCAGTTGCTGGGTGGCTTTAGCAAGCCTGACCTGCTCTCACTGGGTTCTGAGGGTATCCACACTGAGCAGGTGTACCTGGCAGAAGCGGTAAGCCAGCTTTGGCATCTGCCTCCTGATGCAAATACAGCTTTGCAAGTGTCATCAAACAGGCGCCCCCTTTGCACACGCTCCCTTAAGCTGCCCTCTGCCTTCTCCAGGCCTGCCATTCCTTGCAGTTGCCCTGTTTGACAAGCAGCCTTGTAAAAAGAATCTTCCAGAATAGTCAGTTTTATCGTGGCAAATTTAGTAGAGTGACACCCCCCTTCCCATCCCAGGAAGCCAGAGGCAAAAAATGGATGGATGGATTCTTCTTTCTTTGCAGAAGACCATCGAGGCCTCTGAGCTGCTGGAGATGGTGGTGGAGACTGAGGCCGGAGCCGGGGCCAGGGGACTGAGCGTGGCCGGTGGAGGGAAGGAAGGCCTTTTTGTGAAGGATGTGCTCAAGGACTCCCCAGCTGCGCGAGTGCTGAGCCTCCAGGAAGGTGAGCGATCCAGAAGGGCCCAACCCGGGTGGGCAGAGACTGGCAGCAGGACTGGAAGGACAAGATGGGGCACTGCCTCGTCTGGCTGCTCAGTCCTTTCTGCTCTCGTGCCTTCAAAGGCTGCACTCGTGGGAGAGCGGGTGCCGTGCCCTGGACAGGTGCCTGGTGGCCAGAGATCTTGGGAACCAGCAGGCTGAGAACCAGATGGCCGCGAAGCCCTTAACATCCTCCTTCACCCATCTTGCAACTTTCAGGCGATCAGCTCCTGAGTGCCAGAGTTTACTTTGACAACATAAAGTATGAAGATGCCCTGCAGATCCTCAAGTGTGCTGAACCGTACAAAATCTCCTTCTGCCTGAAGCGGGTGGTTCCCAGCGCAGACGTCTCCCGCAAGCCTGGAGCCACCGTCTTTGAAGTGAGAGGCCCCAAAGCCAAGATGGCCAAGCTGGTAGGTGACTCTGGCAGTCCTGGGTGTGTTTTACCTCCAGGAACCCAGACTTTGCCTTCCTCTGCACGGCAGCCACCCAGAGAGGGTGAGGTGACAGCCCCAGACCAAGGCTGAGGCGGAGCACAAGAGGAGATCCATCGACTGTCCTCAAAGCCCGCCTCTTTCTCAGCACAAGTTCAGAGGAGAAACAGGGAAGTAGTTTTTGTTGGGCTTCTCTTGGCTGATAAAATGAACTGGGAATCTTCCAGGCAGTCAACCGAGGAGGGAGATTGCTGATAAGTAAGTTTTGTGCAGGACTAAGAAATCCGTTAAAGGGCAATTCCAGCAGTGGATGCATCTAAAATGCAAGCTGCATTTATAATGGAATCCAGATTCAATCCTGCCATTTTTTTCTCCCATTTGTACGGTACACCACGCAAGACAGGAGGAGCGGCTCCGTCTGCCCCCTTACGGAGTGGGTCTAAATCAGAATCGGCTTTTGCAGGTCGCTCTGCAGGCACTCCTGGTGGATTTCCGCCTGCCCCTCGCTGTCAGTCGTAAAGGAAATGGGGCAGACCCCCTTAGATGCAGGAGTTCTGCCAGAGACTGCAGAGTTCAGGGTCGGAGAAGCGCCCCTCAGGGCAGGCCTCTTGGCCGGGGAGGCTCACTGACCCCTTCCTTGCCTCTTCTCTCCTCAGAACATCCAGAGTCTCTCCTCCCTGAAAAGGAGGAAGAAGAAGAAGAGGAGGAGGATGGTGTCACAGAGCCTGCAGGAGACGGAGGCACACCTGGCAGTCGGGAAGCCTGAGGGGCCCCCGGTTGATGTGGAATTCTCCTTCCCCAAGTTCTCCAAGCTGCGCAAGGCCAGGAGTGCTGGAGAGGTGGCCATGGCTGAACTGGGCCCAGACAGTTCGTGGAAGTTGTCCTCCCTAGAGACAAAACAACACCGGCTGAAGTTCCCCCGCCTAAGGGTCAAGGAAGCGGCTGCAGCCGAGGCCCGGCTTGCCATGGGCCTGCCCCACGTTGGTCTGGAATTGAAGAAGGCAGGCAGGGGAGGAGGAGGCGAGGGGAAGATGTTCCGATTCACCATCCCTTTTTCCAAAACAAAGAAGCCCAAGGAAGAAGCCGGGCCAAAAATGGACGTGGGATTCCAAGCCCCACAAGTTGAATTTGCTCTGCCTAAAATGGGGCCTGAGGAGGAGTCGCTCGAGGCCGGCCCCAAAGGTGAGAGCCTTGCTGTCTCAGAGTCTCGGCTCGGGTGGCCCAAAGTGGAGGCTGCCTTGCCCAAAGGAAGTGCCAGTGCGCTGGAGACCCACCCAGGCCTTCTCCAAGCCGGGCTGAAGCTCCCTGCAGCTGAAGTGGCAGCTCCCAAGGTGGACGTAGACTTGGCCCTGCCCAGGTTGGAGTGTGCTGCCCCAGAGGCTGCCCCTAAAAGAGAGGGGTTCAGGATCAAAGTCCCCAAGTTTGGGATCTCTGTTGAGGAAGCGGAACTGAAGCTGCCCTCGGTGAAGGTTCCTGACCTGGAAATGGCCCTGGGAGAAAGTCGGGAAAAAGTTTTGGAGGAGCAGCTGAGACCAGGAGGGGCAGCGCCTTCTCTGGGCATGGTGACTCCTGGTGTGGCTCTAGAGCTCCCCTTTCCCAAGGGGAAGACAGGTGTAGAAAGCCCTGAAATCTCGGTGAGACTCCCCTTGGTCAACTTATCCCAGCTGGGCTCCAAAGCCCAAGAAGGAGCAGGCAAGCTGCCACAGGTGGAAATCAGCGTGGGGAAACCAGAGAGCCCCAAGGCAGACAAGACGAAGGGCTCCGTAATTCAGCTGCCTGGCCTGGAGATTTCCCTGAGGGAGCAGCCTTTGGAGAGCCAGGAGGCAGCTGGAGTGGCAGGTGGTACTCAGGTGAGGCTCCCTGAGGTGAGGGTGCTGTCTCTTGACATCTCTGCTCCCAAAGTCCAGGATATGCACCTGTGCAAGGCAATGGGGGAACCAGCTGCCCCTTCTGGAAAGGCAAAACCCAAAGAGGCTGCTGAAGGGGCTGGATTTAAGTTTCAAATGCCTCAAATATCCCTCCCAAAATTTGATTTCCCTGGCAAGGCAGCTCCCTCCCCTCCTCCAGTCCAGGTCAAAATGCCGAAACCGGAAGGAGACCTGGGAACAAAAGTCAGCCTCCCAAAGGTGGATGTTTCCTTGCCAGCAATGCAGATGCCAGGTGTGCAACTTCCTAAGGTGCCAAAGCCAGAGGTGAGCATCTGTGCTGTTGAGAAGCCAAAGGTTGAGATGACCGTTCCTCCAGCCCCACTGAGTGTTGCATCTGCAACTCTGCCTGAGCTGGACATTGAGCTGCCAAGGGTTGGGGTGGAGCTGGATTTGGCACAGCGTGAAAGAGAAGTTTCTGAGCAGGGACCTAAAGCCCAGGAGGTCACCCTAGAGACCCTGAGCAAAGAACTGGAGGTAGAAATCAGCCTTCCAAAGTGTGAGGTCAGCAGGCCTGAGCTGGGGCCAGGGATGAAGAGCATCGAAGGGCCGTCCCTCGCTGGGATGGTAGCCCAATTCCCTAAGGTGGGCCTTGCCTTTGAGGAGCAGCCAGAGGACGCTGAAGGGCCAAAGGCTGACCTAGAAGGAGCCAAGGTGAAGCTGCCAACTGTGGAGATCTCATCAATATGTCTCCCAGAGACGACGGCCGAGGGTCAGGCCAAGGCAAAACTATCCCGATTTGCCCTGTCCAAATTCAGCATTTCTGGCCCCAAAGTCTGGAGCAAAACAAGCCCGGAAGTTGCGGTGTCTGGAGTGGAGGGCACAGAAGCTGCCAACCTGGGTTCAAAGCTGAAATTGCCAAAGTTTGGGATCTCTTTCCCCAAATCAAAATGGGCAGCAGAGGCAGAAGATGCCAAATTAGCCCTTAAGGTTGAAAGGGCTACGGAGAGCAGAATGAAGTTGCCCACGGTGGAGGTGGATATTGGCCACCCCCAAGGCATGGAAGGATGGTCTGAGGGAGACGGGGAGGGAACCTCTCCTGAACTCCTCGGGGTCAAGTTTAAAGGGCCAAAACTATCACTACTGAGCTTTGGGGTCAAAGGCAAGGAGGAAGAGTGGGGTGCCCTAGAGAGTGGGGAGGTAAAGCTGCAAGGCAGCAAGGAGGGCTTGACAGGGCAGCTGGACCCCAGGATGCTGGAGAAGGACTCCAAGGCTACTTCCAAGTTCAGGGTAGTTTCTTTGGGACTCGTGAGAAGAGAAGTAGAGGCCAAAGCCAAGAAGGTCCCTGGGCGTCCAAAGGAGAAACCCAAAGGCCCATTTGGGAAGATGTCCCAGCTGAAGCTTCCCTCTCTGACGGCCCAAGGAGAGAGACAGAAATTCCACCTTTCAGCTCCAGAACTAGATGGGAAAGTCCTCCCCCAGATAGAGTTGCCAAAGCTTGCCCCCAGAGCCAAGGCAGGTTTGATCCCAGAGCCGGAGAGTCCTGGTTTCAAGGTTCAGGTGCCATCAGTGGAGATTGCTGTGCCTACTTCCAAAGCTGAAGGAGCGGCAACTGTGGAGAAACCAGCAGGAGATGCAGCCAAGGCTGAGATCCAGCAGCAGGAGGGAGAACTCAAGATGCCCAGAGCGCCTTCCATCCAGGTGTCTGCTCCCACACTAGAGCTGGGCATCGGTTTGTCCATAGCTGGTGAAGAAGGCATTCTCCAGGTAGCCCCTGATATAGGGGCCAAGATCAAGCTGCCAAAGGTGGAGCTGGCGAAACTTGGGAAGGGCGAGGAGGGCAGGACAGAGGCGGCCATGCAGCTGCTGGGGAAGGATGGGGAGAAAGACCTAGAAGGGGTGGCTGAAGCCTCTGCCCTGGGCACCAAGGTGCGGCTGCCTAAAGTAGACATTTCCTTCCCCAAGGCCTGGCTGCCGGAGGTGGAGCTGCCTCCAGCCAAGGTGGATCTTGGCCCGGAAGGGCCAGAAGCAAAGTTCAAGATGCCTTCAATGGGGCTGCCAAAACTCAGCGCCCCAAAAGTGAAGGCTCCAGAGCTAGAGCTTGATGTGGGTTTGGATGGGGGAGGGATGACGCCCAAGGTCACAGTAGGCACTCCTTCAGTAAAGTGGCCCAAATTTGGGGCCTCAGGCTCAGTGGGAGAAGGGCAGGGCAAGGAGGATTTGCCCTGGGTCCCCCAAGTGGAGTTGAAGCCTCCCAAAATCAGGGGAAGCACAGACGCCTTGGCCTCTGAAACGGGGGTGAAAGAGGGCCGACTGAAGGTGCCCACTCTGCCTCTTGGCCTTGGCAAACTGGAAACACAAACTGGGACGGGAACCGAGGAGAGCAGATTCAGGCTGAAGCTCCCGTCCCTTGGCGTCTCCAAGCCAGAGGCTGAGTTGAGCCTGGATACCGAGCCCCTCTGCCCTCCTGCCGAGGAGGCAGCGCCTGCCTTCAGGATGCCCCAGATTGCTTTGCCCGATGTCAGCTTCTCGGGGGATCAGGAGAGGGGGGAGGAGGCCAAGGTGGCAGGGGCAACAAATCTGGAGGGGGGGCTGGAGATGCTGAAGATGCCCAAAATAGCTATCACTGCATGTGGGGTAGTAGGCACCGAGGAGGGCACAGAGAGGGCCACTTCTCCAAGCCAGAGGGGTGCGGGTGGGGGGGAGCCGGAGGGGAAGAAATTGGTTTTTAAGGTTCCTGGCTTGGAAATTTCTGCTCCAAGTCTCAAAACCCATGCTGAATATGAGGTGGGGGCCCCCCACACCCAGCAGAGGGGATCCCTGGATCTGGAAGGGGCAGGCAGGGAGGGCTGGAAGCAGACCGACCGCCATTCAGATGCAGGGAAGCGACTCAGGGTGAGGATCCCCAAGTTTGGCCTCTTCCTGCCCAAGGGGGCCACTGAACTCAACGGGGGAGCTGAGGCGGCTTCCTCCAAGGCGAAGGTGTCCAAGCTGGGCTTTTCCAAGGCCCAGGGAGCCGCCCAGCTGCAGGGAGAGAAGGCAGAGGGGTTGCTCCAGGGTGGGGCGAGCAAGTTGGGGAAGATCCCACTGCCCCAGGTGGAACTCCTGTCTCCCTCTAAGGGGACTGAGAGTGACCCAGAGCTGAGCCTCAAACTGGTGAAGGCAGAGGAGGCCAAGGAGGAAGGCCACAGCGGGGTCGCTATTCCCGCTGCCCTCAAGGCTGCCAAATTCAAGCCCCTCAGGATCACGCTCCCTGGCTTCAAGAAGTGCAATGGGGAGTCGGCCCCCGACGCAGTAACTGCACCCAGGCCCCAAACGGAAACGACTGTCAAAGGGGAGCCGTCCAGCAAGTTCAGCTTTCCAAAATTGGCATTAAGCTCCAGACCCCAAGAGGTGCTGGAGATCTCCAAGCACCAGCAGGACGAGGAGAGGGGCAACTTCAGGCTGCTGGCTGTGGCTGTGTCTGCAGAGAGTGGCCCTGGGGGGGAGGGCAGGAAGCTTTCCGCAAAGGAGGCGCTCTGAATCAGCTGCTCCCCCTTCTGGCTCACAATGTGTATAGTCCAGCACTAACCGTGAGGAGACAGGCCTTGGCAGGGGGAGGGGCAGGCTGGCTGGCACATGCGTAGAGCCGCCTCTCTGATAGGCTTCCTTTTTTAACTGCCCCTCCACGGCGGGCCTCCTTCTCCTTTGCTGCAGGGGCAGATTGGAGGGAAGGGAACCCCGGCTGTGCCTTGAAAGAGGAAGCCAGTCCAGAAAGGGATGCGGACCTGGCAAGCCTGTCGGGCACTACCCCCTGCCTCCCGGCACTGATTGCAATTGGGACAAAGGAGTTACCTGCTTCTTTCCATTGGAAGACGGGGCCCTCCCTATCCCAGCTCCTTTGACAACACTAATTCTGTAACTTTAGAATGGGGGTGGGTGGGTGGTGGAAGAAGTTTTGAGTGGGGAAGCAGCTGGGGCTGTTCCACGGGTGTTCTGTTTATAAAAGGGAACACCGGGGCAGATGACAGCACTTGGAGCAGGGCACACCTCACGTTGATGCTGCAAACAATGGGACACTCCTCATCCAGAGGGCTGGTGGGAGACATGCCTGCAGGAGGAGGATGCTGAGTCTGCAGGGACAAAAGGGCTGCCCAGGAGAGGCTGCTTCCGCTGCCTTCACTTGGTACCTCCCCCCCCTTGGTCTTCTTGTCTAAAGGAATAACCTGGGAATAGCCCACCTGTGGCACCAAGGGGGGCCCTGGCCCTGGGAAATGGGTAAGGAGTAAGGGCAATTTAGGTGGGCCTCTTCCTCTTTTCTCAGATGGGGCAAAATTATTCCATGTGCTCTGAATGTACAGAAACCTTTTATTCTAATGTTTAACCAAAGTGGCCTACTGAAGTGCCCCTTTTAAAAAACCTAAAGGATCTGATAACTGCTTTCCTCCTAGATTATGATTATCTCAGATAGCCTGTTCTACAGCTGCTGCTTGTTTTCCACCCTGTTTGAATAAAAATTAATCTGTGAACTAATTCCATTACTTTTTGCATCACGTTTCATCTTTGGGCTATCCATAGATACATCATTTTTGTTCAGCTCTGCACAGAACCAGCCCAACAGTTAACCTAGCCAAGCACTCAATAATACCTGCAACTTTTCCCCTTCCTCTTCCCTTTCGTGCCATGTGAAGGTGGGACTTCACAAATTCAGGGCCACGCCAGCATCCAGAAATCCTGGCTCGCTCTTCCCGTGCGCTGGTCACCTGCTGCTGGGGACCTGAAGTGAGCCAATTCCAAAGCAAATTCCTGTGCTCGAAGTGCCATTTCCACCTAAGCAGCAGGAACCAGCCTCCCCTCCATCTAGGATGTCAGGAGGGCATCTCTGCCAGGGCGTTCTTGGAGGAAGCCAACATTTGGATACAGAGGCAGATTTGCAGAGAGAGAAGAGCAACAGCCCTTTCTTGGGCCTTTGTGCATCCAGTGCCACGCGCAGTGATCTGCAAAAGCACCTGCATTAATAAATCAGTCTTCATACTCTCCCAAGACTGATGCCTTTAGCAAGCTGGCTTTGCCACCATCAGGCCAAACGAAGCTTCTTTATTGGGGCTTCTCTTCTCCTGGTGAGGGGCCAGCAAATTCTGGTTCGCAGGTGTGTTTAGAATTGGCCTGGGCTGCAAGAACATAACTACAAGAGGGCTTTCCGACCCCTTCAGGGTAGTGAGTGCTGCTTTTGGAGGACTGCTGTAGAGCAAATGGGTCCTCACGAAATCTTTTCTCTTCGCAACCATTCCCCCTCCCCCCACCAGCCTTATGGGAGATCTTGTGGGCAGCTGCTATGTTCCTTTACAATGAGATTGTTTTACAGAGGGGGTCCTCTCCTTGGGGGCACTAAAAGAAGATATGTGGCACGTATAAAGTTCTGCCAAGACTCTAGAAGCAGCATTTTGAAATTATTATCAAACTGATTAGGGCAAATCCTCTGAACAGGATGCCATGTTAAGAATTTAGGATTGAGCAGTTGCATATACTCCAGGGAAGTGAAAGATCCTTTGCCTGTGCTTCATCAACACACACTCTGAACGTAAAGGATGGGGTGTGGGATGAAAGAGGGGTTCCTCTGAGAGAGCCACATCCCTCCACTCACGAGGGAACCTCCGTTCCACGTTGCAAATGCCTCTTCAAACCCATCCATTTGCAGTTTGGCTGATAGCCCCCCCCCTCCCCCAGTACTTACCCTTGGCTAAAAGCAACCCTTGGGCTGGCACTGCAGAGTTATTCCTTGGGGCCTGCAATGGGCTGGTTTCCTACTTAGGAGCAGCTCTTCCTCCTGGGCAAGGGGCTGTTGGAGACCCCAAGGAGAGTGGGCTGCCTGCCTCCATAACAGAACTTTCTTCACCTGGCAACTCTGGAACTCGGCTGACTGTTGCATCACCTCCTGTTCCAGAGGAGGCTGGGATTCTCTTTGCTCCGTGGCAGCCGGACCTCTCTTTGCAAGAAGCCACTTTGCACCCGTGTTTCTGAGCTTGGGCAAGCACAGGACAATGGTAACGATCGAGTCAGAGTCCGATTTCTATGACGTCTTTGAGATTCTGGGGAAGGGCACGTTTGGGGAGGTCGTGAAGAGCTGGAAACGGAGCACTGGGGAGATGGTGGCCATAAAAATCCTGAAGAATGACTCCCACCGCAGCAGGATCATCAAGAATGAGCTGAAGCTGCTGCAGACCATGTCCGAGGTGGATTCCGAGGAATCTCACATCGTCCAGTTCCACGAATTCTTCCACGACGAGCTCAAGTTCTACCTGGTCTTTGAGCTCCTGGAGCAAAACCTCTTCGACTTCCAGAAAGAGCACAACTTCTCTCCATTGCCGGTCCGGCACATCCGCACAGTGACCACGCAGGTGCTGAGAGCCCTGGCCAAGTTGAAAGAGCTGTCAATCATCCACGCTGACCTGAAGCCAGAGAACATCATGCTGGTGGACCAGGTGAGGTATCCTTTCCGGGTCAAGGTGATTGATTTTGGATCGGCCAGCATCTTCAACGAAGTGCGCTATGTCAAAGAGCCTTACATCCAGTCCCGATTCTACCGGGCCCCAGAAATACTGCTGGGGTTGCCATTCTGTGAGAAGGTGGACATGTGGTCCCTGGGGTGCGTGATGGCCGAGCTGCACCTTGGCTGGCCCCTCTACCCTGGGAACAATGAGTATGACCAGATCCGGTATATCTGCGAGACCCAAGGCATGCCCAGGCCCACCCTCCTGAACGCAGCCCGAAAGGCCCACCTCTTCTTCAAGAGGAGCCAGCACCCCGAGGTGGTGAACTCCTGGCAGCTGAAAACCCCAGCAGAGTATCTGGCTGACACCAAAGTGAAGTCTGTGGAGAGGAGAAAGTACGTGCTCAAGTCCCTGGACCAGATGGAGACGGTGAACATCCACAAGATGATCTACCCGGACACAGAGGCCCTGGCTGAATATTTTGACCTCCGAAGCATGGTGGAGCTCATCAAACGGATGTTGACCTGGGATTCTCACGAGCGCATCACTCCCAGCGCAGCCCTGAAACACCCCTATATCTCCACCCAACCCCTGAAGCAGAACTATGATCTCACCCAGTACTACCAGTTCTGCCTGAGGAGCCTCCGGGAGTCGCTGCCCAGCCATGGCAAGGCTTCCGAGGAGGAAACACAACATTACAATGCCATGGAGGAGGACCGCTTCTACAGCCGGGAGGAAAGCGCTCATGGCATCCAGGGCACCACCAGCCAGTTGGACGAGCTCAGTATTGCTGAAGCCAGCCGGGAGGTGCCCCTAAAGGTGTGGGGCGAAGGGCCCAGCGGGGGAGGCTATGATCCCATTCTGGACCCGGCAGAGGCGGTGGCAAATCGGCATAGAGTGGCCCACCAGAGCCTCCGGCTGCGTCATGAGCAGGCCCAGCAGGAACCCATCCCAGCTTACTACCGAAGCCGGCCCGGCAGCCCCAGGCACCACAAGGCCTCTCACCATGTGAAGTCAGACCCCACTTTTGAGAACCTGATCCTTCTGGGGCAGTACACGCCGGAAGACCCCCATGGCTGGGAGAAGGAAAGCAATGCCAGTGCCACTTCCTTACCAGAGTCCGGTGCCCTGGAGGAGGCGAGCTATCCCAAAGGCCTGGTCCTCTCACCCACCACACAGGTAACAAGGACTGTTAGAGGCGGTAAGGGGGTTGGACCGTTGGACCTCATGAAACCACAAAGGATGGGAGGAATCCCTTGAGCTGATTGGTGACATAAACAAGGGAGTGTAGGCAATGGCCAAGGTGACTTGAATGGGGCCTCAGAGGACTGAGTCAGACACGGGAGGGTCTGCAGCTCCCTCCTCCACACCAATACCGTTGCTCTTTCTTTCTTCTAGGCCACCCATGAAGCTGCCTCAGTATCCCAAGTCCACTGTGGTCTTTCCCATGTGCTCGTACTCATCCTGAGCAGCATCTCTGGGGAAGAATGCTCATCCCCCCCCCAGTACTTGCAGGTCCAGTTCAGAAACCCCTCATCAAAGCCAAGGGGGGGCACTGGCTGTCTTAGCCAGAGGCCAGTTGGCATCCTCCCCCTCCCCCAGTGGGCTTGCAGGGAGTTATGGGAGCAGCAGCACTCATGACAGGCTGCAAAGGCAACCACAGAATCTGCACACTCCAGGCTCAGTTTGGACACCCCTCTCGGAAAAAAGGAATATACCACAACTACCCTGAGGGGGTCTTTTGTTGAATTGTTCATGCAACCCCCCCATCCCTGGCCCCTGTGGCTGATCCTTCTCATCTTCTATGAAGCTTGGCAAAGTGCTCTTTTCCCAGCAGCCCAGCTCCCCCCCCCAGTTTGCAGAGGGGGTGTGCAGGTAGAAACCAAGGGTGGCCCAACCAATCTTGTCAAGAGAGTGAAGAAGAGAAAGATGGTGCAAAACCCCTTCCAGGAACCAAAGCACCTCCCCGCCCGCCCCTCCGACTCTGCAACGGGCCTTGCCCAGACCAGTTCAGCCTCTCCATGATCTCTCTCAACACCCCCCCCCCGGGCCCCCTCCCCCAGTAATGCTCTGTTTCTTTTTGGCAGCACGGGCAGACAGAGGTCTTTGAGCCGGCCATGCCGCTGCCCGGGCCAAACCCCTGGCTACCCAGCGAGGACTGGCTGGCCGAACACAGCATGGAAAGAGTCCCGCTCAAGGCAGTGCTGCATGCCCCCCGGAACCGCCACCAGCTGCAGCCCTACCTGCAACATGTTGCCAGCCACCACTAACCCTGGACCCTCAGCCAGGAAGAGGGCAGGCGCAGCGGAGAGATGGCCCACCAAGGCCCGGACAGATACCTTTCTAGACATTAAATATATAGACTGTTCCTCGCTGCCCAGCCCCACTTACTTAATAAACACCATCTTGCTGTTACTGAGCTGTAGAGAGCCCTGCGGGCAGGCCAAGGAGGACCCGGCAGGGAGGGGAGGTGATGGAGTTGGGGGGCTCTGAGCAACCAGTCAGCCCACTGGTCTTTCCATGAGCCGAGGGCACCACACGCAGGCCACACTGACTCCCCTGAGTGTCCAGGCGGCACTCGACCTACTGCATCGTTAATAAACTCATTATCACTTACAGACTGCTTTGACGGCATGTTTGTCTAGGGACCCTCCATGCCCCCACCCAGACTTGCCTGCTGACACCCCCCCCCCTTGGCCTTCAAACTTTGCTCAGCAGGGAATGTCAGCCCCCTCACGAGGAAAGCCTGGGGTCTTGCAGGGAGTGACCACAGGGCAGCACCTGACCCGGCAGGGAAGCCGCAAGCAAACCCTGCCCTGGAAGGAGAGGGCAGAACTACCGAGAATCTTGCGGGGGGGGGGGCTGAACCAACGTCAACCGGAGGGAGGCTTTTCCAGGGAGGCTTTCGGAAGGTTGCGGGAAGCCCCCTCCTCATTCCATCTGCTGGTGCAGGGCAGTCCCTGGCGCCCAGCTCGGATGAGGGGCCGCTGTGGGGTGCAGGTGGGCAGCGGCATTTCGGGGCTGGGCCCGGCGATATTGGACAGGCCGGGAGAAGGACGGGCCAGTGGTCTCCAGAGCCAACGACCGAAGAAGCCAGGAACGATGCCCCTGCCCCGGACGCCCCCCGCGGAAGGAGGCAAAGAGGCGAACCGCGACGCTGCCCCCTCGAGTCGCTCCGGGTCTTTGCAGCCCCGCAGCGGGCGGGTTGTCGCGGGCCGCTGCCGGGGCGATCAAGAGGGCGTCGGCCGCCAAACTCGGCGCGGGAGTGACGGGCAGGGAGGCAGGCAGCGTCGGACGCGGCGCCGCACCAACTCCCAGGATTCCCAGTAAACGGGAGGGATCTACCATCAGGGCAAGGGGTGGTTTGAGCCGACCCAGACGGGATTCCCGGGTCTTTCGTCGCCTTTGCTCCGCGTCGGTCCCAGGAAAGCCGCCGCCCGGGCCGATTCCTCGGAGCCGACTTCCAGCGGGGGACGGGGGCAGGGACCCCCCCTTGGCTCCCCGGAGGGATGGAACGAGCCTGGCAGCGGGCGGGGCTTGGCTGCTCCGGGCGGGCGAGCGAGCCGGCGCGTTGGGCTGCCCGGGAAGCCGAGCTCTCGGCGGTACGCGCGGGGCGGGCGAGGGGCGGCGGGTTCCACGTTGCGTGGGCAGCCGCTCCTCAGTCGGCTGCTCCGTGGGCGGCGCCGGATTTCGCAGGGAGGAGAGCGGCGTGAAGGTGCCAGTGGGCGCTTTGCCTCCGCTCTCCCGTCCTTCCTTGTGTACGTCCCGGCCGGAGCTGGAGCGCGGGGACGCCCCGGAAAGGCGGGCATCTCGCCGGGGAAAGCCCCCCTGAGCCGCGGGAGGACAGCCGGAGAAGGAGCCCTTCCATCCTTGCCCCGTTGCGGCTTGGCCGGGCTCCGAGTCGCTTGGCGAGGGCGGGCATCCTCTGATCCGCCCCGGGGCAGGCGGGGCTGGCACGACGGGAGGGAGGGAGGGAGCTGTGCCCGGTGTCACCGGTTGGTGCTGTTGGCCGTGAGAGCGGAGTCCCCGGCGGAGCCGCTCTGCCGGGATGGCCCTTTGAGAAGGCGGCTCCTCTCCCACCCCCCGCCGCCGCTTTCCCACTAGGCCCTGCTTTGGAGAGGGGGCAGGGGAGGATTGAGCATTGGAGAGACCTAACCCTTCCTAGGTGTGTGTGTGTGTGGGGGGGCTGGTGGTGGCCAGTTTTCCATAAAGCCCCTACCTGTTTGGCTTTTGCCTGGTGTGATCAAGGTCTACAAAGCAATTGGCAGTTTGTGATCATTAACTTTCCCTTTGGTTTAGAAAAGTGTTTTTCTTTTCAGGGCGGTCAGTACCTGCAAAGGAAATTTCCAGTGTAGGATTGGGCCTAGCTTGGTTTCTGCAGGTGTTCCACGCTCCCGTCTGGAGGCCCAGGCTGTCTCTTAGTTTCTGCCGCCACGTGCTTGGCACAAGTCGCCTCTTCCAGCCACTCCTTGGCATTCAGTCTTTCTTTGAATTTAAGGTACAAGCGTTGGGATTAACTGTGTTTTAGAGTCCTAATGAGTAAAAGGGAGGCTGCAGTTGCTCTGGCATTCGCTCGTGCTGGCGGTGGTGGGCATCGCTTAGCTTTAGAGCCCTCCTCTGAATGGCCCCCCATCCTCTGGGGCCAGAAGGGTCCGATCTTTGCCCAGAATAAATGGGGACACTTAAACTTCTGAGTTGGGACCAATTCCCCTCCAGCCCTGGATGTTGCACTAATCCAAGGATCCAGCGGCCGCCTTGCCTTTCTGCTCTGCCACCCAGATGCCCATTTCCCCCCTTCATGCATGGCTCAGAAGGAGCCCCCTAGAATTCCTGCCCAAGTTTCCTTAGTTTGCAGAGCAGCCTCCCAGCCTTGCAACGCCTGTGAGCATCTTCTCGGGCCTGGCTAGACCTCCTTAGCAGCACCCACCTCCTCACTTCCTAAACTGCTCAAGGGCCAAGTTCGAAAAGCTGGCCCTGGCTTAGGTGGAGGCAAGACCTCTACCTGACATCCTTTCTTATGGGCCTGGCCACCGAGGGGAACAGCCAGGGACCCAGGGTGGGCACAGAGCCCTGACTGGAACCTCTTTCTTCCTGTGCCCTTCGTAGGTTCCTTGAAGCTCTTTCCCACTCAGGAGGATCTGAGGAAATGAAGTCCCCAGTTGCGTACCAGAAGGTAAAGTCTCTCAGCTGCACAAGGGGTGGGATTGTGCCGTGGAGGGTTCTCTTGCCTGCGGGGTGATAACACCCGAGGCGCCCCACTGTTAATCTTCAAGGGGGGTCAAAGACTTCAGCAAATAAGAGACCCATGCAGCCCCTCCTCCCCAAAGCAAATGGGGCTGAGGTGAGTCTGCAGAGCAGTGTCCTATTTGCTTGATGAAAGCCAGTGAATCTTTCCCTCAGAGGTTTTGTGTGGGATTCTGGCCGGCCAGCCTTGGCAAGTCTACATTCTGGAACCCGTGGCCACGTCCATGCTGATGGCTTGGCGGGCGGCTGTTCCTACCCTGTGGCTTTTTCTTGAGGGTGGAGAACTTTTTTGTGCTCCTTCATCATAGCTCAAGACACCGGAGAGCCCTCAGGAGTTGCTGCCCCTGGCTGAGCAGCCCGGCCAGACTCTGCGCCAGGTGGGTCCCCCGCATTTCCTCCCGGCCTGCAGTGGCGTCTCAGAGGGGGGAGAGAAAGAGAGGCACTTAAGCCCACCCAGCCCTGCTGTCAGGCCATACCAGGAAATCAACTTCCCAGGAAGGAAGGAAGGCTAAAACTATTTTGCTCGAGACCAGCTAGAACAGAATCTTGCGAGTCTGCTTGCGCTGGAGCCCCTCCTTAGAAGGTTTTGAGCTCCTTCCACAAGTTATCTCTTGCTCTGGGCTTAAAAATGCTTCACAGCCCCTTTTGTCTGGGAAAGAACAACCCACATAGCCATCTCCCTTGCTCACTTCCTCTGCTCCCTTCTCCACTGGATATTGGTCCTGAGCAAGTGCCCCAGCAACCTGTTTGGGCGGCCTGAAAGCTGGGTCTGCTTCTACAAGAGCTGAAGGGGCCTGAGCAGCAGTGAGGCTGCTTCAGACATTGCTGGTTTGGTCAGCAGGCATCAAACAGCTCTGCTCGCCCCCAAGAACCCCCAGAGTATTGAAAGTAAAGCAGCGAGAGCCAGCCAGGCCACTGCCCCTCTTCCCCTGTACCCAGAGTGCACACGTGTATTGGTGACTGTGCAGGGGATCGAATGTGGGGCTGGGCTAGGCTCTGAGCTCCTCCCTTTCTTTGCAGTTCCGTGGCTCTGCACTGGGGAGGCCCTGCCACAGCGTCTCTGGCTTGCGTCCTGCAGAGCCACCTGGCCAATCAACGTCCATCCTGCCCTGGGATTTTCAGTGCATCCTGGTGACAGCCATCTTGTCCACTGTGCTGGTGGTGGCCCTGGTGGTCCACTCGTTCTTCTTTCCTTTGCGAAATTTGGCCACAGTGGGGAATGTGGCATTGGTGCCACGTGTGGATCACGCATGCAGCGACTCATGCAGGTATCAGCTTTGCTTGTGACTTTCTTGGGCTGCATCCAAGTAGAGGGGTGTCATCTCACGGCCTGTTCTTTCTCTATCAGAAATGTGGCCTTGCGAGAACACAAAGGTTGTGGTTTTGTTTAACTGTGAAGAACAGTATTCAGCTCTGTGGGGTCTTCATCCATTTGCATAAAGCATTGTGGAGAACAAGGACCCGATGGTCCTTCCAGGAAGGAGGAGCCTGGCCACACGAGAGGCCTGGCAAGGAGCATGGGAGGGGAATTGGGATTCTGCCAGAACTGTCCTGCCTCACCCACTTCCTCCTGGAGAAATACATCAGTATAGCCATGCCGAGACCCCCTGCTTGCATGCCAGAAGCACACTTGCAGCACTGCTCTCCCCGTTCCCCCCCACGCAGTAGAGTAGGGCAACGTCCAGAGATAAGGCTAGGAGACTCTACTGCTGCTGGCTAATGGGTAAAATCCCTCATATTGAATGAAGGCCTTCCTGGGACACCATAGAGGTTATGGGGCTTTTTGGTTCAATGAGTCTGCAGTGTGATGCAAAACCCTTGTGGAACACATAAGCACCCAGTTGTTCCCCTAGGAGTGTGCTGGTGGAGAGCATCCCTGAAGGACTGACATACGACGACAACAGCACAGTCAGCTCTTCCACTTTTGAGACTTGGCAAAGCCTTCTGAGAAGCGCAAGGAGCTCGGTGGACATTGCTTCTTTCTACTGGACTCTCAGCAACCGGGACACCCATACCCATGATCCTTCAGCCAGCCAGGTGAGGGGAGGAGTGCAGGAGCCCCAGGGAGCCCCATCTCCAGGGAGGGGGAGGGGTAAAGCCCAAGGGCAAGGCAGAAGACAATCCACAGGCAGAGGTGGATCCTCAGCTTAATCCAAAGTTCATGAGGCAGGACGAGGACCAATGCATGGAAGCTTTACAGAGGGAGATCCAGACTTGGATCAAGGAGCATTTCCTGATTGTGAGAACTATGACAGAGTGGGTTAGCCAGCTTCCTGGAGTCATGGTTTTCAAGCAATAGCCTAGGATAGTCTAAGGTTCCTGCCCCAGGCAGCTGGCTGGACTAGATGACTCCAAAGGTCTCTTCCCAGCCTCTGTGATCTACAACTCCCTGGTGTTGGGTCTAGAATAGCTGTAAGCCAGGACTGGTCTAAGACGGCCTCTTCCATCTGGGAATCCTTCCATAAGTGGCCCCTCTGGCTATACTAATTTACAGCTCCCAGAATTTCCAAGTGCACCTCACAGATCTGTAAAGTACCAGCTCAGTGAAGCCTCTCCTAGGCATTAGTGTCACTGATATTACTCCCCCCCCCCATCTATTAGCCACCTTCAAACCGCAAGACTTTTCTTAGGTGTGTGGCACACACTTCTAGGAAGCCCGGAAGCGGTCTGGGGCTGACAGGGCCAAGAGGCAGACGCTGATTTGCACATGGGTCCGTGGCCAAACCCGCATGCAAACAGGCAGTTAATTACCCAGGCATGGAGCCACGCGTGGCCTTGCAGTCAGTCAAAGCTCCCTTTGAGGGCAGCGGAACATCCATTAGTTCAGACTTTGGTTACGGAGGGAGAGCAGAAAGCCTCTCTCTCATTTTGACAGATGCCCAAGGTCTTGGGGAGAGCTGCTGTATGCAGCTCTCATTTGAGAAATCAAGCACAGCACTCAACAGTGGCTAAAACTACACCAAACAATGCGGTTGTTAAGGCTGCTTTGCTCTACTGGCCCAGGCTTTGTCTGATGGGCCATCAGGGATCAAGCCAGAGCTGGCTGGCTAGCATTTGAAAGGGCCTACTGGGAAGGGTTTCCTTCCCCAGCAGTTCTCAGCTGCCTCCTGGACCTTTTGCTCTCCCATCAGGGAGAAGAAATACTATCGGAGCTCCAGCACGCTGCCAGTCGAGGGATTGTGTTAAGGATAGCAGTCAACCCGCCTTCCACCCGGATGCCCAGTGCTGACCTTCAGGTCCTCGAGAAGAGTGGTGAGCTTTCACCGTAGCAGATTCAAGTCAGCTACTGATGGTGAACTGCAGCTGCTGATGGTGGCAGTTCTGGGTCTGTCTGGCCAAGTCCATTCCTGGCACTTTATTGGGGCAGACAAAAGGCTGAACCCACAGCCCAGTCAAAAGGAGCCCAGGTCAACCACGGTCTTTGTTTCTTAAACACACAGGGGCCCAGATCCGCCAAGTGGACTTACCAAGACTGACCCGGGGAGTCCTGCACACCAAATTCTGGATTGTGGACCAGCTACACATTTATCTTGGGAGTGCAAATATGGACTGGCGTGCCCTTACACAGGTGATGCCCTCTTGTCCCATGCCCAAATCTTGGGGCTCCCGATGGGGGATTTGATGGAGCAACTGATGGTCTTCTGTAGGGTTGCTCTCCAGGCCTTCTTCCTCCCTCTTCAGAGGCTTTCTAAAGGTTGCAGAAGGCAGGCTGCCTGGCACCATCAGTCAAAACCAATTTCCCCAGGTGACCTGACAAAATTGTTTCTTTATGACTTGGTATTCTGCAAATCAAAAGGGCCTCTTGGGGTTTTGAGTCATTTGGAAGCCCCCCCCCCTTTTCTGGAGCATTACTAAGATAGTGGATGCACCTCTTCAATTACGTGCCTGCAGCTCCTTGTGTCCCATGTGGAGACAGGAGAGAGCAGCTAGATGTCCTGGGCCCATTCTCCTCTTTGGTGCCAGGTGAAGGAACTCGGGGCGGCTGTCTACAACTGCAGCTGTCTGGCCCAGGACTTGGGGAAGATGTTTGAGGTCTACTGGGCCCTCGGGCTACCAAACACCACCATCCCATCACCCTGGCCGTCCAATTACTCCACCACCTACAACAGGGAGACGCCCCTGGAGCTGAAGCTGAATGGGACAGAGGCTGCCGTCTACTTTTCGGTGAGGAACTGCATGTGGATACAGTTGAGTGCTTTGCTCCGAGCAGCTGCCAGGATGCTCGTGGGGCTCTCTGATCACACTTGTTGGGGGAAACATCCTCCCCAAGTTGCAAAAATGATAATTACTGCTAAGAGGCTTCAGCAAGGAGAGTAGTGGGTCCTTCTAATGAATTGGGGTTAGATTCCCACCAGCCCATCCCATGTCCAAGCAGGGACACAAAATACAGCTGAATTGCTGTGCCCTGGAAAAAAAAAATGCAGCACCCTCCTTTTGGCAAGATAAGGGAGCTTCTTTCTCCAGCCCTGGGCAGACCAGGCTCCCAGCCAGATTTGGCCCTTGGAAGGGAGGCTGGCAGGGCCAGCTCATCACTGCTGAATAGAGCCAGATGCCTGCTGTCTTCCAGGCAGACTTTGCCTGAAAACCAGCCCAACCAATAACTGCTCTGGATGCTTTGCTAAAATGAAAGCTACATTAAGGTGAGTGTTCTTTTGTGCTGCCCAGAGTGCCCCCCAAGCCCTGTGTGCCACTGGGCGGACGGACGACCTCCAGTCTCTGCTGAGCGTCATTGAAGGGGCCCAGGAGTTTGTCTACGTGGCCGTGATGAGTTATTTGCCCACCATGGAGTTCTCCCACCCCAGGAGGTAAACTGGAGGAAAACAGCAGTGGGGGAACATCAGCCCAAGCATTTGAGGCAGCCTCCTCCCTCACGGCAGCCCCACAGAGGAGGGGGGGCTGCTTGTGTCCAACAGGGACTGTTAGATGCCTCTGGGCATCACTAGAGTCTCCTTGGGATCAGATATGGGACTGCCACGCGGGATGCAGGCAGGATGCGAAACCACACACCCCCCTCCGGTCTGCAGAAAAACCTCTCCATGGAACTGGTCCCTGGTACCCAAAAGGTGGGGGCTGCTGGACTAGAGAATCTCCAAGGCCCCTTCCAACTCTGTTCTGTTCTGAGTCCAACCCTGCTGTTCCTCTCAGGTTCTGGCCAGCCATTGATGACCACTTCCGGAAAGTGGCCTACGAGAAGAGAGTCCGCCTCCGCCTCCTGGTCGGCTGCTGGAGACACTCCAAGCCAAATATGTTCCCCTTCCTGCGCTCCTTGGCTGCCCTGCAGGATAACCGCACCCATTACAGCCTGGAAGTGGTGAGGGGCCCCCGATGGCATCCTGCCTCCTAGGCCCAGGGAGACACAGCCATCTTGCTCCCGAAATGAGGAGTTGGCCTGCTCTTTCTGGTCCTGCACAAACCTCTCTGGGAGTTACTCTGGGGCTGAGTAAGGGGTCAGGCGTGTGTGTGTGTGGGGGGGGGGGAGGAATCTTCCTGAACCCCCCCAGCCCAACAAGCCCCCTCCCTAACCCATCTCCATAGTGCCCCTCATTTGACTCGACTCCCTTGCCTTCCCAGAGGCTCTTTGTGGTGCCTGCAAATGAGACACAGGCCAAGATCCCCTATGCCAGAGTGAACCACAGCAAGTTCATGGTGACAGACAAGGTGGCTTATATCGGTGAGTAAGTTGGGAGAGCTCAGGTCAGCAGGGGGAAGAGTAGGTTGCAGAGGAAGGGCTTGCTGGCCTCCCACCTCGGAGGGCTTGTGTCTGTCTGGGGGGGGGATCCCGAAGGCCGGGCCCCTCCCGGGCAGCAGATGGGGCAAGAGCAGAGGGGCCACCCAGACAGGAGTCACCTGCTCCCCCCGGAATCCCTCACCTCTTCTTCCTCCTCCCCCCCCCCCAGGAACCTCCAACTGGTCCGGGGACTACTTCCTGCACACTGCAGGCTCCGCCCTGGTGGTGGCTCAGAGCCCGGCCCGGGCGGGAGACCAGCCCACCCTCCGCGAGCAGCTGCAGCGCATCTTTGAGCGGGACTGGAACTCCGGATACAGCCGGGGCCTCGACCCTGAGGGCCAGTGGGAGGCTCTCTGCAGTGCCCGCTAGAGCCCCGCCTGGCAGGCCCCGCGGAAGAGCCTCGCGGGTTGGGGGGGCGGCGGCTGCTGCGGGCGGGTCGAGGGGTAGCTTTCCGCGGGTTCAATTGCTGGGCCGAACTAGCCTTCCTCCCCGGCTGCGGCCCGCCTGCTGGATTTACACCCCACCCGCGCGTCCGGGCCCGGCTTCGGGCGATTAAAGGCTCGCGTTCCAGCCTCTTGTCTGCAGCGTGGCTCTGTGGGCGGAGGGGGCGGTCCGGGGGAGGGGGCGGGGCTCGCTGCTTCCGGGGGCGTCGGGCGGCCGCCGGAAGTTATGGCACGCCGCCTTCCGGTGCGGCCTGTGGGAGCCGGCGCGGTGGGTAAGCGACGGGCGGGACTCGCGGCGGGTTGCGGGGACGGGCCCGGGCAGGTAATGGGCCCCGTCCCCCATCTTGGGTGCTGCGCGGTGAGGGGCGGGCCGGGGCGGCGGCGGCGGCCTCACGCGGTGTCGCTCTCCGCAGGCATTCCGGCCGCCCCGCCTGGAGCAGCGCGATGGCGTCGGTGATGATGGGTGAGTGGCCCCCCCTCCCTCCCTCCCTGTCTCTACGTGGGGGCCGCCGTGGCCGTCCCTCCCCCCTGCTCCCCCGCCCGGTTAACGCCGCTGTTGGTCCCGCAGCCACCTCGGAGTGGATCCAGTTTTTCAAGGAAGCCGGGATCCCGCCGGGCCCCGCGGTCAACTACGCCGTCACGTTCGTGGATAACAGGCGAGTGGCTCCTCCGCGCCCGCAGGGTGTCCCGGGGCCTCTTCCCGGCCTTGCCGGGTTTGAAACTTTCAAGCAATAAAGAATTAACGTAGAGTAAAATAAAGTAAGAAGGAAATCAAGTGAAAAATAAAAAGCAGAAGAAGTGAAAGAAAGAAAGGAAAAAGGAGTAGCTTCCAGTGTTGTTCGCAGCAATTATAAGTACAAATATCATAACTTTTCTAAAGTTACATACATGTTACTCTTCTTTCAATATTTCCTTCTATAATTTGCCCTGCCTATTCAAAACCATAAATCAAAAGTTCATGAAAAGCTTCTGGTCACCAATAAACGTAGGCAGTATCTTCTCTTTGATAAAAGAACTCAGTTTATCCATTTTGTCACAATTTATCATCTTCTCCAGCTATTTCTCCATAATGGGAAGTGTTGAATATTGAAATATGTGAGTTTTTTCTAACTTATCCATTAGTCTTGAAAGAAAAGTTGAACACTGATTTTTATTTGTATTTCATATTTCTTAACCACCCATCTTCCTCTTTCAAATCATCTATATCAAAGTATGTGTTTTAATTCATTTTTAAGCATATTTACATCTCCATCAAACATGACAAAATGTCCCTTCATGTTGTTCACACTTCCAATATAGGCTTGAAGTGCCTTTATACCTTCTTAAACCAGTGGTTCTCAACCTTTTTAATGCCGCGACCCCAACCCGTCATAAGTCGAGGACTACTCAACCGGTCGTAAGTCGAGGACTAATCAACTGGTGCAGCACCGTTTGCAGAATGGGACTTTTGGCGGGTTCAGCAGGGCAGAGACAGCCTGGACAATTCCTATTGGCTTTTGAAAGCCAATAGAATTAGACTCTATTCAAGAGAGTCTATTCTATTGGCTTTCAAAAACCAATAGAATAAAAGGGAGTAGCACACAGCTAAGGAAAAGGGGGGGAAAAATGGCGGACTGCGTTGTTTGGCGACCCCCGTGAAATGGTCGTTCGACCCCAAATGGGGTCCTGACCCACAGGTTGAGAACCACTGTTCTAAGCGGAGCCATCCAGCACTTTGTTGAAAGAATTTCCCGGGACCTTGTAGAGCCATAAAAGGATTGGTGGGAATTGTAGCTTGGAAAGTTAACTTTTGCTGCCTGCGTGTTTGCAGGATCCAGAAGAACATGCTGCTGGATCTCAATAAGGAGATCATGAACGAGCTGGGTATCACAGTAGTTGGCGATATTATTGCCATTCTGAAGCACGCTAAACTGGTATACCGGCAGGTAAGTTCCGTGGAACTGTTGCTCATTCTTGCTTTATTTTGTACATTGAGGCTTCAAACATTTATTGAGTCGTGATAAATAGATCTCTCCTGTGCTGACTAATAAATATAGGGGCTTTGGGGGCATCTTAATAATTTTGGATTTTGTACCTGGAGGAGTGGTGTGGCGGCCTAATGATGAAAACGCTCACCTCCCATTCAGAAGGTTGAGAGTTCAATCCTAAGTAGCAGCAGATATTTCACAGAGCATGAGGAGAAAATAACTGCTGCAAATTCCATGTAGGCATCAGGAAGGACATCTGCTAGTAAAGGCTCAGCTTCCTTCAGCCACTCTGACTCTACTCAGAATTAAGGGGTTACAAGATTGTAAAAAGAAAAAAAAAAGATTTGGGGATGCCAAATATCTTCGCCTAGTGTAAGGGGACGCTCTGTACACATGGAGAACCTCTGAAGTCAAGCCTGTCTCCCCATAGACATTTAATCTTCCAAATCTGAAGCAAAAAAAATTAAAAGGCTAAAACTCACAGATGCTTGAGGAACTACAGGCCACTTCTGCATCTGAGGCTCTGCTGTTCCCCAAGCTGTCTTTTCTCCAGAATGCAACATTTTAACTTGGGGACTTGATGCATTTCTTCTGCTTTGGTGCATTTGGGGAAGATGAGTCCACTCTCCTGATCTGTCTGTGACCACTTTATTACTGTGGGCATTTTCTCCTCCAGGAAATGTGCAAAGCTGCAACAGAATCGGTGGCCTCCAGCCAAATTGCTTTGCAATCCGAACTCCGCAGAAATGCTAATACTGGTGAGTACAAGTTGCCTGTGTTGCTGATCATGGAGTCTCATCGAAATCCAGACCTCCGTGATGGTTATTTTTTACAGTTGTGATCTTACCAATTTCTGCAGCTGCCACCAGGATGATTGCCAACAGTTTGAGCCGAGACTCTCCCCCTTCTACTCCTGTTCGGAGGCCTGACACCAGTGCCTCCAAAATCTCCATCACTGTATCCAACAAAATGGCAGGAAAAAGCACCAAAGCAGGTGATTGTAAAAATCCATAGCTCAATGTATTTCTCTGCTGGGAACTGCTGCTATGCCATGCCACGATTGGTGTTTTCCTTTCACAGTATTAAGGTCTAGGCTTCTGTTGCCTCCACAAGGGTAGAATTGAGTTGCTCAGCTAGACCTGGAGCCAAAAATGAACAGGCCACTTAAGAATCTGAGCAATTTCTCTTTTCTGCTTGGGTCCCGATGGCTGTGCTTGTTTGGGCTCCTGAGCAGAAACAGTGGAAGCTGTTTCTTGTGGCATTTGCAAGCAGCACAAGAGCATCCACTGAGCTACATCCGCTTGCTTATGTCTTCTTGGTACGGCAGCTGTTTGCGCTCCTCGGGCTGAGAATCCCACCATCCCAGTGAAGCGGCGCCGCGTCACAGCAGAGATGGAAGGGAAGTACATTGTCCACATGCCCAAAGGAACAACTCCTAGGACCAAGAAGATCCTGGAGCAGCAGCAGGCAGCAAAAGGTATTGTAGCTACCTTTGTCGGGGGCAGGGGGTTGCTTCTTCAAAGGAAGGAGGTTGTGGGAAACTTTAAATGAAAGTGGGGGATAGGATTTGTAAATTGAGCACTTAAAAACAAAATTTGGATCAGGACAAACACAAGCAAAAGTGGCCAGTTAAGAGCGTTTGTTCAAATCAAACATCTTTTTATCTAATAATGGAAGGTTTTTGGTCATTAAGCTTTTTCTGATCTTGTTTGCAACACTAGGCAGGGTTCCCTTGAGAGGATCTTCTGCCCCTTCTCTCTCTTCTGTAGAGAGACACAACATCTCCTGCCTTCCCTTTCTTGAAGGGAAACTCAAGAAGGGCCTTTCGAAGCAGCACGGAGGCATGGGAAAAAAAAAAAAAAACATCTGTAGCTTGGTTGTTTCCTTGGGAAGAGCCTTTCCTTTCCTAGTCATTTGACAGTGCAGATGTTGTATGCATCCATGTTTGTGTTCTTCTCCGTCAGGTTTGCAAAGAACTTCTGTGTTTGACCGGCTTGGTGCAGAGACTGGTGGAGACACAGCAATAGGGAGCAAGGTGAGGGGAGGTGGGGGGAGAGAAACCTCTTCTTTGGAGTTGACAGCAGTTTCTCCTTTTTCCTGTGTGTGTTTTCCGCTAACTCAGTGGTCCCCAACGTATTGGGTGCTGACCCAGGTGCAGTTCTGACCTGCTGGACTACCTGACTATGCCTGGATGGGGCCTGTCCTAGCATGCTCCTCCCTGAAGAATGCAGCTATAGCAGGTTCCTTCTGGAGAGCCTGGGGGCCTTGTTTCTGACACAGCAGCACTAGGCTTTTCTGGTTAGTTGGTTCCGCTTTTTGCCTGCAGTTCCTTCCCTTCTGTGGGAACTTGCTGCGAAAGAGCAAGCTATAAATGGTGGAGGGCTCTTGTCATGAACTATTTTTGGTTGGAGGTTGCAGCAGTCACTCGTGTCAGGAAAACAACCATACCATGGCAGCTGCCCCTTTACACTCACACTGCTATAAATTCATTTTAGGAGTAGAGCATATGAGTTTGTTGGCAAAAATCAAAAGGAGTCTGGTAACACCTTTTCCATCTAACATTTTATTAAAAGGATTAAGTTTTTGTGAGCTCACTTCAGATGCATGAGTGGCTAAACAAATAAGATTTAAACAGGTGAGGTAGGAAGAGAAGATTGGTTGGTTATGTAGATGCAGGTTACAGGTGAAACAGATCACAAGTACGTAGTATAATAAAATTCCACTGTGTGTTGAGATCCTCTGAGATTGCCTGAAATTTTTTGATGTGACTTCATCAATCTCTTGCTTATCTATGATAATGGTGATTGCCATCAAATCATTGTCACCCACTTAGATTTTCTCCTGATTATCTGTCCCTATCCTGGCCCTTCAGCTCTTCCAAGGGTGCCACATTACCATTGTAACAGAGTCCCTCCACCTGGCTTCTGGTTGTTGTCTTTTTCTTTCCACCTTTCCCAGCATCAGAGCATTTTCTAGAGAGCTGTGTTTCTCTTAAGATGTGCAAACTCATCTGTACTTCAGTGAATTCTGGATTGATTAGTTTGATTTGTTTTCTTGGCTGTCCGTGGCATCATCAGAAATGTTCTCCAGTGTCAACGTTCAAAAGTGTCTGTTCCCTTTTGTTGCTTCCTCAAAGTCTGGTTGTTGCTTTCACAGTGTGTCACAGAGAATACTGTACTGTGGCTTGCACAGTTCTAAATTTTACAGGTATAGGCTGCGTTCATGGTATTATCTTTTCCAAGCCTTCATGGCTGCTGTGTCCAGTGCTGTTCTGTAGTGTATTTCCTGACTTGTTTCTGCTCGATTGTAATACTTGTGAACTCTCATCTGGATCCTGCATCTGCACAACCAAATTGTCTTCCTTTCCCCTTCTCTGCATGCCTCACTCCACGTACCCCACCTCAACCTGCATCTGTTAAAGTGAACCAATGGCTTTAAACAGCTGGGCCAGATGCTGCCAGACTCTTCCCGATTCTTTACTTGAGTGCAAGGCCAGTAGTACTCTTAGCCTGCCAGAGCAATGCTTGCTTCATCTCCAGAGCAGAGGGACGCAAAATCATCCAGCCACTGTGCTCTGCTCTGTCTCTCCACAGCCCACAGGAGTGTTCAGCCGGCTGGGGGATGTGCAGGAGGACAAAGCACCTGACAGCGATGACGACAGCTCTGTCCTGCAGTATGCAGGAGTGCTGAAAAGACCCTCCCAGCCCAAGGAGAGCTGCAAAGTTGGTGTCACCATCAAGGCCAAAGCTACCAGCTCTGAGCCCAAGCAGGTGGCGGCAGGAGCCGCCACCACTGCAATCCAGCGACGCGGGAGCAAGAGCGTGGCTGGATCTGCAGCTCCTGCCAAGGAAGAAGAGATGCAGGGCTTGTCAACTGCCCCAGGCAGTGTGGCCAAGAGACTGGGCAAGCGCTCGCTGAAACTCCTCCAAGCCCAGGACAGCAGCGTTACCAGTTCCAGGAGCAGGCCTGACTCTTCCTTCCGAGTCACCATAAACAGAACTTTAGGGAGCTCCAAGGTAAGCAGCTCCAGCCCTGCAGAGCCCCCCAGCGCTCAGATGGACCACACGGGCACCATCAGTGTCTTTAAGAGGCTCGGCAGGAAAACTGTGAGCCTAACCTGAGACCCCGCTTGGAGGGAGCCTTCAGACGAGGAGGGCAAGCGTGTGTGTGTGTGTTCATCTCTTGCGTCAGCTCCCTTTGTGATGTGAGCGGGAGGCTGCACTCCAGAGCCGATGCGGGTCTGCTTCTGTGAAGCTCTCGGTTGGTTCTCCCACCACTCCCTGCGTCCAGAGTTGCTTAGGGCCAAGTGAGGGGTTTTGGGCTGCCCTCTGAACACACCTTTTGTTTTTTCTCTGCAGGTGTTTGCTCTATCCTAGGAAGTAGTGTCCGTAAGAGACAGGCGGTCCCTTCTTTTCCCTTCTCTGTCCTGAGTTTTCATCTGCCGATCCTGGAACACCCGCATTCCAGGAAGGGCAACTGCCAGATTTTTCTTTTAGTGGATGCTGGAGCTGTGCAATTGGCAAGGCAGGTCCGGCAGTGTTCTGGGTTTCTTTTCTTCTTTCCTTTTCGGTTTTTTTAGAATGGTTGAGAAACGCCCTTGTCTTACACGTCAGGATTCCTGACTGGTCTAGCTCCGTTTCTTTTGCTGCACTCTTGAATAAGTTGTTTTTGGACTGGGGTGTGTGTGTGCAAATGGCTGCACCCATATTTCCTCTCTGACCTTTCTTGAGCAAACAAAAACAAACCCATTTTTTTTTAAAGCGCTCATCTGATGTCTTGAGGCTCTTCTCTCATCTGCCGTTTTGAAGCCACGGTATTTCTCCAGCCCTCGCCCCGCTTTGTGACTTGGGCTGTCTGTCTCAGGAGTGGGGGGAATCTTAGATTGCAGAAGACACACATCCTCACCCAGCTTAGATCGCGCCCCTCCATCCACCAGCTGACAGGATTTGGGGTAGGGCAGGCTCAGCTTTGGCATTAGGAAATGACTGGGCATTGCAAGTTTAATGAGAGGTAGATCTGCCAGGAAAGGGTGCCTGGTACTGATGGACCCCTACTGTTTCCCACCGTAAAAAGCCTTGGCTCTCCCTGGCGTTTACAACCTCCTTTAGAGAAGACCGGTGAAGCCCCCGCCCCAGCAAGATCTCCTGGGGGATCCCTCACCCGCAGGGACTTACGTTTCTTGACGTTTCTTGCAAAGAAATTTCACGGATGCCAGCAGGGACCGGTGCCAGGCAAGTGGGAGAAAGAGAGGTCAGTGTGCCCTGAGGCCTCCCTGCCCCAAGGGCTGCCCAGAGGCCAGACCGACTACAGACCCGCGGGCTGATCGGCTGGAGGGCGGCCAAGTCAGGCACCCAAGGGGGCTTCGCTACTTGAAAGCGGGTTTGTCAATCGGAGTCGTTGTACATCAGGATGGTGTGAACGGCCGATCACAATAAAAGGTGTCTCCGCTTGGCTGGTGTGCTTGACTCTTCCTTGCCAGGCGCTGGAGCGGGGAGATTGCAGCCTGGGGTGGTGGGGCAGCCTGTGCAAAGGAAGAGCCTGCCGGCTCCTCTACAGGTGCTGTGCTGGTTCTGTCGCTCATTCCCTAAATGCTGCTGACCAGCCAGCAGAATCTTCGCACCAGAGGAGTCTTTTTCCCCAGGCCTCCCTCTTGTGCATCCCAACTGATGTTTCCATATCCGCCCTTCTGCCTTGACGGGGTAAGGCAATGCCACTCCCTCCTAGGGATTCCTGACAGGCTGAACCTCAATCAGAGGGTACACAGATGGTGCATTTTATTTTGTAGCAGTTTGATTCTAGGGAGGGGGAAGGCATCTCCACCCTCACCCCCCAACCTGTGTGGCTCCTGCCATACACGATCAGAGGCCACTGACTAGACTGCTTTCAATTTTCCCAACTTGCTTATGGCTAGAGGTGCCGTGTGAAAGCGTGCCGCTTGTTGTGATGTGTTGCTGGTCCGCCGTAATAGTCCGGTCAGCAGGAGCGCAACCAGGCGCCCAAGGGGGCTTCACTGATTGAAAGCGGGTTTGTCGATTGGAGTCGCTGTACATCGGGACGGCGCGAACGGCAGCTCGGCTGGTGTCGCTCGACTCTTCCTTGCCGGGCGCCGGAGCGGGGAGGCGGTGGCAGAAACGCCTGACTCGGCCGCCCTTGCGCATGTGCGAGGGGACGCGCCCTACGCGCAGGCGCCAGGGCTGGGCTGGGCCGCGCGCCTGCGCAGAGCGGCGAAGGTTGGCTGGCAGTGGGGCTGTTGTTCCTGCTCGCGTCCCGGCCGCCCTTCCTGCGCGCGGGCCGGGAAGAGGCGGGGTTTCCGGGCGCGGGCGCCGTCGGGCCTGACGTGACGCCAGCCCCGAGGATGGCCCCGCGGGGACGTCGGTAGCGGCGGCAGGTGAGGGGGGGGGCGAACGAGCCCGAGGGGCGGAGGCGCCTCCGCCACCTGGCCGAGAGCGCCGGGCGGCCGCGCGCGGGGCATTGTGGGAGAGAGGCCGAACCATCGGCCGCGCGGCGGGGGAGAGCGCGCCCCCGCCGCTCGTGCTCGGCCCGGGGCCTCCCCCTCGTGGAGCCGCGTGGGCGTCTGCTCCTTCCCCACTTGGGGCCCTCGGAGCCCGGCCGGTGAGCCCCGCTCCCTTCCCGCAGCGAACCGAGCTGCTCGTCCGGAGCGCTGCTGCCCGGGAGGCTGGTAAAGCTCGGGCCGCCGCAAGTGGCGGGCCGGGCTGCATCCGAGGCGGCCCCTCGCTGGGCTTGGGGGGCGGGGGCGTGCGGGGTTTCAGCGGGCTCCCCCCCTCCCCAGGGAGCCGCGGTGCCGGGGACGGAGGGCTGCTGGTGGCTGGGGCGGCCCTTGGCCAAAGAGGTCTTCCCGCCAGGCCCAGTCCGGTCGGCCGCGGAGGCTCCCGAAAGGCTCTGGATACTCAGGCCGACCAACCCGGGGCCGCTGGCACATCTGCCTCGGCCTCGTGGGGCAGATCGGGCTGAAGGATGGTAACTCCGGAGTAGCCGGCTTGCTTCCCAGCAGCCGGGGGGGGGGGTCCGAGGGAAAGTCCGAATTCTGGCACATAACGTTTTAAATACACCCAAAAGTGCAAACGCTTTAGCAGCCCCCCCCCCGGCCTAGATGCTCGTCTCGCACTAGAAGGGCAAGGAAAGAGCGACTCGCAGCGTTTCTGCTAGCTCCTTCTGCTCCCCCCCCCCAAAGGCTGGGGGGTTGCTGTTGGTTTCTACGTGGGCAGAACTCGTGCTTCGCCTCCTCATTACTCAACGTCTAAGCAGCGTGGAATTCAGGCCTGGCCGCCCTGGAAGTCGGTGGAGACTCACAAGCCGAGTGGGGCCTGCCTTAGGGGGCTGTGGGGGGGGGCAGCCTGTGCAAAGGAAGAGCCTGCCAGCTCCTCCACAGGTGCTGTGCTGGTTCTGTCGCTCATTCCCTAAATGCTGCTGACCGGCCGGCAGAATCTTCCGCACCAGAGGAGTCTTTTTCCCCAGGCCTCCCTCTTGTGCATCCCAACTGATGTTTCCATATCCGCCTTTCTGCCTTGCAGGGGGTAAGGCAATGCCGCTCCCTCCTAGGGATTCCTGACAGCCTGAACCTCAATCAGAGGGTATGACAGCAGTAATCTAGCGGCAGGTGCCATTTCCAGGAGAGCCACTTTTGCATCTTTGAGTTGACTCAAAGCCTTTCCGTCTCTGGGCAGCAGAATAGGGTGTTGAAGGTGCCCTGGCCACCTTTGGGGTTGTGGCCACTTCAAATGCTTTTTGGCTGCCTGAGACAGTGAACTACACAGATGATGCATTTTATTTTGTAGCAGTTTGATTCTGGGGGGGGGGAAGCATCTCCACTCCCCCCCCCAACCTGTGTGGCTCCTGCCGTACACGATCAGAGGCCACTGACTAGACTGCTTTCAGTTTTCCCAACTTGCTTATGGCTAGAGGTGCCGTGTGAAAGCGTGCCGCTTGTTGTGATGTGTTGCTGGTCCGCCGTAACAGTCCGGTCCCTGCCCTCTGCCATTTGAAAGGGCCCTCTGTCTCCTGGGCAGATTCGAGCCGACTGCCCTGCCTTGCCTGCGTGCTTTGAGGAAAGAAGGCAGTGCTACTTCTTGGGCTGGAGAGGCCAGCCTAGCTTTCTGCTCTTTTTCCGGCTATCAGCAGGAGCGCAGCCAGAGGGAGGGGGGGAGGCTCTGGTCCTTTTGCCCAAGCCTGGAGTTGAGCCTTCTGATCAATTCCTTTCCAGCCTCCCGTAATGGACTCTAAAGTTCTGTTGCAACCCCATTGCTGCCCCTGTTGCTCTTGGCCTCTGTAGCAACAACACACTGTGTGACGACCTTCCGGAGAGTCTTCCCAACTGGGGCAAGGAGATGAGCTTTCTCCTTTCACCTCCAGCAGCCACAGCCAGCAGGGAGGGCACAGGGCGCAGATTACAGAAAGTGATAGTTTCACTCCGGTGTGCCCTACTCAGATAATAGCAACAGCGGTTAGACTTATATACTGCCTCACAGGGCTTTGCAGCCTTCTCTAAGCTACTTACAGAATCAGCATTTGCCCCCCAACAAGGCCTAATACAGGCCTTGAAACACTCTTGTCCAGTGTTGGTCACCCCCATTTGAAAAGGATAATAGCAAACAGATGAGGCTACCAAGACGATCAGGAGGCTGGAAACAAGTTGTGTCTAGACTGAGTGTATTTAGTGTGAAAAAATGGGGAGGCTGTAACACTTTTCCAGTCTCTGGAGGTGATAACCCAGAAGGAAGGAAAGACCGGTGCCAAGGAAGGAGGGTCAGGCTAGACATCGAGAAGAACTTCCTGAGTGCATAGTGCAAGCTGTTGGCCAATGGAGCAGGCTGCCAGTGAAGGGGTGGTGGTTTCCCCTTGCTGGAGGTCTTTGCACGGAGGCTGGGTACCATCCCATTGAAACGTTCCATAAGACAGGCTCCGATGTCTCCTCTGGTTTGTGATCTTAGTCTCCAGAAGTGACTTCCTTTTCCTTCTGAAGAAGCTACAGCTCTGCCACCTCTTCCTCTTGCCACAGTCTGGCATTTCTGTTGGTGGTGGTGGTGCTGCTGCTGCTGCTGCTGCTGCTGACGACACTTATGTCTCTCTGGACCTCTTTGCTCCTGGGAGAGATACTGGTTCTGCATAACAGAATCTCTTTCCCGACTTTTTTACCTGTGTTGTTTGGTCAGAGAAGCTTTCTGTCTACTCGTGTCAGACTCGCTCTGGGAGTCCAGCGCAATAAGAATTGCCTTATGGAGATGGATCCAAGCTTAGCCAACCCTTCGTAGGCAGCCATGTAATCCAGCAAAGCTTGCAAGTAACAAGCTACTTCTGGAAGGTCCACAATATTGACCGTGGCAAGTTTGTGGCATCCTGCCTGGAGCCAACTTGATTATCCTGCTGGCCACGGTCGCGTGGGACATGGCTGCATGGCCCTGGCTTTGACTGGGAGGTCAAGGGGAGCCAGTGGAAGCCCTGCGGCCTTCAATCAGTTCCTTTTCGCCATCGGCCAGGGCAAATGAGGGATCCAGGCCCTGGGGGTGGGGAGCCAGGCTGGTGTCGATTGTGGCTTCGTAGAACATTTCACAGCGTTCAGAAGCCGAGTTTGCTCTGCAGTGCTGAGTGGGTAGCAAGGCTTCAGGGTAGCCACCGATGTTCTCAGGATGGCAACTGTTCCCTTCTCCCCTGCAGGTTGCCAGGCCGCCTGTGGCCCATCTGGCAGGCAGCAGCTTCTCTCTGTGCCCCGTGGTGACAGCAACATGAGTGAGGTCTCAGTCGTTAAGGAGGGATGGCTGCACAAGCGAGGTGAGTGGTGCCTCGACTGTCCTACCGGAGGCCCTGAGCCACCAGTGGGGCTTCCCCCAATGGAATCTGCACGGACAGGCCTCTCCCCTGGGCTTCAGGCCTCTCCCGAGTCTGGGGATGCTCATTGCTTTGGTTGCAGCTAGTGAAGGCCACCACCTCTCCTACCCCCGAGGCCCTGAGCAGCCTTCCCAGAGAGAGGCCCTCAGCCACCGGGCAGCCTGCCTTCTAGCCCAGGGAAGAACTCGCGGTTGTAGCTCTGTAATCTGTGTTCTTCAGTGGCTCATCTGAATCATCTAGGACGACCCAAAATAAACCAGTGGAGGTGTCTTGGCATGAGCTGTGTGTTGCCGGGCTGGTCTCTTTCCCCTCCCTGAGTTGCTGCCCCTCATCCAGTCCTGGTTTCTGGCAGACAAATATAGACCACAGCTGGGGGAGGGGAGAGGTTGTCCGGAGGCTATTTTGGTCCTGCCGTGGCCTGGAGGGATGGCAGACTCAGCTGTGGCAAGCCTCGGTCTGCTTTTGCTAAGGGGGCTTGGACAGGAGGGCAGCCCTCCCCCAAAAGCTCTCCTCTGGACTGAGCTGTCCTTCCCAGAATCCAGGAGGGTTCCTGCCCTTGAACAGCAGGAGGTCTCCCCTATCCCCCCCCCCCAAGCTCTTTTTCCAGCAAATGGAAGAGATGCCTCAGTTGGTCAGGGTCCCCGACTGGCAAGGTGACATATGAGGATCTGTTCCTCTTCCAACATTTAGGCCAGGTCGGGGCTCTTAGGGGTGTTGGGCAGAATGTGGAGATTGATGGGGTCACACATCTATGCTTGTTTAGTCACTGGGGGCAAAGCAAAAGCTGCCTGCTCTCTGGGGGCAGCTGGGCCACATGGGGCTGGCGCATTCCCCTGGGTAACCCCAGAATGGCTTTCCAGGGGAATACATCAAAACCTGGAGGCCCCGCTACTTCCTCCTCAAAAGCGACGGCTCTTTCATTGGCTACAAAGAGAAGCCCGAAGCTGCAGATCACAGCTCACCCCCTTTGAACAACTTCTCTGTTGCAGGTGCGTTGCCCAGGCTAGCTTGGAAAATGTGGGCCGTGGGCGGGGTGCTCTCCTGACCTCCAGGGAGGCTGGCAGAGGATCCTCCCCCACCTTGCCAAGCGACTTGGTACCCTGGCATTGCCCCTCCCTTCCTCTTTGCCTCTGCATTGAGGGCAGCCGCCCTGGCTGAGCCTGTGTAGATCTTAGCAGGTGGAACTGGGTCAGACTGGAGCTTGTTTGGAGGGAAGGAACCAAGAGGGCTGCCGGGAAGGCTCCCTGGGGAGACTCCAACCCTTTCCTCCTCCTCTCTCCTCTCTCACCAGAATGCCAGCTGATGAAAGCCGAGCGACCTCGCCCCAACACCTTCATCATCCGCTGCTTGCAGTGGACGACGGTCATTGAGCGGACGTTCCACGTGGACTCGCCTGAGGAAAGGTGAGTGGCAGCCCCGAGGCCTCGCTTCGACCTCCCTGAGCAGCTGTGCTTCCAGATGCTGGCTGCGAGTGGAGGGTGGTCTATTTGGGGCCGTTTCCCATCCTGCTACGTGGTTCCACATCAACCTCTTGTGCCCTGGTCGGCTTTGGGGGCCAGAAATGCCTGGCTCTCCTGACCGTGGCGGTTCCCTGCCCAGCAGCGGAGGGTCCTGCCTTGGGCTGGTACCCGAGTTTGTCTCAGCTGCCTTGTAACGGAGTCGGTCTGCCCTGGCAGGCTTCTTAAGGCTCCCTGCTCTTTGCACCCGATTTGCGTCTTCCCAGGGAAGAGTGGATCCAGGCGATTCAGATGGTGGCCAACAGCTTAAAGAACCAGGAGGCAGAAGAGGAGGACAGAATGGACTACAAGTGTGGCTCCCCCAGTGACAGTCCAGGGGCTGAGGAAATGGAAGTGGCTGTGACCAAGGCCAGAACCAAGGCGGTAAGCGAGGCAGGTCTGTGGGAAGGAGGCAGCCGCTGGTCTTGGCTAGTTGAAGCCGCTGTCAAATTATGGCTGTGGGACTTAATGATTTTTTTCTGAACGGCTGGCTCAGCTCTTCTTTCTCTCTCTGCCTTCTATTGCCAGACCATGAGTGACTTTGACTACCTGAAACTCCTGGGAAAGGGCACTTTTGGGAAGGTCATCCTCGTACGGGAAAAGGCCACGGGGCGCTACTATGCCATGAAGATTCTGCGCAAAAAGGTCATCATTGCCAAGGTGGGTGGAAGGTCCAGCCCCTCAGGTGGGGCAGGGAGAGTGGGGAGGCTTGGCCAGGCCAGCATCAGGCGGCCTTGGGGGACAGCCAGAGGGCTGCTGCCTAAGAGCAGACGAGGGGGGACCATCCAGAGGAAGAAGCTTAGGAAGGCCCCGCTCTGACTGCTCAAAACAGCCACAGGCTTCTCACAGAGCAGAATTAGTCCATCTCTCCTTGAGAGGATGGACCTGGAGCCCATCCTCAGAGAGCCTCAGGGCGGGAAAGCCACTTGGAATCCTTCTTTTTCTTCAAAGCTGGGGGCTTCTGCTCCTGGAGAGGGAAAGAAGCTTTGTAGATATTTATCGCTGCTTCTCAGACAGTTTGATTCTGGGATCCCCCCTTCCTCTGTCGCCCAAGAGAAGAATGGATCCCAAGGATGGATACACACATTCTCTCTCTCTCTCTCCCCCTCTCTCTCTCTCTCTCACACACACACACACATACACACACACACAAACACATGTGTTAGCCATTTGGCCTGTCTTTACGCCCACCAGCTGTTCCTCTTCACTGTCCCTGGGTTGCCCCTGCTGCTGTTTTGCTAGAGCCTGGAGAGGTAGGCTGGGGGGGTGGGGGGGATGAAGGGCAGGTGCTTGCCAGGTGCTCCAGGTGAGGATGTTCTTCTCTCTTCCAAGGATGAAGTGGCCCACACAGTCACAGAGAGCCGAGTGCTGCAGAACACGAGGCACCCCTTTCTCACGGTACATGCCAGGGGGGGGCCTGGCCAAGATCCAGGGAGGCTCTGGAATACTTCCCTGCTAACTGGAAGTATGCTTTGCTTCTGGGCTGAGCAGAGTGGGGTGCCCAGAGCCAGTAAAAGCCTGAGGGTCCTGCCCCAAGGGCCCAGATTGAGGCCTGCTCAGTTTCACACTGAGACTTCAGGGGGGTGAGCCTCTCTGAAATATAGTTGTCGTTGTCCTCCCCCTCCTCCTCTCTGTCTGTCTGTCTGTCTGTCTCTGTGTGTGTGTGTGTCTCTCTCTCATCCCGCCCCCTTCCTGTAAGACGATCAGAATACACAAGGCAGAACAAGAATATTGTATGCACAGGCTTGGTGTTGATTCTTCTCAGAGTGCAAGGCCATGGTGGGCAGGGGGCAGCTTCTCTGGAGGCGCTGTTTCTGAGGGGAATCTCTGCTCCTTGCCTTTCTAGGCCCTGAAATACGCATTCCAGACCAACGATCGCCTCTGCTTTGTCATGGAATACGCCAACGGAGGGGAGGTGGGTGTTTGCCAGGAGTCCCTTCCTTGGAGTTGTTGCAACTCGCTCACTGGAAGCAGGAGTGAACTTTGGGTTTGGCATCCCTGCCCGGCTGCTTCCCCTGACTCTGCCTTCCCTTCCAGCTGTTTTTCCACCTCTCAAGAGAACGCGTCTTCACGGAGGAGCGTGCCCGCTTTTATGGAGCTGAGATTGTTTCTGCTCTGGAGTATCTCCACTCTCGGGACGTTGTCTACCGTGACATCAAGGTGAAAACGCACTTGCAGAGCACTTCCTGAAGGGTCTAAACGGGTGGCCCCTGGGTCAGCTCTGCAGGGGGCAAGTCCTCTCTGCTGGGGCCCAAGCGTCTTTCTACCTTTTAGCTGGAGAACCTCATGCTGGATAAAGATGGGCACATCAAGATCACGGACTTTGGGCTGTGCAAGGAAGGCGTCTCCGATGGTGCCACCATGAAGACCTTCTGTGGGACACCAGAGTACCTGGCCCCAGAGGTATGGGAGGAAGGGTTGGTCCAGTCTCGCCCAGCTGCTGGGGGCCCAGGGCTACCTCTGGGGCCAAGGCCAGCAGGTGGGATGGCTTTCAGGCCCTGCTGCCAGAGGCTGTGTGTCTCACTGCTTGTCCTGCCTTCTGCCCCGCAGGTGCTGGAGGACAATGATTACGGGCGGGCCGTGGACTGGTGGGGCCTGGGGGTGGTCATGTACGAGATGATGTGTGGCCGGCTGCCCTTCTACAGCCAGGACCACGAGCGCCTCTTTGAGCTCATCCTCATGGAGGACATCCGTTTCCCGCGCACCCTCAGCCCTGACGCCAAGGCCCTGCTGGCCGGCCTGCTCAAGAAGGACCCCAAGCAGAGGTGAGGGCAGGCAGGGCCCTCTGAAGCCTGCACCTCGAGAAGCAACCTGGCCTGGTGCCTTCGTGTGCCCGGGGCACGGTCACTTCTGTCCAGGAAGCAGAAGGGCTGAGTTGCCGGAGTCAGCAGTCCTTGGTCTGGGTTGCTGGACCTGCCGGAGAGCAGGGGTGGCTAAGAACTGGATTTGGGGCTCCCTTGGTCAGGTTCAAAGGCCAAGCCATGGTTTGCACGAATATAGCATTTGGTATAAATTACAGTTGATTTCTATATTTTAGAGTTTGAAATAAATGCGTAGTGCATAGTTTGTACAGATGCCTATATAATGTGAGCGCACTTCTCCGGGCAGAATATACAGTGAGCAGGTGTTCCGTTGCAGCCATGTGGGGGGAAGAAGAGCGGCTGGCCCCACTCTGAGGAATTCCCTCTTGTCCTCCCAAAAGGGCCTGGTTGTCCCTCAAACAGGCATCTCAGCATTGGCCCTCCAGCTGAATCTCTGGGCACACTCACGTGGCCATGACTATCCACGCACACACAAAGCTGTTAACCAAGCCTTTTTTTGCCAGGCTGGGGGGCGGCCCCAATGATGCCAAGGAAGTAATGGAGCATCGGTTCTTTGCTGCCGTTAACTGGCAAGATGTGGTTCAGAAGAAGGTAGGCGCTGTGCTGCTGCCGCTGCCGCCCTTCTCCCCTTGGTGCTCTCCTGGATGGGGAGGCAGGGTGGGGGAGTTGCAGTACGATCCCACCCTGGTGTGTACTAAGCAGGCTCTCTCCCGCCAGCTCATCCCCCCTTTCAAGCCCCAGGTGACATCCGAAATAGACACGCGGTACTTTGATGACGAGTTCACAGCCCAGTCCATCACCATTACGCCACCAGATCGATGTGAGTAGGGGGCTTTGCGTTGGGAGGCAAGCCGGGGTGGTGGGGCTGAGTTCTTTGGTTCTGGCTTCACTGAGAAGCTACCGGCCCGGCTGTTCCTTTTCCACAGACGACTGCGTGGACCCCCTGGATGCCGACCAGCGGACCCACTTCCCTCAGTTCTCCTACTCTGCCAGCATTCGGGAGTAGGGCTGGAGCGCCTGCCTGAGAGAGCGTGGGGCCAGCCAGACCCAGGACTCGGGTGGTTCCCACTTCTGGGGGGCAAAAGGAGGACCCTGGACCTGCCGCATCAGCCCTTCCAGTCAGGACCAGCTGGCTCACTTGTGGCCTTGTGGCCCTAACCCCCCCCCATCTCTCCCTGCCTCTGGGCCACAGCTGAGTTTTACGTGGACATTGCTTTGGCGTGTTTGGGTGGTCTCTGAGGCTGCGCTCTGCCACAGGATTGTGTCGGTGGAAGGCAGGGACGCTGTTGGCTGCCTCCTGTAAGGGGTGCCACCCTGGACCCCGGAATGTGTATGGCCCTAGCATTATAGCTTGCAAGGCTGTGCTAAGACGGGCAGAGCCCCCAAATCCCACCACCCAATTTTTGTGGGATAGTGGCCGGCTGGCCGGCCACCACTCAGGTGCCTCTTGAGATCAGTGGCCTGGCAGCTGTTACTTGTTGACCTTCGATGGAGCAGAGCAAAGGGATTCCCTATCACCTCTGTGGGTGCTGCTGTTAACAAGAACTTTGAGGTGCCCTCCAAATAATGGGGTGGAAGCTGGCCCCCATTTAAAACAGCTGGGGGGGCAAGGTAACATCTTCTTGCCCCTGGACAAGTGTGCAGCTGCTGCTTCCCTTTGCTGGAGGGATTGGGCCCAGCTGCCCCTGCCCATTTGTTCCTCTGAAGGGGGCTGTCCGTGTGGGGTTGGGGGGGGGGGGCTGAGCTCCTTGTGGCACTGGTAACGCTTCCCTCCCTCTTTTCAGCTGTGGAAGAGGCTGCTTGCCTCTCTGCCCATCTCTGAGCCTGAGAGGAAGGCAACCCCCAGGCAGGCCCTCTCCCTGCCTGCCTGCCATGGCTGCAGGGCCCTGCCTTGGGAGGAAGGGAGGTTTGGTATCCAGGCACCTTTCACCTTACCCCACCAGCCCTGTGTGGCTTGGCCAGGGAAGGAGCAGGCCAGGCAGGCTGGAGCCTCTTGGCCTCTGCCAGGGCAGCCCAGGATCTGCTGAGTTGCTGCAGGGGGCCCGGAAGCCACCCAGGCAGACCCCCGTCTTGCTAAAGGAGGGGTTGTCCTCTGGCCAGAATGACCGGAAGGTGGGCTGTCCTTCCTGCAGCTGGTTAACAGTCCGCACGCACACACTGTACAAAGAGTGGGAGGCCTTCAAGAAAAGGGGCTGCCCCAGCCCTTGTTATTAACACCCCCAGCCTCTGCCTGTTGCTGGCAGGCCAGAGCAGCCCCTCCTGCCTATCTGTGTTGCCTCTCAGGCAGGTACTGGAGGACGCCACCTGATGGGCTGGAGGACAGCAAAGGCCCCCAAGTGCACCTTTGCCCTACCTGACCCTCCTGGTGACCTCAGCAGACCTGAGACTCTCGTGCCTCCCGGGGTTTTGGAATCTGCCAGGGACTTCTGCCAATCCCACGATTGCTCTGGGCTCCACGGGGAGCCTTCTTTCTACAAAACTGGGGGGGCGGGGGGGGCATAGACCTGGCTGCAAATATCCATGGCGGCCCTGGCTGCCTTCCCATATCTTCTCTTGCGGGCTGCCAGTGACAATTGCACGATTCCACTGTGCTGATCCCCCAAGCAGGCCCTTCCCTGACCCGATGTCCCGAGAGGCCCCGCGGCGTCGGAAGGAGAGAGCTGGGGCTCCCCCAGTGAATACGGTCTCCCCTGTCCTTGAAGGAGCTCTAGGACTCCCAGTCGGCTGCCCTGTTGCTGCCTGCTTACCTGTGCCCTGCAGCCTGTGCAGGGTGGCTCCCGTCGGGCACTCCTGCCCAGTCCCTCCTGAGAGCAGGGAGGGCGAGCCCCAGCTGCTCCAGACCCACCACATGGCCTTTTCAGCACACCCGAAGTGCCGGCAGCCCCCGAGCCTCTTTGAGCCTTTTGGGTCTGCCCAGAATATTCAGCTGAGGAGGCTCCTCAAATTGCGGTTCGGCTTCCTCGGGAGGAACTCTTGTGCCCTGGACTTGCAGCGCCTGGTGGGACCTCGCCCCATGTGACGCTTGGGGTGGGGTGGGGGCTGGGGAAGAATAGTTTTTCACTATTTTTTGTTGTAGTCCTAATTCAGATTTACTAATTTAATGTTGCCCCTGTTAGATTAGAGTGAAGCACCCACTCTGTTGCGGCCCGTTTCCTCCCCTGTTCTCCCCACTGCTGGAAGCCAACAGCACATCTGGCCTTTCACAGACAGGGCTGGCTCGAGATCCTGAGCTCCATTCATAAAATAAAGTTTGCTGGAGAGTTTTTGTATAAATGTGGCTGATAAGCACAAAAACTGGAAAGGCTTTTTTTTTTTTTTTTAGTAAACCACAAATTGCCTTCCTCTACCCTCAGATTTGTACGGTACAAGCAATAAAAGATTTTATTTCTTGGTTATGTGGTGGGCTTTTTTAATGTTTATTAAAATACTGTACAATTTTAAAGCAACATCTAAGTTAATCGTAGCTGACATCTGTCTAAAATTCAATCCCAGCTAGCCACAGTCTTTTGAGGAAGGCTGCTTGCCTCATTTTCGCAAGGATGAGCGTCTTATCCATGGAATTTTAGCAAAGCCCACCTGTCCCCCTCTTCCTTGCCTTCTCTTTGGAATTTAAGCCCCCTTTCTCAAATGGTGGGCCATTTCCTTCAGTGCTGCTCAAGGGAGCGCCAAAGCAAACCACCCCAGAGCTGCCCCAGGCCCACTACCGTCCCTCCAATCTGAACAGCAGGCAGCGCCCCTTCACACACACTCACCTGCCCCACCTTCAGGAACAGGCGGCATGCCAGGCCTCCAGGCAACTTGTTCTCTGTGTCACTTTCCACTTCCATTCTGCCACCAGTTGTGAAAAGCTACCTAAAGTTAACTTCCTGCAGTATTCAGGACTACCTTAGAACATCCAAACATCCCTCCCGCTCCGCTCCCTGGTGGCTCGTTCCACTAATGAGCCCTAATTTAGCCAAGCCGGGAAGTGGATGGGAGTCCCGGCGCTCAGCTCCCTCCCCACCTTGTGGGTGTGTGGGCAAAGGCCATGGCAGGCCCCGAGCGGAGGCCCCGGACGCTGCAGCTGCAAAGAGCCGCTCTCTCGGTAGGGGCCTTGCTTGTGGGGCAGACTGTAAGCAGAGTAAGTGGCCCGGGCAGTCTGGGCTGTTGGGGGACGGGGCAGAGGGTGGTCATGGAAGAAATGCCATTCTTGTCCTCTCACAAAGGGAGGAGCCGTTGCCATTACTTTTCAGCAAAGAGGTGCACTACCAGTCCTGGCAGCGTGGAGGAGCAATTCTTTGGCCTTCACAAACAGGCCTCGGCAGCTCCTCTGCCTGAGTTGCAAAGCTCCCCCCTGCTCATCCGGCTTGCTCAAACTGGAGGGGAAGGAGGAGCAAAGGGACTGCGAGCACGGACTTTCTCTTCCCTCCCCCCCCCTCCAATTTAGAAGACGCCAGTGAAATCCCTGCTATCTCTGGGCCAGCCAGGAAGGTTTGCTAATAAAGCTGCATCCGCCTAGGAGGAGGGTTGCCTGTTCCTTTAAAGTAAAGACCCCCCTCTTTCAGTAGTGCTGCTCGGTTTCAGGTGGATGAGAAAAGGGAGCCTTTGAAAAGCAAGAGCAACGAAGGGCAGAGCACCGAAAAGGCATCTGGGAAGGTGGGTGGCTCTTGCAGTGGGGAGCTGTGGGAAGGGAGGGAGGGAGGGAGGGGGATGAAATAGGAGCCACCAAAAACTGCCTGTGGGAGGAGGCGGAGCATTAGCTTGGCATCCATTAGATTGGATGGCAAGGGGGGGAGCTCAGGGGTCAGGGTGGGCTCCCCCATTGGGGTGAAGGGCCAGACATCTGCCCTTGAATAGCCCTGGACCTGGCAGGAGGCAACTGCAAGCCTTCCGGGCTCTGGGATGGAGGGCAGCAGGTCATGTGTGTGTGTGTGGGGGGGCTGCTTGGGTTTTGCTTTGGCAGGTAGCTCTCCCCACCCTGACCTTGCAGGGAGGGGCACCACGGCTTTCCGCACTGCAGTGCCCTGGTTGCCTGATTCCTCTCCTCTTCCAGAAAAAAGGCCTGCAAAGCTATGAAGAGCAGGCAGAGAAGCGGCGGGTGCTGTGCCCCCAAGCCCTGCCTGAAGCTCCTTTGCCGAGAGAGCGAGGTGAGGGCTTTGGAGGGCAGCAGTGGGAGTTCATTTGGGGGGGGAATAACCCTAGACATGCACCCTGCTCTGTGACAGGCCAGCATCCCTTGTGGCGAGGGAGCCCTTCCGACCTCCCCATCTCCCCCCTCTCCCCCAGTGGTCCCAGCCTCGCTGGCCCAGGAGCTGCCCCAAGCCATGCTGCGGATGGACATGGCCCTGGAACGCGAGTACGCCCTCGACATCTTCAGCAACCTGATGGTGAGCAGATGCAGCAGAGCCCCCCCCTTCCCTGGCAGACCTTTGTACACCCAGAACGCTCCATACCTGAAAAGCAGACGAAAGCCAGGAGAGGCAGCTTGCTGTATTCCCTGCAGAAACCCAGTGAAGGCATCCCAGGTGGGCCTGTATCCTCTGGGATGGAAGAAGACACTGCCAGTAGTCTTGGTAACTGCAAGACAGAGGCGGGAACCCCTTGGCTTGGCTCAGGCTTCAAGGTCCCTCTGATGGCGCCTCTGCCTGGCCAAGGGGGCCTGAACCTCCATCATTTGGGGGTTGATGGCTACCTATGGCCTCTTGCCATGTGGGCCTCATTTACCACCTGACCGGGGAGCACAGGGCTGCCAAGAGGCGTCTGCCCTGCCCTGGAGCAGAGCAGAGCAGAGCAGAAGACATCACTGCCTCCCCCTCAGCTCCATTCCAGGGAACGCCTCCCCAGTCCTGCCAGTGCCAAGGGCCAGGGCCTGCCGAACCCTTGGCTCCAACCTTTTCACAGCAGAAGCAGCCGTCCTATGCCTTCCAGGGCTTTGACCTGCCACGGTCAGTGACGGTGGAGATGAGAGCCCTTCTGGTGGACTGGCTGGTGCAAGTGCATGTAAGTGCTGGGCTTGGAATGGCCTGATTTGTTGGGTCTACACATTGGGGGGGGTGTTCCCCCTTACCTCTGCTCTTCTGCAATGGATTCTATTCCTTTCCTCCCTCCCCCCCCCAGGAGTATCTGAATCTGGCTGATGAGACCCTCCACCTGGCCGTCCATCTCATGAACTCCTATATGAAAACAAGCCATGTCAGGATCCCTCACCTGCAGCTCCTCAGTGCCACCTGCCTCTTTCTGGCATGCAAACTGGAGGAACACACCTGTCCAGAGGTGAGAGTGTGAAAGTTGGGTTCGGGAGTGTCCACTGGCCTTCCAGAGACCAGGACAACTGGAGCGACTCGCTCTGCTTTAGTTCAGCAGCCCTTCTTGGTCCTTGGCCTTTGAGGCCAGAAGAGGAGGGCCTCTGGGCCTCTCCGGAAAGCCCCGTCATGCTCTCGCCTCTCCCGCAGCCAGCCCAGCTGTGCTTCATGATGGAAAACTCCTGCACCCGAAAGGATCTCCTGCGAATGGAACGCAAAATCCTGGCCCGGCTCAGGTTTGAGCTGCACTACGCCAACCCCATCCACCTGTCCCGCCTCCTGGCAGAAGCGGCTCATTGCACCTTGGAGGTGAAGGTCCCAAAGTGGGCCGGCCGGGGCCCAGAACCGCCTGCAGGGTCACCGGTTGCTGTTCCCAAGCGATCCCCAGGTCGAATGTGCCCTGGCCTTGTGGGAGGGCAGGAGAGAGAGAGAGAGATACCCTTGCAGACCTGGACATCCCCCCCAGTGATTTAGTCTTGGAGTTGGAGGGGGGGGGAAAGAGGCTGCAAGCATTCTTTCCCTTCTCCTTCCCCATGCTTGTTCAGGTCCAGTTCTTGGCCCTCTATTTCCTGGAATCTTCTCTGCTGGAGGTGGACTGCCTGTGCTTTGAGCCCGCTCAGTTGTCCTTTGCGGCTTTGTCTCTGGCACACCGGCTGACATGTGAAGCCAGAATCAAAGACATGGATGCACTTCAGGAACATGTTCCAAAGTTCCATGTGTACAGGTATGAGCAAGCACGGTGTGTGCCCCAAGGAACAGATGGGATGACAATGAAACATAGCAAAAGTGCAAATAATTTGGGGTCTTTCCCTTATTTCCCAGCTTCTTAAAGCACGGCCTCTTGGATGTGTGGCTGCTTGTTCCTTCATGTGCCAGAGGGCATGGGAACTGCAGGTGTGGCTGCTGCCCCAATTCTTGCATGGCACCAGATGGCTCGTGCCCCATGGGGTGCCCGGTTACCATCTGTGCAGCTGTGGGGCATTCAGGACACTCTGGAGGTCAGCTGCAGCCCAGCGAGACAGGGCCGTGGTTGTCCCCGCAACCGCAGGGACCGGGGCATTTGAACAGTAACAGACCAAGGATGGGTTCAGTCAGTAAGTGCTCCTCTCTCCTCACAGTGAGGCTGAGCTGTCGGCTGTCTTTCCATACATGGCCAAGGCGGTTTTGCAGGGGGGCAATGCCTCCCTTCGTGCCATCTTCCTGAAATACTCCAGGCCACAGAAGCTTTGTGTCAGCACCAACCCTGCCATTGCTGCCTCTAAGTTCCTGAGCCACTTCCTGAGGGATCCCACCCCATGAAGGAGCAGGATGCTGGGGTGATGTTTGAACTGTCCCTTCCCACTGCATGTGAGAATAGGGAGTGCAGGAAGACAAGCATTGTCCCAGGCTTGACTCGGCTCAGAAGATTGTGGGGCCCCTTCTCTCCTTTTCTTCCTTCACACAGGACGTTTTCTCACTTCATCCTGGTCTGTCTTTCTATCCCACCCTCTCTCTGAGGTCTCGAGTCTAGTGCAACCCTCCCCTGACTAAAAACAAAAAAGAGATTGTAAGCAAAGGGGCTTCATATGTCTAATAAAGTGTTTTATTCTCTTAAAAACATTCTGAGGTCAGAGAAATGCGGTGCCTCTCCCTCCCATGGAACTGGCAGGACCCAAGAAAAAGGAGTTACAGTGTAGGGGCCCAGCCTTCATGGCTCTGCTTGAAGGCAGGGCGGCTGGGGGGGGGGGGAGAGCTGCTGCTGCTGCTGTGGCTACCGGCTCACCATGCTGGAGGGCATCCTAGGCTTTGAATTCTCCCCCTCCAAAGACCTTCCAAGCCGCTTACAAGCCATTTCAACGTTAACTCATAGGTAGCCATAAGCCCTCTGTTACTACCTGTGCTGTTGCTAATACACCCACGTTGACTGGCTCCTCACAATGCCTCTCAACAAAAAGCAAGCTAACTTCAGCCTAGCCGGCTGTCTGACCCCGCAGCTCCCTCCCTGCACCGCTTTCCAAACTCTGGGAAACCCGGTCTGCGAGTCCAGCTTGGGAATCGCTGGAGACGTTTTGCAGCATCCGAGCAGTCCTCTGAGCGAGAGGCGCTAGCCCGCTCACCCGCTGGGGTGCTGCCTGGAGCCGCCTCTCCTGTTTGGTCCTGAGCCAGGCGAGGTCAGGCTTGTGGTGCTGAGGCGGGAGTTTCCCACAATGCACTAGCGCGCTGTCCGCGGTGCTGAAGTGGCGCTCGTGGCTCTCCCCGCATCCCTCCCTTTACGCTCAGCCGCTTTCCCAGCTCCCCGTCCGGCGGAAGCAGGCGTCGGGCTAAGCATGGGCCTCGGTCAGTGAAGGCGGGGATGGAGGAGCGCAGCCCGTATCAGAAGAGTTGCCCGGAAGCTGGCGGGGCCTTCTTGGTGCTGGGGGAGAGCGGAGGGGGCTGCCGGGCTCGATGCGCCGCGGCTGCGGAATTGGAGGCCAAGCTACAGCGGGCGGTGGAATTCAAGGCGGAGGGGCGCCGCTGCTACAAGCAGAAGAAGCTCCGCGAAGCCATCGGCAAGTACCACCGAGCCCTGCTACAGCTGAAGGGACTGGATCCGCCGGCCGGCGACGAAAAGGCTGAGGCGGCGGCTGCGAAGAGCAGCTCGCTGGTCGCCTGGCATCGCCTGTCCGCCGAGCAGCGGGAGCAGGCGGACAGCACCGAGATTGAGCGCTACGACAGCCTGACTGGTAAGAGCCCGCCCCCGCCACCGAGATGGGAGGAAGGAGGAAGCCGCGTAGTTCTGGCCCCAGCCGGGAGCAGAAGGACTCGGCCCCTGCCGCCCAGCTGGAGGGAGCCCTTCGGAGTCGGACGCGGCTCCCAGCACGGTGGAAGCAGCCTCTGCTGCCTGCCCACGCCCAGGGAACGGCTGCTTGGGGCCAACTGGAATTATGCAAAGCTTGAAAAAGTGCCACCATACTTAATGTTGTCATTTGGTCACTGAGTGCCAATTAAAGATGCTTTTTTTCCTGGTAGCTTTTCCCCCAATGTCATCAGGTATTCCTTTCAATGGAGCGAAGATGTTCACTGTACCTTTAAAACTTGGGCCAGTTGTGTGGTGGGCCGAGACCACACAATTGGCCCAAAGACCCCGCAGGGCGTTTCGCCGCTGAGGCCACGTCCGTGCCTTGTTTGACCCGCCCGCCTCATACCTGCGCCCCAAGCACCTGGCCACAAGGGCTGGACCGGCGTCCGGGTTCTGAGACGAGCGGCGCCGGGTGGAGATCTTCCTTAGCGGCTGGCAGCGGTGTATCTGGGATCTTCTCGGTTCCGGGGCTGCTGCTGATCTATCCGGGATGCTCCCCTCGCCCGACAAAACAGAGGGAGGGGGAATCCGGGCCAGCTAGGTGGCAGCTACCTGGGGGACGGGGGGGGGGCTGCCTCGCGCCGGCCTCACCTGCTCATCGGCCCGCCCACCGCCCACCACCCACCGCCCACCGCCCACCGCCCACCTGGCCGGCTAGCTCTTGCGGGGGTTCCGCGGCACTCGACCGCCGCGGAAAGCGCCGCCCTCCAGCCCCCGCAGCGCGCTCTGCGCGCAGACTGGGCGCCCTCAGGCGCGGCCCCAGGCCGGCAACCTCCGCCTCCTCCCTTGGCTTGCCGGGGACTACCTCCGCAGCTGCCCCCGCGTCGGAGGCCCAGCCTCCGGATCTCCGCTCCCGCTGGCCGTCCCCGCAGGCATCCTGCCCGGGAGAGAAGGCGGGAGCGGCCAGGATTGCGCGCCCGGCTGCTGCACTCGCTTGCCCGCGCTCCCTCCCTCCCCCTCCCCCCATCCCCTTTCCCGTCTGCCGCGGCTGCTGGATCTGTCAGCTGTGCGAGGACTGCCAGGCGGGCTGGGGGGGGGGGAGGAAGGGAGCCCGGGGCATGCTGGGATTCGTAGTTTCCACGACTGCGTCCCTCTCAGGTGGAGAGCGGGCAGCACCTGCAGCCCCCGCCCGGTCGCGAATACTACGAGTCTCTTCCATTCCAGCTGCGGGCGCCGGTTCATCCTGCCTTGCCCCCGGTCCTCTCGCCAGTCGGCTCGCGCTTCTTTGCTTTCCAGCGGCAGCGGGCTGGCTGTTATTTCTGGCCGCCGCTTTTCTCCTTCACAATCCGAAGGAGGTTGCAGGGCAACATCTGTGGTAAGTGGCCAATTAGCAACCTGGCAAGAACCAGTATTTTTGAACAGGTGTGTGTGTGTGTGTGTGTGTGCGCGCGCGCGCGTGCCCAAAACAGGCCTCTCGTTATTTGGCACTCCTTCTCCTTGCAACAATGAGAAGCCTGTAGGCGTTTGGGAGGGTTGGAAGATGATCCGCAAATGTCAAAAGTGCTTTTTTCAAAGGCAACTGGACTTTGTTTTTTCCTTGAGGAAGAAGGCCTTTCGCTTCTTCTCCAAGAAGCTTCTTCAGTTCAGAATTGATGAAGCTTCTTGGAAGAGAAGCGAAACTACTTCTTCCTCAAGGAAAAAATAAAATCCAGTTGCCTTTGAAAAAAGCACGTTTGAGACAACTATAACCTGGATGACTGAGATTCTCCATAGACATGGTCTGCAAATGTTTAGGAGGTCTCAACTGCAGGTCTCCCCGTCTGGCCCTTGATCATTGGCCTGAATTGCTTGACCAGAAGGACTTCTCACAGGGCAAACTGAGCAGTGGCTCAGATACAGGACCTCTGGAGACCCCATGAAAAAGCAGGGAAGCAGCTGGGGACCCGAGACACACTTTATCTTGGAAGGCAGCTCCCAGAGACAAGCAAGCCTCTCTCCCCCCCAATGTTACTTTTTGTCCCAGTGGGCTTTCTACATGGAACTGGGACTGGAAAAGAGCAAAGTGAGCAACGGGGATCTTCTATGTTCTCAAGGCTTCTGGCATGAGTAAGGAAGGGGCAGCAGCTCTCAGGGAGCCTCCCCTGCCCCTTGAGCCAGCAGCAATGAGGGGGAGGAAGAGAGTTCCGGGGCCCTCCTTACTTTTGCTTCCCATCCACTTCCTTCCTTCCTTCCTTCCTTCCTTCCTTCCTTCCTTTCCTTTTCCATTATTCAAGAAGGAAAAGAAAGAAGAAATACAAGCAAGAGGAAAAACAGGCTCAAAGAAAAAGAAGACAAAGTAAATGAACAGGGAATTTGCAACTATCACAAAGTGGAATAGGAGTAGATTGGTTAAGTAAGACTTTTCAATATCTCAGTTGGTTTACATGTTACTGAATCCCTTTGATTATTTTAAAAACTGCAGGCAATTGTTGATATCCAAGTAATAAGATCAACACGGATAATCAGTACAATGTAAATAACAACACACGTGGTCCTGTAATTTTTGTCCAAACAGGATCTAAAGGATCTAAGCAAGATTACGCTGTAGATTCTGCTCTGATGGGTCTCCTAGATGCTGTTCCTTTGTCTTCTTCCATTGTAGGCTTTGTGGTTGTTGAGTGGCCAGTGAGGAAGGGCTCCTTGGCCCACAGGTGTCATTGCCTTGCAGGATTTTTCAGGCATCAGCCTTCACCTAAAACTTCCCAAGATGTTTTACTGGTTTTTCAGTGAAAATAATTTTTGAACCACCAATTTGGAAATGAATTTCTTAAGTTTTGCATGTTTTTTTGCAAAGGGATCTGTCAACCAGGAATGGTGTGTGACCATCAGAGAAAGGCAGTGCTCTAAAATTGTATCTGGAGGAACAGTGACTCTATTCTATTCTAAAAGTAATCTTTATCTAGCAGATTTTGTGCTGTACCAGCTTGCTCTTCTGGTACATTTGAAGATCATTTGGTGTTGAAGTCCCTGTGAGGTTCCTTGGAAATAATAATTCTCAAATAATGTGTGATGCTTTGAAACAAATGGAGTGTGACAGGTGGAACTCATACTTTAGGAAAACAAGAATGTCAGTTGAACAACGTACGTTAATTCTAAACAGGAAAAGGGTCCAAGCCCCTCCATGGGAACACTGGATGGGAATGTGAGAAGCTCTGCTCGCTGCCTCCTGGGACCAGCCAAGCCATGGAAAGGTCCCGGTGGTGATTTTCTGGCAGCGCCTTCATACCTCTGTGCCCAGCAGAGTTTCTAGAGATACCAAGATTTGCTCTCCCTGCCATCCAAAATATTCTTCCCTTTTTTTTCCAGGAGTGCAACTCAAAGGCAGTGACCTTTTTCCACTGAGCTTTTCTGGTGGTCTTGCTTCAACAGTCACATGTCACAAACATCATAATAATGAAAATTTCTCCCTTTGTGCTCAATGCGCTACACTTATTTTGCCTACACCTGTCTTAGTCTTTCTGCCAAGAAGCAGAAGTCGCTTTATTTCATATTCACCATTCCTGTGAATATCCAATCCAGGGAGGAGATTTCTGTACCTGCTTCAACGTATATGTTATAATATATACTAATTGCACAAAAGCCCCACACATTCTTCTCTCTGCTTGGTGCAGGGGACTAATATTTAAATAAACAATCAAGCGAAGTTAAAGCAATGAACCAGACGGATGGCTTGAATAACTAATTTATTCTACAGTTTGCATAAATTGCTCTTCCCCCCCCCCAAAAAAAATCTCACAAACTCTCTGAGGCTATTCTTTAAACAAGAAAAAAGCAAAACAGAGCCGGTCCACGGGAACAAAGGGAGCAGAAAGTTATGAAGAGGGATGCGAATACACATAGAGGCTCATCTTGGGCAGCTTCCCCTTGGAGAAGGTCTTCCACTTGAGGTAGAGGGGACCAAAATGGGTGACGCCTTGCATCTTGAAGGGCTGCACGTTGTTCTGGTAGCTGAGTGGGATGACGTGGTGGAAGGTGGGCTGTGGGGGCCGAAGCCGGGTGGAATGAACAATCATCTCGTAGAGGATCCTCTGGCCCAGGTTGGCCTGTGCCCTCTTCAGTCTCAGGCGGCTGCTGGGGACATACTTGTGCTGGCGATGGTCACCCACCAAGAGCTGCTGGATCATGGCCCGGACCAGTGGGTTGCTCATGCCGTAGAGGTCGAGCAGCTTGGCCGCTTGCTCCTGCCACACGGCAGGTTCCACTCCCTTCTCCTTCACGGACACAATGGACAAGTACAGCCCCATGAAGGTCTCCCAGTCTACCCCCTTGGCCTCGTCCAGGCGGAAGATGTGCTGCCGGCCCCCCCGCCTGAGCATCTTCCGATGGAGGCGCATGGTGGGCTTGGTCGTCTTGTACAGAGAGTCTTTGGGCAGGCGGTGCCCCCTGGGCCGGGGGACCGCCAGAGCCGGGCTCAGCTCCTCCTCGGTCTGCAGGAAGGCATGCCAGGCCTTCTCCCACTGTTGGCCCATGGACCACGTCAGCTTCCCACGGTCCCTTGCTGCCTTCTCCTTTCTCAGGGATGATTTCCTCCTGTCCGCCACCCTGGCCTCCTCCAGACCTTCTCCCTCTCCCCCCATCCCCTCCCTCTGACCCCGCTCCTCTGCCCTGCTCTTCTTCTCCTCTGCCCCCTCTGGGAAGCCCAGCACGATGGGCCGCGATCTGAACTTGAGGCACCTCTCCCTGCGCTGCTGCTCCAGTCTTTCCTGCTGAGCCCTTTCCTGATCTGCCTGAAGCTTCCCAAGGGCCTGCCTGAGCTTCTTCCTCAGCCAAGCCTTCCGGTCCTCTTCCTGGCGCTCCTCCCGGGGCTCCTCCGGGCGCTCCTCCAGGCCCTCCTCCTGGGTCCAGGCCTTCTCTGCCTTCCGCTGCCAAGCCTGCAGCCAGACATTGTTGGTCAGCCGCCTCTTCAGGTTCCTGGCCTGCAGCACAGCCAGGACAGACTTAAAAAGCCTCTTCATCCTGGCGCCATATTGCTTGGGGCTGGTGTTCCAGGGCTTGTGGGCCTCCACCGCCTCCTTGAGACATCTGAGCACGGACACCTGTTCTTCTGACAAGGACTCCTGCCTCTGCTCAGCTTCCTTTAACAGGTCCTCGGCTTTCTGGAGCAGAGCGTCAACCATCTCCTGCAGGTGTGCCGTTGAGGGGACCCCGACCAGGGATACCACACGGAAGAGGTTCTGGAAGGTGGTGGAATCCCTCCTCTGCAGCTTCTCTGGCTGAGTCAGGACTTCCAGAAGCAGCTGGGCCTGGTCTGTCAGCTCAGCCTCTGGCTCCGGGGCCTGGTCCATCTCCCACAGAGTCACCAAGGCTTCTCTTTCGTCCTCAGAGAGGAGCCAAATACTCTTGTCATCCAGGGCCTCCGGGGAGCCCATCTTCTCTTTGTCAAAGAAGAGGGCCCTTTTCTCAGCCCACTCCTCTTCCTCCTGCTCCAGCTGCTTCTCCATCAGCTTCACCTGGGCCAGCAGCTCGGCTCTTACCTCAGCCAACTCCAGGAGTCTTTCCTCTGGCATCTCCAGCATGGCAGCTTCAGCCAGTTCCTGGGCCCTGGTCTCGGCCAGTTCCTGGGCCCTGGCTTCAGCCAGCTCCAGAAGTCTCACTTCATCTATCTCTATTGCCTCTTCTTCAGCCAGCTCCAGAACTTTAGCCTCGTCTATTTCTATTTTGGCCAACATGGCCAACTCTATGGCCCTTTCCTTGGCCAGTTCCTCGGCTATTACCAGCACCAGTTCCTGCAGCCTTTCCTCCGCCAGGTTCCCCTCCAGTCCCTCGGCCTGGACAATCTTTTCTGCCTCCTCCAGTGCCCTCTCCATCACCTCCTCCAGCGCCTTCTGATGGGCTTCTGCCAGCACCTTCTCCCAAGCTTCCACCAGGGCCTTCTTTCGGGCATCAAGCAATGTCCGGTCTCTGGCCTCGGCCAGGGCTATCTGGCGGGCTTCCGCCAAAGCTCTCTCCTTCACCTCTTCTAGGGCTTCCTGAAAAGCTCTGGCCTTCAGTTCCTCCCTCATTCTGGCCTTGCCTTCTGTCCTCATTTCAGTCAGCGTGTCCTCCGACAGCTGGGCCAGGATTCTCTCAGAGTCCGTCAGGAGGGGCTTCTTCTGCAGCTCCTCCACACTGGGCAGCTCCTCCAGGCTCCTCTCTGCTTCCTCCACTTCCTCTGCCTCCTCCTCTTTGCTTGCAGGCCGTCCGGCCTTGTACATGGTCCCTTCTTTTCCTCTTCTTTCAGCAGCCTCCCATTCCTTCGGCCTCCGAGGTTCTGCTGCTCGTGCTCTGCCTCTGGAGAGCTTCCGCTCCTTCTCCAGGAGGTGTTCCCGCTCCTTCTCCAGGTGTTCCCGCTCCTTCTTTAGGAGGCGTTCCTGCTCTTTTCCCCTGGCAGGCATCCGCTCCTTGCTCCAAGCAAGCTCCTGCTCCCTGGCCTTGGCCACTGATTCCTGCCTCCTTTTGGCAAACTCTTCCATTTTAGCAGCCCACTTCTTGGACAACTTAGCAGTCCGCCTCGCCTCTTTTTCAGAGGCCACTTGGAATAGCTTGCCCTCTTTAGCTGCATGCTCCTGGAGCCTTTTCTTCTCTGCCATCCTGTCTCTCTCCTCAGCTTCCTCCCCCAGTCCCTTCTCCGCCTCGTCCTGGCTGAGCTCATCTGTCTCTGAGCTGCTGGACACGTCTCCGGCTGTCCTCACGGCCAAGATGGTTTCCAAGCTCTCCACTGAAGACTGGAGCCATGACTCCTTCAGTGAAAGCTTGATGAAGTCGTCCATGTATTTTTTCCAGGCGGGGGTCTCTGTGGTCAGCTTTTCCTGGGAGCTGAGGAGGGCCTGGCTGAGGTTGGTCAAGAGCTCCCAGGAGAGGTTCTGGCCGGCAAGGGCAATTCGGGCGGAGGCCAGGAAGTCCTCCCCTGCAGTGCGCCCCTCGACCGAGGGGGCGATGCGCAGCATCATCAGTTTGTAGAGGTCATTGCGCCAGTTGGATTTGTCAGCCGTGTACTGCTGCTTAGGATCGATGAGACTGCCTTTGGCAGGGAGCACTGGGGGCACCGGGGGCAGCGTGGGTGGCTCCACGGGGCTGAGCTTGGCCTGCATTAGGCTGCTGCCGGCTTTGGATTTTGCTGGAGGCACTACCACCACTGGTGCCGACTGCTCCTTCCGGACCTTCATGCTCTTTAGCATCTCCGTGTACAGCTGCGTGCGGGTGTCTCTGCGCTGCAGGAGAACAGGCTGGGCCTGTTTGCGCAGCTTCCTGAGCCTGCGGACATGTTGGGAAGAGGTGGCCGGGACCTTGGGCTGCCGTAGCTTCTCCTTTTCACGCTGCGCCTTCTTGGCGGCCCGCAGCTCCCGCGAGGCAGAGCTGCCACTGCTGGTGGTGGGGGAGCCGCTAGTGCTGGTGGTGCGCTGGCTGGGGCTGCTGCTGCTGCTCTCTGGGGCTTCAGGGGTCAGCATGATGGCAACCCCCTTCCCTCGGGCCTGCTGGATGCGGGGCAGCTTCCTGGGGGAGATCTGCTTGGCCTCCTCAGTGGTAGCTGTGGGGGCAATGGGAGAGGCGAGATGAAAGGGGGGAAGGTGCAGACAACCAAAACAGACACCTCAGAAGTAGACGCCCTGCTCCCCTACTGGTTTCTGGGATCTGTGTGTGAAGATGAATGTCCTTTTCTGGAGCAGTGGGAATTGTCCCCCATCAGAGCAAAGGTTTCCATGTGGTCGGGAGTCAAGATGACCTCCCCCTCAGGATCCCGGCACTGAGCCTAAGAATCTCTGGGGTGCCTCCAACAGCCTTCTGACATTGCCGGAGCGTAGCCACAGATGGCTGGCCTTAGAGGCCTCAAGTCCCCCCACGTGGATGGGCGGGGGGGCTGCAGGGAAGCCACACTGCCGCAAAGGCACAAGATTGTCTTACCTCGAGCCTCGGCCGCTTTCCTGCCAGAGTGGCCAAAGAGCCCCAGCCACCGGACGCGGCCTGCCTCTGGTCCATCTGGCTCTCCGTACTCCTCAGCCACTTTTCCAGAGATGCGTCTGCGCCGGGAGGGGGGAGGATGCCCCAAGAGCTGGGCCTCTGGTGGGGGGTACTCGGACATGAGGAAGAGATTGGCTGTCAGCTGATTCTCCACACAGGTCATCAGCCTCTCGGTCCCCTCCGTCAAGGCATAGACGGCTTCATCCTTCGACTCAGCCACAATGCCGGCAGCTCGCACCCTGCGAGGAAAAGCACCTCTTTCTTTCTGGCTCAGCACCGTCCTGGAAAAGCAGAGAGACACCCGTGTGAAGGCACAGTGGGGAGGATGAGGTAGCCAAACTGGAGGGAGGGTCCTTCCCACCCTGGAAACCTTCCTGCTCCACAGGAAGACAAGCATCATTCGGTTCCTTGAGGAGAACCTGGTCCCCAAAGGCCTTGGCAGCTCTTTTGGACCCGCCCTAAGTGGAGAGGAAAGCAGCCCCCAGGGCCCCAGGATGGGGGGGGGTATCTTTCAGCCCCTTAGACAGGCCCACGGTCTATCTTGGCAGGTAAGGTAAAACCACACAAAAGGATAAGACCGCCCTGCTGGATCAGGCCAAGACCACATCAGCCCAACTCCTGCCTGTTTCTCGTGGGGCCACCCAGAAGACTCTGGGGTGCTTAGGAGCCAGAGTGGAGAGAGGGGGGAGGGGAGACAGCTGGAATCGGGAGCTGCCCCAGTGGGTCCTCAGGGCCAGGAAGGGATCCAGCTACCCAGGTTAATGGCCATCTGATGGGAATCAGCCGCATAGATTAATTGCCCGCTGCAAGGTTGGACAAGAGACCCTTCCAGGACCTCCCCCCGGGCAGAGGAGAAGTGCCTGGTTCTGGCACCAGAGAAAGAAGAACAAGAGCGGGACACCTCTATTGCCCCCACCCAGGCAGGGAAGGACTCACAGGTCTTCCAGGCTCATTGCTGCCAGCCGCTGCATTTCCTGTTTCAGGACAAACTTGTCGGTGATGCCGGCCACCGAGTCAAGCAAGGAACGGGCCAGGTCCCGCACGTTCCTATTCTCATCCAGCAGGGCCCGTGCCAGGGCTGCCACCTCTTGTTCACCCAGGAGGTCCATCTTCTCCAAGGCCTCCCAGGCCGCCAGCCGCATCCTCACCTGGGAAACAAGATGCCTGAGCTGAACCAGAATGGTCTGAGCTAGGCCTGGATCTGGCTCAGGCCAATCTCTACAAGGATTGGTGCTCCATCACTAACTCAGTTGGTTATTCAATTGCAGCAGCACTGGCTAAATAACAATGCTGGTCAAAGACTAAGCAGGACTGGTTAAAGGCAGGAGTCTCAAACTCTGGAAGCGCCTCAGAGCAACTCTCAAGGCCTCCTGGGATGCCGAGCCCAAAGCCACCTGAGCCAGCTGCTCTTCCCTCTGCCTTGAACCCCTGAAGGAAAGGGCGGGAGAGAAAAGTTGGACACCCCCATCGTCATCCCTGGATGTTCCTGTCCAACCTGCTAGATAGTTGCCAGCCCTGCAGCTCCTGAAAAGCAGCTGTTTCTCCCTGGAAGGTGGAGAGCTCCTGCCTTTTCCTGCTCGGTGAGTCCCCACTGTTGTCACTTGGCTCTGGCTGTGCGTCCATCCTGGGCTGGGGGGGGGAGGAGGAAGAACTGCCTCCTCCTCCTCCATCTCACCTAGTCAACATCCAACTGTCATTCTCCTACCTCTTCTCTCTGTCATTCCAAGGAGGACGTGGAGAGTGATGGCCGAGGACCGCCCCCCCCCAGAGGTGCCCTAAGTGTCCCCAGTCTTGCCTGCCCTGACCTCCTTGTGTGTTGTGTCTTGGATGAGGCGCTCAAAAGCTACTTCCTGTATGGAGGAGGGCAGTGTGTAAGACTCAGAAAGCTGCACCAGCGCAGAGGTGCAGAGCAGGTAGGTGGAGTAGGGGACGTTGTCCATGAGGTTGAGGATGGCCTTCATGACGGAGGACAGGCTGGTGTCACTGGGCTTGTGCCTCAGCCAGGGCTTGGTCATGATCTCCGCTAGCAGGTCCCGGTGGCCCCTGATGCCCGAAGGCGTCTGCTTCATCTTCTGAGCCTTTCTCTTCCGCGCCTTCTCCACCACCTCGGACGTGTCCCACTCTGGTATCTGGATCTTGACCAGCTTCCTCTTGGGCAGGGGGTCCCGGCTTGACAGCAAGGGGCACCAGAGATCGGGGGGAGTCCCTTTGGGGAAGAGCCGAGCCCGGATGACTGAGTTCGGGATGTAGCCGTCAGGAGCCATTGGCCAGGAGTGCCCCTCCTGGAACCGAAGGGTCTGGAGTACGGGGACATGCTCCACCATTCGCGGGAGGCCACGGTAAGGCGGTGGGGAAGTGAGTTTCTTCTCCAGAGAAGGCCTGACAGTGGGCTGAGAAATGAGCTGGTATTCCACTGCAAACTCTGGCAGGGTCTCCTTGGGGGGGAGTGGTGGCAGCCCATAGAAATCGGGGCCAGGAAAGATGCTTGCATCCCTGCCAATGAACTCCACCACCTTGGCCACATTCTTCTCGATCACCACCTCCGTGTGGTTGGTGAGGGGCTCCATCCGCTCAAACTTCTTGGCCTGCTTGCCTACCTGGAGGTACCTGAACAAGGAAGGACAGTGGTGCATGAGAAGTCGAAGCTACATCTTTTTTCTAACCATACAGCACATCATGCCTGACCTCCCAAGAAGTCACCAGCAGACACCCACTTGCTGCCCCATAGATAAGTTAGACTATAACTCCCAGAATTTGTAGCCTAAATATGGGCATCAGACTGGAAATGGTGACCATGCCATCTCCTGGTTTGGTTCCCCAACAGTGCTCAATGTCCCCATCTTTAATGGAAAAGCATCACTTTTTCATCTATCCTCAAAGGATCTGGGGCCCACAAACTTCCCGGTGTCTCTCTCTATCAGCCTCTCTTCTTCTAAATGATCCTCAAGCAGAAACAGTGTCTGAGCCACCCACAAGCACCCCCACGGTCCATTTGGGAGGGAGGGGGGAGGGAGGGAGGGAGGGAGAGAGAGAGAGAGAGAGAGAGAGAGAGAGAGAGAGAGAGAGAGAGAGAGAGAGAGGAGAGAGAGATAGTTTTAGCCATCCCACCAAAACACAATGAAACCACTTACTTGGGCACAAAAACTATGTCGAAGGCAAGAAGGAAGCAGGGAAGGAAGGGCAGTGGGTATTCAACAACATCATCCTTTACACGATGGGTCAACAGCCTGGCAAGATGCTTCCTTGGTAGGTACATAACACATGAGATGAAGTAGATATCCGTGCTGCAGCCGACCACCAGGTCCCCTCGTTGGTTGGCAAAGCAGACACGGCTGAATTTGAGGGTGGTGTCAAACTCCACCAACATTTTTCCCAGGATGTCCCAAATGCGCACGGAGCCGTCCGAGCCGCCGGTCACCAATATGCTCAGGGTGTGGCAGTAGTCGAAAGAGGTGATGGTGCTCGAATGCATGGCTGCTGTCTCCTTCCAGAAGGGGTTGTTCTCGCCAGGAACCAAGGCTGCCTGGCGCCACAGCCGGACTCGGTTCTGCTCCGTCAAGGCACAGATGTAGCCAGGGATGAGCAGGAGAATGTTGATCCTGCAGTTGGTGCTGGGAATGACCACCAGAGGGAGCACCTCCAGGAGGCTGTTCTTCTTTAAGATCACTTCCGAGAGGACGATGTATTCATCGAGTCCATAGGAGCAGAGGAAGGAGGCTTCCCTTGAATGGTATGACAGGTACCCTGAGTCTGACAGGCTGCTGAGGGCCACCACATTGCCGTCGTGCAGTTTGCGACCGCCCATTCGATAGAGCTGCTGACTGACGGAGCGCACTTTGCCACTCTTGAACCCACTGAAGATGAAGCTGGTGGTTCGGCCATTCAGGTCCAGACGGCTGTAGGCCAAACACAGAACCTTGTCATCCACGCTGTCTGTGGTGCGCAAAATGTACTTGGTTGGGCAAGGGTTCTTGGTGGTATCCAACACATAGATGTCACTTGTGCCCATGGTCACCAAGAGTTCCTCCCGATCTGGGTCATAAACATAGTCCAGAGCTTTTTCTAGCAGTTGGAAGGGCCAGGTGACAAACAACATTTCACCTGTCACAGGGGACAAGAATCGGATGATTCCATCTTCAGTGGTGGCCAGGATGCGGGCCTTGTCTGGTCCACACTGTATGCGCACCAACCTCTTGAGGATCGATTTGCTTCTGTTGAACAGCTGGTAGAAATTGTTGACTGTACGGATGGAGAAGGTATACCGGGTGCGGAGGAAGAAAGTCTGCTCATTGAGGAACTGTATCTGGAAGACTTCCTCGCCAATGTCCACCCGTCGGAGAAGCTCACCAGTTGTCAGGTTCCACTCCTTTAGCATTCCGTCCAAGGAGGCAGTCATGAAGCTGTGCACAGAGATCCGGATGATTACGTTGCTAATGGCGCTTTGGTGGGCCTTGAACTGGTTGATGTGGGTCCTTGTATCAAAGTTCCACACCTTGACCTCCCCAGCCAAGTCTCCTGTATAGAGGAAGTTCTGGGGCCAATAAGCAGCACAGCAAGTGAGGGAGACACCTTGGCTCATCTGGAAGGTGCAGATCTGGGCTTTGGTTTGATAGTCGTACACCCGAATAATGTTCTCACAAAGGGCCACCAGCATCCTCCGCTCCTGCTCCACCCTGAGAAAGTGCACAAACTCACCAGTTGCAACATATACTTCCTGCGTGACACTCATAGAGGGAACCTCTAACATCAAAAAGGTCCAGAAAGCCAGCACTCCAATGGCACCAGAAATTAGTTCACACGTTTCAGGACTGTAGCATAGGCTGGTGACTGAATAGGGAGAAGACATTTTGGAAAGCAGCTTGAAGTCCCGAGTGTGGTCCCCAAAGAAGCGAAAGTGGATGTCATCACAGTAGGCCACAAAGAGGTGCACATGGGGGACATAGGTGATGGTGAGGACCCCTGGATGCTCATCTAAGGTATACATTTTCTCGGTCACTGAAGTCTCATCCTCCATGTTATAACTCCAGACACGCACCTGCCAGGAAAGAGGAAGGGTTAGAGTCAGCCAAAGTGGCTGCCATTCAAGGTTTGTGCTCACCTGCCCTGTCAAGCCCTTCAACCTAGCGCAGCTTGGACTTCTATGGCAAAGGGAGAGGCTGGACAGGCAGAGTGAAAAGGCCCTCCCTCCTCAGCCCTGCCTGCAGTAGGGACAGAGCAGGAGGCTGGGAAAACAAGAGTTGGGCCGCCAGGTAGTCTTTGCTCAGAGGGAGAAAAGGGATCCGGGAGATCAGACTGCGAGGGCCTCAGGATCTTGTCTAGCTGTAAAAGAGGATGCCACTGCAATCTGAGCATCTTGGGCACAAGGACGAGGACTTGCTGATTCGTTTGACCACCAGGAGTGGGGCACAGAGGGTGAATGGCTCAGGGTTGCTTAAGCCAGCTTGGAAAACATAGGACCAGAGAGGCCTCAGACACGGCGGGGGGGGGGGGAGAGAGAACCAGCCAGGTCTTCCTTTAAACCAGGTCAGGCACAACTGAGGAGGCCCAGGCTCCAGCAGCCCCTTTCAGCTTGAGGCCAGGAAAGTTCCATGTGCAGATACGGAGAGGAGGGCTGGCAAGAGCCCATTGAGGGGGCCTGATCTGATCAAGCAGAGATCCGAAGGCTGGTAGCCATGGCCTGCAGGCAGCCTTCTCAATAGAACCTCTGGACCCCCTCAGGGAACCTCTTTCTAGACTGGGGTCAGGACCTTCCTCGCACTCACCTTGCTCTGCTTGGCCCTCCTCCAGGTGAACGAGGCAAAGAAGTTCCCCTGCTCGGTTGCGTAGTAGCAGAAGAGGGGCATGTAGCTGGGGAAGCAGCTCTCCCGGAAGACAATGCTGGGCCTGTCGCTCAGAAGAAAGGGGGTTCCCTCGGCCCCTTCCGGCAAGGCCTGGCCAAGAGGGAGGAGAGGCAGCACTCACACGGGGCTGGAGAGGTCAGGGGGCAGCACTGAGCGAGGGGCAGGAGGGCTGACAAAGGGGGGGCTAGAAAATGCTACTGGCTGGCTGCTGGCACAGCTGCACGCTCTCCAGGATCAGCAGGGCCAGAGGCAGCTTCCCTATCGCTGGGGAAGGGATAGCTGGAGGGTCAAAGAATCCCCTTCCCAGGATGTTGTCCCCATTCTCCTTTTTCAAGAAACCCGATTCTTTGAGATTCTGGCCTTGATCCCCACTCCATGTCCTGGTCCCCCCCCCTACCCCATGACCCCTCCCTTCTGGGCCAAGAAGTTTCCCAGACCGGCTTCGGGATCCTCACCTTTTGTAGCTCCAGCCTCCCCCTGAGTTGGTTCTGGAGCTCCTTCCACTGCGGCACGACAGGGATGGGGCCTTTCAACATCCTGTCTCTGCTGGCAGCTGCCCTGGTAGCAGGCTGGAAAACATGGATCTGGCCAGAGAGGATGGCGGGCATTGGCTCAGTTATCATAGAGCTCCACTATGTTTTGTGGAAGAGGCCATAACGGCTTGGCTATAAACCATAACAGCTACTAGATCTTAAAGCAAACAAGCCACATGAAAGTGGCTTGATCCCAGCCAGCCACGGGAAAAGCTCAGAAGGGCCTCTGGAGATTGGCACCCCTGCTGGGGGTGACATAAACTGCTTGATTTGGGGGGTGGGTGTTTGACAAAACAGTGGCAGCCATCCTCCTCCTTTTTAGAAGTTTTTTCTCAGTGTCCCAATCTCCCTTTCAGCCCTGAGATTTACAGAGGGTCTCCCCCCCAGGGACCACCATCCTGGCTAGAGATTTCTTTAAAAAAAAAAAAAGCTAAGCTTCCCCATGGTTGCAAGGGGCTGCCAGCTGCTGCAGCATTGGCTTGGAAGAAAACAGGCCTGTGGCAGGAGGGGCCTGGTACCCATGGTGGTAGCTGGTGGGCACTGCCCAAGTGAGTCCTGGTGGGAGGCATCTGGATGAAGGAGGGGGGGTGGGATGGGAGCTAAGGCCCAAAGGACCAGGAAGTACTTGCCTGGAGCCTTGAAATCTCAGGAGAATCCCAGGAGGGTTTTATGACATCGTAGCATTCCGCCCAATGGGCAAAGAAACCCTGTGGAAAGAGGGAGGCTGGGGTGGGACACCTCCTGATGGGCGGGGAGGGGGGGGCAGAAAGAGGCGACTAGGCCACCCAGAGCCACCATGAAGTTGGTTAGCCTTATTAGACCTTGATGATTATAAACAATAATGGTGGTGTCCCTTTTCAGCTCAGGTGGACCTTTTCTGTACCATGTTGCAAAATAAAAAACTCTCCATTTAATGGGATGTTATGTTAGGGACACCATTATGGTAATTGGTCCAAAAATTTGTACCCCAAAAGGAGTGAAAAATGAAGAGATGTTTGGAGATGTTTTAATCCCACAGGTCAAGAATGCAACATTTGCACAGGCTGAGAGCCTGAGGGTTTCTTCCAGGAAACAAGGGCCAGGTTACAGAAAGGTGGGCCCGGACTGGGTGGCCCTTTTATCTGGAGCATGGAAGGGCAGCTCCCGATGGCCCAGGCCGATGGGGGGGGGGGTAGGAGGCTCCGCTCCACGCGTGGCCCAGGCCTTCCTTGCTCTTCTGCAGAAGGGCTCCCCAGGCAGAAGTGTCCGCAGGGGCACCTCCAAGCGCGGAATCCACGTGGGGCAGTTTGTCAAGGGCGGAAACCTCTGGGAAAACATAAGCATTATTTTTATTATTTGTAATTTTGACAAAAATATCATCCGCCACGGATGGGAGACAAAAGAGAAGCTCCGCTCTAAGCCACCCCAAGGAGAGCGACGGCCGGCAGCGCCCCAGAGGAAGCCACCCGAGGCCGGGAAGGACAGCCGCCCTCCCTCCGGCGGCCGCGTGGAGCCCAGAGGGGAGACCGTCCCGTCCAGTTGGGCTCCTCCGGCGGCAACCGGACGCCGCTTCTTTCTCCCGCCGGGCAACCGCTCTGGCACGGCCGCCGCCGGGCACAGCAGTGCGGGGAGGGGCAGCAACGGGGCGGCGACCACAGAGGCGACCCTCGCCGCCGGCCGGAGAGCAAAAGCGCAACCCGCGACCTCCCACCTTCCAGCCGCCGCCGCCGCCGCCGCCCCGCTCCGAGCGGACCGGCCCGGCCAGGAGAACGCCGGGCGCCCCTCCCCCCACCGGCGCTCGCTCATACGGCCCTGGGGGAGGCGGGGCCTGGGGCGGGGCTCCCCCGGCGCCGCCCCCAGACTCCGCCGACCGCCCTCCCGCCCTCCTTCCGGGTGCTCCGCGCTTGCCGTCGCCGCCGCTGCCCCCGCCGAGCGCCAGGTGAGGCCGCGGGATCGGCGCGCGGGGCGGGAGGGGGCCGCTCCAGCCGCCCTGGGGACTCCGGCGCGGGGCTGCGGGGCGTCCGGCGGGGCGGCTCCGGGGGGTCCCTGGCGCGAGAGTCGAAGCGGCAGCGGCGACCTCCTTGCCGGCCTGCGGAAAACGGCTCCTGCCCGGACCAGCCCGGGCGCCATTGTGCTCCGGAAGCCGCCGCTGCAGCGGGCCGGGCGGGCGTGGGCCGTCGTCCCCGGTGGGCGCCCCGGGCCGGACGGGGGAGCGGATCGCGTCCCGGGCAGGCGAGCGCAGGGCCGAGAAACGCCGGGCCGCCCCCTGCGGGCTCGGGGCCAGCCGGGCACGGCGGCAGGTGCGAGGGCGGCCTCGGGGGCCCTGCATGCCCGTCCGGCGCTGCTGCCGCCGCTGAGCCAGCAAGGCCGAGGCTGGGCCGCTCCGAAAGCGCTCCGGCTGCCCCTCGCGGAAGAAGGGCTGCCCGCCCGCCCGGCGTGTGGCTGGCGCTGCCCGCGGAGCCTCCAGGTGGGAGTGACGACGCTTCCCAGGGTCCGGGGAAGCGGGAAGGCTGCCTCCGCCGGGCAGAGGAGGATGGGTGTTGTAGTCTGCCGCTAGCCCCCCTGTCCCGGCTTCCGATTGCCCCCAGCTCAGCCCTTGGAGGGGACCTCCTGGTCAGGGTTTGAGGTGGGTTGGCCCGATTGCCGCGGGCAGCCCGATCCCCGGGGGCGGCTGGAGACTGCAGCGCCTGATCCTAAGCCTCGAGCCGCCGGTCAGAAACGCTTGAGAGAGCCGCCCCGTTTCCATTTTGCGCCAGACCCGTTTTCTGCTTGGGAGGCTGCATGGCTGGAGAGGCTGTCTTTTGTCCCTTTTATCTGGTAACTTTCCAGGAAGGTTGGGACCCTTCACAATTCGAAGGGGCCTCCTCAGAGCGACTCCACGGAGGGGCTTGCTTGCCTCCCCCGCCTCAGGCCCAGAGTCAGAGACCCTGAGGCCAGAGCATCTCTGTCCTGTCACCTCTGCAAAGTCTCCCTGCTGGGGGGCTGCCATCCTTAGCCCAAAAGGCACCCGCTTCCTACCCTCTTTAGTCTAGGATGCCAGCTGGATGGCCAGCCTTGACGTCCTAGCCGGCCTGTCCTGTCCCAGGGACACCCAAAAGGAGGGGCAGTTTCTGTTCAACATTGGGCAGCTTCTATTCCGGAACTTGCCCAGCAGGTAACTTAGAAGATTCCTGGGCCTGGACAGTTTCTGGGTCCCACATTGCACATCTGGAGCATCGCTGCAGGAGCAGAGCCAGCCCTTGACGGTGCCTTTGGACCGTGGCTGCAAGCAAAGGGGCTGCCTCCAGAGACGTGGCTCCAAGTCCTCTTGGACCACGTGCTTTTTGGTGAAAGGGGCAGCCAGAGGGTTCGGTGGTTTTCTGCGGGCGGTGTCTCTGAGAAGGCTGCAGTGCCAGGGCTTCCAGCCCATTCTCGGACACAGAGCAGGTGCCTCCCACACTCTTCCGAGGTGGCACCTGAAAAAATGGGCCTGCCTGCTGGAGAAACCACGTGGCGGGATGTCCCTGATCAGTGCAAGCCTGCCCTGATAAAAACAAAGGCGGAGAGAGATTTCTGTTTGACTTTGAGGCAACAATCGCTCCCTTAAACAAATAGCCACTCCTGGCTGTGTTTGCCTTGCCTGCATTCTTGCTCAGGCACCTGGAAGTGGGGTGGCCTCCGGACACTCTACCCAGTGGGGGGAGCGATGGCTGGAAGAGCTCAGGGTCCTGCTCTGGCATCCACCCAGTCATAATGCTGAAATGCAGGGAACGGGCCAGCCTAGGGCCCACGGTCTGGGGGTTGTGTCTAGGATTAGGGCCTCTCTGCCCCTCTGCAGAGCTCTGTGAACTGCAGTGGGGCTTGGTTCTCATGGGGGTGGGGAGCAGGCACCCTAGAATTTGGAGTGTGTGTGTGTGTGTGTGTGTGTATGTGTGTGTGTGTGAATTTCAGCTCCCATGGTCTCGGGCCAGAACTGATAGGAGCCATGCTCGTTGCCCCCTTCCTGTCCAGACAGTGTGCCTGTCTGCTATACCGGAGACCCTCCTGGTGGTCTTTAGGAAGCAGCTCAGCCTTGTGCCCAGTGGCTGCTGTGGCCTTTGGCTCCTCTTCCTCGGGTAGGGCCAGCAGGCTAGCAGGCTTTGGAGAGGGAGCAAGGCCCCTCTCGGCTTGGGCAGCACCCCTTTAACAGGGAGACCTAACTTGGCCTTTCTCTGGAAAAGGAAAGCTTTCCCCGAATGGCAGTGGAGATTTGCAAGGACATTTTCTAAACCATTTGTGATCTTCTGTTTGTGTGTGAATATAAGGGGGGGGGGAGATTTTTTTCCCCCATTCCTTCAGCTAGGGAGGAGTTCGAAGCTGATATATGAAGAATGATTGAGTGATTTAAGCTGACAGGAAAAAACTTTTCCCTTGTATGGACTCTCGGTTTCTGCTTGATCACCTATAAGATTTGCTTGGCCTTTGAAACTGAGAGGGCAGCTCCTCCTTCTGAATGCCCCAGGATCCTCTGCAAGGGAATCCTGGAGCTCAGGGAGCACCAAGGGCTCCACAGGGAGAGCTGTTCCACGGGGGGGGGGGCACCTGCCACTTTGGGGAGCTGAGTTAATCTTCCCCTGACTGCAAACTCTTCCAACTCCTCCCAGACAGCAGTTCTGCACTACATAATCCATGAGCAGGCTCTACAGGGGTAGCTAAGAATGGCTTCCCCAGCTTTAGGCATGGACAGGTTTTTTTGAGGGGGGGGGGCTCTGCAGTTAAAAACTTTTTGTGTGTTTGGTCTGGGATTGTATAGTTCAATAAACTTTAATAAATAAACAGACACAAACAGCATGAATATTCTGTAAGGTGCTAGAGGAGACCTTGTGACGCCATACGTCTTTCTGCACTTTTCTCTCTCCCTTCCCTGCTTGCATCTGGCATGAAGAATAGAGGAAGAGCTCTGCTCGGGACCCCCATCCTTTTCCAGGGGTGCATAAAATGCAGGTCCCTGTGAGGTAGTCCTTGCCCCCCCCCAATTCCCGAGGGAGCCCCTCAGTGGGCTGCTTGGAGGCTTCACTGTGCAGTTGAATGGCTTTTGTCAGTGCAGCGTTAGGGGTTAGGTTGGGTGGTGGGGTTGGCAGATGCCCCAGGTCCGTTCCCTGCATTTTCTGCCTCATCTTACGAGATTGGCTACCTGAAATGACACAGGTGTTTCCCCTTTCAGCCGGTCCACCCTGTCATCGAAATGGCTGCTCTTTCCCAACAGTGAACTATTAAGGTCGCATCCTGGTCCTGATCCGTGCACCTGCCATCTCCCTGGCTCTTTGTTAGGGATTCCTTGCTTCTTCCAGCCACTCCAGAGGCGCTGAGCTGCTTCCCCAATGCTGGGCGGCAAAGGTTCCGCCATCCCCGAGATTCAGAGGGAGAAGCAGCCTCTGGCCCACCCCGGGCAGTGGCCTCGTGACTCAGTGGAGTCCCTGGGGAAGCAGAGGGAAGACCCCGTGCAGTGGCCAGAGGAGCCACGCGTCAGTCAGGTTCTTTAGCCTGAAATCTGGAGCTGCTTTGAAACCATCGGTGGGGGGAGCATGAGATGCAACTTTCAAAGGGCCCCCCTGAGACTCTGCTAGGCCAAAGATGGCGTCATTCTGATTAGTGTCCCCAGTCCACTCCACAGGGCTACCAAGAGGCCTGCCCTGTCCTGGCCAAGCTGTGCAGGACTGCTGGAGCCCCGCTTGATGGTGTTGCTGGTATTTGGGGGACTATGGGAAAAGGGCATGGCCCCCCTCCTGTCCGTGCCCTTCCTCCAAGGCCTCTAAGCCTGTTCCCTGCTTGCACTGCTCAGAGGAGGAAGAGGAGCAGGAATGTGCCTCCCTCCCTCCAGCTGCAGTCAGTCGCTTTGCTTTGCTGCTGCAAATCTGCCCTTCAGATTTGGTCCAGGCATGCAAGACAGTTCCCCCCTCCCAGCCAAGGCTAGCATGAGGAACAGGGTGGCTGGGCTCTGGCCAGAGCAGGGCAGTCAGAAATATTAGGCAAGACTCAGAAATTAAAGGAATGAAGATAAAAGATGAAAAAAATAAACTACAAGCATTCGTGGATGACTTGGTTTTCATATTAGAAAAGCAGCTTATGACAAGCCCCAAACTTCTGAAGAAGGTAGAAGAATTTGGGGAAGTGGCAGGACTGAAAATAAATAGAGAAAAGACCAAACTGAAAATCTTACAGATAAACAAAGAAATCAGTTGTCAGAAAAAAACAGATCTTCAAATAGTTAAGAAAGTTAAATACCTGGGGATAGACTTAAACAGCAAGATGTGCAACTATGTAAAACTATTAAAACAAATAAAACTAGACCTGGATAAATGGAAAAACCTACAACTCTCGGATTCAGAATACTTTAGAACATGGGATACATTTTATCAATGGCTATAGAAAAATGAGGTAGAGAGAAAGGAGTTTAACATGTATTAGTAAGCTAAATATTGGAACCCAGACAACAAGTTGCTGATAAAATATTAGGGATTTGTGATTATAAAAAAATAATAAAATATGGTTATAGAAGGAAAATGCCAGTCAGACCTCAGCAGCTGGGATGCCTGCTGGGCAAACTAAAGGGCCAGAGTCAGGCACTGTGGGTCAGGGAGAGGTGGGCATACAGGGCCAGGCAGAGGTAGCAGAGCCCACCCCTGAGGGTGGTGGGCTGGGTGAGGAATTGGTGGGAAGGAACAGAAGGCGTCAGGCCAGTCTCTTTGGGACTCGTGATGAGTGGTGTGTACTGCCAGGGAGCTGACAAGCAGTTGAGGCTGCCTACACACCTGCCTGCCAATCCTTCCAGTCGTTGAATGTCGCTGCCTCACTCCCCAAATTCGGATTGGGGGTGGGAGAAGGTAAACCTGACTTGGAACTGGGTTCGGCTGGCTCCATCTCCCTGATCCAGGCCAGGCCTCTTTGGAGCTTTGGCTTTCTTCCCTGCATGGAAGCCTTCTTGTTGCATCTTCCGGGCCTCTGCTGACCCCCTGGCTCTCTGGACGGCACCTCTTCTTTTTCTGCCCTCTGCTCCTTTTGAGAACTCTCAGATGCGCTCATGACTGACTGGCAAAAGGAGCCAATGCATCCCGGGCTCTAGTGAGGTGACCGGGTTCTTCCCTCCTCGCTGCCCTACTCCAAGATGGGGCATCCTGCCTAGCCTCAGCCTGGTTCTGCCCTCACAGAAGCAAATCTAGGTGGTGGTTGGACTGAAAGGACCCAAAGGAGATGGGACTGCCTGCTGACCACCAAGGACTCTGCGTGGGTGGCCTTGGCGGGCAAGAAACCTGACAAGAGGGGCACCCTTCTGCCGGCGCCTCTCACTATGCTGGTCCACTGATGAATTAATAGCTAGGATCCTGATGCGTGGAGCAGGTCAAGCCTTTTGCTAGAGATGCCTCTGTGGGGCACCTCAGGGTCTGCTTCTTGGATTCTGCCCTGGAGTCCCTAGATCAGGGGTGTCAAACTGCCGGCTCGTGGGCCAGATGCGTCAGGCGGAAGCTGTGCTCACCCAGCTCCAGCAAGGGGAAAAAAATTGCGATACATCGTGACATATCACATGATGCGGTGAGTTTGACACCCCTTTGGTGTTTGATGTTCCTTTGGGTCCTGTATGGTTTCCAGGGGCCTGCTTAGTGGAGAAAGCCAAGGAGCAGCCCCCGAACTTGTAGCCTGTGGCTCCTCCGTTTGGTGAGCACACGGTGACCATGGGCTTATGGGTCCCCATGATTTGCTGTATTCCAACATTAGAGGAAACATCATTGCAGGAAGCACACCGTGAGTGTGTCATTGTGCACTCTGCCTAGAACCAGGAGCCCAGAAAGGAGGCTGTAGCTCCCTAAGAAATGGGCTTTGGAGTCCTAGCTTCCACCAGGACTTGGAAGTCAGTTGGCTGAGTGGGGCCTTTTAAGCAGCTGAGGGTCATGTGGACATGACTGAAGCATAGACTTTTAGGCAAAGCTTCATATCTGCATACAAGTTATTAGAATAGGTGTTGTGAGAATGTAAAATATACCACGGTAGAGTTGGAAGAGACTTCAGGTATAATATGTTCTTCCACCCCCTGCGGTGCAGGAAAAGCAGTTAAGAGATGATTGTTTAGCCTCTTCTGACCTCCAGAGATGGAGACCTCACAACTCCCATACATAGATTATTCCACGGTTGCACAGATCTTGTTTCCTTGTGTTTGAATGAAATTCAAGCACGTGCAACTGATATTTCTTGTCCTGGTTCTATAGCAGTACAAAATAGTTCTTCATCATTGTCCTTTGAGCAACCTTCTTTCAGAGGAAATAGCTGGGGCATGTGCCAAACTGTGAGCTCTCAGATTGTGCATGATTGCACCTGAATAGGAAGTCTGCTTCGGCCTTTGGGGAAAATGTCTGACAAACTTTCTTCCATGCAGAGGTTGAGCTGGCTTCTGTTCCCCCAGGGCGTCTTTGAAACTTGCATTGTGTAGTCATTTTTGCACACAGCTGAAGATAATTACCAAGGCTTTAGCCTCAGGTTTATGCCTTTTGGGAAGAGTCTGGAGGTGGGCAGCTGGCTCCAAGGGCCTGGCATGGAAGTTTCCACTCCAAGGCAGGGGAACTTGCGTGCCACTTGGACAGCCCCATTGCCGCCCAGGAGGCAGACTGGGTGTGCTCTCCTGCAGCTACTGGGTGGTGGTGGTGGTGCATGGCCAAAAGGGCCCTCCTGGAGAACGCCTGTCCTTGCTTGGCCCAGTCTCTGCAGGCTCCTGGGGGGAGTAGAGGCTTCAGCTGCAGGAAGTGAGGGTCTATGTGTGCCTTCTCTGCCTCCTCGGGTCTGGGCACCTGAGCCTGGGCTGTTGGCTTGCCTGGCCGGGTAGGAGAGCTTGGGACCCTGCAGGGACTTGAGTCAGCAGCCAGCTCTGGCAGGAGGCTCCCAAGGGCTCCCTTACCTGAGCTCAAGGCATGGACAGGCTGCCAGGCACTCCTGGCTCCTAACCGGCCATCTGGTTGGGGTAGGGCAGCTGGGGCTCCTGGCTGCTCTTACCGGAGCCCGGACAGGCCAGGGCTCTGCACAGCCTGCAATGAGGGAGCCAAGCACCCAGCTTTGCCTGGCATAGGTAGCAGCAATTGTGTCTGGACATCTCTGGACCTCAGCAGCAGAGCCATGTGTGTGTGCGCGCGCGTGTGAGCACGCACACATTGCCCTTCCCCAGCCTGCAGCTCCTCTGAAAGCCAGAGCCCTCTCTAAAGAACTTCTGCTTGGTCTGAAATGTTTGTCTAGTGCTGGATGAGGGTCGAAAGTCCAGCCTGTTTGCATGCCAGTCAAGGGCGCCCGATGTTTCTGCCTGTGGTAGAGCAGGGCTCCTGAGGCATGTTGGAGAGGCTCAAGCGGGGCCGGGCACTGGTGCTGGTGGGGAGGGGGGCTGTGTGAGCGAGAGCCGGCTGGGGCCCATTGGGAGGACGGGCTTCCACCGCAGCATTTCAAGCACAGCCTCTGGAGCTCAAATGTCCAGGAGAAATTTATTCATTTCAAGCAGAGCCTCTGGAGCTCGAATGTCTGGGAGAAATTTATTTGAGGGGACGCAGAATGTCGAGGTGGCTGCCAACCTTTACTGAGGCTGGGGCAGCTTGACATTTCCCCTTAGGCTGTTGTGAGAGTGACATTTGGGCACAGGACCCCCCTGCTCTGCAAGCTTCTGCAGCCTGATGCAAAGGCAGGGCAGCTCCTGCTGCTCCCGGGCCCCCTTCAAGCCAGCAGAGGTGCCAGGATACTTCTTGCAGTGCAGGGCTGAACCTCGAGAGAAGGGTGCTGGCACTTCCATTTTGTTTTTCAGAGGGAGCGTTCCATTTTGTTCTCTGTTGCTCAGGCCTGCCCTGTCTTCCTCCCCATGAAGTCTGCCTCCTCCATCGCTTGAGACATGGGGGCAGCAGAGCTGAAGTGCTCCCTGCTGGGTCCCCACTGCAGGCAGCCTGAAGAATGGCTGCAAACACGGACACCCTCCCCCGCCCTGGGAGAGTGCTTGCCCCCTTCCCTTCTGCCCTGTCTGGGGCCCTGCTGTGTCCTTTGGGGCACCCAGGTCTGGGCTCGCTCTGCACCTGGACAGCCTGCATGGAAATGGGGTTCTAGATGGGGGGGGGCTGTGTTGGCTTTGAGGCTTATGGAGGGCAGGATCTAGGCTGGGGAGGGGGTGAGGGAGGCATTGACTATTGGCTGCCCACTTCCCAAAGTTACCAGTGTTCCCCTGTGGCCCACTGAGGTTTTGTGGTTGTGGGCCTCATCTTGGCTAGGCTGCGAGGGCTGTTGCTAGTAAAGCAGTTATGTTGTTGTGGGACATTCCAGGTTTGTGTTTAAAATAGGTGACTATACAGATCTTTTAAATAAATGAGTAGATTTAGGGGGATTTGGGGCACCGTAATCTCCAGGTAAAGTCACCCCCCCATTTGCTTAGCAGGGCGAGGATTGCCCCCTAAGCTGCATGACGATGGACTCCCAATCCTGGGCCTCCCCCTCCAGCCTTTCCACTACATGATGGCTCCCCGAATCCGCCAGTGGGGAGGGTGGTTGGTGTGCATTGAGGGGAGCTACTTGATCCACAATCAATTTTTGGTGATGTCTACAAATCTCGGGGAGCTTGGGCTTCCTCATTACCCAGCATAGAGCATGTTACAAATATCGTATTTTGGCTTCTGCAGAAGAGCAGATTCCCAGCTCTGTTCCCCAGCAGCAAAGTGGGTCTGCCCCATGTTCTGCTCCTGAACTCCAAGACTAATGCTGTTTCTCCTTCTCTTTCAGAATGATTCATGTTGCTGGAATAACGGAAGCCCAACTGCTGTCGTCATTTTCTAGCACTGGGCCCTGAGGAAGGGGCAGGGGGCAACGCTGCCCTAAGCCGCCTCAGCTTCTTCCAGGCCGCCCAACGCTGGTTGTGGTGTACCCATGTCCCGATGGAGATGAAGAGCGCCTTCCTGCAGGGAGCCCAAGCCAGACTATGACAGCGTATCGGCCTGTGCATGAGAGCTGCGACGTGGGGGGCCTGGACCCCACAGGGGGCGATTACTCTTCTCCAGGATCCTGGGCCCAGAATGGCTGCACCCCACATGTGGATGATGCATCTCCTTTGCGACCAGCCACCACAACGCCTGCCGTGCCAAAAATGGGGGTGCGGGCCCGGATTGCCGACTGGCCCCCCAAAAGAGAAGGGTTGAAGGATCCAGCCACCCCCAGTGCTGCCAAGGCCCCAGAGGCCCCGTGCCCCATGCAGTGGGAGTTTCAGAATGGGCAGCTGCCCAAGGAGGCTGCCTTCCCCTCAGGGCCGAGGGCTTCCCGGCGCCTGGCTCGGAGGAGGTCCAAGGACACTGAGTTCCAGGATGGGTGGCCGTGCTCTCCCAGTAGGGCGTTCCTGGCGCTGAGGAACAGGAGCAGCAGCGAGGTCACCCTGAGCGAGTGCGACCTGGAAACTGTGATGGAGCCCCGGGGAGCCCGACTGGCTGGTGGCCTGCCTCTCTTCCGCGAGTATGGCAGCACGTCCTCCATTGATGTGCAGGGCCTCTCTGAGCAGACCTTCTATGAGATGCTTAAGGAGTTCCAGAGTGGGAAGTTGGTGGCTGGGCAGCGGCAGCGGCAACGGCTGGTGGATTCCTTCCACACCGCCAGGAGCGCCAAGGCAGAGGCCCGAGCAGAACCAGAGCTGCCCCTTCAGCCCAAGGAGAAGCCCCGCAAGAAGGGTCTCCGAGGAGAGGGGAGCGGGGGGGACTCCATCTTCCGGAAGCTGCGGAGTGGCCGGGCGGAAGGCGAATGCAGTAGGGCCCCAGGGGAGGTGGAGGAGGTAGGCCGGGGCTGGCTGTGCCCAAAAAGCCTGGCCCACTACGATGTCCAGAGCCTGCTCTTTGACCTGAACGAGGTGGTGGCGGCCAGGCGGGTCTGTGTGGCACAGCGGAAGAACACCACCACTGGGGCTTCGGCTGCCTCCGCTGGCTCAGCTGCTGCCACCTGTGGACTGGCCAACCTGGACCCGCAAAGCACCTTCTTCAGCCCTGAGGACCTGAACTCCAAGGAGAATCTGGAGCACGACCCAGGGGACAACAACAGCAACAGTCTGCTACTCAGCTGTCCTCACTTCCGCAATGAGATTGGGGGCGAGGGAGAGCGCAACATCAGTTTTTCACCTGCCTCTGTAGGTAGCTGTGGGGAAGGGGCCTTTGCGGAGATGGCCCCTGCCCCTTACTGTACAAATGCCAGCATCTCTGTGCTGGAGACGCCCCAAGAGCTGCAGCGCAGCCTCAGCCGGTTGAAGCACTATAGCATCGAGCACGTGGACCTGGGCGCCCGGTACTACCGGGACTACTTCTCTGGCAAAGGTTGGCACTTTTTGGCTTTGCCATTTGGGGTGCTGGAGGGTAAGAGGACCCTGAGAAAGTGGACAGTTGAGGAGGATGAGGCTTGATCCTAGTGTATGCCAACATGACAGCAACCCTGAATTCCTGAGTGGTGGGTTCATATCCTCCTCTTTCCCATCCCTACGCAGCCGCACAGATTCCTCTGGTGCATCTCTTCCCCCCCTCCCAGTCCCTCATTACCACTCATATCCTTTCTGCCTTGGGACTGATCCTTGGTTCAGCTGGGCAGCCAAGCCTTGCTGAAGAAGCTTTTGAGTGGGTGGGCAATTCTGCATATTGGTAAATAATGGCTGGAACTATACGGCCGTTTAGGGCCTGATGCACAGGATGAATGGCTAAGGTGTTTTCCCCTCTTCCCTCTTCCTCTTTCCCCCATCAGAACATTTTAACTACTTTGGTGTGGATGAGAAGCTGGGCCCCGTGGCTATCAGCATCAGGCGCGAGAAGCTGGAGGACCATCGGGATTTCGGGCCTCAGTACCAGTACAGGATTATCTTTCGCACCAGCGAGGCAAGTTGCTATTGCTCTGCATCACTGAAGGTCCTGTGGGCACGCTGGGATGGGTGAGGCAGGGGGCTTTGATCCCCATTAATTCCCAAACTGGCTGGGAGATACACCCCCCCCCTCAGAGTGCGGAGAAGCTTAAGGGGCAGGAGAATTGTCCGGCTGGCCCAAGCTGCGTCTTTGTTCTCCTTGGCTGCTATCCTACCAGGACACCAGGAGGGATGCAGGCTTAGAAGCTGCCTTAATCCTTCCTGCCCAAGAGTTCAAATCCCACAATGGAAAGGGGTCTTCGTCTCTCTTCCAGACTGAAGCCTCCCCAGCTTGACCATTTGTAGGAAAGGGGAGGCCGGCAACTGTGTGGGCCCTGGCAGACAGCTCATCATCTTCATCCTTTTCCTGCAGTGTTCAGCTGGAATTTTGGAATAGCTCTGTCCTCTCTCATGCTCCCTTCTGGAATGGTGGTGGCCCTCTTTCAGGCCCCTTCTTGGATTTTTCAAGGCTCAGGTCTATCTTCTTTGTAGCAGGCAGTTTCTGTCTTCCTGACCGTCCTTGCTATCCTTCTTATTCCTATGGACCCTCCTCAAAGGGTGGGGTCTAGACAGCAGGTGGGGTCTGACCGATTTATAATATACAGGTGATCCACTTGTCCAGCGACGGTTTGAAGATACAATGGCCCTGAATAAGGGGGATTTATGGGTCTTCGTAACTGTGGCCATTGCAGTGTCCCGCAGTCACGAGATCGTGATTTGGGCACTTGGCAACCTAGTCTCAAATAGAAGATCGCAAAGTCCTGGGGGCCTGCAATTGCCACTAACAGACTTCATTGCTGCCTTCCGGCAAGCACTGGGGAAGCCTGCAGGAGGTCAGAAAAGGCAATCGTGAGCACAGGATGCTGCAATCAGATGGGACTCGTCTAATGATCATGACCGGGACTGATAGAAAAGTTGTCATAAGTCAGTCCAGTGATGTCATGTATTGCTTAGTGGTGGAGTTTCTAGTGGTGAATAGAAACTGTCCAACCTGAGCTGGCTATTTGTGAAGCAAATCCATCCGAGCCAACAGAGGGCGCTACAGCACTGAGAGGGCCTGGCAGTGAAGCTGATAGCGCCAGTTCCTACTTCTGTGCCCAGTACTTCTCCGCTGAAAGGGCAAGAAGACCAGCCTGAGCCCCATGTGGGCCCTGCGAGGTGCTGAACTGCAGCCCTGCAGTTTAAGCTTCCCAAAGGGGATGTTTTCACCTTACAAGGACAATCCGAATCACTCGTGCCCCCCCCAAAAACCCCAACCATCCCACTGACGAAGGGTTGAATGCGTTGGATACCGGCAAATGGTCTGAAGTGCTGAAAGGGGCTGCTGTCTCCATGTGGAATCTTGGATTTTGGGTGGGGGGGGTGTCCCTTCCAGGGCCAAGGGGCCTTGTCTCCGAGTGGGGAGGACTGGCACTCCTCCTGCACACTTCCTGTTGTTTAAAAAAAAACATTTTCTAGGCTTTTGCAGGCTGGGACTGAGCCTCAGAGACAAAGTTTGCCCTGGATAGCGTAGAGATCCATCCTTAGGCTCCTTCTAGCTCTCCAATGATTGGGGATTTCCTCTAGAGCAGGGCTCTTTTTCTCCCGTGAAGAGTGCCATTCTGGAAGACTGTCCAGGAACTTTGTGAGGTTTGGTTGACGGCTCTGCTCCTCCTCCCTGAGGCCTCTCCAGCCCATGGTCAGCCCCTGTGCAGAAGATGTTGCCCACTGGCCCCGGGCACAAGGTGCTCTTGAGGAAGAGGCTCTTTGGCCAAGTGGGGCCCTCCCATGGGCAGCCCTCCACTCTGCTGTGCCAGAAGAGGGGGAATTTATGTGACCCCTGCGATGGGCCAAGCGTCATTCCTGCCTTTCTTTCTGGGCCTTGCAGTTGACCACCCTCCGTGGTGCCATCCTAGAAGACGCAACGCCCACCACCACCAAGCACGGCACTGTCCGTGGCATCCCCCTGAAGGACGTGCTGGAGCATGTGGTCCCTGAGCTGAACACACACTGCCTGCGCCTGGCCCTGAGTGTCCCTCAAGTCTCTGAGCAGCTGCGGAAGCTGGACGAGCAAGGAGTAAGCATGCTGCAGGCAACCTGGAGGGGGCCGTGGGCTTTCCTGCTTGCCCATCCATCTTGCCTGTGGCCCAGGAAGGCCCTGTTCTCTCCCAGACCCTCTTCCCGAGAGTCACTCTTGGGCTTGGCCCCCAGCCAGCTCTGAGGGGACACTCCCTGCTTTCCCCCCAGCTCTGCCGGAAGCACAAGGTGGGCATCCTGTACTGCAAGGCCGGCCAGAGCTCGGAGGAGGAGATGTACAACAACGAGGAGGCTGGGCCGGCCTTTGAGGAGTTCCTGGCCCTGCTGGGGGAGAAGGTCTGCCTGAGGGGCTTCGGCAAGTATGCCGCGCAGCTGGATACCAAAAGTAGGTTCTTGCCGAGGGTGGTTGGGGGGCTGGCAGGGCAGGACTCACTGCTAGCACTGTGCCTGCCCTCTGAGGGACCCAGCTTCCCTGCTAGTCCTCCCTGTTGCTTTCCTCACAGCTGACTCCACCGGCACCCACTCCCTCTACACAACCTACCAGGGCTACGAGATCATGTTCCACGTCTCCACGATGCTCCCCTACACCCCCAACAATAGGCAGCAGGTACCAGGCAGGGCAGGTCAGGGCCTAGCCCAGAGGAGAGAGTGGACTGGCTTTGGGGGGGGGTCACATGGCACATACTGAACTGTGGGGTTGCCACCAACTTAGTGGTCTTGACCCTTTGCTTCTCTTTTGAACAATGACCGCACCCCCCACCCCACTGGGGAGGGATTTCATGAGGGGTCTGTTTCCTCCTGGTCTCGTGAGTGTCTGGCTGGGCTCTGGGCTGTCTTCCCAGGCTCTCAAGTGCCGCCTTCTCTTCCAGCTGCTGCGGAAGAGGCACATCGGAAATGACATCGTCACCATCATCTTCCAGGAGCCAGGAGCCTTGCCCTTCACCCCCCAGAATGTCCGCTCTCATTTCCAGCATGTCTTCATCATCGTTTGTGCCCAGAATCCCTGCACGGAGAGCGTCTGCTACAGGTAAGGCTGCGGGAGGGGGGTCTGGATGGTATTTGGGCTCGGCCACGTGAGGAGCAGAGCTCCGGGCTTTGGCTGCATCCTGGGGCCAGTGGGGACCCGTCCGCTCTCCAGAGGTCTGGCTGAGCAGGCAGCCTCTCTCAGACAAAGGATCAGGGCTGCAGGTGATCCTCGCAACTCTGGCCTCTCGGGCAGCTGATCCTCCAATCTTGAGTCCTCGGGTTGAAGTGGGCCTCGGCTGTCCTGCACCCTGGGACTGACTCACAGGGAGCAGCCGAGGAGTAACCTGGCAGCGGCCTGTGTAGTCTCAGCCACAGGCCTGTGTTTTCATTTCCATGTCCCAAGCGTGGCAGTGACCCGCTCCAAGGATGTGCCCCCCTTTGGGCCGACCATCCCCAGTCAGGCCGCCTTCCACAAGTCGGACGTCTTCCGAGATTTCCTGCTTGCCAAGGTGATCAACGCCGAGAACGCTGCCCACAAGTCAGACAAGTTCCACACCATGGCCACACGCACGCGGCACGAGTACCTGAAGGATTTGGCCGAGAACAGCGTCACCAGCACCCCCATCGACTCCTCGGGGAAGTTCAACCTGATCTCGTTGGCCTCTAAGAAGAGGGAGAAGACGAGGGGTGCTGGGGCTGAGCAGCAGAGTGCAGGGGCCATCGTGTGGCGCGTTCTGGCTCAGGACTACTTGCAGGGAATGGAGACTGAGTGCCTGCTGGGCATCTCCAACGAGTTCGTGGTCCTCCTGGACCTTACCACCAAGGAAGTGGTCTTCAACTGCTTCTGCGTGGATGTGATTGGCTGGACGCCAGATAGCTGCAACCTCAAAATTTTTTATGGACGTGGGGACCATATTTTTGTCCGGGCCCCAGAGAATAACCCTGAAGATGTTAAAGAGATTGTGCAGAGGCTGAAGGTCAGTAGTGCCCCTGCCCACTGGTTAGTTAAGATGCCCCCACCACACTGGGAGGGAAGTGATCTTTCTGACCCCGGGGTGTGTGCTTTCACCCAGGTTATGACCTCTGGTGCTGAGACAGTGGAGATGACTCTCCGGAGGAATGGGCTGGGGCAGCTGGGTTTCCATGTGAAGTTTGACGGGACGGTGGCTGAGGTGGAGGACTACGGCTTCGCCTGGCAGGCGGGGCTGCGGCAGGGCAGCCGGCTGGTGGAGATCTGCAAGGTGGCCGTGGTTACCCTCAGCCACGACCAGATGGTCGACTGGCTGCGCACCTCGGTCACCGTGAAAGTGGTGGTGATTCCACCACACGAGGATGGTGTTCCACGCAGGTGAGCCTCTGCATCTCTGGGCAGGATTAACAAGGAGGCAGGGGCCACACAGGAGGAGGAAGGAGTCAGGGGCCACTGGGACCCTTTTGACTCAGCCGGAGTCAGGCAAAATCCTCTGCAGCTGATTTGTCTTATGGCAGAATGGACCCTCTGAATAGCCTGGGTCCATCCGGCCCCATAGCCTGTGCAGTGAGTAGGTCCTGGGTAGGGCAGGAGGTCTGTCCTGGGAGGAGGCACCCTGCCAAGCCCCAAGGCTGCCAGCCTCTCTGCCCTGGTCCACCAGCTCCTGGCCTTGGTGGGAGCGGGAGCTCCTCAGAGGGGGGCTTTTACCCTACTGGGCTGGTTCTCTTGGACTGCGTTGCCCTTCTTGGGTGGCTCGCCCTGTTTGGCCTGGGACCCACTGAGCGAAGACAGATGGCTTTTGAGAGGGGGGCACCTTGGGCAGATCCTGTTGGGATGACTGTGGCTTCGCCAGCCGGTGGGGAATGGCAGCAGCAGCTCTTCTGGCAGGTGCGGGAAGCTGCTGGGTGCGGGAAGCTGCTTCTTGGGGCGAGGCAGAGAAAGGCTGGCTGATGCCCTGTCAGGTCCAAAAGGGAGCTGAGTGGGTCCTGGGGCTCAGGGCGCAGCCTTCCGGGGCATTTAGTGGCTAAGCGGCCACTAAATGCAAATGGAGGAAGGCAAGCCCAGAGGCTGAGGATTCCTGTGAGCCTCTCAGGCCTGGGATGCATCCAGGTGTGCGGCAAGTTTAAAATCTGCCGGGCCATGTGGAAGGGAAACTGCCGAGGCTCAGCCCTCCCCCGCTTCCTTCTGGACTCCCCAGTCATCATGGTTATGCGCTCTCTTGAACGTCCCCCCTCCCTGCCTGAGGCTCTGCTGACTTACTGTCTCCTCCAGAGAAAACTTGCGAGTTAAGAGACAGGAGGGGGGAGGAGGATGAGGGGGTGCCCTCACCCAGCTCCCAGTTTCCTGCCTGATTTTCCAGGTGTGGTTTGCTGGGTGGCTGGCAGGACCAGGAAGGCCGGCCTCCATGCCTGCAGCTTCTCTTCACAGAGTTGCTGGGCACCCTTCTCTGCACGATCCCTGACCCTCCTGGGCTGGGCAGGCAGAGACGCCTGGCTTTCCTCTCTCTCTCTCTCTCTCTCTCTCTCTCCAGGGGATGGGCCGAGTCCCTGAAGATGAGCTTGATGGAGCCCAGAGGAGAACCCGAAAGCCTGCCAGGGGGCTACCGACCTCCATACCGCAACTCAGCCTGGCAGTGGAGCGGCTCCGCCACCCACAGCTCCTCCCAGCCTCCCAAGTGGGCTGAGCAGCCGGGGCCTGGCCAGTCCCAGTCCCTCACCAGGACCCCAAAGCAGAGTGCCCTTACCCCTTACCGCCAGGCCCAGCCCCTGCATGGCAAAAGGTGAGGAGGAGCGGAGGCCTCGGGGTCAGTTGATGTTCCTGGGCCGCCTGCAGGCTCCGGGCCAGGATGAGTTTTGAGACGTGGAGCCTGTAGCGTGTGCTCTGCTGTGTTGGATGCAGCCTGGCTAGTGACCCCTCAGGGGACCTGCATGACTCTGGGCCTGGGCCCAGCCTTCAGGCTCTCCCTCCTTCTCTAGGCCTGCCAGCTTCCCAGAGACCCCCCGTGTCGCCCCCTCCTCCCAGAGTGGCACAGAGAAGACCCAGCCATATCGGCAGCCCTCAGGCAGTTTCTCTGTTCCGGGCTCTTCGGGAGGACCCTTTGCCTGGTACAAGCTCTCGCCGGACAAGTACGTGGACAGAGGGGGATGCCCAGGCCCAGGTCCTGGCCCTCTCGACCCACCTGGCTTTTCCCTCCCACGGATTCTTTTTGATCCAGGGACTGCCCCACTGGCAGCAAAGACGCAGGGCTTCTTCCTGGCTCCGGGTGGGGCTTACTTTGCTGCCTAGCACTTTGTGTCCCACTCCAGTTCCAGGGCTTGGGGGGGGGCTTCGAAATAGCAGCCAGGGGCCACGCTGTGCCGGCCTTGCAAGCCCACCAGGGTGAGGGGCAAACCAGGAAATGCAAAGAGAGCTGAGCCCCCAACGTCTCCTTTGGGAGCTGGGGAAGTGCCTTCATCCTTGGCTGTTTGGGTAGCAGCCGCTTCCTGCCTGAGGCGTTTGCTCTGGGGAGTAGCAAGGGGCTGTGCTGGTAGCAAGCAGGGGGCTTGGAGGGGGAAACATTGACCCTGCATGATTCTGCCTCAAGAGAGGTTGGGAGAGGGAGGGAGAGAGGGAGATCTCTGTCTGCACCCTCAGTTGCAGTGAACAGTTGCCCAGTGGCGTTCTGATCCAGATGAAATGCCCAGAATGGCCTGGAATTCGGATGAGGCGGAGCCAAAGGCATTGATTGGCACAAGGCAGCCTGCCTTGTGCAAACATCCCCTCCCCAGGAATCAATCCGCGTGCTGGGAAGGGCCCTTGTGAGGCCTTCTGGACAGCCAGAGGCTGCAGTCGGTGGCCCATGGCTGTCGAGCGGCATGGCTCTGTACTGGATGCACCAACCGATGCTCCTTCGGATTGCCTGGCCTTCCACCCCTTCCGGATGCCCCTCCGTCGCCCACCTATGGAGCCGAATGCAGGAGGAGCTGGCTCCCTTCTGCTCCTGTGGCCCTCTCCCTCTTCCCTCCCTCCTATAAGCCTGGTATTTTTAAAACCTGCTAACAAACAGGCTGGGTGGTGTTTTTCCCACTGTCTCGGCAGCTTTCTCAGCTGCCCTGTTTGGCTTCAGTTCTGTGCACAGATATGTGGTCCCCTTGAGGCCTCCAGGGCCTTTTGAGCCGCTCTGCCCCTCCGAAGCGACCTCAAACGGGGACTCCTCTTCGTCCGGCGGGGGGCTGGCTAGCCAGGAAGGCACCGTGGAGAGGCCCAAGCCTGGTGAGCACGGATGGCAGGCACAGAGGGGTTGGGTGGTGTGCCTGGGCTGAGATCTCGGAAGCGACCTCTCTGCTGAAACTACCAGACTTTGGGGAGCCCAGCCATGTCCCCCTGGGCACAGAGAGGGCTGTCCTTGCCAGCATGGAGCCAGACAGACGGCAGGTGCCCGAGGCTCCCCTGGCAGATTCTGAGAAGGGCAGGTGGCTATTGCCCTCTCCTGCAGCCTGGGACTGGGTGGTGGCGGAGGAGAAGTCGGGTGGCAGGGGCACCATGCCTGCTTGGGCGGGGCACAAACCAGGCCTCCAGCCAAGGACTGGGGCTCTGGAGAAGCGGGAGGTCAATTGCCTCCGCTCCTCCTGGCGACTTGCCCTCCCCACTGACCCCTCTCCTTGCCCTCTCAGAGCTGCTATGGCACATGCCGGGGCACTCCGGATTCTCAGCGGCTTCTGGGAACAAGCGGCCAGGCCAGTGGGAGTTGCCTGGCAAGGACTTCCCAGAGCAGCCCCCCAAGGTGAGTGTGGGCTCCTGGAGCTTGTCCGTTGGGTGCCTCCCTCTCCGTCTGGGCGACTCAGCACACCTCCCCTCCCCGCAGGGTGAGGGGCAGACGTCCAGCAGCAACACGCTCTCCAGCACGGCCTCCAGCAGCGCCCACAGCGATGACCCGGCCGATCCTGCTGACAGTGCGGCTGAGCGCTGGGCCAAGGGCGGCGTCTCCAGCAATGGCGGCATCGATGCCAGCAGTGCCACGTCCATCCGGCGCGACCGGGTGCCCGTGTCCTCGCCTCTCTTTGGCCCCGCCCTCCCCGAAGGCCATGGGAAGAGGGCCGAGGCGGCCTGGCCTGCCGGCCATTTAGGCAGACGGAGCTGGAATTACTGCCCCAGGGCCTTCGGGAGAGGAGTTGGCGGCCCCACCAGGGGGGGCAACAACAGCACCCCAGAGCCTTTCTGGCAGGCCAGGTAAGGGACCCTGCAGCTGCCCCTCCAATATAACCAGGACCCTGAACATGTGGCGAGTTTGCAGGCCGGTTGGGCACGGGGGGTGGGCTGCCTGATTTTCCAAAGGGGGGCTCCTCCTGGCCAAATAGCGAGGTCCTCATTGCTGATGTATTTGCAGCCTCAGTGCCAGAGCTGCCCTTGACAGCAGCCCCAGGCTTGATTTGTCCAGGGTTAGAAGTGGGGCGAAGCTCCTCCTTCTCCACCCCAGAGAGAGGCCCGTGCCTTGTGTCCAGGGCCAAGCATTGGGGGAGGGGCAGTTGCGCTCCCTCCAGCCATCGGACGGCCCAGGTGCTGCTGAGGGAGTGGCCCTGCACGGCCTGGGGGCCCAACCACCCGCAGATTGACTGTTTCTGTTTCAGCCCCGGAGCCTCTAGGGCCACGTACCCCATCCAGGTCTACAAGACCCCCCCCGCAGACAGCTCCCGGGCGGCTCCCGGGTCTCAGTCGAGCTCCCAGCTCTCGGCTTCTGTGCCCAAGTCCTTCTTCTCCAGGCAGAGTGGACGGAGCACCAGGCCTCTGCCTGCCGGGTGGAAGAAGAGCCCGGAGGCTTCAGCCAGGCCAGCCCCCTTCGCAGAGCCCCAGAAGTGAGTGCCTGCAGAAGGGAGGGGGCAGCAGCAAGCCCGGCTTTGGCTGGCTGCCATGGCCAGCTGTTTTGCCTGGGGGGTGTGAGGGCTTCCGCCCTAGACCGAGCCTGGCTGCCGGGGAGGGGGATTGACCTCCCCTCTTCTGCCCACAGGCAGGTTGACTTGAGCACCAAGAACGTCTTTGGGCAGCCTCGCCTGCGGGCTTCTCTGCGGGACCTTCGCTCCCCACGCAAGGCCTACAAGTCGACCATCGAGGATGACCTGAAGAAGCTGATCATCATGGACTCCGCTGGGCTGGAGCAGGAGGACGAGCTGGTGCGCCTGCCAACCGCTTCCCCCCCCATGAAAGGGGGGCCTGCTGCAGGGCGGCATTTTTAGAACCTGCGGCATAAATGTGTCGGAGGGCTTCGCTCCTGCTTTTCCCCACAGAGCTCTGGGATCTGAGTGAGCAGGTGGAGAGGGAAGGGGCTGGTCTCTGAACCCCCCTTGAGGCAACCTGGGGGCTCCCCATGGGACCTGAGCCTTTGGGCACTGGAGGACTTGCCCACTTAGAGTATTCCCAGGGATCCTGTTCAACTCTTTGGGGATGAGGAGAATTGAGAGCTGCGGACTAGCTGGGACTTTGAAGGGGGTCTCTGCTCTTCCCCGCAGACCCCCCAGAAAACACTCCAGCGGACCCTCTCGGATGAAAGCCTGTGCAGCGGCCGGCGAGACCCCTCCTTTGCCAGCAGCGCCTGCTTCGAGCAGCCCCTCTCCAGCGACATGCTCTTCACCAGCACCCTCCCTGTGCGGAAGCCGGCCAGCAGCGGCCGGGGGTGCTCCTTGGAGAAGGGTGAGTCTGGTGGAGCCCCACTACCGGATGCAGGTAGGCAACGGGGGTCCCTGTCTTCCCAAACAATCTTGGAGCATGGGGGGAGTCAGTCTTTGCCCCAACACCCAGGGCAGAAGGAGGTTGTGTGGGCCGCCTCTGCAGGTCGGCTGATGGGTCTGGGGGGGGAGGCTGACCTCCTCTCTGTCCGCAGCCACCATCTCGGCCTCTGAGCTCTCCCTGACCGAGGTGCGTGACCAGCCCCTGCGGCGCCTTGACCCGGCCCTGATGCCCCTGCCAGACACAGCCGCGGGCCTGGAATGGTCCAGCTTGGTCAGTGCTGCGAAGGCCTATGAAGGTAACTCTTCCTTCCTCTCCTGCCCAGGCAGGTGATGCGGCAGTCCGGGAAAGGGCTTCAGCCCTGGGCCCCACAGCCAGCTGGCTGTCAGGAGCCCCGTTTACTTCGGGGGCCCTTTCTGGCTCCCCCTCCGTCCAGCTGGGAGCAGCCTCTTGGGAGGGGGCTGCAGCTGATCTTTGAGGAAGGAAATTGACCGTCTCCTCTGCTGCCCGTGTGTCGCCCCCCCCCAATGGCAGGGCCCAAGCAGCATCATTGAGGGGGCAGAAGACCCCTGCAAACCCTTCGTGCAGAGGGATGGGAAACAAGCACCCACCAAGAGCTTTGCCCTCCAGCCCAGATGCTCGGCTGCCCCCAATTTCAGGAGGGAAGATGATTCAGCACGAAGATGGTGCTGAGCTGGTGCCTCATCAGCAGGAGCTAAATGGGCTGCTTGCTACTGGTGGCACAGCTTCTGCACCCAGCCTGCCCTCCCCCCCCCTCGCCTCCTCCTGCCTTGCCTGCCTCACAGCCAGCCTGCCTGTCAGGGCAGAACTCCTTCCTCCGCCTAGGCGGACGTCCCCCTCCCTGCCGGCTGCCTTCGGCTGGCTCTGCCCTTCAGGGCAAGGGCTTGCTGGGTAAGGGGAGGGGCTGCCTCCCCAAGCAGAGAGACGGGGCGGTGGTCAGGGTGCTTCCTCCTCCTCATCCTGCCCTGCCCAGCCAGCACAAAGGTAGCTGATGGCGGAAGACGGGGGCAAGACCAGCCGCTATGCCAGAGCAGATGGTGGAGTTCCCAGCAGGGCTTTCCCCCCATGGGCTTTGTGTCAGCTGTGCCTCTTTTCTGTGCAAATTGGGGACATTGGCCTGGGTGTACTTTCCCCAGGAGGGCAGAGAGGAGCTGGCAAGGGGCGACGGGGGCAGACTCTCCTGCAGCCGGGCTGAATTCTCTGAACTCAGGGTTGCGGTCTACAGAGGCACATGGAAGCAATCAGCGAAAAGGCCTGCCAGGATACTTGGGGGGGGGGCTGCTTAGGGGCTAGGTGGGGCTGCCCTCCAGGGCGTATGAGCTCCTCCACCTGCCCAGACTGGCATGGCCTTCTGCCCTGGCAGCAGTGCCAGTTTTGAGCAGTCAGAAGCCTAGGGGCTTTTGCCTGACAGCCTATAGATTCTCCCTCTCTCACCCCCCCCCCAGTGCAGAGAGCTGTCTCCCTCTTCTCCCTCCATGAGACCATGTTGAGCCCAGATGTGCAATCGGCTGGCAACCCCAGCCTTGGGCACCTGAGCCTGGAGAGGCAGCCAGCGCCACACACTGCTCCTGTCTTAAGGTGAGCAGGGGACGGGGGGCAGACGTATGTTTTGAGAAGGGTGAGAAAATTTCCTCAAGGAAAGTGAAGTTTTGGGGGGATGCTGGAACCCCCAAGGGTCTGCCTGTCAGTCTGGGTGAAGTTGGAGCCCACCTTGCAGGTAAGGAGGTAAACCTCCTCCCTCCTCCGTGTGGCTTCAACCCCCTCCCCAAGGGCTCAGGCTGCAGGTATGCTGCCTTCATTCTGGATAGCTGGGTGGGGAGACACACACCCCGGCAGAGCCTCTCCGGGAACCCCGGGCTGGTCTGGTGTCACAGCCTCTCCGGCCTGCCCTTGCAGCCAGCAGCGCCCACCAGACGATCTGACAGGCAAGGTCTACCAGCTGGAAGCCATGTTGAAGCAGTTGCACAGTGACCTGCAGAAAGTAAGGAGCTGGGAGGGGGCTTGGTGGGACTCCCGGAGGGAGGGACGAGGCTGCTGGGCCAAGGTGTGCAGGTAGCCCCCGGACCAGGCTCTGCGTATCCTGGAACTCCCCCCCCCCTTCTCGGCCCCCGCAGGAGAAGCAGGACAAGGTGGTGCTGCAGGCAGAAGTGGCCACGCTCAGGCAGAACAACCAGCGGCTGCAGGAGGAGTCCCAGCACGCCAACCAGCGGCTGCGCAAGTTCGCTGAGATCTTCTCCAGCGCCGTTGACAAAGAGGAGCTGTGAGCGGTGGGGGGGCAGACAGGTGTGGCACCTGCACAGGGGCTCCCCTAGAGAGCGAACCATCAGTCCCCCCGTCCCCCAGCTGGGCCCCGGCCCCGTGGCCCCCTTTGTGCCTCGCCTGGGTTGAGAAGCAGCCCTGCTCTGCCCAGGGATGTGGGTTCCCCCCCGCCAGCCAGATGCTGGCATCCTTAAGCCCTGCCGGGAGCAGCCCAGGCACGCTCCCCCCGCCCCGGTCAAGGGCCATCAGGGGGCCGGCTGGTGTCCAACGGGCTGGGCGGCAGATTGCAGCCAAACTTCTCAGAGCACTTTCTCACAACTAAATTATTTTCTAGGGAATGCAGAGCGCCTCAGGAAATTAAAAAAAAAAGTTTAAATGTCTACATTCTTTATAAAACACTATATTTGTATCAATGGTACTGTTTGTAATTTTTTTCAATTGCATTTCTGTGCATGCAACTGAATTCAGCACAGTTGATTTTTTCCCCAGTTGCAGCAGGGACCCTGCGCTGGCACAAAGCCATAGAGGCCCAGGGGAAGGCTCCTGGCTGGGGAACGTGTCCCAGACGCCCCCCCCCCCGGGCCTCCTGGTTGCCTGCTCTGGAGCACCAGGCCTCCCTGCCTGTGCCAGTCCTCTGCTGGGCCGGCCTGGCTGGCAGCAGGGCACACCGAGGGCACTCCACTGTCTCCACAACGCTCTGGCCAAGGAGCCCCTTCCACCCAAAGAGGGTGTTGGGGTTGAGAAAAGGGGGGGAGTGTCTGTCCTGCTCTGTGACCTGCAGGGCCCTTCACCCCCTGGGCTGGGGCTTCTGCCAATGGCAGCAGGGAGCAGCTGGCCTGGACCACTTCCCCCCACCCCCCACTTCACATTGCAAAACCAGCGTATGATCTATGCGAAGCACATCCTGGCCCCGGGGGTTGGGCCAGACCTGCCAGGGTCAGCCTGCCTTCCCCCCCACTTCCCTCCACCAGGGTTTCAGGGAAATAACAAAGGGAGGCAAAAAGGCTTCTGCTGCTGACTGTCACCCAGGCCAGACTCTCCAGCTGGCTCCTGGGCTGCAGGCGACCTCCCTCCCCTTCCACTCTAGCCTTAATTCTGCACATGGCCAGAGGGGCTCCCGTCTCCTCTTGGCTCCTGGTGTGGGAAGCCATCAAGGGCCCTCCAGGAATCCCCATGTCGGACTCTGGGCAGGCAGGGGGTAAAGGGGAGATCGGTGCCAGCCCCCCCCCCCCGGCTCTCTTCTGGGCTCACCACCTCAGCAACCTTCCTAGGTTTTTTAATTTTGTAGTGGGACCTCACTGGAATTTGTAGCCTAAGGATTCCCCCCCCCCTTTCTAAAAAGAATTCCCCGGCGTCTGGCCTGGGATGATGGGCACAGTGCTCTCCTGCAACACCTCATGTCTATCAGTTATATTATGTGTTCGTTTTTAATTTTATAAAAATCGTTGCAGATCAAATCTGTATTATTTAATTTTGTTCTGTTTTAAAGTTGCTGATGAAGAGAACCATCAGTTTTTGTAAAATAAATTCTCTAATATGCTGGAAATCTCAGTCTTCTTTTCTGGGGGTGGTAAAGCTCCAGATGGGAGGGAGGTCCCGTCCAACCTCAGCCCCTGGGGTGCTCTATGCTGGGGTGATGCCATTGTCAGGGTGCCTGTGTGACCCTGACCGGGGCCAGGAGGGACTACTGTTCTTCCAATAGCCACCCCAGTCTGGCATTTGCCCCCCCCCCATTGTCGCAAGTCAGGGCAGAGAGAGATGGAAGCAGCGATTCTGACCACATTTAATGCACGTAACAATCCAAGCACACAAAAGTTGCAGGCAATGGAACAACACAGCTACAGAAGAGGTTGGCAGGGTGAGGCCCCCACTGGCCCCCTGCTGCTCCCAGGCACTTCTGTCCCTGGAGTAGCCCACCTACCCTATTTCAAGGCTGCCCTTTTAAAACTTTCTTCTCCCCCCACCTTTAAAATCATAAACAGAGCCCCCCCCCAGCCTTGCAGCAGCTTAGTGGTTATAACCCCATTGCGCTTGGCTCTCCCTCCCCCAGCCCAACCCCGTCCCACCCGGCCAGTCCCAACTCTGGTCAACAGCCTTGCAAGTTGCTTCCAATGGCAGGAAGGGGCTCCACAGCCAGGACGCCCCTTCCCTCCGGGAAGCCAGCCTCTGGACTTGCAAGCAAAGGCAAACAATTTCACATGCATCAGTCTGGAGGGAAGGAGCTCTTCCCCCAACCAGGGCAGATGAGCTGGTTCTGGTCCCCCCCCCCGACGTATGGCTTTGGTTGGACTGACCCCTCTGGGGTGGCCTAGGTGGGGGCCAGGAGGTGGCAGGTGTCAGTCCCCACTGTAGGAGCCCCACTAAAATGTTGGGTGGCCAACCTCGTTGCTCCTCTTAACCGTGGGTGGAGGTCCTGCATTGCTCCTGGGCACGGCCTGTAGTACAATTCCAGCCCCCCGGGGGGGGGGGGGCTTGAGGCTGGCGGGGGGGGGGGGAGAGGCTGCAGCCTAGGTCAGGGTGATGTAGGCAGAGGCTTTTTCTTTCAGCTGCCGCAGGCACAGATGGCAGCTCCAGCTCCCTGCAAGCGGAAGCAGCTGGGGGTCACAGCCTGGCTTTCTCCACAAAGGGAGCCACCCCCTGCCCTGCCCTGCCCCTGCCTGGCTGGCTGGCTGTCCCTTACCTTCAGGGGGCTCGGCCATCGGTGGGCTCAGGCAGTACATGTGGTAGCCACGGTCACAGTCATCGCAGAAAAGCAGCTGGTCCTGGGGGGGAGGAAGGGGCCGCCACTGAGAGGCATTGGGGACCTTGCTCCAAGGGGCAAGGGAAGCAGCTCCCCCCCCCATGGCTACCATGACTGAGCCTGCCGCCAGCCTAGGAAAGAGCCACAGAAAGGGCCACGCTTTCTGCAGGCCACGGCAGGCAGCTCCTGGCAACCCTGCAGTGGGAGCGGAGAAGTTGTCCAGGTGGCCCTTCCAAACCCAGCAGCAGCAGCAGGTTGCTTACGTCGTTTTCGGAAGTGCCACAAAGGCTGCAGCTTTTGCACTCGATGCACTGCCAGCGGTAGGTCCGCACAGCAGCCGTCATGTTCACTGTGAACTGCAGGCACGACGGGTGCCCTGGGGGGAAAGAACCAGCAGTCCCTGAGGTGGGCAGAATGGCCTCCAAGGGCCAGCAGCCCAGCAGGGAAGCTGAAGTACTTCGGGGTAGGATTGGGGCAGAGTAGTGCAGGGACCCCTGGCCTCGCAGAGAGGGCACGCAAGACCCAAAGCTCCGCCCCCCTTCTGTCAACCACAACCCAGCCCTAGGGCTTTTTCCACACCTCACCAGGCGAGGACCTTAAGGCACCCTGCAGGAACTCCCCGGCTGCCTCTGAGCCCCAGGTGAGCCCTGCCACTGGGCAAAAAAGACTGCCTGCTGGCAGAGCATCCACACAACCAGTTTGAGGGTTATTGACCGGTGGCAGGGAGGGTTCAGAAAATTCATCCTATAAAAGTGTTGGGCATACTCACCATGCCAAGCCACAAAATTGCCAGGCCTAGCAGGGCTTTAGCAATCCTCATTCGTTGTGCTGTCTGTAGCCACCAAATTCCCAACTACCATCCTATTCCCTTCCTCCAAAAAGGGAGCGCAAAGTTTTGGGCTCATGGGTCCCCGGGGGGGGCCCCAAACACCATAGCTGCATCAAGCCCGCAGGTGCCATTTGGCCAGAGACTGAGGCGGCTCACCTGAGCGTCCACAATCAGCACAGGAGATTAAGTCCTCCGGGCAGCCAGTCTTCTTGGAGCCGCCTAGACAGAAATCACAATAACCATTTGGTATGACTGTCCCATCCGGAGCTTTCTTAGCTGCAAAACAGCAAGGAGAGGTCGAAATCAGGGGTGGGCCCATACGCCCCTCTCTTTTCAAATCACCCCCCCCCCCGCACCGCGGACGCGGTGGGGTTGCCACATCCAGCCGGCCACACGCTCGCTCGCTCGCTCGCTCGCAAACTGCTCTCCCGAGGCGGGAAGACGCTCGCTCTGGCCTCCTGCGCCCCTCTGCCTTGCGCGGGGGCGTAGCAAGCTGCTGACTGTGCACAATAGAGCCCCCAAGGGAGAAGTCCCACACACGCGCGCGCGCGCGCGCGCGCCCAGCTCAAGCGCTCCTCGGGCAGCCTGCATTGTGGGCACATTGCAAAAAGTGGCAAGTCGCAGTCGCGCAGCTGCCTGATGGAAGCCGCCTTCCTCGCTGAGAAGGTGCTGCCCTTCCCTGCTGCTTCCAAAGCTCTTCCCTCTTCCGCTCTCTGCCCTTCCTTGTCGCTTTTCGGGGGATCCCGGAATAGTTGGGAGGAGATCCCAAACGGAGACTTTGCCCGCAGGACAGACAAGGGGAAGGGAGCGCTTCCTCTCACCCTCCCCATAACTTTAGAGAAGCCCCTGAGGGACATGGGAGGGGAGGCCGCACGGGGGTCCCAGGCAGACCCCACGTTCTCAGGCTCCAGCCTCTCAGCACTGCTGTGGGGGTTTACCTGTGTGCCTGCGCTGGTTCTCTGGGACCCAGTTCAGTTCTTTGTAAAACTCTAGAGAAAGCCAGAAATGGCAAGAAGAAAAAGAAAAAAAGGAAATAAGCATAGAAAAATAATAAAGGAATATATTTGACTTGACTCGGCTTAGGGGAACCAAGCCTGGGAGGGGCGCCTGCGTTCTCCGGTCCTCTGGCTTGTCTGGACGAGCAGATGAGCGAGCAAGGAAACGGCCGAGCTGCTTTGGTAAGGAATGGGGACGCCGTGGGGCGGGGGCCACGAGAGGGGCGGGGAGGCATCTTTTGGGCGAAAAGCAGCCCAGGCGGTGCGAGCGAGCGAGTCGGCGACGGGCACTGGGAGAGAGAAAGCAGGTCTCGGACGAGGCGGGGGGGGGGCACCCTGCAGGGCCCCGGCCCTTTTCTCCAGGGACGGCGGCTCCAAACAGCCCCTTCCCTCACCTCCCGGTTGCTTTGTGCAGACTCTGCTCCGGCGACGGCGCTGGTGTCTCCATGGCAACCACCAAGATCGGGGAGGGGATGTCTTTGTTGGGGAGGGGGCGGCCTCTTTCCCTCCCCCTTCCCCTCCCCCCAAGTCTAGGGAAGGGATCCGGAGAAGCTTCGTCCGGCATGCCCACTTGCAGAGGCTTTTCCACGTCCCCCTCCTCCCCAAAAGAAAGGGGGTCCCATCTCTGCAGCCTTCTCAGCGGAAGAGCCCTTCCTCTTCTGCCCCGTCGGGTCTCTCTCTCTCTCTCTCTCTCTCTCTCTCTCTCTCTCTCTCAGACACACACACACACACACACACACACACACACACACACACTTCAGAAGCTGTGCAGCATCTCTTTGCACACTCAGCCCCCAAGCTTTCCTGGGTAGGCAGAGACTTCCATGTGCATATATGTGCAAGCATGAATGCTCCCCCCACCTGCTTGCCTTCCCAGCTCCCATTCCCCAAACAGCCTCGGCTTCCCCTAGACCCGTTTCCCCCCCCTCCTTGGATAAACCCAAGCTGGAAATCTTCCACCTGCCAAGTTCGCCCACCGTGTTTCCATGGCAACTGCATCAGGATGGGAGATGCTCGGAGTGGAGCCTCCCGCAGTGGCAGATGAGTGGGGGGGGGGAGACTTTCTGGGAGGGTGAGGCGATTGCCTGTCTCTAATGTGCCAGCTCTGGGAACTGAGTGTCCCCCGTGCCCAACCCCCCCCCCGCCCCAGGCTGAGACCTCCAGCTGCTGCACTCTCACAAAAGAAAGCAATCGCAGCTCCATGGGGGGGGGTTTCCTTCATGGGTGGGCTGGCATCTAGGGCATTTCCTCCACCGGAAGACCTGGCCAGCAAAGGAGGCTGGGCCCTCAAGGACTAACCGTGGGAGGAAAGGGCAGCATGGATGGACCAGGGTTTTCCTTAGCCGGCTGGGAACTCTGGCAGGATTTAGAGCTGAGAGCTTCCCCACTCAAGGTGGGGGGCTGCAGATTGCGGCCCTTTGCCCAGAGTTGTGCTGCTAGCCCTCTGGGTGCTGCCTGGGAGACCCTATTCCCCTTTAAACCCAACAGAAAGCCGACTACCCAGCTAAAGGGGCTAGAGGCAGGGCACAGCACTGGCACAAAGGGAGGGGGAGGCGACACTCACGTTTGTGGTTGTTCTTGCGGTGGAAGGGCAGGGTGTGCCGCTCCGGACCCTCTTCACCTTCCTCTTCCGCCAGATGTGTATGCGTGTAGTGGTAACTGAGTCCAGGGCGGTTCTTGTAGCGTTTCCCACAGACTGAAAAGCCCAAAAAGCTGCTGAGGAGGCACCGCAAAGGCTGGCCCACTTGGTACCCCAAAAGTTCCCCAGCTTCTCTGCCCTCCTGGAAACTGCAGGCTTCTCCTCTCTCCAAGGTGATTTTGGGGGGCTGCCAAGGGTGCCCCCCACCCCCAAAAGGCCCTACAGGGGCATTCTCCTGGCCAGCCTGTGCCCACTTCCCCTTCCTTCCCCTGCAGCCCCATCAAGGAAACTGGTGGATGTGGGGCCTCATAACAGCAGTCAGCCTGGTGGGACACGCCCTAAA